TGTGTGTGTGTGTGTGTGTGTGTGTGTGTGTGTGTGTGTGTGTGTGTGTGTGTGTCAAAGGCGCCTCCGAGGAGCGAGGTTGGAGACAGTGTATGATCAGCAGGGAACTGAAGCGCAGAATCCCTGATCACAAGATTTCACAGCAGTTAACTTAATGAGTCTGCTGTGTACACTGACTCTGTGTGTGTGTGTGTGTGTGTGTGTGTGTGTGTGTGTGTGTGTGTGTGTGTGTATTGTATTGTATTGTATAATGTGTGTCTGTTAGTGTCAAATGAGAGAAGAAGTGAGACCAACTGAAGATCTATGTTTAGAGATGTGCCCAAAGTGGTCACTTCAGTTCACTACACACCGGCGAATTAGCGAAGTGAATTTTCCAGGTGCACCGGGCAGGTAAACCAGAGAAGCAGTTCTACTATTAAGGGTCTAGACTGAATCTAGTCTCTGTGGATCTAAGCGTCCGGTCCTCTCTGAAGTAGGTCGGCGTGATTTTGGCCAAAAATACTTTTTTCTATCATCTCTCAAAATGGAACCATTGAAAACGATGTAGTGCATATACCAAGCCAGTAGGTGGCGCTGTAATGCTCCCGTTTCCAGAGATGCAGATAGACATCCACACGGAGATGAAATGGTCGTCGTTTACAGATTTATTCACTCTCTGACCCGTTTTCAAAAAGTACCGTTTACAGTCACCTGAAACGCCGATACGACAAAAAACTTTAGCGTTTCCACTTCAATTAGTTTCCATGGTGACGGGTTGATACCGCCTTCAGACAGACTTTACAGCGGGGAGTGGTTTACTCTTCATCTGAAACTGTGAAGTCGTACCAATTCAACACGACTGACTCGCTCTTGTCCTATTTAACCACAAAATTATCACCTTCTTTAGCAAACGCCATGTTTGTTTACACTGCTGTGTGTGGGAACTGGGGAGCCTACGGTGGCCTGGAGGGGCGACACATGATAGAGAGGAAAATCAGTTTGAGGATTTTAATGTTTTTTAACATGGCCATAATCAAGTAATTGGATTAGGATGTAAAATCGATTCATCGTAGCTCTGAAGCCTCTTCCTCTCGTTCTTAATGAGATTTTCAGTTCAGTTATTTTTAACTACAGACTTCAAACAGATCGATGATCAGTTCTTTCTGTTCCTTGGCGTTTCCTCCAGCAGTGAGAAGCTTTAATCAATTTGTCGTTGTTGACCAGAAAATGTGACTGACGCCATAATGCCCACAAGTCCCCGTGTTCGTCTGTGACCTGCGACATATCGAACTCCCCCTCATCCTCCCTGATTGCTTCCTCCTTTTCTCCTCTTTCTCCCCCCTCTCGCCGCTCCATCGCTCTCTCTAGATGTGGTCTGTGAGCCATCCTTTACTCTGGAAACAACAAAGGGAGGAAACATCCTTGTTGTTTGGCAATCGCACGGCTCAAGGGTTTCTTTTTCTGCAGGAATAACCACACTGAAACAGCATCTGATCGAGCATTAATTTAAACGAGAGGATGAAAGAGACTGAAGAATGTGAGGGTTTCTTTCTTTTCTCTGTGTGTGCACTTCGAAGAGTGAGAGGAAACCGGGGGAAAAGTCCCAACTGGAGGCTCGGAAAACGGTGACCTTGCACTCTGAATCCTTCAAGTTATTGACGACAAAATGTAACAAGCGGGGAGAACGCAGAGAGGAAGGGAAAAGAAAGAAAGAAAGAAAGAAAGGAGGAGAAGGAGGAGGAGGAGATTAAGCCGCAGAGAAAAATCACAGCGATAGTTACAGATGAAAGAGAAGCAGAGGGAGGAGCAGTGTGAGAATCATCCATCCTTGTGTGTGACTGTTACACAAATCAAACACACAGTAGGAGAGAAAACCGTCATTTAGCACCAAAAGAAGCCGAGGGAGCACGATACGCTTGTAAAAATGTTAAAATCGACCAATGAAAAGACGGTCTAAACCGGCTCAGACCTGAAAGTTTTCCCTCCACATTAAAAGATGAAAATCGACAGTTGGACTAGGATCCACCCTGACGACTCTGCTCATCCAAATGCAACATCCATTTTAACCTAAAAACCACATCTATGTTCCTGAGAATATGAACATTTACCCCAAACTTCCACCGCATGCAGAACGGCGGCGAAAAGGCCGTCTGTGCTGATCATTTCCTTTCAAGTTAATTTGTCAAATTCCACCGCCCTCTTTCCGACCCCCTGCGGATCAGCGGGCTTCGTAGCCAATCGAAGGACACAAACTACTGCTGATCTGGTTATGCGTCTGTCTTTATAGAAACAACTTGTTCTCGCACGATTGCATGTGAATTTGCGGGTCTTTGTGAGTCCTCACGATTCCCGCTGTCCGGATTCGCCATGAAATTTGGCTTACAGACAAATTCGGTACGAATTGGCGGACAGCAAAAATCGTTGCTGTTCCGCAGTGGTGGAAATTTGGGGTTAGTAGCCGATTGTCCACTTTCAGACCAGGTTACACAAAAGCAAGCTAACATAATGAGCTGGTAAGTTAGACCAGACACTGTCCGGCTCAGTTGGAGGAATGAAAACTGTTGACTGATTTCCTTATGTATCATCATTTCTGCTTCATCTGTGTTGGATTCTGGATTCTATGTTTCACCCGATCTTTCTCCTGAAATCCAGAAACCTCCCTAACTGATGAGGAAACATTTTTTTTAGAAAAGCTACACATGTGCACTGAAACTGCACATTGCTGAACACATTCCAGATCCACACTCACACACTGTTGTGGCTTCGGCTCACACTGCGGCTGTACTGGTCTGGTCTGAGAGGAAATTAAAGCCATCAACTTGTGTGTGAGTGCATCTGTAGTTCAGCTGGAGTCCCCGTCAGGATGACGTGAAAGGATAAAGAGGTTTTTGTGGCGAAGACAGACTGAGGAGTGAGAGGCTCTGGTTTTCTTCTGCTGCTGATTCTCCCAGTATGTGTGTGTCTGTTTCTTTAAGTTATCAGCTCAGTTTCCTCTTTTTGGCCTACAGTGCAGAAACTCTGACATAATGAAAAGAAAGAGCTGCTCCAATCTTCCACTGAATTCTTAAATTAATCTAAATTTCGGACACAAACTCAGAACATTTCAGCCTTTTGTTTTGCACGATTGTTGCAGAAGCTGCAGCCCTCCAAACTTGCACAGTCAGTCTGTTTTTACAGAGCAACAATCTGGTGTCAGTGAAATATGAGGCTGACAGGGAAATGCTTGAATCTGCAGTTCCCTCGGTGTCCACTAGAGGCTGACTCCAGAGACTTTGGAGACCCCTTTACACTGAGGTAAAACAATACAACCCGGACCCTACTCTTCAGTTGATCTACGGTGACCATACGTCCTCTTTTACCCGGACTTGTCCTCTTTTTGGGGGGCGGTCCAGCTTTATCGGGGGAGATTATAAAATCCTTCAAATGTCTGGAGTTTTGTGTGGAAGTTTTAACTTTGTCTCCTGTGGACTTACTGAGTTAGAAGCACATAAAAAAACACTCGCTCCGACCCAAAAATATCTCAAAGTTAACTATGCGCAACTCCTTGACACCCGGAACAGCTCCGGTCCGTAACAGCTGCAGTTTTCGCCAATTCCTACCAGATCCATTTGTGATGTGAAGTTGTGGCGGATAACGGACAGCTGGAAACGCGAGAACTCACAAGAACCTGTGGATTCATGTGCAACTGCCCGATAACAAGTTGTCTTTAGCCACATTGGCTAAAAGCAGATGAGCAGTAGATTGTGTCCTTCCAGAGGAGGAAATGAACAGATTTAACAGGTTTATATCACTACAAGCATTCATCATATTGTGCACTAAAGTGTTGCTAACTTTTGTCTCTTTGGGAAAGTGTTTCACAGACTTTAAGTTATTCTCCAAAATGTAACGTAACACTGTCTCTGCTCGAGGGATCAGCACAGATTACTCAGCAGAGACAAACTGCACATTATCGGAGGGATACATTCCTCAGATGACTGGCTTGTCTGTGTGTATTAGTGTGTGTGAGAGTGTGTTTGTTTAGTTGGCAGGACTACACACAGTCCAATTTCACGCTCGTCTTTAACATCTGTCCTCTTTGAAAATGACCTGCCAGGCCATCTGCAGCAAATATGACTTCGCTCAAACTTCTCTTTGTGCTAAAACCTGTTATAACATACATGGGTGTGCTGTTTGATTAATTAACTAATCCCTCTATTGAGGTACTTTTTGGTGTTTTTTCCCCATCACAGTGTAAACCAATTTAGAACAGCCTGTTTTATTAATGACTAAAAATGATGTAATTAACGTTTAATTCTCGATCATGACGTCGCTTCATTCGAGCCGATAACTTTCAAGAAAGAAGCAGCAGTTATCTGTCGTGCAATGACCGACTTCATCCAGCAGGGGCGCAAAGAGGGTTGTGGACATAGGCTGTATATACTATGGACAACTTGTTTCCACCTTCCGCCAGTATACAGATTGTACGCAATCACAGAGAGTCACTGTGATGACGATCGGCTCAAACAGCGTATCCCGTCGTTCAATCTTCGTACGCCCATAGGCTGTATTTTTTTGTACCATAGTTTCATGTGCTTATCTTATCGCCTCTGATTGGCTATAAGTGCTGACCGTTTGGCTTGAGCGTGTGGTGATGTTCTCAGCTTTTCTAGCCAATCCGAGGCGATGGAGGCGGGCCTTTCCCCGGGAAAATTCTTCCCCAAGATGCGTCTTTTCCCCCAGGAAAGTCGCAAAATCGCATCGGGCTTGATGTGTATAGTCAGGCCCGTCAAAATTCGCCTCAGAATATTTCCACGGTTTAAGGACCTTTACTCTCTCCTTCCACCAAAACCAAAAAATAATAATGAATAATAATATTAACAAACGAAGTAGACTAAAAGCATTATTTAGTTTATGTTAATCTGAAGAAATCACCGCCTTTTAACATTTAAGCCCCGCCCAAAAGAGCGCCGAAGTCTCCCATTGGTGGTTTTACAGTGTGGCCCCGCCTCCTGGTGGAGTTCCTAACTCTCGAGTGGACTGAGGCTCTAACCCACAGTCAGAGGAGACTCTCTTCAGTTAGGATGGTGTGAGTTTATCGGACTGTTTTCAGACTTTATGAATGAAACTTTAAAACTTCTCCCACCGTCACTATGTGGAAACCCGCGTGCACTTTCACTTCTACGACCGAACCTCGCGCCGCTGCCGCCGCGGTCACCTGCCTGCTCGTGACCGGGATGCTGGTCGTCACAGTCGGACACCCGAGCAGCTCCGACCCGGCGGAGCCTCCGGCAGCAGCTGCAGCAGCAGCAGAGGCGGCGGGCGGGAAAGTTTTCTCGGCGTACCTCAAGAAGTTGACCCGGGAGAGGAGGACGATAAGCGGCCGTCCGAAGGGGAGCTCTCCCCCCGGGCCTGTGGAGCTTCTGTCCCCGGAGGACGTGTTCATAGCGGTGAAGAGCACCGGGAGATATCACCGGCAGAGGCTGGAGCTGCTGCTGGACACCTGGATCTCCAGGAACATGCAACAGGTGAGAGAGAGAGTGTTATTGAAGGAAACACCACATCTGAGGCTGATTTTACTTCACAAACAAGCAATTTACACAGTTATCTACCTAAATAATGAGTTTTGTTTCCAAAATAATGTAATAAATGTGAGTTTTAAAGCTGTTTCATTCACATGATACTACTTTGGAGCCCACTTCAGTTCAGTGAGTAAACAAAAGTTATTTAGAAAACTACAAAATGATCTATATTAAATGTGGGATTGATCAAACGTCTAAAAAAAGTAACTTTAAACTTATAGTAAATAGTTAAAATCTGATATTGTTGTTGTTTTCTGTGTTAAACTATAGAGAAAAGGGTCGAATGACATAAAAAGAAGATATTATATGTTGGACCAATACTCAAATTGTAACTCTATAACTCAAAGCCTGCTAATGGCACTAAGATAGATAGATAGATAGATAGATGGATGTATCTGATACTTGCACTGGTTAGATGCTAAGCTGGATTTCGTTGCATTGTTCTGAACAGTGTAATGACAATTAAATTGAATCTAATCTAACATGCATTATTGCTAAAAAAAAGGTTATTTCTGCAGCTGTTACTTAAACCTTCACTTTTCAGCTACTTTAGCTTTAAACTGCTTCTTAAATTTAAGTGTAAATCAGTCTGATCTTCAGTTGTGTCACACGGAGCGTTTTATTTGTCTTGTAAATGTTTCCTCTATCAGGGGAAGTGAGCGGCCCTGATCTCCTGCTGCAGTTGCAATCAAGTTATAAACTCCCTGAAATGTGATCGTCCTCTTTGATCTCCCCGACCTCTGAATTGTAAAACACAGATTGAGGCCTTTTGTAATGCATGAGAGGGAGATCTAACAGGCTGACCACACTGCTGCTCACGTGTTGACATAATCCCACCAGCAGGGGATAAATGCAGCGAGGATGAGTCAACTCTGTTTTTTATCATGAGGTCTCAGTATGATGCAGTTTTTCCCTAAAATACAAAGACAACAGAAGCATTGTTCAGAGAGAGTTTTCAGAGAAAGACTCGACGTAGACTCCAGACGTCATAAAAACTGCGGTTTCATAGCTGTGAAAGGGAGAGGAAGAAAAGAGGGAATTAAATATCAAAGTGATCTGCAGTCGTAGAGGTGGAGAGCAATAAAACACGGGAACACTTTAAAGGTTCGTGCACTTCAAATTCATCTTTCTTTCTACGACTGATTCTCCTCATTAATTTTAATTCTCTATCTTATTTTTTCTCTGTGCTCGTAATCCTTTAAGAACATCCTGAAGTACCTCTTACAGTAAAATGTTCGAGCAGCCCAGTAATTTAAGTCTAAAAGCAGCCGTCCTCTCGTCTCTCAGGACTTTTAGGTTTGATAGTGCGCACATTTGGGAACATTTTAGTGTTTTGTGTGAGTTTTTTTGAGAGTAGGCGTCCTATGAGGGGATAAAGAAGAGCTGCATGATACTGGAAAAAATAAAAGTAATTTTATATGCAATTTAGACACAATTTATGCAATTTATCTTTTCAGTTTAATTTCAATAACACACAGAAACATGCCTACCTGTTTGTTAACCCAGCTGTGCCCATTGTTATGCTAACGTGCGCAGCGAGTGTATCTGAGCCCTGATGAAAAATCCACACTGCATATAGATAAATAAGTTAAACTAAACACATGAAAAAAGTTTGTGTCAGGCTGTAAACATGTTTAATTTTTCATTTTCACATTGGAGCTAATTGGGAGTCTGTTGCTGCTGAAGCCAGTCCCGAGTGGTCACTTGAGGAACTGCAGTTTTTTTGCACTTTCTCATAAATGTTCTCATTTATTCTCTCTTTGCAGTTCAATTAAAAACTCAATGTTTTCCTGTTGAAAAGCACAAAAGATAAAATAAGTTGACATTGACAAAAGCCGATAAATAATTCCATTGTCGACTTTTGTCACCAGACGTGTTTTTTCCAGTGGAGTGAGGCGTCTTACTTCATTACGATCTCTGCCTACAGTCACACAATAGTGTCTTCGCCGAGCGGTAGGGTAATCAGACGTGACGGCGCCGACGTCCCTTACAGCAGCTACGAGTACACGCTTAAAAACCTCCAAAGTTTGGGAGCAAGTTAGCCGAGGAGAAAATGAAAATAAAAATGATTATCTAATTAGTCGACTAATCATTTCAATAGTCAGTGATTAGTCGACTATTAAAACAGTCATTAGCTGCAGCCCTAATTAACTTTTTTAGATGCTTCCATTTTTGAAATTCCCGATCATCCTAATTAAAGCTCCTGTGAGGAACATTTAGTTTGGCCGATTCTGGCGCCCCCTGTGGACAAAGTTCTTGTCCTGCACATGAAACATCTCAGCCTGTTGACTTTTGACGGTCACATGTTTTATTAAGTCTGAATACTGTAAAACCACCGATTTAAGGTTTTCAAAATTACAATAAAAATGTTGTCAGTCGTGTCGCTAATAGACTAAAAAAGGCGTCATAATAAGTTTCATTCTAGAGCTGAACGATTTAGCATAAAAATATGATCACAATATATTTTATCATATTGTCCGATGTTTATCTATTTTGCTGCCCTCAGCTCCACGTTTAACTCCACGTTCGGTCATTCTGTTTACTTCCTGTTTACTTCTCAACTTGAGCAGGAAAAGCTCGACTCTGATTGGCTGCTGTCAGGCACATTTCCGCCATGTGTAATCGAGTAATTATGCTCACAGCTGATCACTGTGATCGAACTGAAATTGATCACTATCATATAAACGTCCAGACCTGCTTCATTCTACTTCATAACATCCAAAAATCCCTTACAGGAGCTTTAATCATTAAATCATCTTCCATTGATCGTCTGAGATCTTTTTATTCACCCCGGGTCATGTGATCTTGAGCAGCAGCTGCAGCAGGACTGGTTGAATCGAAGGCAAAGACGTTGAGCGGTTAGAGAGTTTCTCAGATGAGTATTTGTGATCAAAGAGTCGTGCAGACAGTATTTCGGTCTGATTCACTCCAGAGAGCGTCAGAGATGGATCTGCTGCTCTCAAACACATGGGACTGTGGCGAGCTGCACCCAGCGGCTTCAAAGCTCCTAATGGGACCCAGACTTGAGTGCGGAGCGGACAGCGGTCGCTCTGAATCGAAGTTCAACCCGAGACTCATCTGCTGCTGCCGCTGCTGCTACACAAACACACACGGGCGTTTGTACACTCGCTGTTGACATGAAGGCGTGTGTTATGTTTGGGGGGGAATCAGCTGATGAGTGTGTGACGCATTCCTGCATCAGCTCTCACGGTCAGGTGTGTGTGTAACTCTACCTGTTTCCCAGACACACCTCTGCGCCGTGAGACTGCTGAGTAATGGAAACACGGCAACCCACACACACACACACACACACTCTCACTGTTACCTTCACAGACACACAAACCCTGGGAACCCTCCAGATTTCTCATGGGAAGTTAAAAATGTGTCTGATCACAAGAGCGCACACACACACACACACACACACACACACACACAGACGCACACAGACACACACACACAGACGCACTTTCTCCTGCCCTGATTGTTGTTGTTGTTGTTGCCGTCGTTTCCTGTGCCATAAAGCTCAACTCCTGGAGATCCACAGACCCACTAACCCCCCCTCTCAGACCCACATTTTCTCTCCCCTGTACCCCCTCCCTCCCCCGACACACACACACACACACACACTCCTCCCCTCCTCCTCTTCCTAAAACACAGACACACACATTTAAACAAGAAGCCGACTCCTCTCCAGAGACTAAAGAGGCTCAGGAGTGAAAAAAACAGACTGACAAGAAGTCACAGCTGGCTGGACTCTCTCTCTCTCTCTCTCTCTCTCTCTCTCTCTCTCTCTCTCTCTCTCTCCCTCTCTCTCTCTCTCTCTCTCTCTCAGAGTTTGGATACAGATGTTTCTCAGAAAACCGACAGAAGAGAGTGTCGGTTGTTTTTAATCTATGTAGCGTGTAATTGTAGCAGAAGTTATCCAAGGACACTGAGGACGTCTTACATGGGCTCGTTGTCCAAATCCAGGACACAAAAACAGGCTAGAGAAACTATGGGTCTGATCTACTAAAGGTTTGTGCAAAAACAGCACGCGCAATCGATTTGAATATGTAGACTGTATGTAGATCATCAGAACACGCAAAATTGTTGGAGGAGCGGATGCAAATGGAATCATTTAACACCCGCAGTGTGATCTATCAAACACGGAAACCATTTGAAAGGCACGTGCAAACTGACACAGCGTTACGCACGGTCATTGTGGGGAGAAGGAGACAGAAGTGCCATGATACACGCCATGATCCTTGTCCGAAAGCTTGTGATTTATTTCGTTTTTCTAGTAAATGACGATTTTTATAACTAATAAGGTCAAACACGAAACAGATGAAAAAGAAATATCCGATCTTAGTACTATCAGTTAAAATCAATTTTAGGTCTTTTGGTCACATGACATGGAAGCTATTGAAGGAAAACAGCCTTTTCTGAGAACATTAACTGATAATTTATCGACGGTCCCTTATTCAACACCCGACATGGATTTAACCGCGCTGCTGTTGCTATCCCCGGTTGCTATAATTATTTTTTTGTAGGATGGTAGGGTAAAGTCCCGCCTCCTTTACCTCTGATTGGCTCGAAAAGCTGGAAACATCATCACACGCTCAAGCCAAACGCGGGCTGTCGGCTCTTTACATCTAACAGAACTTTATCGCACTTTTGAATCTCCTAACCCGACAGACGATGACGTTTCACAGCCATTAGGAATAACGAATCAGAGCCCAGCACTTCTAGCCAATCAGAGGCGAAGGAGGGCGGGCCTTCCCCTAAAAAAATAGCTTCCCGGTTATGGAGAGTGTGAAGACACCGGTAGATCAACTGTGAATGTCCGTCGAATATCCAACCTAAAACTAACTTCACTGCCGTATTTTCATGAAAAACAAACATCTGTTGCCTCGGTTGATTTTTTTAATGTGACCCTGAATACGTTTTACAATTCACACACATCTATTTTTAGTTGCAAATGTGAGTGAAACAGTCGCACCGTGGGGCCCTGTGGTCGGGACGTCCTGGTTTTCACGCTCCTTTAACCCAACATGGATTCAGTCGTGTCTCGTCGTCTTTGTCTCGTTGTCTTTGTCTCATCATCTTTGTTTCATCGTCTTTGTTTCACGTCGTTTCGATTGTCCCGGAGCCAACACATGATTCACAGGCTGCTCTGCATGCAAACTGGGGGTGTGAGCTCACTTCCTGTGGAAAGTTTAGGGGGCTACACGGCTTCCTGAGTGCGCGGCGACCCTCGACCCCATCACTCATCACATAAACGCTTGTGTACACACACACACACACACACAGCTGCTGGGCTGTTGACAGACAGGAGGCTCGCTAACCTTTGTCTTGGCCTAAACCCATCATAAGCATCTCTCTGCGCTGCACGTTGGCGAGGTTTGAGTGAGCGAGGAAACAGGTGGAGCCTCACCTGAGATCACAAACATACGAGCTTCTGAGGGAGCGTGTTTTGGTTTCCCTGCTGCTGGTCGAATAACATGAAGCGTGTGTTTGTGTGTTTTTCCACAGACGTACGTGTTCACCGATGGAGAGGACGAGAGGCTGAGGAAAAGGATGGGTGAGCAGCACACACACACACACACACACACACACACACACACACACAGGCTGCTGTTTTCGCTGACTCGCTGCAGTGTTATCTGCAGTGTGTGAGCAGGAAAGCAGGAACCAGGCTGCTGAGTGGGCAATACTGCGAGTCCATAAAGAGCAGGAAGTCACTTGAGTTTAATCAACAGAGCGTTCCTCGTCCGTCTTTAGCGATTGTTCAACTTTGAATGAGGTATTCTTCTCACTATCAAACTCATTGTACGACTAAAACTGTTATCCTGAGAATTTATCGCCTTGTTATCGAGCAGCAGTTATTTTAAGCTCCTGAGAGGACAAAGCGGCCTCCTGTCTCTACCTCCAGCTGATTTCTTTCACAGAACATTTAGGTGTTAAAACAACGACAGAAACAATCGATCTTGTTGTAAATGAGCTGCTTCACTTTCACGGGTCGTATAAAGGCATCAGTTAAGGCCGGACGATTAACCTACTTTAAATCGTAATCGAATTATTTGATTCAGACACAGAAATGTCCGTCAAACACATGAGTGTGTGTGCGAGAGCTCGGCGAAACCATGTCAACCTTAAAGCTCCTTTAAGTAATTTTCAGTTTGGGTCAATTTTGGCGCCCCCTGTGGACAGAGTAGTCTATTTTTTTTTGTCTTCTACATGTTTGAGTAACGACTAGGATATTAAACTCATCAGTCGTGTTGGTAACGCTCTTATTTTCCTTTGGAATAGGGCTGCTCGATCAATCGATTTTAAATCCTAATCAGATTTTTGAGTATAACGATGTTTAAAAAATTTAAATCATCGAATCGATTTTCCTCTCTATCATGTCTCGCACCTCCAGGCCACCGTAGGCTCAAGTTCCCACACACACCAGTGTAAACAAACATGGCAACAAACATTTGTAAAAGAAAATTTTGTGTTTAAATAGGACAAGAGCGAGTCAGTCGTGTTGAATTGGTACGACTTCACAGTTTCAGATGAAGAGTAAACCACTCCCCGCTGTAAAGTCTGTCTGTAGGCGGTATCAACCCGTCACCACGGAAACAAATTCAAGAGGAAACGCTAAAATTTTTTGTCATATCAGCGTTTCAGGTGACTGTAAACGTTACTTTTTAAAAACGGGTCAGAGAGTGAATAAATCTGTAAACGACGACCATTTCATCTCCGTGTGGATGTCTATCTGCATCTCTGGAAACGATCATGTGACACACAGAGTAACTCTTTTATGGCGCCAAAACAACCTTTATACACATGCTCTGTACTCTTCTTCTGTCTTTGGTGCATTTCCTGTGCAGAGTTACAGTGCCACTTACTGGCTTGGCATATGAACTACATCGCTTTCAGTGGTTTAGTTTTGAGAGATGATGGAAAAACTTTTTATTAAAGTGAAGTTTGGTGAAGTTGTCACTGATTAAAAAATCAAAATCGAGTTTTCAGAGAAGAAAATCGTGATTTTATTTTTGTCGTGCAGCCCTACCATCAATATTCATTTCAATCTGTTTCTTCTTCTTTAACCCTCTCCTTCTTACAAAACCAACATTAATCAAAGTTTCTTCACTCAGTCTAAATTTTCTAACCACTCGTTTGTCGTCGATCACCAGGCGCCCACCTCATCAACACCAACTGTTCAGCTGCCCACAATCGTCAGGCCCTCTCCTGTAAAATGTCTCTGGAGTACAACGCCTTCATCAACTCTGGGAGGAAGTAAGACTAAGACACACTCCGAACACACACTCACTTCAGCCCGACACACAAAGAGTGTTAGACTAACTCTCTGGGACTTGTGCTGCAGGTGGTTCTGTCACGTGGACGATGATAACTACCTGAACGTCGGCTCCCTGCTGAAGCTCTTGTCTCAGTACAGTCACACTCAGGATGTTTACATCGGGCGGCCCAGTCTGGAGAGACCGATCGAGGCCGTGGAGAGACTCGACAACACGGAAACGGTACTTTGACGAACTCTGACAGCGTTCCTTTAAAAAAAAAGTTTGTCAGATATCGTAACCAGATTACTAGTTTTATGTTAACTATCTTTGCATGGGTGTCTATAGGCATTGACTCACTTTTGGAGCCAGCCTCAAGTGGCCAATAAAGGAACTGCACTTGCATTTGACCTTTATTTCACAGCTGCTCCTTAGACATGAATCCTAAACAAAGCGTTCTCCTAAAGACGCAGATTTACGCCCAAGTTTACCTGCTTCGTACTCAGATTTTTTCACGAACACAATCTAGTTTTCGTCTTCGTCTCGGCGACCCAGAGTGACCCCTGCATGCGTTTGTCTTTGTGCACAGAGGCAGGTGCGTTTCTGGTTCGCCACAGGAGGAGCAGGATTTTGTCTGAGCCGGGGTCTGGCCCTGAAGATGAAACCCTGGGCCAGGTACAGAGTCACTGAAGACTTCTGATGCTGTTTTTACCGTATTTTTTAAACCTCCTGCTTTATGACTCTTTAATCGTATCTCTGTGTAGTGACGGCACCTTCATGGCCACAGCCGAACACATCCACCTCCCTGACGACTGCACCGTCGGCTACATCGTGGAGGCTCTGCTCGGAGTGAGCCTGATTCGCTCGGCGCTGTTTCACTCCCACCTGGAGAACCTGGGGCTGGTTTCTGACATACACAGCCAGGTACACACACACTTCGACACACACACACACACACACAGACAGACTCACTGATAAGTCAGCTGTTTGATCAGTTTGTATTTCTCTCTTTTAGGTGACGCTCAGTTACGGCACGGTGGAAAACAGCAGAAACACGGTGAACCTGAAAGGACCTTTTTCAACAAACGAGGATCCTTCAAGGTGAGAGGATTTCTGTCAAAATTTACGACAATAACCGACGTTATTTTGCCCAAATCGGTATATTCAGTGTCAATAAATAAATAAATCAAAGTTGGTTTTGGATGTGTGTAGGTAGGCTATGGCCTCATGTCCCTTAAAGACGCTGTCCTACATCAGAAGAGGGAAAGACAGGTGAGGAGATGGAGGACGGTTCAAAAGTTGGAGCAGCTGAAGTAGACGAAGTTAATGTGGGAGGGGGTGAGCAGCTTGTGGAGTAGTTATTGTCTATTTATCGTTATCGAGGTGAACTGATCAATATATCGTGATATTGATCTAAGGTCATATCGCCCAGGCTTTTGTTTAATAATGAATCATAAACACAAATCTGAATTTGTCATTTTTAAGCGATCATCTTCAGTCACAGCCTCGGCTACATACAGATTTGGGACGTTGTGCAAAATATGGATAAAATCAAGTCCTGGTTTTTATTTGAGATAGTGCAAAGATAACAAATCAATAACATATTGACTCCAAAGTTTGGACAGGAACAAGAAAACGCTTTAAAAGTTCTGCCAAAGAAACATAATAGGAAGAGTCTGAATTTAAGTGTTTTATTATCTACAGTAAAAAAATACAAAAACAGATCCAGAGAAGAAAACAAAAGACTTGATGGCCTCATCTTTGGGCCCTCAGGTTACACAATCACTGAGCTCTCGACTTTCTTCTTGAAAATCATTAGGGCTGTAATCAAGCAAAGAAATTCTTGGTCGACTAAAACACTGAAATTTTCCACTGATCAGACGGGGGGTTCAGATTCTGATGGCGAACCCTCTGTGGCGGGGGACAACGCGGCTCGGCGGTGTGGTAGAGGACATGGATGGTAGAGGAGGACTCACGTGAGAGTTAAACGCTCAAAATAAAAATAAATATTCAGCAAACCACCGGCCGTTGATTAACGTGGACACTCTTCAATCTTCCGCTCTCCAGTGGGTTGGGCGAATCCAAAATGGTGAAAACAAGGGGGGTGTTCTGAGACAGACTGTTAGCTGTGAAACCAGGGTGCTCTGAAAACACCCCCATTAGCATTTGGTACGTTCCTCCTGATGAAATTAACCATAGACTGTAAATTGATGCGGTAGCTGGTCGAATCAGCATGTATCGACCAATAAATCGACCAGTCGTCTCAGACTCTACAATCATGGACTTTCATCTTCTGCTTCAAAGGGGAGAAGGACCGTGCTTGTTCATCATCTCAGAAAATGAACCGGTTTTGGAGACGCTAAATGCTAACGTCAGTTTGGACACAGAAGGCGGCCTTCTCTGTAAATATCGGTTCGTTTGGTTTGTTTGACTTCTATTATGTCCAGACAAACGCCTCCTGAGACACCTCCCATCCTGGTCACCTCCTGTTTGAACTTTTGCCGTCAGGCAGACGCTATAGGACAATCAGATCCAGAACGAACAGACTTAAAAACAGTTTTTTTCCGTCAGCAATAACTACCCTCAATGCCTTAAGGAAGGCTAGGAGTGACTGAATACCTATTTACTCATTTACTTTATTTATTCTGAACTTATTTATTTATTTAGAACTGCTATTTATTACTGTATTTGTTTTTAATGATGCACTGACTGTCTGGCACTTTTTTAATTTCGTTGTACTGGTTACAATGACAATAAAGGACTATTCTATTCAAAGAACCGACGCTGACGGAGATCCCTCCATCAGGCCTCCCAGTTTTCAGGATGTTGATTTGTTTTTTGGGGCCTCTTCCCTCCTTTCTGTTGCTTCTCCCTCGTCCTCTAATCATGTGATGGTGTATTGAACCGGGTTAATCATCTTTGCTGTTGTACCTCGTCGATAGACAGTGCGCCACAGGGAAGGAGGGGTGATGAGATAAGCGTGTTGACCTGTTGGCGTTCGGGTTAATTGAAAAAGATTAAAAATCGTTCATACAATCGATAGTACACGCTGTTTGTTTTCTGTCCGTCCCAGGAAGAGCTCTGGTTGTGTAAACCGAGTACTACAATCCTCCTTTATGTAAGCGCTTCTTGTTGTGAGTGTTTTACTACTATGACAAGCTTCCTGGCTTTGTTCATTGTGTGTGCGTGCGTGTGTGTTTAGTGTGCACACGACTAATAGTATCCACGGCCTTATTTTGAAATCCCCAGTGGGCCGCTTCCAGGCATTGTGACTCTCATTTCCCTCTCTTTCTCAGGTTCAGGTCGGTCCATTGTCTGCTGTACCCAGACACTCCTTGGTGCCCGAGCTCCTGGCGACTTTAACACCCATCCAGAGACACACAGACGGGAGGAGGACAATCAGTCCATGTCTGCTCGAACCCAGGAGTCAACCGCAGACATTCAGGTGGAGAGAGGTCTGAGTGCTGCCGTCCAAAACCTTCTCTGCGTTTCCTCGTGACCCGTTAGAGTCTGAGGTGTCGACAAACTGTGAGATAGGATGACACAACAAGAGAGGAAGGCCGAAGCTCAAGACTAAGAGTCTGGACGGGCCAAAGATGGAGAAATAACAACGAGAAACTGCATCAGACTCAATGATACAATTAGCGTGTAATAATGAGGCTCATAGGGAAAGACTGGATACGATTACGGCTCGTCTCCATATTAAAAACATCATTTTATCCGTTATGTGTTGAACCGAAACATTTAACGGGTTTACTGTTCAAGTCCTCTTCAGTTAGCTGTTTAGAGATTGTACCTGCTGTTGTTAAATACGCTTTCCTCGCCTTTTCTTCGCTTTGCAGCTTCGAGAACTCAAGTTTTTTTTTTGTACAGATATATTTTGCAGGGTTAGGTTGCTGCGTTCGGTTGCACGCTCCAACGTCATTGTTTCAGTTTTGACAGGGATGTTAGACTGACTTCATATCTGAGGTTTGAAGTGGTCGATGCTCAGTATTATCCTCTTTCTCTGTCACGACTCAGCACTTTGATTTTTATATTTCTGCTCTTTGTAAAAAAACGTTGAAAATCATCGAAGGAAAAAGACGAAACGACAGTATTCTCGTGTGTTTGTAAAGAGGAACGGTGCGTCTCTGGCTGTACGTTCAACTACGAGAAGCGGGTTTTACACTCTAGCGCAGCATCGCTGGTAGCGAGCTTGGCAAACATGCTTCTGCTCCCAGATATGAACCAGAATAAACTTGTGAGAGCAAACACATTTTTTTTAAATGAAGAAACCATTCCTCCCCAAACCCCTTTTTTTGTATTTTGTATTTTGAGCCGCTGTTTCCAATGGTCATTTTTTAAAACAAGTGAATCCGTCACTTTTTAATTTTGAAAAAGTTGCACAGCAGCATCATGACGAACGTAACGGTTTGATTTTTAAGATTTTATGGAGAAATGACTCATGTTGGGTCGTCTTTTATTTTGCTTTTAGAATCAGTTGTTAAAACTGAAGACAAGTCCTTAAGTTAAATTCTGTCCCTACTTAAATGAATGTATATGATGAAATGTTGATTTGAAGCAGGTTTGCTTTATCCAGTATCTGGACTCTGTGTACTCATCAGGATTGGAGGAAATAAAACAGATTTTTGATCAAAACTCGACTTTCTGTCTCGGATTGTTTTCGTGTTACATGAAGTTTTCAGGGACACAGCTTTGACCCTGTTGAGTAGCCACACACACACACACACACACATCAGTGCACCCATAACCCCACAAATTCCACAACACACTCCCACTGAAACAACAGCAGACCTCTTATCTGATCAGGCTTTCCACATGGCTCAGTGGAGATAAAGGCAAAACACTGGCAGACAGCAGGACTGTGGGTATGACTTTGTTTACCTTCAAGGAAGAAATTCAGAATTACAGCGTACTACCAGAGAAATAATCTGCCTAATATCCTGCTAAGTGAAAAAGATTTTGATTGTATGATTGTGATCAGAAGTTAGGGATGGGGTCCCCAAAGTGAAACCAAATCTGTGTAACGTCCCCAGAAGTGACTTACATACGATTGTGTGTGAAATTGAACATGTTTAACCTACAATGGGAGGACTAAGCTTCTGATCAGGAAAATATTGGGTCCCCATCTGAGTGTGGGGGGGGCCTCTCTGCTAATGTGAACATAAGAGATGTAAGACTGTATGGGCCACACGAGCAGTGTGACTTTCCCGATTGTGAGAAAAGAGTGACATCTTGTGGCGCCATCAGGTACTGCAAAAAAAATTAATAAAATGATGTTTATATTTCTATGTAGGATTTTTGAATTACTAACAAAGCTGGGTATTGGTGTTTCACAGATAAGTCTATTATTCACTCTTAACAGATCAGCACCATAGAAAGATTTCTGAAGCTCTCAAATACACATTTTACACCATAGGAACACGACAAGCTTCTCTAACTTAAGGCACTACCTCTGACTGCAGTGAATCCTTTTAATATTCGTTTGAGGCCCAAAAAGTTCAAATTTACCAGCATTTACAAATAAAATTAAAGATAACAGGAAAGGACAGAAACACATTGACCCTCAGCAGCTACACATGACCAAGCCGGTCATATTTAGTCCCATTTCAGCCACTCCTTTCTGCTCGAAGGTACATGTATACCTTAGATTTGAATGAAGACTCAAGTAGCTTAAACAAGTAGCTACAGGAAGTTATAAGAATCATGTGAACTAAGGGATGTATTGGTATAAAGAAATATGCAGTACATTAACCACTAGTGAATCTATTTATCTATATATCGAACAAAAACAGAACCCCGGGTCTCCGTCAGTACGTTAAAGTTGCTTTAATTCCTTTTTTAAAACATTTATTCCAGGCTGAATGATATCATTACCACAGTTTTGACATGTACATCATTAATATCTTAGTTAAACCATCGGAAAATAAAAACAGCCATAAAAAACATTGTTTGTCTGTCACATCTGAACAGAGGAGTACTTGAAGTCCTGTAAAGAACACATACACACTCATTACTGATACTCATACGCGAGTGTTTTTTTTTTTTTCATTAAGACACACTGTATCAGATTGGTCAAGTCCCAGAATTCATTGCACAGGAATTCAAATACCACCTTTCACCTCAGGTGTGCAGACGACACTGGAATAGTCTTATTAAAACATTGCAAGACAGAGAGTCATTCACCATTAATAAGAGAGGAAAAACGCTGCTCTTGCCTTTATTCTCCTACAAAACAGCTAGCTATTATTTTATCTTTAAAGTTCCATTTTTTTACAAGACAGAGAAAAATTAAAAAAACATGTTGCGATATGAAGTGTTGTAAGAGTTTAAAAACATTATGAAAGGCCATTAATCAGTGACTAGTCCCACAGATCTTAACATTGTTTGCATCGATGGTGCAAAAAAACTCTTCAAAGTACTAGACCATAGGTAGCATTGTTACCATAACATGGACATGTTCTAGTAAAATCACACATGTAAGATTGTCTCGCTAATACGAGAAGTGGTCATTGATTATTAATAGTAACATATTAAAATGCTGTACAGGAATGGGTGGTTGAGATGTGTTTGAATGTTAGGCTAAGTTCCTCTGAAACGCAGCTTCTACCTACTACATCACCCATAATGCAAATGGTTACTGATGGGATGTCACGGTTGGGGGAGGGGCGCGTGGTTACTACAGTGCTAACCCCAAATTTCCACCGCATCCGGAACGGCGGCGATTTTCGCTATCTGGAATTCCGTGGTGGATTTCAGACAGCAGGAATCGCGAGAACTCAGAAGAACCCGCGAATTCATGTGCAGACGCGCGATGACGAGTCGTCTCTATAAAGACAGCCACATAGACATATAAGCAGTAGACTGTGTCCTTCCGGAAGAGGAAATCTACTTCTAGACTTCTAGAATCATGATGTCTAAAAACCTTTCACTTGTTCGTCCCCGCCCACGTTTAAAAGGAACTGGATGTTTTATTTTGTGTCTGTGCCCGACTTCCTTTCCTGCACGGGTTAATCTGTGCTGAATTTATGCGGCATGCTGCGGCGTCCGGAAAATTAGAACCCTGGTGATCGGCTATGAAGTTCACTGAACCACAGGAGGCTGGTGGAATTGGACACATTAACTTAAATTGCCTCACAGCAAGAAGGTCCCGGGTTCAAATCCAGCTCTGGGCATTTCTTTGTGGAGTTTGCATGTTCTCCCGGTGTCTGCGTGGGTTTCCTCCCACATCCCAAAAACATGCCTAAGTGCGGTTAGGTCAATTGGCCACTTCTAAATTGCCCGTAGGTGTAAATGTGAGCGTGGACGGTTGTTCGTCTCTATATGTCAGCCCTGCGATGAACTGGCGACTTGTCCAGGGTGTCCCCTGCCTTCGCCCGAAGATGCTGGGATAGGCTCCAGCGGTATAAGCGGTAGAAAATGGATGGAAGCGATCAGCACATACTGCTTTTTCGCCGCCGTTCTGGATACAGTGGAAATTGGGGGTAAGAGTGAACGTAAACAGGACAGAAGTAGGAAAATATGGATTTTACATGAAATCATGTGTGTGTTGGATTAAGATGTCTGTACAGCATGTGTGTGTGTGTGTTTGTGTGTGTGTGTCTGTGTGTGAGCACATGCATGATGTGTGTGGAGTAATGAGGCTGGCCCTCGCTCGCTCGCCCACTCGCTCGCTGCCAGTCAGACACACCGATCACCGTACTTACACACAGTAACACTGAGACAGAGCAATAGCCAATCACGCCGCAGTGATGTCACACACACAGGTTCACAGATACAGTTTTTTTTATACACTGTACACAGAGGAGATAATCCACCGGCAGTATCCCAGGCAGTGTGTTTTTACTTCTCCATCTTTGCAGAGTCGCCTGGAGGAGAATTTGTGCTTGTGGGTCAAAAGAATCAAAGAGAGAGTGGCGTGACGGTCGATCTGAGGCCGCCGGTGAACAGGAAGTAAAAAGGAAGAAACAAAATCGAACAGTTTGTCACAGTTTCACATCCTCAATTCCAGCTTATGGACAAACATAAAAACATCCACCTCCTCACTGACCGACTTTAAACACTTTTTTTTATATCAGGGACGTTTGTTTTTAAACGGGTTTCTGGACACTATCATCAGCTGCTTTCTTCTTACTGGGTTTTTCCTGATAACATCCCTGAATGAAAACTAAAACAATGAGGTAACAAAAAAAAAAAAGAAAGAAAGAAAACTGTCCCTCCTCAAATCTGATCATCCTTCACCGGCTCACATAGCACCTTGCAGAATGTGTAGTCTTGATATTTTTCCACTGCGGTCCACGAGAGTCTTTTCCTGCTCGAGGCCGTACGAGGAGAGGACAGAATCAGGCATCGCTCATTTCTCAGAGTTTTTTGGCACAGGGTTTGAGCCGTCTCTCGTCCGTTTTCTCTCTCGCTCAGGTCCAAAACTCAACAGTCAGTCCACTTCGGGGGTTCCCCGGCTCGATGTTGGAAAATGCGTGAATCGACTCGTGTGCTGCTGCATGTGCATGTAAACAAAGATGGAGAGAGAGAGACGCGGACGCGCTTTTCAAGCTCGGGATTCAAGTCTCAGTTCGACGACGTGTTAGGCTAAGAGGATGTGAGTGTGCGTGTGAGTGTGTGCGGTGGTACTGCTTGGGTCTAAACATGGCTTTCTGATTCACTGGTGTGTTATTTTTACAGATGTGAGTTGGAATAAGAGATACAGCAAAGGTTTGTCATGAGAAACACACAGCACGCCACTTCACCAGTAATGATTCAACAGTCTACTTCTCATGAGATCAGAGTAAAGCACGTTCGCTATTTACAGCTCTGTACAAGTGTGTGTGTGTGAGTGTGTGTGTGAGTGTGTGCTTTTGGTCGTGTGTGAGTGTGCGGTTTGAATGGAAAAGGAGCTTCAGGGTGGTGAGAGTGGCGGTCTCCACTAGAGGGCGGCGTTCGGATCCCAGCGGAGGAGAAGAGCATTCGGAAAGGAGAGGGAACTGGAAACCGCAGAGGATTGTGGGTAAGGAGAGGAGGTTTTTTTTTTTTTTCTTCTTCGGTTGAAACTAAAGGTGAGGAGTCGGGTTCGACCTTCAAAGTGCAGTCCTTTGCTGAGGTGCTTGGTTGATGAGTCCTGGGTTTGTGTTGGCGAACTTCAGCGGACCTCGACCTCGAACCGTGTGCGGCGCTTTAAACACTCGTCGTCCCTGTTGTGGTGCTTCTTCTTCTTCTTGTGTGTTGGCTTTGAGAACTGGATTCAGGCAGTACTGGAATGGACTAGTGCGACTCCGGTCTCTAGTGAACTGAGGACTGTGGTCTGGCAGTGGGGTGAGGCCGGCTGGCCGGGTCCAGCTGGTCGTTGGGTACGGAGCGTCGGTTCTGGTCCGGTCGGTTAGTGGCGAGGTACTTAGCTCTCATACTGGAGGTGTACTGAGGAGGTGGAGGGACGAGTGGAGGAGGGGAGGAAATATGGGAGGAGAGGAGACAACCAGAGGGAGATATAAAAGAGAGAAAGAGTTAGAGACGAGGTCCGGACTGAAACTGAAGAACGGACCGAGTTTAAACAGATCAATAATGACGGAGACGGAGAGCTATGAACTGAGACAGACAGAAACAGAAGAAGAGAGAACAGAGATGGAGAGAGAGAGAAAGAGAGAGAGAGAGAGAGAGAGAGAGAGAGAGAGGAGATGGACTGAAAGAAACGACAAGGAAGAAGAGATCAAATGAGACAGGGACACAAATAAAAATAACAAGAGAGAGAGAGAGAGAAGGATATACAGGGATCTACAGTAATGGGTAATAAAGAAAAAGAGAGAGAGACAGGAAGGAAATCAAATGGACAAAAAAGATATAGGAAGAGATGGAAAAATGATACAGAGAAACAAAGTGATGGAGACAGAAGAAGGAAAGTAGCAGAATGAGAAGAGAGAGTTAGTGTAGGGAGGAAAAAAGAAGAGTGAGATAGATATTGTAAAATATAAGACGTATGGAGTTAAAGGGATATTCTGGTGTAAAATTAATTTAGGGTCAAACCGAGTTAGACCCCCCCTGCAGAGATAATTGTTGTCGACCGCTTACTTCTCTAGTTAAACCAACTTTAGTAACGACCGCAGGATAGTAATACAGAGAGCCATGCCCTCAACCAAAACGCCACTCTATAGCCACAAATAATGCTCAGAACAGCACCTAACTTCATCAACAGGACATATAGGGTCACAGACATAGTACTAGACACCAAACATCTTTTTAACTTTGACTCATTTCTTTAGCAGAGAGACTAAACACAACTCACCTACTCTCTTCCAATTCCATTACGGACTACAGCGGGGTGCCGCAGCTCAAGGAAGAACATTTATGATCATTTCTTCATGGAAATACAATCAGACCGAGACGCTAAGGCAGAAGAACTACCGCGTCTGTAAAATGATCAGTATGGTGATTATTACTTCAAGGAAATGATAAAGAAATGATCATAAATGTTCTTCCTTGAGCTGCGGCACCCCGCTGTAGTCCATAATGGAATTGGAAGAGAGTAGGTGAGTTGTGTCTAGTCTCTTAGTCAAAGTTAAAAAGATGTTTGGTGTCTAGTACTATGTCTGTGACCCTATATGTCCTGTTGATGAAGTTAGGTGCTGTTCTGAGCATTATTTGTGGCTATAGAGTGGCGTTTTGGTTGAGCGTGTGGCTCTCTGTATTACTATCCTGCGGTCGTTACTAAAGTTGGTATAACTAGAGAAGCGAGCGGTCGACAACATTCATCTCTGGAGGGGGGGTCTAACTTGGTGTTACGGTGTGTTTGACCCTAAATTAATTTTACGCCAGAACATCCCTTTAAACGGACAAAGGTCAGAAAAAAGAGAGAAAAACTATTTAAAGATGAAGAAAGAGAGAAAAAGAGATGGAGAGTCGTGTAGGAATAGTGTTTAAGAAAATAAGGAAACAAATAAGGAAGTGAGGAGAGACTGAGAGGAGACGATGGACGGAAACAGAAAGAGAATAAGAGAGGTATGGGAAAAAGGAGTGATAGAGATAAAGATTATAAGGAGAGAGAGAGAGAGATAAATAATCATGGAGAAAGAAGGTCAGAGATTAAAACAGACGAGAGAAACTGAGATTAACGAGAGGGATTATAGAAATAGAGATATAGATAGAGAGTGATTAAGAGATGAATAGAGACAGATGAGTATAGAATTAGATAATCAGATATGGTGGTGAGGTGATCAATTACACACACACACACACACACACACACACACACACACACACACACACACACACACACAGAGGTAGAGCAGAATCACTGTGAGCAGTCATTTGGACAGCCGGGCCTTCGATTACAACAATCACTGGTTAAGAGCTGATTAGGTCTGATGATGTTATTGTAAATTAGCAGAGGTGGTCAAACGTTGTCAGTGGTTTGGAGTTAGTGCTCTAGTTCTGATGTAGGAGGTTAGCCTGGTATGAGTTAAGAGTTAGCTAGTTACTGTGGGAGGTCTCAGCTGAGCGCTCCGGTTCAGGACGGCGGCCCCCCGGTCCGAGATTACTCGAGGCCGTTTTTTTACAGATCTTCAGTGGAAGTGGGAAAAAGTGCTCCTGTGATTGTTTAATGGTGAAGGGTGAAGGGGCAACAGAAACAGAGGACACTTAACATCTTGACAAGAAAATGCAAACATAGACACACCGTGGGAACAGGGGGAGGGGCGGGAACTTTAGAGGTGTGGGCTTGAGATTACTCAGGGGGCGGATCATTTTACAGGTGAGTAATCAAACTGATCAAACTCCTGAGTTAAATTTATCAGACCGTGGTGGTGTTGCAGCCCCAGAATGATTAAACTAAGAAACATCCACAACTGCAGGCACAGCAGCACTTCAGATTAGTTAAAACAAAGCCATCTGTGACCTTTGTGAATTAAAGGAAAGGTTTTGGTTCAACTTCTCCTCAAAGATCACAAACCAACCAGACATGTTTACATCAGAAGTAGAGGACAACTTTGTGACCCGTAACAATCGCACTCCAGGTCAGGAGAGGCCGGGCTCTCTTCTATCCGACGTACAACCCGCTTCTTTTCAAGCGTCCAGTTATTCCCAGGCTGCCAAAATGACCTTCAGAGACGCGATCCATGATCATGGACGAGTTTGAGCACAGAGTACACTTGCAGTGGTGTAGGGAGAGGGGACTACCTTCCAATATCCACACTTCGCACGCCGCCAAAGCAAATAATGCAGATTGTACTGCACTCTGATTTCATTACTGCTGCGATAAAATGATAAAACGCCACCTTTTGCATGTACACCAGATGCATTGTGGGTATTGGAAGGTAGTGGAGGGAGAGTGTGTTCTAGAAAGTGTGCACTTACAGAGGGTGGAGGGGACTCCCTGCCAATCAGGGGGGTGTTCTCACACCGAGGGTTCTGAAAGTTTGCGTTCTGGCTCCTGCATTATAGAATAAGAGGTTACTGCATGTGGTCACTCTGTCACCGGTGCCCAGATGTTGATCTGCAGTCTGCTCATGATCCCCCACCTTAATGCCTATCTGACTAACGGCCTCAGTAATAATTACAGATCAGGGACTTAAGCTCTGTGGTGCCTTTTGGTTTGGAGGTTAAAGACCTCAGCCGCAGTCCAACATACTTCACATTCTTCCTAAACAATGAACAGAAGCTAAACACTGCTGCTCCTAACAATGGGAGACTGGAACTATAGTAGATACTTTCTTAAGCACACGGCTCTTAAAACTCTAAAAATGTGGTTTTATTTACAGTCAACCTTTAAAAAGTTCACCCACTATTTAACTATTTCCTCAATCATTGTTTTTGTTTTTACTACGACAGGATCACAAAACCTTCATACATGTTAATATTTTAAAGGTCTGAGAGACTACAGCGATGTTACAGCACCTATGTAAACAAACTTATCAACTTTAACTTAGGGCTGGGCGATAAGGGAAAAAGTTTATCACGATATATTTTTTCATATCAGTCGATATCAATATATAATCACGATATAAAAAAAATCTCTTGTCAATCTGAAATATTCTTCGTTACATGTACTCGACTCTGCTTCATGTCCGACCTCGAAAAAACTAAATACCTCCACACCACCGACATTTTCGACAATGTCGTCATCTGTATTTAAAAAAGGAGGATTAGGGCCACAGGAAGAGAAATAATTTTAGAAAAGAGATTAAAGTCAAGATTTTGAGATAAGAGTCAAAATATCAAGATTTAAAAAATGAAATTATGAAAAAAAATTGAAATTTTAAGCTTAAAAATTGAAATTTCGAGATTAAAGTTGAAATTTTGAGTTAAAAAAAATGAAATTATGTCAAAGTCAAGATTTCAAGATTAAAAATGGACATTTCCAGATTAAATCCAAAATTTTGAGATGACAAAATTTTGAAATGTCGTGAATAATATCATAATTTTAAGTACAAAAAGTTAAAATTTAGAGATAAAAGTCAAAATTTCGGCATTAAAGTCGACATAATTAAAGTTGAAATTTTTGACTTTTTTTTCCAAAGTAAATTAAAAAATTTTCACTCCTGTAATTATTTTTTTCTCTTCTTGTGGCCCTAATCCTCCTTCATGGTCATTTCTGTCGGGGGTAGCGCTGATTTTCTTTTTTTCTTTAAGTGCTATGGTTGGGTGTAGCTGCTGTCTGCCACTACACAGCTGTTTGTTACTTGGTTCTAATTCGGCACATGATTGGTTCAGCGCGGCGCGACCTGGAGCACCTCCCCTTTTCGTATAATCTACCAAAACATGGCAGAACGCCGGCTATCGAAAAGCATATTGATCTTGTTTCATATCGATATCGAAGGAAATTAATTTTTGATATGTATCATTATCCTTTTATCGCCCAGCCCTACTTTGACTTCCTGCTTCTTTATATAATCATGCATTAACGTTTTACCTGCGCTGAAAGGATAAGACTAAGTGGCTGGAGTAAATCCTCTAAGACGACTGTTAACAATGGAGGATTTATTTATCTCCTCAAATACGTCAACAAGGTCCTTAAGAGGTCCAAAGAAGACTTCCAGAGTAAAGGTAAGTCCGGTCTTCAGCAGCAGACAGCACAGACTGTAGACTCAGACAGAGTTACTGTATTGTTGTATTTAAAAGCAGGCAAGACGGTGGCAAACTTCTCTCTTATCAAGCAGGGTGAACATTTGACTGTTTAGCTCAGCAGAGTGCAAACCTGACACTGTGGACTGAAACAGGCAGGCAGCAGATTTATCAGCATCATGGGGGAGCTAGTGAAGGGTTCTAACTCACTGGGTGGAGAAATACTGCTGACAGTGAGTCACAGAGGACATGCGAGCCCAACATGGTAAAAAAAACAGAAAACTAGCTATTCTAGCTGACGGTACCACAGGCAGTGAGAGCTGACGCTCCTAATCTGGGTCACAGGGGCAAGCAGCTACCTACAGCAGGCAGTGTATTGATCCTGCTAGCCTCTAGCTAGCAGTGGATGCTAACTCACATGTATTCAGTGACGGGGGCATTGCTGACAGTGTGGGCGGTAGCGGGCAGGCTAGCTTCGCTACCGTAGCTGGAGCCACAGCTGTAGAGACTGGGCATGTGAACGCGGTACAGGTTATCGTGCACGCCGCCCCTTGAGGCGCCCGACTCGTCCTCTCCGTCTTCCTCATCCGTCCTTCAATCGGTCAGGGTGAGGGCAGGGCACGAGAGGGCATGATGAAGAGGAGGGGGGAGGGGGGGAGGTAGAGGGGAGGGAGATCCGAGAGAGACAACAGAGTGTAAACAAGTGGTTGAAGAGGAGGTTAGGAGGGGGGGGGGGTGCACTTGTACTACCAAGAGTCCCCTGATAGAAGAAGAAGACTGTAAGGCCGCACCTTGAGCCCCCGAATCAGCTGACCAGGAAGACAAGGAGCGTGAGCGAGCTTTATTTAGAAAACAGGCCCAACACAAGAACAGAGGAGTGTCTCAGTCAGCGCACAGCCCAGAGTGGACCAATCAGGCTGCTTCGTGTTATAAAACATCACACAGTGAGCAGGAGGAGGACACTCTGATCGTCTCAAAGCTCTTAGAAAACTAACATGCATTCACGTTCTCCATGCAGCCTCGGTCCTCAGTTGACATTCGCTCCTGATCAGAACGGTCGTTTTTCCAATCCAACAGACAGAATCAAATGTCAAAGGCTCTTTTTTTTCTGTAAATTAAAAACTTCATGCATTGCTGAGCGCTCCATAAAAACTCAAAGCAAAAAAAACATCAGGAAACAATAAAAAAGGAGATAACATAGTTTGGTTTAGAAAGAACCATTTTCAAACATAAAATGGTCAAAATAATATAGATATAAAAAACGGCCAGCAACGTAAGAGAATGAGGCGTCGAATAGGATATGTGCTGATTTGGAATCTGGATCTCCGGCTACAGAAATGTCCGTCAAACACATGAGCGTGTGCTAGAGCTGGGCGGAACCATATCAACCTTAAAGCTCCTCTAAGTGATTCTCAGTTTGGGTCAATTTTGGCGCCCCCTTGTGGACAAAGTGGTCTTTGCTTTTTTTTTGTCTTCTAGGATATAAAACTCATCAGTTGTGTTGCTGACTCTTATTCCGAGACCATGAATAAGAATTTCAGTTTATTAAAAAAAAAAAAAAAAATCCCTGATAGGAGCTTTAATTTAAGATGACCCTGATCAAGAAACAACAGACAATTTTAAAGACTGACTTCATACAAAGACAAATAAAAGGACAAATAACTTCCATTTTTATTTTTTTTTACAATTATAAAAGTTAATTATCCATCAACATTTTAGTTGTTGCTTATAATCCCTCCACCAAAAAAACATTTTGCATTCTTCAAAAGAAAGTATTTAATATTTTGATCAAAATTGCTATATTTTCAATAAAAACTGGCATTTAAGGGGTTAAATAATAAATATGAAGTCATGTTTTCACAATATTAAGAGGATAGGAGTTAAGGGCAAAATATAATAATTTCCATATGTTTTTATGTTTCTTTTATGTTAATAAATACAATTACAAATGTATTTTTGGTGCACGAATGTCATTTTTAAATTTTTTTTCCACAATAACAAAAAAACATTATCCATCAAAATGAGAGTTTCTGCTAATCTTTGACATATCTCAGACTGATTATCTCTCCACAAAAAAAAATCTTTTTGCATTCTTTAAAAAGAAAATATTTAATATTTTGTTTAAAATTGCCACAATTTGAAAAAAACAAAACGGGGTTAAATTATGAAAATATGATGCCATTCTCATAACTTAATCCTTAAACACAAAGAGGACAAGAGTTAAGGACCGAACAACAAAAAAAAATTAAAAATCATCTTAATTTTTTTTTTATGTCTGTCTATATGTCCACAGATTCATAGACAAAAATGTCCGCAAAGCCACTAATGTGATTTTTTTTAAAGGAGGGCCTGAAGGTTAAGAGAATAAAACATGTAAAATGAAGCACCAAGTGTTTGTAATTAAAAACTTTAACAATAAGAATAATAATAAAAGTCGTCTATCAGACTGATGAGGACTCTGGTTCTGCTCCTGTAGTCGGAGCTGCTCTCACTTTACATTTAAGTGGAGACATTCACAGTCTTTATATCTAATTAATAAACGTAATAATTAAGGTGATCCCACCTTTTTCTCAAGGACAAAAACATAAAATCATTTTCAGATTCCTCGCCCAGTCCTAGCAGGTGCACATGTGTCTCATCAATAGGACTATTTTTGATCTTTTTTTGTTGTTGTTTTTATTTTTGGTTCTGATTCTAACAAAGTCCAACCAGCTGGTTTTGTTTCTATGACGTAAAGAAGAAGACAGGGTATCTGAATGACGTTCACAAAGACAAAAGTTATTCCATAAGTGGCCACCAGATGGAGATGTTTCACTCAGGCAACCAAAGAGCTGTGCAGCACATCAGTTAAGACTCAGCCATTGCAGCACATTGAAGCTCATAAACAACCAACCCCCATGAGCACTTCTTTTTTTGAAGCTTCATTATTTGAACTTTTTTTTTTTCTCACTGCTGCTCATGCACACTCACCGAACCAGCGCGAAAACAGCTGCTTTTATGGCACCTTTAATGGCGCAGCCCGCCTGGTGTCGTAATTCAAACGAGGTCGCCCCGGTGGTTAATTTAAAATAATACGGGGCCGTTTGAGTGAGCCGTTTCACAGACCTCTGACTTCCTCAGTATTCACCGTCATTCGCTGAAGCCCAAAGCATTTTCCAAATCAGAACAGAGGGAGAGGAGGAAGGGACGGAACAGAAGGAGGAAGTGGGGCACACGGCGAAAAAATAGAAAGACGTAGTGATGCAAAGTCTAACATAACACTGGAGCTCTGAGCGGAGAGAGGAAAAGAAAGGAAATAAAGGAGATGTACAAAACGTAGACACAAGGAGTCAGCCAGACTGGCGGTAAAATAACGAAAGAAAAAGTCGTTTCGGAAACGGGATGGATGCAAAGACAGGCAGGAGGACGCACAGGAGGAAACAAACAGCTCAGAAAGAGTGACATGCATGAGCGCCGAGGACGTCCTCTGCTGCTTTTCCCACTGAGTTCGACCATGAAGGGGTTCAGACTAGTAAGAGGTTAGCTGTTAGTTTACAGGCCGTCTGAGTTCTGCTGGTGTTTGTGTGTGTTACCTCTTGCCAGGCCAGGTGTGCGGCACGCTGCACACAATGGACGAGAACATGAGAGCAGTGACAAAAGAGAAGAGAACCAGGTAGATGAGACCCTCCACGCCGTCGTAGCAGAGCCCGGTCAGAGCCTGGACGTAGTCCTGCGCGGCGGGGGAGAGAGAGAGCAGAGGAGTGAGTCGTGTGCGAAAGTGTTGTATGGGAGGTTTTCACCACAACACACGGAGTGACTCACCATGTGTAGGCTGCGACAGTCGACCAGAGCGGTCAGCTGGTGAAGGCCGACCTCGGTGGAATTCAGCACGGACTGGATCTGCTCGAGACTCCCCTGCAAACACACACATGGAGCGAGTGTAGAGATCCGCCTTCACACACACACGCTGCGTAAACACGTGTGTTTGGGACTTTTATCACGCTCACACCGAAGCGAAATAAAGACGACCTACAGAACATTCTGAACACACACATGCAGCACACCAACCTTGGTGCTGGCGTAATCACGTGTTGCTGATCTCAGTAGCTCTGCCACATCATCCTGCATCTCCACCAATGCTTTGTGACTCCCTGACAGCCTCTGCAGAACACACAAGGGGACACGAGACGCACACACGCACACACACACACACGGATAAATAAACAAAGCTTTAGTCGTTGAATTTACAGATTCAAATCAGCTGGAATCAAAGTAAACCTGCTGGTCTGGGACTCTGCAGGATTAAATCAATATTGATCTGATCCTGGTGTCTGAATGTTGTGGGTGCTACTTTTCACACAGCTCTGTTGTCATGGAAACAACTTTACACATAAAAGCTAAAACATACAGGATGTGTATTTGGAGCATCGCATGTCACGCAGAGAATAGTTTTGCATTCTAATCAATGTATCAAAGCGTACAGGATGCAGATCAGCTCCATCGCAGCATCGTAATCGAGAGCAGCTCTGCTAAAGATACACGGTGAGTCGATTTTTGCTGCTCTACAGGAAAAGCGTGCATGTCATCCAGTATTTCAAAATAAAACACCATATGTGAACTTGTGAACTCCTGACTGTGTATCAGTTCATGTAGATGAGAAATCCTTCCTCAGTAACACAGAACAATCTGATGGTCAATCCCTGATCCATGTGGACCTGAACAGGACTGTGACCTGCTAACTCTGTCTGAAGGTAACAGCAGAAAGGAACAGAGTTTACTTTATTAAACACCAGGAAACCTGCAAAAACACAAACTGGAAAATCACTTTAAGCTTTTTCACAGACAGTAGAGGTTCAACAGTCACTGAATTATATCCAAATTATCAGGAAATCGACCACAGAAAGGAAAAACAACCTGTTGTGAGGATGTTGTTTCCTCTATACTGAGACCAGCTGACCGGGGCTGCACTACGCTGCTGCTACGCTCCAAACACGCTGATCCTCTACGGAGCAAATACAGAACAACGCGCTAAATACGGATCCTGTATGTTTTCGGCCGTCAGCACCAATACTTCCTCCCTGTTAGCTATTCTTACACTCCCCACTGTCACAGCTCACAGCCCCGGGTTTCGGTCACAGCTGAGACACAGATCCGGCTCATACCGGCCTTTGTTTACAAGAGTCATCGGTGACGCAGCGAGAGCAGACGGCTGATAAACTCTTTTCTGGAATCGTTGTCTTTGGGAAGTAAAAGTCGGGATGAGCTGTGATTTCTAAAACAGACTATTGTGGTTCTCCTCTTCTTCTTCCCGGCCCCTCAGGTCTTCAGGTCTTCAGGTAGTTCAGGTTCTGGTCTTTTTATAGTCTGAACAAAGACTCTCAGTAAAGCAGATTTTCATTATTACGGCCCACGTCTGTGGATCAGCCCACCTGAAGTCCTGAGGGCGGCACAGAGTCTCCAGACTTATTTCTTTCTGTGTCTCATTATTGTTGTACGAAAAAGTGCTGTATTGATAAACTCTGATTGATGATTGATTGACAGGATAGGCAGGGTGATAAAGGGCAGTACAGGGTGGGCGTGTCTTTTAATGTTGGCGTCTTTGGATGACGCCGACGTGTGTAAATCTTTGTCAAACATCCAAACATCGTACGTTTGTATCAACAGAGCGAGAACTTACCTGCTGGAAGGGGTTCACCTGTCCAGAGCTGCACCTCAGGTAATACTGCAGGATGTCTGAGAACGCAGCGGAGAAAACACACATCAATAAAGACCAGAGAGTGTGTGTGTGTGTGTGTGTGTGTGTGTGTGTGTGTGTGTGTGTGTGTGTTACAGAGGCAACATCTGTGCTTTACTGAGCGAAAAACAACTGACAGACAACAGAACTCATTAGGAGAGAGAGAGAGAAGTGAAAGAGAGAGGAAGAAGAGGAAGAGGAGGAGCAGCAGAGCGATATAAACGCAAGAGAGAGATATAAACGCATGAGAGAGAGAGAAAAAGAGAGAAGGAGAGATAGAGAGAGAGAGAGAGAAAAGGAGAGAGAGAAAGAATAAAGGAGAAAGAAGAGAGAGAGAAAGAGAAAAGGAAAGATAGAAAGAGAGAGACAGAGAAGAGAGAGATAGAGAGGGAGTGAGGAAGAGTGAGAGACGGAGAGGGAGAAAGAGAGAGAGACAGAAAAGGAGAAAGAAGACAGAGAGAGAGAGAAAGAGAGCGAGTGAGAGAAGTAAAAGAGGAAGAGGAGCGGGGGAGAAGCAAGAGAGGTAAAAAGGGATATAAAAGCATGGAGAGAGAGAGGGAGTGATGGAGAAAAAAGAGGGAGAGAGAGAGAGAGAGAGTGAGAGTGAGAGAGAGTGATAGAGAGAGAGAACAAATCATATAATGGTCTAAAGTGAAAAAAGCTAAAATGTCTCTGAATATTTCATTTATTTATTTTTTACATCTGAGACCAAAAGAGAGGAAGAGTGTGTGTGTGTGTGTGTGTGTGTGTGTGTGTGTGTGTGTGTGTGTGTGTGTGTGTGTGTGTGTGTGTGTGTGTGTGTGTGTGTGTGTGTGTGTGTGTGTGTGTGTGTGTGTGTGTGTTTGCAGGATTGCTGATGCATTGCAGTCAGCAAAGAGAGCAAAGTGAGCGAGAGTTTTTGGAAACTGCGGACACACACACACACACACACATACACACACACACACACACACACACACACACACACAGACACACACACTTGTGTCTTAAAATAGAAGAACCACGTCAGGCTGAATTTCTCCTGTCAGTGTGAAAACTGGACGTTATTCTGGATTTTTTTGCTTGTTTGTAAACCTTCAGTATGACCTCATCGCCGTCAGCCAATCACAGCGCTTCATGATCAGATCTGTGTTTACTGTGACGTTACAAACGCCTCGAGTTTGAGGGCGAGAGAAGAGGATAAAATGGCTGCAAGTGTTTCTTTCTTTCTTTCCCCGTCTGCATACCTTGGTTGATGACAGCATTCTCCTTGGTTACCCTGGTGATGTAGGTATCCGGGGAAACGCAGAAGTCGCTCGCCGACTGTAAAAGAGCGAGCACACATGACACATCAGCCGCAGCAACATTCGCGTCGAACACACACACACACACTCCCTCGCTCGCTCGAGCAGTGGGAAAAAAAAGATTACATCATTGCAGAGAGAGAGAGAGCCAGGGAGCCTGGCGATGTTGCCATGGTTACACTTACAGCAGCGACAGCCAGTTCCAGGCCGAGAGACCCCCAGCTGATTATCAGAGTCAAAACCCCGAGCAGACACACTCTGAAGGACAAAACAACAAACAAGATTTTTCAGACGTTCAGAACAGAAAGTAGAAAAGGTTCGACTCGTCCAATAGGAGCGGAGTTTAGGGTGTGGTGTCAAGAAATTACCCAATCAGAGTGCCTCTGGAGTTACGTATCAGGCCGAACAGCACCAGGAGACAGATGAGAACATCGAATAGCAGCAAGCCGAGATACCCCAACCACCTGTAAACAAAAAAAAATGATCAGGATATATTCTGTCAGATCGTCTGATCTCGATTATCATCAGGATTATTTTTTTTAAAACTGCCGGTTTTAAAGCATCTTCACTAAAAACTAAAGAAACTCGAGATTAGTTCACATTTTATTAACATACAAAATAAATAACAAACAAAATTAAACAAGATAAACTAAGAACTGCGCAGGGTCCGCCGCCCTCCGCCGCACTGCCGGCGGGCACGAAAATAGAGCCCAAAGTCACGGCTGACTTCTATTTTGCTGACCTCAGCTCCATGGTCGGTCGTTCTGTTTACTTCTCCGTCAATTTGCAGAAGTGAGCAGGAAACGCTCGACTCTGATTGGCTGTTGTCACCATGTTTGATGTTGTAAATATGCTCACAGCTGATTGAAATGATCGAACTGAAATTTATCACGATCGAATAATCACCCCTGAGGAGGTCCCCACCTGTAAAAATCGAAGGCCTCCGTCTTGCGGGCCAAGTCCTCCAAAGAGATCTCAGAGTTGGACCAGAAGGGCACATCCACCATCAGCCTCACCAGCTCGTCCAGCTGACCCTGCAGCTTCTGGACGATGGACACGTAGTCCGTCTGCTCCTGGAAGGCCGTCTCCAGCTGGACCAGGTTCTCCTCCACGGTCTGGTTTAAGGCGAGGGCGCTGTCCGTCACCTGGAGGAGGTAAAACGGCGGTTAAATTTCACTCTCATTCTTATTCTCTCTCAGTGTAAACACCACAGACAGAGACCCACCAGTTTCTCCACCCCTGAGACGGTGCGGTTGGCGTGACGGAGGGAGTACGCCAAACGGTTGGCTCCATCACTTGACTCCCCGTTCCCGTAGAATCCTACAGCGATGCCAGCGCTGAAGAGGAGGGGGAGGGGCAGACATGTTAATACAATCAGATGGTAACACATTTATTGATCACTGATGGATCAATAAAAGAATAACAGAAATAAACAAAGACGGTTCAGTTATTAGCTGTAGTTCCAGGGTTGACCAGCAACAGGCGGCGCTGAGCTCTGAGCTCTTTGCATTGGTGTCACTCCTGAGCCTCGGGCGAGCACAGGACAACACACACACACACACATAAACACACACACACACACACACACAGAGTACACAATAACTGGGTCACCAGACCGCACATAATACGATCTCTCCGCAGCTCCACTCATGACACATGCTGCGAATTCTGAGGTTCACGGCCCGACAGCCTTCCTGCAGGATCCTGGTGCTCCTTCAGCGTGTTCACACCAGAACTCACACACACACACACGCACACACACACACACACACAGAACCACAAAACCACCACTAGCCCTTTAAAAAAAAAACACCCCTCTTCCCCCTCAGAGCCCCCCCACCCATGCTTTTATTTTCTCACCCACTCTGTCAAGCTCCGCTCGCCCCCTCCTCTCTCTTTGTGTACTGTATGTGTGTGTGTGTGTGTGTGTGTGTGTGTGTGACTGCACTCTTTGTATTGATGATGTCTCCGTCTGCACAGCAGCACCAGACAGTTTTGCGGAGGGAAATTTACGGCCATTGTTAGACCAATTCATTCTAGCCCATTAGATCTTGAGTACCCCCGTGTTACTGTGGATTTACACACACTCACACAAACGCACACTTCATTGTGCGGATGTGTGTGAGTGTTATAGTGGACTTTATGAGCACACTGGACTAGAAATAACAAATACAAAGAGAAAGGAGGAGCCGCACGCAGACATGGAGGTGAATAAACCTGCTCCCATCACCATCATCCTCCGTCCTCCACGCCGTGTCAGCCCAGGTTTTCCAGTAGATCATCTCACACCACCACTCCTGTTTACTCATCCTCTTACTCTCTCCTACCACTCAGTCCTTCTCCCACTCCCTTTTCTACTTCTATCCTCTTCTACTTTTGTTCTCCAGCTCCGATCTCTTGGTGGTGCTCGGTTTAGGATACAGGACAGGAGAAAGGAGATGGTTTAGAGGTCCCGTCTCCAGGAAATAAAACTAGTCCAGTCTCAGTGACGCTAACTCAGAGAGGAAGAGCTCTGCTGCGGTCCGTGTGAAGGTGAAAGCAGAGCAGGTCAAAGCTGCAGATGCATCAGCGCCTCCGTTTTAATCCTGACCGTCAAAACTTGGATGGATACCCACAGATTTTCCACAAACTTTCCCTGAAATGAAACAACACTTGAAAGTGGAGGTATGGCCTTCACTGTTCCAGAGGCGCTGATTTAATCCAGCTCAATCCTGTAATAACCTCTCGGCTGAATAGTTTGGATCATTACTCGCAGTGACTGAGCAGCTTTGGCTCCAGAGGAGGAGCTGATCGTCCGCCGGTTTGATGACTGCCGGGTCGATCTCCGGTTTATACGTTCACTTGTTTTAACAGAAAACAAAAACATGTTTATAAATGTTTATAACTTTCTTATGACATTCTATAATCAGGTTTTATATTTGTGATAAAATAAAAGAGCACTCAGACAGTTAAACTTTATAAACACAGACTAATAAGGAAAGAAGACGACAGCATCAATGCCTCATCGTGGTTCCCTAACCGGTCCATTAACACTTCTAACCTTCGTCACAGAGTCCAAATGAACCGGGACTGAACCACAACGAGAGTCAAAAGTCTGAAAATGAAACTGTTGAAAAAAGTGTAAACCAGATCTCAGAGGACAGAGGAGGTCTTGTTAGGATCCAGTTAGTGGAGAGGGTGCAGCAGCTGTAGGGTTGGTATGATTGATGCTGATTCATGGACTGATCTGCTGCATGTCATTCACCGCTCTCTCCACACATCTCTGCTCGAGCTGTCCTGTCCCAACGGTGAAAAAAAGCCCTAAAAAAACTTTTAAAATATTTTTTAAATATTAAAAAAATATTTAAAATACTTAAAAATATTTTAAAATATTTAAACCATATCAAACAATATTTAAAAATCTTTTTAAAATCTTGAAAAATATTTTCAAAATTTTAAAAAATGTCTTTACAAATATTCAATATTTCAAAATGTTTTATAAATATTATAGAATATTCAAAAATCTTGAAAAATATTGAAAATCTTTAAAATATTTAAAAACAATTTTAAGATATTAAATAATATTTCAAAATCTTTTTAATCTCAAAAGATATTTTTAAATTTTTAAAAAATGTCTAGAATATTCAATAATATTTTAAATATTTTAAAAATATGATATAATATTTAAAAATCTTTTAAAAATATTTAAAAAGACAACACTAAAGTCTGAAGTGAGAAAGAAAGAGTTCAATCAGTCTAATCACCGCATGTACAAACACTACAGACCTCCTCACAGCTGTTACTGGTTCATGACCTTTCCCTGCATACCTCTATCCACATTTCCTGCCCCCCGTCCTATCAAATGCTCAAAAACATGATTTTAAAATATAAAACGTCCAACCAAAAGTCGAGGCAACAACAAAAACACAAACAAACCTCCAAACAAACAATCAAAGATTTGACTTCAAACAAAATTCATGAAAAACTGAAAAAAGAAAAACAAGTTTCTGTTCACCAGACAGTCTGCATCTGCACACAAATGGTGGAAGTCCACATGTGGTCGGTGTTAAGTCCTAAAATAACCCATGATGTCATATTACACTGTGAACAAAGGATCACACCAGTGTGTCCACAATAACACACACCATAACACACACACACCTGAGAGCCTAATCAAATATTCAATAAGAAATATTACGGCTAATCATCAAATATTAAAACCTCCAAAAAAAAAAAAAAACACTCTCCAGCACTGAGTGACGCACACACACACACAAACATGCACACACGCACACGCACAGCTCCCCCTGACTGTATAATTCATTTCCTGTCTCTGCATCAAATCTGCTTCTGTCTCCATAGCAACCTTTCTAGGCCAGAGAGAGGAGAAGGAGGGCTGAAGAGAGAGAAATGATAAATAACAGAGGGAGACGCAGAGAGATGAAGAAAAGGGGCGAGAGGAGGAGAACGTCAGGAGACGAGAGGAAGACGAGAGGAAGACGAGGCTTCATTTAGACTCAGGGATCGTTTTTAAGGATACTGGATAAGTGTGTATGTGTGTCTGTGTGTGTGTGTGTGTGTGTGTGTGTGTGTGTGTGTGTGTGTGTGTGTGTGTGTGGAGCTGCAGCCGGGTCATTTAGGTGAAAGATCTCAGTGAGTACATAAAGACTCTCACTCCTGTTTTAACCAGACTGAGAGGACGATTCGCAGAGAAACCAGGTGACGTCCTGTCCGTCCAACATCACAGGGAAAAACAATCATCCACGTTGGGCTCGGTCAAACTACTCTTCATCAACTCCTAGTTCTTGTTCCTCCTCCAAACAGGGAAATTAATGCAAATAAAGGTCCAGGGATACAGGACTTTGTACGTGAAGCTTCTGACTCACAGCTGATAACAGACTCTGGACTTTCAGGAGGTCGGATTCAACACAAACATGAACTTTCTGCAGCAAACATCTGTACAGGAGCGGTTTTAGTGAATGGAGAGCTGCTCTGAAGTGAGAGATACTGACAGCTGGGTGTTACATCCATAAATGGATCTGTTCTGCTATAACATATCTACATAGAGAAACGATGTGAGTAAAACATTAACGTTTGGCGGGTTTACTTGGATCAGAACTTGGACCTATTTTAGTGAGTGTCAGCTGCCTGCCAAAGTGGTCTAGTGGGAACACTGAAAACCTTTCCCACTCTGAGTGAAGGACCTGCACAGAGCTGCCAGATATCTATAAGCACCCAGATCTGGGATCCTTTCAGTTCAGGTCTACGTCAGGTCTTAAATCTATAACACCTGCGCCATGCCGACACTGTGGGGTGTTATCATGTTGGAGCGAAACTTCAGGAGGCAGCAACGACGACAATCAGAACTGAGTTTAGATTATAACCAATAATTAATCTAAGTTTACAGACGGGGATTCCACCTCCTAATCTCACCATCAGGGCTCACACAACATTAAAGGGATATTCTGGTGTGAAACTAATTCAGGGTCAAACACACCGAGTTAGACCCCTCCTCCAGAGATGAATGTTGCTGACCGCTTACTTCTCTAGTTATACCAACTTTAGTAATGACCGCAGGATAGTAATACAGAGAGAGCCAACCAAAACGCCACTCTATAGCCACAAATAATGCTCAGAACAGCACCTAACTTCAGCCATAGTACTAGACACCAAACAGCAGGGTTTCCCCTACATGTAATTAACCACCATGGCTAAATAAAAGCCTCCACACCTTTCATGACACAACCTCAGACTCGATATCTACCAGTATGCACATTCCCAGTATTAGCATTAGCAAGTTGTGGTGTTCATGATCACACGGCTCAACACACACAGTCCCCACCGTCCCCAAATTACACACCACCACAGATAGATTACCGCTCTGTGAGAAACACCGAACATCTTTTTAACTTTGACTAATTTCTTTAGCAAAGAGACTAAACACAACTCACCTACTCTCTTCCAGCAGACGCTTGTTTGTAGCGAGACCTCAGGCCAGTCCATTACGGACTACAGCAGGGTGCCACAGCTCAAGGAAGAACATTTATAATCATTTCTTTATCATTTCCTTGAAGTAATAATCATCATATTAATCATCTTGTTCTGCAGACGCAGTAGTTCTTCTGTCTTAGCGTCTCGGTCTGATTGTATTTCAATTAAGAAATGATCATAAATGTTCTTCCTTGAGCTGCGGCACCCCACTGTAGTCCCTAATGGACTGGCCTGAGGTCTCTCTACGATCAAGCATTTGCTGCGTGATAGGCGACGCTGCTGCCACACTCCAAATACACATCCTGTATGTTTTAGCCTTAAAGGCATGGTTGACGATTGAAGAGATTGGTAATTATTATGAACCTCGTTTCTATGGCGACAATCGTCAACCATGCCTTTAAGCATCATTTACAGACCACGCTCCCTTCTAAATGTTCAGTATGATTGTTTTTCCCTCTGTGTTGTTTCTTACATGAACTCCTTTTATATAAGCGTACAGCGCCGTTACTCTGACGGGGGGATAAACTCTCACCTGCAGACGAGGGTGGCGATGATGACGCACCAGGCGGTGCAGCAGCAGTCGGCGCTGGGCTGCTGGGAGTGCGAGTGAGAATGCGAGGATTCTTCGCTCTTTCGTCGCCGGCAGCAAAGCCAGAAAGAGTAGAAGAGGAGGAAGAGGAGGTCCAGGCCCAGACACAGCAAGGCGATGGAACCCAGCAGCAGGATGGACTGAGGAGAGAGAGAGGAGGAGAGTCAGTGAGGAATGAATGTTTATGATCGAGGGCTTCATTATTTAGAGAAGAAACGTTTCAAACATGAGAGAGTCGTCTTATCAGGGGAGAGGCGACGGTTTAGGAAGCAGGTCAAATATACAGGAAGCAAACGAGCTGATAGGAGCAGAAACCAGATACACAGACAGACCACATGATGCGGCCTTTCCTGTGCAGACAGACGCTCTCAGATACACCGTTTTTACTCTCAGGCCAGAAAAAAAAAGAGGAGCTGCTGCTAAATGGGTGTCTGATGATGGAGACCATGAAAAACACATTTGCACACCATCAAACACGCACACCTCCACAGAGCGAGCGGAAGTGATGCTGCCGGGGAGCCGCGTGCGCTAGAGACCCACCACACAGATCACACACCCTCTAAAAGCTTTGAAGTGCAAAAGAAGGAAGGAGTGGCGGGGGCAGACAGAAGGAGGAGGAGGAGGGAGGGGAGGATAGATTTGGAACAAGAGAGACAGAAGAGGAAGAAGATGTGAGAGAGGATGACTGAAGTGAGCAATAAAAGAGGGAAAAAGACAGACATGAGGCCTGATGAAATCTGCAGTGTTGGCTTTTCTCCTCCCTGTGGGACCGTATGGAAAAGTCATCGTGCTGCAGGACCGCGGAGAAACAAAAGCACCAAAATCTCCACCTGCTAAACCAATTACAGCAGACAAAGGGAAAACTGCTGCGGCTCTGCTCGGACCCGAACAGCACCGGAGGGATTCTGGGGACTCCTCCGTGGAAGAGAACCCGACCTCGGATCCTCACAGACTTTTTAAAACACGTTTCTGAGCTGACCTCAATTTTTCCTCGCTGCCGGCCAGAAACTTCCTCACCCCGCAGCAATTTGTGCACCTCCACTGTAAATATGCATGTGAATATGTGGGCCAGAACTGACATCATATTTAAAAATGCATTACATGTGAGGCTTTTGTTTCTTAAAATATACCAGAGGGCGCAGACGCTCCCTGCCTAAAGGTCTAGACTCTGAAAACGGGGGTAACACGGTTCATCTGAGAGAAAAATAAAACTCCTTTTGAATCTTTAATTCATTAAAACCGTTTCTTCTCTTTCGGCGGCTGAAAATTTTCTCGCTCAAATGGAAGAACAAGGACTGAACTGCAGCACTCATGAGGGGTGGGGTTTAATCACAGGGGGTCATAAAAGGCGGTAAACCTGTTCTTGAGGTTAATAACACTAAAAGTTAACGGCCCTGCAGGACCGCTTTGAAGTTTCACCTTCAGCTAAATGCTAACTTTAGCATGCTAAGCTAACAATTTCCACCTCGTCCTGAACGGCTACGAAAAGGCCGCATCCACCATGCAAACGGGCGGAGACGAACAAGTGAAAGGTTTTTAGACGTCGTTTCACCCCGATGACACCATGGATGAGGAGATGCTGATTCTAGAAGTCTAGAAGTAGATTTCCCCCTCTGGAAGGACACAATCTACTGCTTATATGTCTATGTGTCTGTCTTTATAGAGACAACTCGTTATCGCGCGACTGAACGTGAATCCGAGGGTTCTTGTGAGTTCTCGCAAATCCCGCTGTTTGTAATCCGCCACGAAAATTCGTCTCACAAATGGATCCAGTAGGAATTGGCGGACGGCGAAAATTGCTGCTGTTGCGGATCGCAGCCGTTCTGGACGTGGTGAATATTGGGGGTAAAACATCTTTCCTATACGCCCCGTCTCAAATCAAAACACACATGTTCATTTTTCCTGACAAATTCAGGTTAGAAGATGACTGACTGACAGCTCCGTCCACCAATCAGAGCTCCTGATGCGTTCTGGACCAGATTAGCAACAAGACTCATGAGGATCAGTTCTGCTGTGGACTAGACCGACCTAAGAGATCTGGTTGGGGGGAGGAGGGTGTGACAGCAGCGTCTCAGTTCCACCAGACAGACTGAGCTTCACTTCCCACAGTGGGCGTCGTCCTTTCTATAAACAGTCGATGATAATATGGACGGGATCTCACTTTGGTTTCTGGAAACCCGACCGATGATGGCGAGCGTCATGTGGGACGAGCCGACTCGACTTTAAGCATCTTAACTCGGGACCAAATGGAGATTCTGATGCTTCTGAAGCTGCTCTCAAACGGACGTTCTGTGTGGATGTCAATCTGCATCTCTGGAAACGATCATGTGACACACAGCGTAACTCTTTTATGGCGCCAAAACAACCTTTATACACATGCTCTGTACTCTTCTTCTGTCTTTTGTGCATTTCCTGTTCAGCGTTATAGCGCCACATACTGGCTTGGCATATGAACTACATTGTTTTCAGTGGTTTTGTTTTGAGAGATGAGAGAAAAACCTTTTATTGAAGTGAAGTTTGGTGAAGTTGTCACTGAATAAAAAACAGAAAATCGAGTTTTCAGAGACAAAAAAATCGTGATTTTATTTTTGGCTAAATTGGTGCAGCCCTAACTGAGAATAATAAAGGAATATTCATGCAAACTAAAAATCAAAAACATGACAAGAATAAGTGTTCAGCTCACAGATTCACTCTGAGGCCGGCTGATCTGCTGGCACCGGCTCGTCTTTGCCGACACAAATCTCTCTTCACATTGTGAGAACAATAAGGTCAGCGTTTGAACTGAGCCAGATGTAAAACCGGGCCACTAAAGAGCGATGTTTCAACTCTGAGGGGCTCCGGCCGGGACAGTGGGTCACTAGAACATCAGAGTTTATGGACCACAATGTGATTTATAAAAGGGTTTGACCTGCAGTGGTGAAGAGGGATCCTGACTAAAGCAGAGAGGGAATCCATCTTCTTCTTCTATTGTGGTAAGTCTCTCAGTTTTCACTTTAAACGCTCACATAATGAATTTTAAAAAAAAGACTGAGTTTATATGTTTCTGTCTCTCTGGGGAGAGCAGAGCCGAGTGACAGGAAGTCCGTTGATTGCTTTTCTCCAAAAGGTTAAAGAAGAAGAAGGAGACGAGCAGCTGCAGGGAGGAGAGGATCCTCACTGGAGATAAGCTCTCTATTATCCCGTGTTATTATCTCCGGGCTTAGAGCTGCAGGAGAGACGTTGTGCTGCGGTTAAAGCGCGCTGGGCTCCGCTAATGCATTGTTTGATCTCAACGTGAGTGCTTAAATGATAGGAGTGACATGCATTAAGCCGCGCAGACTGAGAATCAAACCTCACGCTATAGAACTGAGGACGCTTTTATGACATCTATTCATCATATATATATATAAATATACGAGGATTTAATGAGAATGGGATGACCCAGATACAGAGACGTGGAGGCATGGTTGAAAAAGTGTCTTTATCTTCGATCTGTTCGGTCACGTCCTGTTTGTTTCTTTCTCTGATATAATTTCAGATCAATTTCAATCACCGTCTTGAGGTTTTGTGCAGTTTGCCTTCTTTTCTCCAAACTCACGTTTTTCACAGAAGGATGGTGTTTCTGCGGCGGGGACGAGGGGGTAATTTAGTCAATTAAAAATAACTGAAGGTAGACATTAGGCTTAAGCCCAAATAGAGTCACAAGTGTGTGTCTGCGGGGGAGAAAAAGCAGCAACACTCACTTAAGTTAGAGACAAAATACCAAAGATTTACCCCCAGAGATCGGCTAAATAAGCACCGTCTCTCTTTCTCTGGTGGGAAAACGAAAATAAGAAAAATTCAGTGACATTTCCTCCGGGTGTTAAAATGATATTCCACACGGTGACTTTGACCTTTAAGCTTTGATTACACCAAACTTTAAGACATATATGAGAGCTTTTCCGATATTTGATGTTATCAAGAAAACAGTGATGGCAGAAAAACAGAGTCAAAAAAAACATGGTGTCAGCGGGCGATGGCATAACCAGAGTGTGTGAATCAAAAAATTATATTCACAATAGGGCTGGGCGATATGGCCTAAAATCAATATCACGATATATTGATCAGTTCACCTCGATAATGATAAATGGACGATAACTACTCCACCAGCTGCTCACCCCCTCCCACATTAACTTCGTCTACTTCAGCCGCTACAACTTTTGAACCGTCCTCCATCTCCTCATCTGTCTTTCCCTCTTTGTTACGGACTGGATGGGGTGGAGTCACGTCTCTGACGTAGGACAGCGTCTTAAAGGGACATGAGACCATAGCCTACCTACACACATCCAAAAACAACTTTGATTTATTCATTTTTTTGACACTGAATAAACAGATATGGGCAAAATGACGTCAGTTATTGTCATAAATTTTGGTAATGGTAAGTTTTCGGTTTATCGCCTAGCCCTACTATGGAGGTTGAAAAGAGACAAAATGAAATAAATGAATGTATCTTTAAATAAATACTTAAATATGTCATTAATTCATTAAAATTGGAATTAAACAAATAAATGTGTCATTGATTTCTTAAAATACCAGTTCATACAATGTAAAAACATATATAATTATTTAACAATTTATTTTTAACTTTAACTTTATTTTTTAACTTTTATTTATTTATTTTGACACTGAATATACCGATATGGGCAAAATGACATTGCCTATTGTCGTAAATTTCAGTATTGGTAAATTTTCGGTTTATCGCCCAGCCCTAATTCACACGACGCAAAAGTTTGAAAGGCTCCAAACAACTTCTGCAGCAAGACTGTCTTAAAAAGTTAATATGGTCATAAAAAAATATTCAACATTTTGACATTTAAACATGTAAATCTGAAATTCTGATTAATCTTACAGTAAAAATTGTGTTTGGACAATTTAAGTCCAACGTCAGTCTTTAAAGCAATCATACGTATATTTAGGAAAGGATCAGCTGTTTCATGTTTATAACGATCCCAGAGCTGAGTTCATAATCTGACTGAGGATGCTGTAACCTGATTGGCTCAGCTCTCCTCCCTCTGTGAATGAAGGCTGCTAGATTAACTGTTAGGCTGACAAACCATCAGTGCAGATTAAGCATGGATCAATTAGCTACTAATAAGAGCGGTGAGTGTGTGTGTGTGTGTGTGTGTGTGTGTGTGTGTGTGTGTGCGTGCGTGCACTTTGTTGTTGGTGCAAGTTTGTGTGTGCACATCTACACTACTGGAGATCAGCTTGCAGGCTTGGAGGCGGGGCCAAACCTTAAACACCCAGGCACAGTGATCTACTTTCAATCTGGCTGTGTGGGTGTGTATGTGCGTGCCCGTGGATGTGCACGTGTGTTTGAGCTGACAGGATCAATCACTTCCACCTCGGTGGGTTGTCCTTGCACTCTCTCTCTCTCTCTCTCTCCCTGCCTGCACGTTACAAGTCCGGCCTTGCCTACTACGCTCTCAGCTCGTGTCCTGAGGCGCCGAATGACCTGGAGTTCATTCTGCTGATATTATCTGAGCTGCAGGTCAGAGAGCGAGCGCGACACAAACAACCAAACAAACCTCCACAAGGAGACAAAGGAGACACTTCACTGAGACACTTTCAACACAATGCATGTCAATGTGAACTGGGGGGGGGGGGCTTCACTTCCATCATAACTCAAACTAGAAAAGTAGAAAGAGCTCACACACCGTCCACTTCCCCAACATCTCCTGGATGTTTTCAGGACCTTTCCATTCATAAACGCCCTTCACAGCCACAGATTATCTCTGCAGGACGAGCTCTCGCAGCTCAAAATAAGACGTTTAGTTCAGGTGAGGGGGGTCAGCTGGACAGAGCGTGAAGGAGGAGGGGGACTAGACGGTGTCAACAACATCTACGATCATTTGTGACACAAAGAAACCCACTCAGTGTGAAATGATCGCTCTGTTGTAGGGCTGCACCATTTCAGCACAAAATAAAACTTAATTTTCTATTTTTTTACTCAGTGACAACTTCACCAAACTTAAGAATAAAAAGTTTTTCTCTCATCTCTAAAAACAAAACCGCTGAAAACGATGTAGTTTTTATGCCGAACCAGCAAGTGGCGCTTTAAGGCTGAAAAAAGAGTACAGAGCATGTGTATGAAGGTTGTTTTGGCCGGATACGTGCATGTGGCGATATTATGGTAGGGGAAAGTCCCGCCTCCTTCGCCTCTGATTGGCTAGAAAAGCTGGAAACGCTCGAGCCAAACGCGGGCTGTCGGCTCTGAACATCAAACAGATCATTATCGCACTTCTGAATCTTCTAACCCGACAGACGATGACGTTTCACAGCCATGAGGAAAAACCAATCAGAGCCCAGCACTTCTAGCCAATCAGAGGAGAAGGAGGGCGGGACCTTCTGCTGCCATCCTACAAAAAAAATTTTGTGCGCAGGCGCCATAAAAGAGTTACTCTGTGTGTCACATGATCGTTTCCAGAGATGCAGATAGACATCCACACGGAGATGAAATGCTGATACGACAAAAAACTTTAGTGTTTCCTCCTGAATTTGTTTCCGTGGTAACAAGTTGATACCGCCTTCAGACAGACTTTGCGGGGGGGAGTGGTTTGCTCTTCATCTGAAATTGTGAAGTCGTACCAATAGTCAACACGACTGACTCACTATTGTCCTATTTAACCACGAAATTATTGCCTTCTCTTACAAACGCCATGTTTGTTTACACTGGTGTGTGTGGGAACTGCGGGAAGGGGGAGGAGCCTACGGTGGACTGGAGGCGCGCGACATGATAGAGAGGAAAAACGATTTGAGGATTTTAACTTTTTTAAGATCGTCATGATCAGATAATCTGATTATGATTTAAAATCGATTTATCATGCAGCCCTACTCTGTTCACGCTAACTTTACCTCTCGATGGATTCACTCCAACAGGTCAATTTTCAGGAGCTTGGTGCATGTCTGAAATGTGTGTTAAAGTGTTTATATAAATGTGTGTGTCTGTTCAGATCTATTAAAACGGTTCTGCAGGATGATGGCTTTGAGTCGGACTGAACCCTGACCACCACGGTGACACTTCAGTGGATCTAACTCGACAGGACTGCAGCCGCCACAGGAGCGTTTGGACTTTGATGTTTGGAGACTGCGTCAAAGACAACACCAGTATCTGCTTTTTGGCAAACTGGCGCCGCTGTTCTTCAACCGCTCCAGCTCTCTATAGAAATTTTAATCAAGAACCAAATCATAGAAATAACATCAAACGCTCATCCTTTGTTCAGAGAGGCCTTTGATTATCTGTCAGGCATCAATTAAAATCATTTAAACACACATTAAAAATTCTAAAGTAGCTTTTTTTTCTCTGAGTTTATGTCTTCCATTGTGCAAACTGTGGCAAACGATCCAAAACACCAATTACAGACTTACTTTCCACAGCTGGGAATATATGTGTGTGTGTGTGTTATTATAGGTCACATGACTCCTCTGTAATGTTCTGCAGCTGTTTTAACTGTGGCTGGTCGCTGACTCTGCGTTTCTGCCTTAATACAAACACACATGCTTGCTCACAGAAGCTATTCCACTGCCTCACAGACCCTCAGGACCACAGCTCCGGTTTCAGACAGTGGTCTTGTAAAAGTCATGGAGTCAGCATCCCCGCTCGAGTCCGAGACATCAGAGAGCGGCGGCTCTTGTGAATGAATTTTTTTTTGTTGTTGTTTCGGAGAAAAGCTTCGTGCAGCGAGTGAATAAGTGAGTGACAGTGTGTGAGAAGAAAGTTTAGAGAAGCTTCAGAGCTGAATACAAACCATCCCGAGCCAAATCACATCAGAAAGAAAAACACTACACAGAAGGAGCTCTCTCTATTGTGTGGGGGGAGAGTGTGTGTGTGTGTGTGTGTGTACAGAGAGTGTGAGTGTGTGTGTGTCGTGGTGACGGCCTCGGTGCACTGAAGGACACTGTGTAGGACCTTGTTTGAGTGTGTGTGCGTGTTTCTCAGCTGGATGAGTGGATGCATGAAAGCCTTTGAGACAGATATACTGAGCCAATCTAAAGAAAGAAAGAAAGAGAGAGAGAGAGAAAGAGGGAAAGAAAGAAAGAGGGCATTCTTTCACAACAGACTACAGAGCCCCCTCCCCTTCTCCCCGTCCCACTCTCTCTCTCTCTCACTCCTCCTTCACTCCCTGCCCCAATCCAATTCCACCTCCTCCTCCTCCTTCTTCTTCTTCTTCTTCTCCTTCTTCTTCTTCTCACCCTCGTTCCCTCCCCTCGTCTAGCCAGAATTAATGATTTCACCCTGAATGGCGCTCCTATATTCACTCGTTCACTCACAGGCCCTGAGGGAGCTCTGTGACCTCACCTCCACAAACAGCGCTCAGTGCTAAATACGCGCTGACACAGAAAGTGAATCTGCTCCATGTGTCACATATGTACATATAAATATGAACCTACAGACAAACGATCACATGATGGTCCTGCAGGATGCTGCTCACTGACATAGAAACAGCTCCGTCTGCTCAAATATGCCAGGATGTAATTAGTCCTAAAAGGGGGTCCTTAAAATTCCAGTGGTCACACACATTGACACACACACACTCACAAAGGCCCTTAGTTAAACGCTGAATAGCTCGCAGGAAGTGGCTATTTGGCAATTTAGGAGCACCTCCCATGGCTCATGGAGCCTTCTCCGGCTCCTCTCGCCTCCAATCACTCCCTTTTTATCTCTCTCACTCCTCCTCCTCCTCCTCCTCTCTCTCCCTGCTTCTCTCTCCGGTTCCCAAATCTCCCTCCCTTGTTCATGGTCGTGGGTGCCTTCCCACGCTCGGCTCTTGAACTCACACGCCATCCCCCCCTCCTCTCCCCCATACATGTCAGCAGACCACATTGGAGCGTATGAATGAAGCCTCCTGAGTGATGTGTCTTTACTTCATGTGTGTGTGTTTTTCTCTGGTGCAGGGACCTGAAAGTCACCTTGTTTGAGGATTCAAATGAAATGCAGCAAAAACTGGGCCAAAGCCCGTCTTTGAGAGGGAGGGAGAGAGGGAGAGAGAGAGGGAGAGAGGGAGAGAGGGAGGAAGGGAGGGAGAGAGCTGCTTTCTATGCAGCGCTGCAGACTCAGCCGGTGAGAGGAATCGCTCTCATCGATTCTGAGTGTTTCCCCTAACTTATATATTTTCAATTAATTATTAATCCAATGAAGAGTGATCTTCCCTCTTAAAATACATCATCTTTTATAAAACATAATCCTGCAGAGAGATCCGACTTTATCATGAAACAAATTTAACATCATATTCTGTCCCTTCAAAGTTCTCCTCGTTGCCTCGCACAGACAAGACTCGCCTCACTTTAGTTTTCCATCAGCTAAAGTTGTTGTCATGTATTCAGTTTCATCACGGTGTCACGAGGGCTGAACGATTTTGGCCAAAAATGAAATCCTGATTCTTTTCTCAACAAAACTCAAATTTCTATGTTTTATTCACTGACAACTTCACCAAAAAGTTTTTCTATCGTCTCTCAAAACGAAACCACTAAAAACGATGTAGTTCATATGCCAGGCCAGTAAGTGGCGCTGTAACGCTACACAGGAAATATTCAAAAAGCACCTGAAACGCCGATACGACAAAAAACTTTAGCGTTTCCTCCTGAATTCGTTTCCATGGTGACGGGTTGATACCGCCTTCAGACAGACTTTACAGCGGGGAGTGGTTTACTCTTCATCTGAAACTGTGAAGTCATACCAATTCAACACGAATGACTCGCTCTTGTCCTATTTAACCACGAAATTATCGTCTTCTTTAGTAAACACCATGTTTGTTTACACTGGTGTGTGTGGGAACTAGGGAAGGGGGAACCTACGGTGGCCTGGAGGCGCAAGACACGATAGGCAGGAAAATCAATTTGACGATTCTAATTTTTTTAACATCGTCATAAATAAATAATCGGATTACGATCTAAAATCCATCCACTGTTTTGGTGTGGAGGCTGGATCCCATCCCATGCCACCCAAAGTGAGTAACACCCTGGAGTGGACAGGTGGCCGGTCTATCACATGCCTAACATGTACACAAACAACCAGACACACACACACACGCACACCTGCGTGCGACTCGGAGCAACCAATTAGCCTAACAAGCGTGTTTCTGCTCTGTGGGAGGAGGCGAGAGCGCCCAAAGGGAACCCACACATGCACAGAGGAGGACATGCAAACTCCACTGATCAGGAGGGCCTCAGGATTCAAACCAGGAACCTTTCAGCCACCGCACCGCTGCTCAGAACACTCCGAATACAGAGAGGGAGCTGCCATGTTGCCGTGAAGGAACCAGTTTTAAATAATCCGAGTAATTCTCTCAGATTTATTCTCCAACCATCGAGGATCCTGACCTCCAGGTTGGGAATCACCGCACTGCTCCATAAATCCACCAACAGTTTCTGCTGACCGCTCGCCCATAACCACGATAGAGCAGGCAGCAGGTCAGCGTCTCCATTCAAGGACATCTCTCTCTCTCTCTCTCTCTCTCTCTCTCTCTCTCTCTCTCTCTCTCTCTCTCTCTCATTTACACACCAAGTCCAAGTATTGATCGATGCGGGGAGGGAACCCACAACTCTGTGGTAGCAGGACAGCCTCAGTCACTACTTGGCCACTCTGCTGTGAAATTACAGTGTGGGTAGATGGCAGGAGGTGTGATGAGAAGGTGATGCTGCATGATGATGAAGAGGACGATGATGATGATGATGATGAATCCCGAGTGGGAGGGAATTATTCTCCTGTACTTGTCTTACCTTCTGATACTCGGAGTCCTCCGGTCGGAAATCACTGCTCACCAGCTGGAACTCGATGTTGAAGTGGGGCAACCGATGGAGCAGGTTGACCCACCAAGGCGGAGAGTAGTTCACCACGGCCGCCATGATGATCCAGCGACCTACGAGAGTTTGGCCTCACTCTCTGACCTGACTGACGTGGACACTGTAGAGAAACATGAAACCACAGTGAATCAGAATCAGAATACAGAAGGTACAACGAGATTGGAGAGCTCTATACATAATATACATAATAATAACAATGATAGGTACAGGCGATATACAAGATAAAACCTGAGACAGTCAGGAGGGCACAGAGATGACCTGATGCACACGTAAACCATTGATGTGTCACTCAGTAAATCTGACTGTTTTTAATGACTGAGTAGAGATATTATGTGTCCATTATAATGTCCAGTCCAAGAAGCACAATTACATTTTTATCTTGTTCACAATAAACCCGATACTAGACTAGCAGCCGTGCTGTCGTACTAAGTATTCGCCCGTTTACAGCGTCGCTGGTCAAAGCTCCTGTGAGGAGTTTTTGGACGTCTGTAGAAAGACTGAAATTAATATAAACGACTTTATTATGATATCCAAAAACAGGATTAATGATTTTCATATGGTTATTCTTAGTATCTGAAACCATTTCCTCGAACTAATCACATATTTTATTTTCAAAAGTTTGCAGAATGACTTATTTTTTCTATTTAAGCATGTAGAGAATAGGATTATCCACAGGGGGCGCCAGAATTCACAGGGGCTTTAATAAGTCAGATGTCCAAGCTGGGAATGACGTCACACCTGAGTTTCCAGCGTTTCAGTTACCAAGTCGGAAAAAAGCAAAATCTGAGACAGAAACAAGATGGCTACAACTATGAAATGGGGTGGTACATAACTTCAAATAACTAAATAACAAATGCTAAAATAACTTTCAAAGATGTAGCCATCTTGTTTCCGCCTCCGGTTTTACGTTTTTCCAACATGCTAACTGAATTCCCAACGCGGATATTTGACTTCTGAGGTAACTGGAACGCAGCATAACAGACCTGTAATGACTTGTTTAAAAGTCACTCCTTACTGCTAATATTTTCATTTTTCAATAATACATAACCTTTATCACATCTATAACACACCTGGACATGTAAAGATCAAACACTGCAATATGACAAACTCTTCATATCCTGTCAAACCACAGTAAAAATGACGTGGTCATTTCATTTCTCTATTTTCTCAAATTATATTTCCAAACTTAACATTTCCTAAATGTTAATATCTGAAACATTTCCTTAAACTGATCACATATTTTATATTCAAAAGTCAGCAGAATTACTTCTTCTTTTCTATTTGAGCATGTAGAGAATACAACTGTCCAGAGGGGGCGCCAGAATTCACAGGAACTTTACAACAGATGAGCAATGACCTTCCATGAAAAGTGTGCTCCTTACTGCTAATATTTACATTTTTCTATAATACATAACCTTTTTCCATCAAAGACACACCTGGACATGTAAAGATTAAACACTGCAATATGACAAACTCCTCATATCCTGTCAAACCACCATAAATATGACAAAAAACGGACATTTCTCTATTTTTATTCTTTGTTAATCTTGTTTGTTGATAATGTGGATATAACCTTTAATCTACAGGCTTTAAATGAGTCTTCTTAAACAGCTTGATAATGAAATAATAACCAGTTAAATGTGATTGTAAACAGCCTCCTTTGTGAGCAGCAGCAGCAGCCCATGAGCTCATAGTGGAGCTCAGATCCGGAATATTATGGTACATGACAAAAGCATGGCTGACTGCGACCCCGCATCACCCCTTTAACGCACAAAAACCGCAAACACAGACTCCCTGAGATGATAACCGCACTGTTGGGGAAATGGCCGAAACACACAGAAAACACACACACACACACACACACAAGCACGACTCTGACATTCTGCTGCCTTTACTGTACCGACACATGTAGGTCAACCCAGCCGAGCCTATCATCGTCCGTTTGAGTCTCAGGTCGTATTTCTTCGTTAAATGAGAAGTAAACCCGGATTAACGAGCAGTAACCCGCTTTGTCCGGTAAAACTACCGCAGTCTCGCGCAGTCGTCAAGGCAACCGGGAGGAGAAAAGGCGAGAAGTGTCTTCAGGGCTGCGTGTCCGTGGACATCAAAGCTTCGACTGTCTGGGATAGAAACCGAATTAACCACCTACCTAATGTGAAGGAGCCGAAGCGGATTGAGAGGCTCGTTCAGTGCGGGATCGGGAGGAGTCCAGGCCGGCGTGGATTTCACCTTTTGTCTTCGGAGCTCCGGTGGTGGATGTGAAGCCCACAGCCGTGCACTGCTGCATCAACGGACCGAGCAAGCTGCAACGACCGAGTCGGCTGCAGTCCCAACCACATCGAAGAAGAAGAAAAATCGGGATTACGGTCACATTTCACCGAGTCCACTTCCTTCGTGCATTACCTTCACCGAGAGCGACAATGCTAAAGGCAGATTAGGCGTCAAACTCGGTGACCCGCAACCCCACAATCTCTCTCCTTTTCACACCTAACGATGCTGCCGCTGCTGCCGATAATGATGCCGATCTTCCTCTCAGACCATATCGGTTCGGGCTCCACGGCGACGTTCCCACGATGACCGCCGTCGTCGGTTCGATGCGTTCAGCGCTGCGCCTCTTCGATTGGTTGATATTGTTAGAGCGTGAAGAAGAAGAAACGAACACGGTGTTTAAAAAGCCCCGGAGGCGGAGGAGGAGGAGGACGGGGCTTTGCGGCAGCTCCAGCCCTGCAACTGTGTGTGTGTGTGTGTGTGTGTGTGTGTGTGTGTGTGTGTGTGTGTGTGTGTGTGTGTGTGTGTGTGTGTGTGTGTGTGTGAGAGAGAGAGAGAGAGAGAGAGAGAGAGAGAGAGAGAGTGAGAGAGAGAGCGAGAGAATGTGTGTGTGTGTGTGTGTGGGGGTAAGAGAGCAAATGTGCATCTGTCGCCCTCTTACGTCGACATTAGGGTATTACACGTTACAGCAGAACAAGCTTTAAAAAAACAGCATTCAGGTATTTTTCTTTTTATCACAGTTATCAAAATATTGCAAAAATTCCTGATTTTTTAAATCACATTAAAGTACAAAGATCTTCGTCAGAAACTTCAGGTAAATGTACAAATAAATAAAAATAAATTGAAGTTAAAACCAAACTCAAAACGTACCTTTTTTAGTCTTGCTTTTAACTAAGTCGGACTCGTTTCCAGTGAGAGTTGGACTCCACCAGGGCTGCCCTTCTCACCGGTTCTGTACGGAATTTCTAGGCCCAGCCGGGGGGTGGAGGGTGTCCAGTTCAGGCAGAGGATCGCATTGCTGCTATTTGCAGATGATGTGGTTCCTCTAGCTTCGTCGAGCCGTGACCTTCAGCTCTTCTTGGGGCGGTTCACGGCTGGGGTGTGAATCAGCACCTCCAAGTCCGAGGCCATGGTCCTCAGTCGGAAAAAGGTAGATTGCCTTCTCCAGGTCGGAGGGGCGGTCCTGCCTGAAGTGGAGTTTAAGTATCTCAGGATCTTGTTCATGAGTGAGGGTCGGATGGAACGGGAGATCGACAGGCGGATCGGAGCAGTGATGTGGTCGTGGTGAAGAAAGAGGCGAGACTCTCGATTTACTGGTCGATCTACGTGCCGATCCTCACCTATGGTCATGAACTTTGGGTAATGACCGGAAGAACAAGATCGCTGATACAAGCGGCTGAAATGGGTTTCCTCTTCAGGGTGTCCGGGCTCAGCCTTAGAGATCGGGTAAGGAGCTCGGACACTCGGGAGGCGCTCAGAGGAGAACCGCTGCTCCTCCACGTCGAGAGGAGTCAGCTGAGGTGGCTCGGGCATCTGGTTAGGACGCCTTCTGGACGCCTCCGGTTAGAGGTGTTCCAGACATGTCTCACCGGGAGGAGACCTCGTGGCCGGTCCAGGACCAGGTGGAGGGATTATATCTCTCGCCTGGCCTGGGAGCGCCACAATACGTGTGTAATTTTTGTGCAAAGGTACAAAATAACTTGTTCTTGCAGGAGAACTGTCAATTGTTGTGGCAATTTATTATCTTGTGAGTGCAAGGAGCTGTTTTTTTTGACTTGTGCCCAAAAGTTAACGCCTTGTGAGACAAAAACTTGTTCCCACATGATCCTTATTTGTTGAACTCAAGACAATAAACCTAATCCTACAAGTTAAAATCACAACATGTAAAGTTTTACCCAAAGGGACTTCAGACGAGGGTCTACAGAGTTTGAGTGACAGTAGAAAATAACACGGAGATCTTTACTCGAGTAGCTGCGGACTGAAGTGAGAAAATAAAGCATTTGAGTGAATGTTTTGTGATTATTTCTTTTCTGCAAAATCTACAGAAGACAGGAGAGGTTTCATTACAAAAACAGCATTTTATTGAATGCCTCAGGAATCAAGTAACACACATCCCGGGGGGGAAACCTGCTCTCGTCTGTTCACTTCCACGTGTCTGTCAGCACAAACATCTCCTCCACTGTACTGAGCGTGTGTGTGTGTGTGTGTGTGTGTGTGTTGGGTATTGCAGCAGACTAATCTATAATTTATTCACAGCTTGACTCAATAGTGCATCAGTTGAGAATCAGCCCTCGATCATACCTCAGACTCAGCCATAATTTATTAAGCGTACATGAAAAGTTTGGTTATAATCTTTTGCAAACCAGGCGTGTGCTGAAAATATTCATGACTACAAGGCTGCGAGATTCTGAAGAATTTACAGTGATGTGGCTCTTTTAGGTGAGTTACGGTAAGATAACTGTTAGTAAAGAACCACACAGTAGGCACTTGGGCAAACAAAGAAAGACTTACTGAAAAAAAGGTTGATCTGCTCAAATCATAACCAACAAAATGGCTTTAAATGAAAGGACTACAATATTAGAGACGAATCAGAGTCTTAAATTGGATTTTAAAGATAAAATATCTTCAAGAGAGCGGATCAGATTTGTGTGATTAAACTGAGGTGCTTATGTGCCTCTTAAAGGTACAGTGCGTAGAATTTAACAGAACAGACGACGAAGAAATTAGGGCTGCACGATTTTGGCCGAAAATAAAATCCAGATTTTTTTCTCTGAAAACTCGATTTTTCGATTTTGAGTTTAATTCAGTGACAATTTCACCAAAATATAAAGTTTTCTATCATCTCTCAAATTGAAACCACTGAAAACAACTGAGTGCATATGCCGAGCCAGTAAATGGCGCTGTAACGCTGCATAGGAAATGCACAAAAAGGCGCCATAAAAGAGTTACTCTGTGTGTCACATGATCGTTTCCAGAGATGCAGATAGACATCCACACGGAGATGAAATGGTCGTCGTTTACAGATTTATTCACTCTCTGACCCGTTTTCAAAAAGTACCGTTTATAGTCACCTGAAACGCTGATACGACAAAAAACTGAAACTGTGAAGTCGTACCAATTCAACACGACTGACTCACTCTTGTCCTATTTAACCACGAAATTATCGCCTTCTTCTGCAAACGCCATGGCTGTGTCTCATTTCAGAGACCGCATCGTGATAAGCGCGCTTAACGGCGCTTAGCTGAGTGCACTGCCGTTTTTAGCCGTTTTACGCCGTTTTGCGCCGTTCTGTGCCCTTCCTGTGTCCCATTTCAGATACAGCAGCCATCGAACGGCGCATCTGACGCGTACGTGAGGTCACCACGCGGCACGAACGGTGTCCCGTTTGGCACAAAATACTAAGCGCGCTTCAAATTCGGTCTCAAAACCACACTACCCCCGCCTCGTTTTCAAGCGTGCATGTATGCACGCTTTCGTGCCGTCGGTATCCCAGAATTCTTTGCGTGCCGCTGCACAGCTGTGCATTTCAGGTGAGAGGCTGGACGCGCTTGGAGACACAGCGCGTCTTCGAAGAAAATACAAGCAATCCAAAAACAACAGACAGTCAGCTCAGGCTGTATGAGAGCATGATCTCTGAACTCACTAAAATCTGTAAACCAAACATTATAGATTTAGAGACGAACTGATCCGCTCTGCTTCAACAATCAAAAACATTAGAAATAAGAAAGCTGACAAAACTACAGCAGAGTATCAGGACAACATTGAGGTTTTTTTCTTTTAAGATTTAGAGATTAAAGTTGTAAATTTAGGAGAATAAAGTCATAAAGTAAATAAAGTCATAAAGCTGCTTTTGTGGAGGGGGAAATGACTGAAGCTGGTCATCTGCAGGGTTATCTGTGGATGTATCAGCGGGTCATTCAGAGAGATTTTGTGGTTTCTGAAGAAACAATCAAACTGATGATAATCAACATTTGTGATCCAGAGGGAGTCGAGCTCCGACGAGCACCACGTCTCTGACACCGGCCGTAGCCTACACCTGCAGAGACACCAACACCTTATTACTGCATATGGATTCATATCATAAACTAAAGCTCAATGTCATTCACGGATATTAACGGCTGCATTGACAGATATATCCTCAGCATATTCATTTCTGCCTCCACAAAAGCAGCGATTTCCTTCAAGTACACCAATATTTTTCCCCCGTGGAAAAGACGTATTTCTCATATATTCTTTTTAAAGTCTTTATACTTATGACAATGTGATGCTGATGTGCCAGAGGATGAAGAATCTCCTTGTTTGTGAAATCTATACTGAAGCACAGTTCCTTCAAATGCTTCATGGCCCTAATTTTAACAAGTCTCTCTGAAATAACAGGTTATGACTTCATTCTCATAAATTAATGACTTTATTCTCGTAAATTCACGACTTAAATCTCGAAGTCCTTAAAGTCTTAAATCTCAATATGGCCCTCATACTCCTTCTTACAAAACAATCATTGGATGAATTGTGCTTGTATGTATCTACTATTTTGTGTCTGTGCAAGGTCGCACAATTAAAACAATAAATGCTGCGCTCCGCGGGTTTCCTTTAAGTCAGTCGTGACGCGAGCCTGAGGGCGGGGACATTTGGCAACTCCACCAGGAAGCCCTCCGAAGGTCTCCAAATGTCCCCGCCCTCAGGCTTACGTCACGACTGATTAGAAAAAGCTGCGGAGCGCAGCATGTATTGTTTTAATTGTGCGACCTTGCACAGAAACAAAATAGTAGATACATACAAGCCCAGATCATTCCCACAAAATTAATCCAATGATTGTTTTGTATGAAGGAGTATGAGGGCCCTATTGAGAAGGAGGATAGGAGATACTTCATCCTCTGGCACATCAGCATCACATTGTCATAAGTATAAAGACTTTAAAAAAAGAATATATGAGAAATACGTCTTTTCCACGGGGAAAAAAACTGGTGTACTTGAAGGAAATCGCTGCTTTTGTGGAGGCAGAAATGAATATGCTGAGGATATATCTGTCAATGCAGCCGTAAAGATCCGTGAATGACATTGAGCTTTAATTTATGATATGAATCCATATGCCATAATAAGGGTTTGGTGTCTCTGCAGGTGTAGGCTACGGCCGGTGTCAGAGACGTGGTGCTCGTCGGAGCTCGACTCCCTCTGGATCACAAATGTTGATCATCATCAGTTTGATTGTTTCTTCAGAAACCACAAAATCTCTCTGAATGACCCGCTGATACATCCACAGATAACCCTGCAGATGACCAGCTTCAGTCATTTCCCCCTCCACAAAAGCAGCTTTATGACTTTATTTACTTTATGACTTTATTCTCCTAAATTTACAACTTTAATCTCTAAATCTTAAAAGAAAAAAACCTCAATGTTGTCCTGATACTCTGCTGTAGTTTTGTCAGCTTTCTTATTTCTAATGTTTTTGATTGTTGAAGCAGAGCGGATCAGTTCGTCTCTAAATCTATAATGTTTGGTTTACAGATTTTAGTGAGTTCAGAGATCATGCTCTCATACAGCCTGAGCTGACTGTCTGCTGTTTTCGGATTGCTTGTATTTTCTTTGAGGACGCGCTGCGTCTCCAAGCGAGTCCAGCCTCTCACCTGAAATGCGCAGCTGTGCAGCGGCACGCAAAGGATTCTGGGATACCGACGGCACGAAAGCGTGGATAAATGCACGCTTGAAAACATGCTAAGCGCGCTTAGCATTTTTTAGCATCTCGTGCCAAACGGGACACCGTTCGCACCGTCGTGACGTCATGCACACTTCAAATGCACCGTTCGACGGTGCAGAAGGGCACTTAGGTCGATGCGGTCTCTGAAATGAGACACAGCCCAAGTTTGTTGGGAACTGGGGAGCGCTCCTGCAGGAAGGGGGAGGAGCCTACGGTGGCCTGGAGGCGCGAGACATGATAGAGAGGAAAATCGATTTGAGGATTTTAGTTTTTTTAACATCGTCATAATCAAATAATCGGATTACGATCGTGCAGCCCTACACCAAATGTTTCTGATCGTTCGGTGTGTAAAGTTTTTAAAACAGATGCTACAAAAATGGAGCGCACAAACGCGAAATGAAAACACAGAAAAATGTTTCTGGTTTCCTGACAAACGTGGAAACATCCCAGCTGCTGTCTCATGAAGGATCCTCTAAAAACCCTAAAACCACCTTTATTCGGTTCAAGCTCACACTCTCAAGGAGGTCTACGGGAGAAGGACTTCTCTGCTCCTCATCGGACGTGACGGAGATACGATGATGTCGTCAGAATCGTCAGAGTCAGCTGCAGCGGCTCCATCGGACTCAGGTGTGAAGTGAAGCTCTGATTGGTCTGTGGGAGAGAGACAGGTGACTTACAGCTTTCATAAAAGATCTCGACAAAGTGAGTCTTTAATCCTTCTTCTGTCTGCTCCTCCTCTGACCTGTTGTGGTCTTCTTCTTGAAGGAGTTGGTCCCAGACCCAAGGCGTGGATCTTCCTCCTCACCCTGCTTTTCATCCTCCTTATGGAGTGATGCAGCACCTTAGCAACGACACAACAGTTTAGACAAACAGTTTACTACTATAAAATGTTGGGATGATGCAGATATCAGCCTTCTAACAGAACTTTGAGTTCAGAGAAATCCAGTTTTGTTGTCTTGCAGAAATGATCAGGGCAGCAGGTTCATTTTCCTGCAGCCTGAGAAGTCTCAGCAAAGCCAAGTGCATGTCAAATACTGAGCCGGTCTTGTAAGCATTCTTGGAAAATAACGCTGACGTTGCCGATCCGCTCCACGCACTCTTCTGCTGTCAGCTTCTTAGAAAGTCAGGAGGATGAAAGAGGAAGTGATGGAGTCTAACAGGGTCGTCTAGGTGAGGCTGAAACTTTAGACCCTGGAGGGTCATGTGAGGTACTGAGAGGCGTTATTGGTCCTCATCAGTCTCTGATACGGCGCTGTCACAGACGGGCAGCCTGGAATTAGATCAGTGTGCCGGCGTCATCCATCACCTCTCATAAAGGCGTCAGAGGGGACGTGATGAGTGATTCGGTCCATGAAGGCGGGCTGATACCGACCCGCTGTGCAGCCAACAAACATCTAGACTGAACCTTGACAGACTGGGACACAAAGTCACACGTGCAACAGGATCTGGAGGAGTCTGAATAACTTCACCACCTCAGGGCATCAGATCAATCATCGAGGATTTTATCACCGTCTTCGATCAACAGCTGAGGTTCAGACCTCTTTGTGGGAGTGGGGGTGTTAACGGCTCTCAGGTAGTGAAAATGTGTGAAACGTATGTATTCTATTTGTGTTAGTTTTGGCGCCCCCTGTGGACAAAGCAGTCTTTGTTTATTCCTGACCCAGAACCTCACCTGTTCGGCTCTGCTTATGCGCAGAACGAGCCCTTCTCGGTACCGGCGCGGGGAAATCTTTACCCGTCATCGAAGGCGGCGCAGGAAACTCTGAGCTGAGCCGCAAACACAAACGTGCAACATCGTCAAAAAGCGCTGCGAGTTTGACGGGATTTAATCGTCTTATTACTTTTCTGTGGCGACGTGACTCACCTCTCCGCGGCAAATTCGCAGCGCGCCAAGTGTCCCCTGAAAGCTGACTGAATCATCGTCACGGAAACCGCATCCAGCCCTCGCTCTGTGGAGGATGCGGCGTCACTGCGGTTTAAAGCATCTTCAGTCTGAAGAGATGATGGAGGAGAGAGAGAGAGAGAGAGAGAGAGACAGAGAGAGAGAGAGAGAGAGAGAGAGCGAGAGAGAGAGAGAGAGACAGAGAGAGAGGTGGTTGGTGGTGATATTTTGGCTTTACTTTTGAACAGCGAGTCCAAACAGCTGATGGTCCTTCACTCTCCTCCTCCTCTCTCTTCACTCAGACTAATTTCAGTTTGATCATTAGCCGTCCTGGATCGCTCTTTCTCTCCCATCTGTGTAAATGATGTGTGTGTGTGTGTGTGTGTGTGTGTGTGTGTGTGTGTGTGTGTGTGTGTGTGTGTGTGTGTGCGTGGACCTGTTTCAGCAGGACCTGGATCTGTGCCTCTCTGAAAAGGTGGCCTCTTAACGCCGACTGTAACTTGAGGATATCCTGTAAGGAGAAGAGGGATGGATGCAGATGTCGTCTTCTTCACACTCTTATATAACGGTTTCCTCACACATCACTAACTTCTCCTCGTCTTGCTGTGATACACACCCTCCTTCTGTGCTCCCTCCACTTCTCCTGGATAACCAGCGCCGCTTTCTCCTTCTCTCTCTTCTCTGCGTCTGGTTCTTCACCTCCATCCAGCTCTCTCTCTTCTCCACCTGCATCACCTCCTCCTTCTTCTTCTTCTTCTTCAGCCTGAGCGTCCTCCTCCTCCTCCTCGTTGTTGTTGTCTCTCTTGTCCTCCTTCAGCGAGAGCTCAGCTTCTGCAGCTTTACTTCGTTCCTCCAGAGTCTGGATCCTCGCCCACAACTGCTCCAGCTCCTCTCTGGGGAACACAAAGTATGAATCAGGACACGAAAAAAAAAAAAAACCTTTAGCTTTTGTTCCCTCCCCTTTGTAAGTATACATTCTTCTAATTGGACAGCTCTCTGTGAGCCTCCTCCACTGTTGCCATGTCATAAAGTCATTGGATGAAGTTCTGGCATAAGGTCGTACGTTTTCATCTAGAAAGTTTGGGAAAAAGAAATCCCAAGAATCCAAGAGCAGAGCAGGACTTCTCCGACTGCTTTTCACCAAACAGTGACGCCACGAATTCAGCCAATCACAGGCCCTCTTCTTTATACCTGTGAGACAGACTCTAATCTCTGTATCGTTTCTGTGGACTCAAAACGAGACTTTTATACTCATGTAGGTTAGGGCTCGGCGATACGGGAAAAAGTTTAACTATATATTCTTGTCATATCGGTCGATATCGAGATGTATCACGATATCAAATAATCACTTGTCAATCTTAAATCTTCCCTGTTTGTCTTTAATGAAATTTCACATGTACTCGACTTAATTTACAGTCCACATTACTCTGCTTCATGTCCGACCTCAAAAAACCAAAATACCTCCACACCACCGACGTTTTCCTAACGCCAGTGTTGTCGACTTCATGGTCATTTCTGTCGGGGGTAGCACTCATTTTCTTTGTTTCTCACCAACAGTGCTGTCGGCTTCACCTGTTAAAGTGCTATGGTTGGGTGTAGCTGCTGTCTGATACGACGCAGTTGTTTGATACTTGGTTCTAATTCAGAACATGATTGGTCTCTGTACCAGATCTCTATTTCGTTCCCTTGAGGATCATCCTGTTCCCTAATGAAATCCTAACTCTGACTGTCTGTCTGTGGGATTAACACAACAGGTTTAAACACCAATGACATTTATATGAATAGATTTATTGACGTATTTATTGTTTATGATGCTTAATGCATCAATAAGTTGTTGGTGTATCTGCAGAATTTGGAGCTTCTTGTCCTTTTAGGCCACCATCACCAGGGTTGAATAAGAGAGTCTATCTCTCCAGACTGAACCGTGTTTGTTTTACAGTTTTAAGAGCTGATCTTTTTTATTTTAACGCTGTTTTTCTTTTTTTTGATGATTTTACTCGGATGTACTTCATTGTTGCCTGCACCTCTGCACTTCTGTAAATAAGGATTTTCCTTCACTAAGTCTTAAAAGTAATAACATGATCATTAAAATAATTAGAACATGATCTCCATGTCCTTAATTTGACCCTTCTCCTCACTGCCAAATTTCCTCCACTTTGGTTTTCTTTTGTTTTTTACCTGCAGTTACATATTTAAACTATATTTGAACACATGTTTGGATTTCTCCTGTGGTTTATATGTGACGGTGCAGAAATGAGTTGGTGACTCTGTGAGTTTGTGTTCGCATGAATTCTGATGAACAGAAATGGAGGAAGTCCATCACAAATATCAGAGCGTGTGAAGGATGAGAGGTGAGAGCGTACTTATGCTGCTGCCTCTCTTTGTCCCGCTCTTTTGTCTGCTCGTCTTTCCACCGCTCCGTCTCTCTCTCCAGCTCTTCTCTCTCTGTCCTCAGCTGTTTTAACTCGTCTCTGAAAACACAGAAGAGCAAAGATCAGCCACTGCTCTGCTGAAAGTCTTACAGATTCAAAACGCTCCTCTCTTCAGAGGAAGAAGACAGTAAACATGAATCAGATGAAACACTGCTCACTCACTCTTTACATGACAGTTTCTCCTCAAGCTCCGCCCCCTCCTTCTCTGATTGGCTGAGGCGTTCTCTCATATCACTATCCTCCACCCGCTCTACAGTCATTGTTCCCACAGAGGCCACTGCCTCTGTTGCCATGGCAAACCCCAGGATCTCTGTGGGCGTGGCTTGAACCTCCTGATCCAATCGGCTGCTGCTCTTGGGAGACTGGGTGCGTCTTCTGCGGTCTTCCAGCCTCTGATTGGACAAGGAAGGAGCTGGTTTATGATGCGAATATTGGCTGTGTTTAAACGCTCATGACTGCACATGTTCAGACCAACAACGACGACGAGTCACAGTTTCGTCTCACCTTCTCCACCTCCAGCAGGCGTCTGAGCAGTCTCTGTTTACTCCACTCTCTGTAACCTGGGACACACACACACACACACACACACACACACACACACACACACAAAGAGATATTGTTTTCTTTACTAAAAAAAATGTATAAGAATGTAAAAAAAATGATGGATCCCTTTCACTTCAGTCTCTAAAACACTGAAACTGTCAGATAAATGTCACTTTTTCTGACTTTGGTTGGCAGCATTTTTCATGGTTGCATTATCATTTAAAATCCCTCCAATTAAAGGGAAATATCATTAAACATTAGTTTACAAAGCTGGTTAAATGACAGACGACTTTCCCATTATTATTAAACAGCTGAAGTGAGCGGAGTAAAACATGACATCAAATCTTCATGAAACGTGGTTGCGGTTGTGGTCTCGTCTTGTGAGTAAGAACCTTTCGCTCCTCCTGCAGGAGTGTCGGTGTCGAGCTCCTCTCTGAGCGCCGAGTTCTCCTGCTGCAGCTGCTGCAGGTCCTCAGACAGACGGTGAACCGTGGAGTTTAAAGCTCTCTGCTGCCTCTGCGAACATTTACTCTCCGCTCTGCTGCTGCAGGAAGAAAGACAGACGGACGACTTTAGAGAGTTTGTGAGGGAGGCAGAGGAAGAATGTGCGGACAAGGACGTTTCTGCAACACTTTCCTTTATGGATCTTCATTTATGTCGTGGGAAAAGTCAGTGAAGTCATACTACGAGGTTTGGACACCATAACAGATTATTACCTCAGGATCATCGACATTCATGGAAAAAAAAGACACTTGTAGAACGGAATGAAAACAGTGAAAAGAACTGTCAGAAAGAGTAAATACTGACTATCAAAGATCTAATATTGATTTTGGATTTATAATAAATCTTGAACATTAGTTTAAAAGTGTCTGATCATCTTCAGCGAGCTCTCTAGCAGTCTGCCACTTCTTCTTCTTCGTGGCGACCAGCGTACATGACCAAAACTATAAACCTCCTGTGTTACGCTGCGTTTCCAGTTGTACTCGGAAGTCAGAATTTCCGAGCCCTGAGTCAGAAATTCATCTGGAACGCCCCCCTGAGGTCGGATTGTGCAGCGCAGTGCATCAACAGTAAAGAGTAACAGTAAAAGCTCTCCTAATGTTTTAGTTATTAGCGCCTCTGTTTTGTTTTTGTGAAATTAAATAAGTGGTTTATGTTGTTCTGCCCAACGTCTAACTGTGAACACGCTGCTATGGTGTTTGTAAGAGTCAAATACTGTGTTATCTGTTGTTTATAACTAGTATAGCTGACAAAAACTGACAACAGGTAACTGTAGGCGTCCGTCTTGGTTTTCCGACTTGTTAACTGGAACACCATCAACTCGGGTGTGACGTCATTCCCAGCGCCAACATCCGACTGGAACGCAGCATTACTATAAACTTATTTTTAGTGCAATATTAATATTTTCTTTATTGTCAGTACCGGTAAGTTTCAACAGTCTTACCACAAAGTTTATTTAGCGGTGGAGCCTGGTGCTGGAAGAAGACATATCTTTAATAACCTCGTAGAAAATTCAAGTTCCAGGTTGATCCGAAAGTCCGATTTTAAACATGAGAAACTCTAATGCTCCTGTCTGTTACACTGAACTTCTAAATTTGATAAGAAGATTCGAACCTTTTCTCTGCAGCTTTTAAAAGAATCCTCAACCGCTTGATCTGAAAAATGAAACACACAAACACACACACACACACACACACACACACACACACACACACACACACACACACACACACACACAGTCAAAGTTAGCTGAGAGTTTTAAACAGAGAGAAAACAGCACAGCTAAGAAAACCTTCATTAAAAATATTCAACATTGGCGTCATTTTTAAGCCTTTTTTTTTCACAGAAAGACTGAAAATAATACAAAGACGTGTTGATGCTGCTCTGGAAGAAAACTGTCTGCAACTTCATTTGTTTTTATTTGAACGACAGAGAAACTTTTCACCTCTTCAAAGTATGTTTCTGCCGTGATCTTCAGCTCCTCCAGGCTGGTGGTCCTCAGATCACTCTGCAGTTTGCTGGAAGAAAACAGAGAATCGAAAGAACAAAATTCAAGTTAATGGCACTTAATGATGAACGTGAACAATCGAGACCATCAGAGACAAGACTGACGACTTTTATCTTGTAATTTTTAACGCCTGAAACTGAAGTGAGGGGGAAGATGTAAGCTGAAGAAACAAAAAGAACAACAAATGAGATGCTTTTGTCAGAAGAAAGTACTTGAGCATGTAGAGGTTAAAAAAGCAAAGAGTACTTTGTCCACAGGGGGCGCCAATGTGATATAAATTGAAAGTTTCTTACAGGAGCTTTAAAAAGACGTGAAGTCCTCTTACCTGAGGGCGTTTTCTTTCTCTCGACATTGCTGCTCCAGCTTCAGGATCCTCTGTTTCAGTCCGTTGACAACCTGGACGGATAGAAAATTACAAATAAATTGAGAATTTCATCCAAAAATAAAATAAAAAAATCAGCTTTATTCATCAACAGTCCAAGTTTACTCACCACACTTCCTTCTTTTCTCTTATCCACGAAACTACGAGTGTACTCAGATCCCTAAAAAAAACAAAAACTTCATGTTGGTCAAAGATTTTTCTTTCACATAAAAAACAAAGAAACTCGATGATCTCACTTTTGTGGGATCCAACAGCTCTTCTATCTGTTTCTCTCTCTTTGCATTGTCTTCCTCTAAGCGGCGAAGTTTGGCTTTCAGCTGCTGGTTGTCTGATTTCTGTGCATGGAGGCTCTGTAGAGAAGAAAGGGAAACCCTCAGGTGCTGAACTCGATCAAGTTTTAACAAACTCGAAACCTCTTTCTTTTCCATAAGAGAAAGGCAAAGTCTGAACGAAGTCCTCTACCTTCTTCAGGTGAATTATCTCATCGTACATGTCCTCCTTCTCTCTGTGGTCACCTGGATGGATGGAGAAGCCTGAAACATACAGAAATAAACAGGAAGATGATACATTATCAGACAAAGCTGCCTTCACCTTCACCTTCACCTTGTGGGTGTAAAACAAGTGATGGTGACGTCTTTACACGGTCACGATCCAGTCTGCTCTAAAGCAGCATCTCAGGATATAATCTGGCGTCTCCCTTTTTCCTCTCACCGTTGAACGCAGAGTTCAGGTGTTTGTGTTTCCTCAAACTCAGGGTCTGTTTAAGGAGCTCAGGCGTGACATCACACTCCGATCTCAGCGTCTGGGACACGTCTGAAAAACAGAAACAAGTTCGCACAACATGAAATCGGTCAGACGATCAAGTTTGACTGTTATCGTGCCTCCAAAGTGGAATGAAAATCAAGACAGATGGAGCGGAGCACCTTCAGAGTCGGTAAAGTAACTCAGAGCTCCGAGGGGAGTCTCACACTGCTGAGCTTGAGTTATGTTTACACACTTCTGCCTACCGTGGCCGTTGCTGAGGGACGTGAGCCGAGCCGAGCCGCCATCCCCAGGTGTGGTGTCCCCCAGGGAGGACCTAGGCAGCTTCCAGGCCGCCACTGCTCGTCTTTGGTTCACATTCAAACTAGAGAGGTACGGAGACCCTACACACACACACACACACACACACACACATGAACACGCAGTGAATAAACGACAATTGCACATGGAGAGTGTGTTTCTAACAGTGTCTGTTCAGAGCAGTCGAGGAGGTCTTACTTGGAGAAGGAGGAGGTTTACTGGTGGATCTCTTCCTCCTCGTTTTCTGATTTAAAAAAAAAAGACTTGTAAGCAAACTAATCAGAGAAGGTAAAACAAAAACAGGTCAAATTAAATTTGAATGAATACCTTTTCTTGAATATCAGCCGAGAAAGAGAAGCCTTCATCGACCTATAGATGAAAGGAAGAAGAAAAAGAGAGAGAGAACAATTATATTCAGAGCAAACAAACGAGTGAAAGTGACAGTAGAGATACATCACATAAAAAAACTTACAGAATATAAAGAGTTAAATATACTTAGTTCAAGATAAGAAAAAAATGAGTTTAAAATGTGAAAAACATTCCCCAGGATACATCTCCACTCTTAAAAAAACAGTAAAACTCATTTTACAATAATAGACTGTGAAACTAAAACATCTGGAGCTCCCCCTACAGACCGTCTGCAGTACAAGTCATAAACTCCGCCTCCCTCATATCGACGGATGGAACATGGGTCAAAACATACAATAAAAAAACACGTCAACCAAACTACTTTCTGAACATGGTTTCTGTCACTACAGTTCAGTCTTATTCTGTTGATTTAAGTGAAAGTTTTCATTTTCCTGTGAACTGAATCGACAGAACAGAGAAGGAGAAACTGAGATACCTGTTTTGTTTCATTCATGTGCGCAAATATAGGGGAGAGTGGGGTAAGATGAACCATTTTTCATATTTCAGATCACTACATCAAGTCAATCCTAGTTTTGTCTCTAACTCGTGTATCTGCAGATATTTCAGGATGTTGTTCATCCCTGAAAACCAACAGAATGAGTGTAAACAGAACTGTAATCTTGATAATATAGCATGACAAAGAAAGAGTGGTCTCCTATGGTCAACTTACCCCGTGTATGGGGTAAGTTGACCATAGGAGAGGGGTAAGTTGAGCCCCTACTCTCCCCCAAGCCCTCCCTCACCTTCTCTCTGAGGTTTTTGACCTCATGTTGGAGCTCATAGATACCACAACTGATTTATAAAACTAATTTAAAATGATCTGTTTTGGTCTGAACCACAGACTGTATATAGAATGGACGCCATCTGCCTCCTCGCTGGGTGAAGCCACTCTGAGAACAGTGCCCTCTGGTGACGGGCTGCAGTATAGGTCATAAGTCCCACATCCACCAGCAAAGCTTATGGCGATGTGGACAAACTTTAGAAATTTATTACACAGAACAAATCATTTTCTCCCCCCTTCTTGCCGTATTGACATGTTCAGGAGCTGAAACTGGACCTTCAGAACCTTTTTCTGGATGTCCGTTGGACATTTTGAAGTTCTGCTGAAACAATTAGCTCCAAGTTTGAAGAGGCAGAGGACTAGACACTAGACACTAGTGTTGAGATGGCTGTCTGTCATGATAGCATGTACTGAGTCGGGGTTAGTACCGGATAAACACATGAAACTATGGTAACAACCGTTAGCTTATGTTAGCACAGATGAAAGTTAAAACAAAGATGTTTATCAAACTGTTAAAGCACACAAACCATCGTCATATGAGAATCCGATGCTATGACTCTCCACAAGTTGTCCTTCAGGTCGTTGTCTTTGTAATGTTTGTGTAAACTATCAGAAACAATCAGCCGGTCGGCCATGTTGGATATACCGGTGAATCAGGCGAAAAACGGTCCCGCTGTGAAAGGACCTTAACCTTCACAGATTCCATGAATTGATGCCCATCTCCTCAATATTTGGTCACATTATCAATTTCTTTGACCATTTCCAAGCAACAGAGGGTGGCTCAACTTACCCCACTCTCCCCCCTGCTAAAGTCAGTGCCCACCCCTTTTAAACAGTCTGGATCCGCCCCTGCTGTCAAGTACTGTACTGGTGCTGTTTTGAGGTTACACACTCAGTACAAAAGTACAATGAAGGTTGAAAAACATGTCTAATTTAAAGCTGAACCACATTATTGATCTGATTGTGAACAGTAGCTGCAGACTCACCAGCTCCTCACAGTCTTCATCAGTCTGGACAACACTCCCCTCCTCACACATCTTCGCTGTCGTTGTGGACATAACTGCTTCACAAACGTTACGTTAAGTCTGAAAACTTGACTCTGACCGGGTGTAATCTGCACATTTTCTCCAGGTCAACAGGCTGACTTCAGGTCCCCCTCACCTCGTAGTAAAACATACAGCAACAACAGAGACGACAGATGAGCACAAACTCGGATTTTCCTCCTCGACACTGCGGATTTTTACTCGATAACAGCCGGAAATGGAGTTAAAGACACCGAAGAGCTTCTCTCTGTGAAAACCGCTGTAGTGTTGTTGTGTTTCGCGGTAGAGGTGACTGTTTTCTCATCACTGTTGCGGATTGAGTCGTCTAGCAACCAGGCAGCTGTTAATGAGCTGTGTTTAGCTAGCAGCAACAACATACCGGAATATATCTGAGAGCGCTTTCAAAATAAAAGCACACACCAAATGAACGCTGGAGATAACCCACGAGAGACATCTAAAACTACACTTTTTATGGATATTTTAGCCTAATATGAGTCTTATGTTAGGTTTATCTCTAACACAAATAAAATAAAAGGAAATCTTATATGTTCCGCTAACGCGATTCTAACAATAGACTTATTTTGAAAAAGCAATCCGGTCAAACAGTTTTAGCTTAACTGAGCTAATAAACGTACCGAAGCCTCAGGCCCAATTCCAACTGTTTTCCTATTCCTCCTTGTTTCGAGCTCATTCCTTCACGTTCCCTATTGGTGGAAAGGAGTCAGAAGGCGGGACTTAGAGCGTTTTCATCCAATAGTATTACAGAAGGAGACAGGGATGAAGGAAAAGGAGACTTCTCGAGTTTTCCCTGTTCAGTTTGAAAGCGTCCCCTATAACAGGTCAATGTAGGGGCCATGTTGTACAGTACATAATAAAGAAAACCTGTATGTATCCACCATAAAGGACTCGGTGCCCCCTTTAAACAAAGACAAACTAGATCTGTTTTTTTAAATTATTATCATTTATACACTGTGATTTTCAAGGCTGTGCAGTGGCTGATCAAGGCCTACACTTTATGTTGTGTTATTTTAGGGCCTCCGATGGACAAATTATGCAAAATTTTGCCTCTTGAAGGCCAAAATTAGACAACAAAGTGTTTCCTATCCTGCTATAACAACGTAAAGTCAACTACGCATTCAAGTACACCTTCTTCACCAAACTAAAGGGATATTCCAGCGTAAATTTAAGTTAGATGAATGATGCCGACCGCATACTTCTCTAGTTATACCAACTTTAGTGACAAACCTCAACCAAAATGCCACTCTATAGCCACAAATAATGCTCAGAACAGCACCTAACACATGTGATTTTATGGCTCTTAACGATTGGCATTTTTTTTCTTGTACTTGACTGTTGTATTGTTGTTTTTATGTGTGTCTTATCTGGACGGCTGGGTTCCTGCCTGCAAACAAAATTTACCTTTGAACCTTTGAACCTTTGAACCTTCTAACTTCATCAACAGGACATATAGGGTCCCAGCCATAGTACTAGACACCAAACATCTTTTTAACTTTGACTCATTTCTTTAGCAAAGAGACTAAACACAACTCACCTACTCTCTTCCAGCAGCTGCTTCTTTGTAGCGAGACCTCAGGCCAGTCCATTATGGACTACGGCGGGGTGACGCAGCTCAAGGAAGAATATTTATGATCATTTCTTTATCATTTCCTTGAAGTAATAATCATCATATTAATCATTTTCACTGCAGACACGGTAGTTCTTCTGCCTTAGCGTCTCGGTCTGATTGTATTTCCATGAAGAAATGATAGAGTGGCGTTTTGTTTGAGGGCGTGGCTCTCTGTATTTCTATCCTGCGGTCGTTACTAAAGTTGGTATAACTAGAGAAGCAAGCGGTCGGCAACATTCATCTCTGGAGGGGGGGTCTAACTCGGTGTTAAGGTGTGTTTGACCCTAAATTACTTTTACGCCAGAATATCCCTTTAAACATATTATCTCTTGTTTCAGGCCTAAATCTGACACATTTCTAGAAAATAATGACATTTGAAATAACATTGTTCAGAGGTATCAGTTAGAAGCTAGTAAACACATTTACAGGAGTGTTCGTCTGCTAATTAAATTCAATTTAAATCTGTAAATTATATCTATCTGCTATTCTTCATGTTTAACAAATAACCTGTAATGGAAATATGTCGCCTGAATTCACAATAAATCCAAAAAGCTGTTTTTCCATCACTAAAATATTACCAGTTATTCTCCTTATTGTAAATTGAATGTATAATATTATGCAAATTTGTGCATGCAGCCAAAGTTCTTATCCATTTCTGCTGTCAGGATCCAATTTTTTCCTCTGTGGCGTCTTCCTCTTAGTCACCTGCAAAGTTCGAAACAGCAGCATGAGGAAAGAATTATACAGTTGACCAAAGGACGAGAAAAATCAGCTCACTGAGTAAACAAGAGAAAACAGAGAGATATATTAAAAAGCAGGTAATGACTCACCTGAACTGTCTTTGCCGAGAGAGATATCAGCAAAGATAAGGTCAGCATTTAGGAATACATGTGTGCGTCTATCAAATATAAGAGATTAAAAGTTACTTTCTGATGCTTTTCTCTCCTTTTGCAGGGAACAGAGAGGCCTCATGTCTCTGCATCACTTTCTCCTCCACACTGACACTGTTTATTCAGGTGGTGGACCCCCAGAGCTGCACAGTCAGGCACACCAGCATATTTTACTTCAGGGCAAACAAACCCGATGCAGATCTCATCTAAAACATACAGTTGTCGGTTTTCTTCCAAAAGAGTTTAACTGGTTCAATGAAATGTCTCTGCTGTCAAAGACGGAGGATAGGAACATCACACTTCTCGGACATGATTTCACCACACTTCTTAAACAGACTGAATGTCATTATCAAGCACACCACAGCTGCTGCTGCTGCTGCTGCTGCTGTCACAAATGTCTGAAAGGAGTAGAGTTTCATCATCGGCACCGGAGAGGCATCTCAGGGGGGTTTCAGAGCTGCTGGTGATTGCAGTGATTCAGTGCAGGTGTGAAGGTGCAGGGAGAGCCAGTGAAGGAGGGAAACATCCAATCTCTGTTAAATTATAGATGTCAGCAGTTTCTGCATTGAGAGAGAGTTATGTTGTTGTATTCATTTAAGTGTCATCTGAGTAATGCGATCTAAAACAGGCAGCTCTCCAGTGGATGGAGACTAAAAAGAAAAGTGTTGCAGGACTGTCCCTCTGTAGCAGAACTTAAATTGGATTAATTTGAGTCTTTGTTCAGGACTGATTCTAATAAAAGAAGGTGTTTTTTTTAATATGAAATATGAAGCTCCATGTTCTTGTCCTTCTCTGAATGCCCAGACGGGGGCGATGTTAGCTTTGTAAGGCAGCCCAGACTTATTCCTGTAGCTGGCCCCGTCTCCTTTCAGTCCCTCCCACTTCCACAGAGCTTTGGAGTGAACTCTGAAGTCACTCTCACAGCTGAATGGAGCTCACTTTATCACGGTGGAGGGATCACATTCATCTGTCAGCTCTAGAACAGACTCCCTTTACTCTGTGATAACAGGGACTTTATGTAACCACGGTTACAGGTCATCAATCTGATTACACTTTCTAAATAGGCTACATGAACATCCATAACTCAATTTCTTCATTTTAAAGTGCAGCGTTCAAGACTGTAAAGGTGTTTTGAAAAGAGATTTATAAATCATGTGTAATTTTGTCTAAAAGCTCCAATGAGGAACTTTTGATTTATTCTGATTTTTGATTCCATGAATTAGGATGGATGGATGGATGGATGGATGAACTGACAGACAGATAGGTAGATGGATGGATGGAAAAAAGATTGATGGATGGATGGATGGATGGATGAAGGAACTGACAGGCAGATAGATAGATGATTGGATGGGTGGATATTTGATGGATGGATGGATGGATGGATGGATTGATAGATGGATAAATAATGGATGGATGGATGGATAGTTGGGTGGTTGGATAAATAATGGATGGATGGATGATGGATGGATGGATGGATGGGTGGTTGGATAAATTATGGATGGATGGATTGATAGATGGATAGATGGATGGATGGATGGATGGATGGATGTGTGGATGGATAGTTGGTTGGATGGATAAATAATGGATGGACGGATGTGTGGATGGATATTTGGTTGGATGGATAAATAATGGATGGACGGATGGGTGGATGAAGCGACAAACAGATTGATAGATGGATTGATAAATAGATTGATCGATGGATATTTGATGGATTGATGGCTTGTTAGATGATGAATGGATGGATGGATAGTTGGATGAACTGATAAATGGATAGACAACCTGTCAGTTATGTTGTTTTTCAATGTTGTTTTGATTTCCCTTTGTTTTTAAACCAACCAAAAGCTCCTTACTGGAGCTTTAATCAAAGCGCTCCATGTCTATGAGGATTACAGCACAGGACTTTCACTGAGTCTTTCATGGTGAACATTAAACTGCGTCACAGCTGACATCTCTGAGCCTTTATGGACTCTGAGTGAGGAGTAGGAGTGAGCTGTCCAACAGAGACTCTAGATGACACTAATGGTGGTGAACCCTCCGTGAAAACCCACAAATGGAGCAGTTTTGGAAAAACCCTTTATCTTCAAAACTCCCCTCCACCTCCTCAACGTTCTTGTCAGTGTTGAAGCCCCAGTCCTAACTGTAGACCTGGTCCAGGTTCAGACTCACTGTTTTCCTCTATTTTATTTCACCTTGATTATGTTTAATAAATGGATATTTAGTTTTAGTTTTGGATGACAGTTCAAACAGTCCAGGATATTCAGTTATATGACACAATATCTCATATTTCACCAGGTCGGGGGTGTTTTCCTTCAAACTGTCAATGAGGATTTTTCAGTTGATCCACACACACACACACACACACACACACACACACACACACACACACACACACACACTGAGCTCCGCTGTGTAACCGTCTTTGCATAAAATACTTACAAACAACAGTAAAAAAAACGTACACATGCAAATTCTAGCTGTGACCCCCTGATGAACCCTCGGACTTTCACCTCCTGTAGGAGAGTTAAAGTGTGTCACACTTCCTCAAATTACGCTAAACCGAAGAAGTGCAACTTATTCTTGTTTTTCAACGAAGGAGGAGGAGGAGGAGGTGAAGAGGGCAGCCGTTACATGACAGATCAGGCACACAGTTGTTTAAGGAGCTGCTCTTATTGAATTAACATAATCAGATTCATAGTTAAAGACTGCCGCAGGAGGAGAGACAAACTTAAAGCCCTTAATTGGATAAACTTCGCTTGGGCTTCTGCATAATCCTCTGCTCTCATTATTGTATTAGACAAACACAGAACTGTTCGCACTTTGCTTGTATAAATAAAGGTGGATGTGTCATGATGGAGGAGGAAGGAAGGACGAGGCTGACCAGACGAGTGGGCGGAAACAGGTGGAATCACAAAGAGGGTAACGAGGTCTGGAAAAAAGTGAAATGAAAAACCCACACTTTAGATTTCCAGAGCTCTTCTTTCAAACCTGTACGACCGCAGAAAGTCTGCGGATACAGTCCTCCTGAGGGCGGGTAATAAAATGTCATGGTGGCGTGTGTCGTACACTAGAGAGATAGAGGGGCGGAGTCAAGAGAGAACGTTATAACAGACATAACCTCTCACCCTAAAGCAAATATGTTACCATGACAAGAAGTCACCAGGGGGGATTAAACGCACAGACGGAGGCCCGCCGCCTGCAGCACAAGAGCTTCACTTTGGTGTGTTTTTGTCTCTGCAGGTTTTAGACTGAGTTTAAACGAGGTCTGCAGAAACTGTAGTTAGATCAGAGCGTGGTTTAGAGGTGCTGACATGTAAGAAAACACGCTTCAGTTTGGTAAAAGCATATATAAGGTGTCTCCCTGATGCATGTGAGACTGATGATCACTGTATTTAGCCACATTCAGCCCAAACTGGAGACTCTTTAACTTCTTAGCTAACAGTTAAAAATGTCTGTAAATCAGCCTCAACCTGATAATGCAAAACTCGGAAGCAAAATACCTTCAAAACAAGATCACAATGCAGAACAAGATAACTGAACTGACTGTGCACAAGTGAATAAGTTTGTTCCAGTAAGATGACAGGATGTGCGCACAAGATAACAACTGATTCCAACAAGGAAGTAACTCATGAACACGTAAAACTGACTTTTTCTAAATGTGTTTGTGAAAGACGATGTGATGTAGGGTGATCATACGTCCTCTTTTACTCAGACATGTCCTCTTTTTGGGGGGCTGTCCGGTCTTTTCTGGGGGAGTTTATAAAATCCTTCAAATGTTCAAGGTTTTGTGTGGAAGTTTTGAGTTTGTGTCGCATGGACTAATGAGTTAGAAGCACATCAAAAACACTCGACCCGACCTGAAAAACTCAAAATTTACTAAACGCGACTCCGTGACTCCGCCCCTATGTAGTTGTGCCCTCTTTTAGGGGGATTCAGAATATGGTCACCCTACACTGTGATGTTCTCACAAGATGACGACCTGTACACAAGATAATAACAACAACCTGTCTGCAGATGATGTTGTTTGTTTCCACAAGATAACAGCGTAAGATAAGACAACATATTCATTATCGATTCGTTGTGTCGCGCGATTAATGCGTCACCCAGCACAACACAGAGCCATTGGCTGTTCCCGAATTCGCCAACTATTAGAAAAATTAAAACGATTATTGTATCGTGCCCATAAGTTATCTTGTTTTAATAATTTAAATCATGATTCGCCTGAAACTTGAAGTTACTTCGGAGGTTAAGAAGTTCCTGTTTGTAACCCATGACCAAGAACTGCCAGTCAGGAAAAATCTGAGGCTAACCCAGGATTTCCGGGACGGCAGCGATTTTCACCGTACGCCAATTCCTACCGGATCCGTTTGTGAGGTGAATTTAATGGCGGATTACAGACAGCAGGAATCGCGAGAACTCACAAGAACCTGCGGATTCACAGGCAATCACACGATAACAAGTTGTTTCTAGCCACAGAGGCTAACCATATAAGCAGTAGATTGTGTCCTTCCAGAGGAGGAAATCTACTTCTAGACTTCTAGAATCAGCATCTCTTCATCCATGGTGTCATCGGGGTGAAATGACGTCTAAAAACCTTTTCACTTGTTCGTTGTAGAACTCGAGATCAGTCTCGGTCTTAAGACCATTTTTTGAGGGTCTTCTTGTCGTCTCTTTTATTTTGTGTCTGTGCCCGACTTCCTTTCCAGCACGGGTTAATCTGTGCTGAATTTATCCTTCATGCCCTGGTGTCCAGGAAAAATAGAACTCTTGTGATCAGCTGAGGAGTCCGGTGGTCCGCAGCAGAACAGAAAGAAGTCGGTGGAAATAAACACGTTTCCTTGAATGGTTACGATCAGCTAAGATCGGCGGATACGACCTTTTAGTAGACGTTCAGGATGCGGTGGAAATTGGGGGTAATACTGACACTATAGTGTTGATGTCAACGTCACTCCTCAAACTCTGGAACACATTATGAACTTCTAATACAGCTCAATATTCCAGACCATGAAAATCAGAGTGAGAGTGAACAGGAAATATCTGATAACCTTCTGATAGACTTTAGCTCAGGTTCTTTATTACCAGCCCAGTAGACAGCACACACACACACACACACACACACACACACACACACACACACACACACACAGTCCTGAAAACAGAGTTCTGTCACTGAAAGGATCTATCCATGTGGAACTGGGCCGAGCGGATCACAATGAGAGGAGAGGAAAGTAGGACAAAATATGGATGAGAGAGGAAGAGGGATCAGATGGAAGAGAGTTGGTTATATAGTGTGCATGATGTGTGTGTGTGTGTGTGTGTGTGTGTGTGTGTGTGTGTGGTGGGGGGGTGGCTGCAGAACTGCCAGAATTGCAGTCCTCTCCCTGCAGCTCCTCTGCATGTTTGAGGGGCGTGTTCTGCTGTTATAAAACAAACTCACAGTCCTGCAACTCCAGCAGCAGCTCCGCCAGGCAGTCTGCTTTGACAGTCAGGGGACATCCATCACCATCATCTCTCCCTTTCTCTCTCTCTCTCTCTCTCTGTCCCTCCCTCAGACACCCACACACACACTCTCTCTCTCTCTCTCTCTCTCTCTCTCTCTCTCTCCTTCGCTCTGTCCGTCTGCCCTTCTTCTTCTTCTTCTCCTCCTTCTCTCTCCACACGCACAGCATCTCTGTTTCTCGACTCTCCCGGCATCATGTCCGCTAACGGCGCAGACGGGGACCTCCTGCGGATCCCTCTGGGGCTCATCAACAGCGCGGGGAAGTATCTGACCGCGGAGACTTTCGGCTTCAAAGTCAACGCCTCCGCCAGCAGCCTGAAGAAGAAGCAGACGTGGACCCTGGAGCAGACCGGGGAGGACGGCAGCGCGGTCTTCCTGCTCTCCCACCTGGGCCGCTACCTCGCCACGGACAAAGACGGGAACGTTACCGCGGACAGCGAGACGCGCGGCACCGACTGCCGCTTTGTCATCACCGCGCACGAGGACGGGCGGTGGTCCCTGCAGTCCGAGCCCCACGGCCGGTTCCTGGGCGGTAGCGAGGACCGGATCACGTGTTTCGCGCAGACCGCTTCACCTGCGGAGAAGTGGAGCGTGCACCTGGCCGTGCACCCGCAGGTTAATCTGTACAGTTTGGCGCGCAAACGCTACGCCCACCTGAGCGCGCAGGGGCAGGAGGTGTCGATAAACCGGGATGTCCCATGGGGGGTCGACTCGCTCGTCACCTTGGTCTACAGGGACGAGCGGTACCACCTCGAGACCTGTGACAACCGCTTCCTGCGCAACGACGGCAGCCTGTCCACGAAAACGGACAAGGACACCGGATACATGCTGGAGTTCCGCTCCGGGAAAGTGGCGTTCCGCGACTGTAACGGCCGCTACCTGGCGCCCGCGGGTCCCACCGGCACCATGAAGTCCGGGAGGAGCGCGAAGGTGGGGAAGGATGAACTGTTCGGCCTGGAGCGCAGCCACGCGCAGGTCGTGCTGACTGCAGGCAACGAGAGGAACGTCTCCACGCGGCAAGGTGAGGCCCTCGAGTGGAAAACCCCACATCAGCATGAAATCACTGCAGATGTTGGCGCAGGAAAGCTTCAGCTGTTGCATGATGTTGATGTGTGTGAGTCTGAGCAGGACAGAATCGGAGACCTGATTCTCTGCCCACCATGTGTTTCTCATTACCACGCTCTCACTTTCCTCCCCCCTCCTCCTCCCCTCTCTGCCTCCTCCCTTTGGCCACTCTCAACATTTTTCTGCAGTAATTCTACCCCTGCATTGTGGCTGCTGGTTCAGGGTCAGGTCCAGTTTACAGTTATCAGTCCCCTCATCTCAGAAAAGAAGAAGAAAAGAGAGGATGAGGAGGGAGGTGTGACTCAGACTCAGAGTCCTGCTGAAGGTGGATCTCTCCTCTTTGTCTCGGTGCCACACAGTCTCACTCTGTGGGACTGATCATTTATCCAGGCAGTCGATAAGCTTTCAATGCTAGGGCTGGGCGATAAACATCACCATATAAAGAATGAAGTTTAATAGTAGTCATTGGCAGCATGTCTGCTTCTGTGAGGTCTCTGTGTCTCTGATAGTGATGGGCACGGCAGTTCTTTTAGATGTACTGAATCACTAGAATCAGTTCACTAAAAAGATTCGTTCACCAAATCACTGAATCATTTAGCTCTTGGTGGGAGAAGCCTGCGACTCCGACCTCCTGAACTGATACGCAGTTCATTTCAGAGCTTCTGGGACCAGGAGACCAGAGTGTTTGTGTTTCTTTAACAAACAGGTTTGTAAAAATTAACTTGTTTATAAGTCGTGATGTTTTAAGTGTCCTATGGTCTGATATTTATCAGGTCTGCCCGGTGAATGATTCACACTGAACATACACCGTTACCTCGCAAACCGCTGCAATAACAGGATGCTGTGGGTTTTACTTGATCCATACTGTGTCCTATTGTATGAAAGTTGTTGTGGTGGAAATTTAGCCATGAAAAAAAAGGTACTTTTGTCCGACAAAAATGATTCCAGAGTGTGTAGTTCAATGCGTGATTCGTTCACCAAGTGATTCAGGCGTCGGTACGTGTGGTCCCTCGTTCACCAGCTGCTGGCCTGGAAAGGCTGTTTCTCACTTCAGCTCAACTGGTGAGAAACAAACGAATCACTCAAAGAAGTGATTTGGTTCAGTACGTTCACTTAAAAGATTTGGTTCTTTTGAATGAATCGTTCACGAACGATACAACACTACTCTTTGGCGTTTTGTCGTAAGGCATTGCTCTAGAGAAAGCAGACGGAATGGTCGCCTGTTTCGGCTGAACAGGCGCCATGGACTCCTTGCTCCACTTGGTGTTTGTAACCTTTTGCGTTGCGAGTTCTCTGCGGCGTGGCGCTGCTTCAGGTGGTAAAAAAGATTCCCCGACTTTGTGAGAATATGTACTCCACATAATTTACAGTCCACGTTACTCTGCTTCATGTCCGACCTCAAAAAAAACAAAATACCTCCACACCACCGACGTTTTCGTGCCAGTGTTGCCGACGATGTCGTCATCTGTTGAGCCGCCATCGTCATTTCTGTCGGGGGTAGCACTTGGTTCTAATTCAGTACATGATTGGTTCAGCGCAAAGTTGACCTGGAGCAACTCCCCTTTTCATTGGCTACTCGTACAGTCTACCAAAACATGGCAGAATGCCGACAATCGAAAAGGATATTGACCATGTTTCATTTCGATATCGAGGAAAATTAATTTTCGATATATATCGTTATTATTTTATCGCCCAGCCCTATTCAACGCTAGAGGGAAAGGTGTGTGTCTGTGTGTATATCTGTGTGTGTGTGTGCATACCATGAAAGATGGATTGTCTGAGAGGAGAGGTCGTTTGTTTGAATGAGGTCAGCGTTGGGCAGCGACCCTTGACCCGGCAGTTATTGCTGCTGATAAAAGATGAGGAGACAGAGCCGGACAGGCGTTCAGACCTAAATTTAAAGGGTCGACCATTTTCCTCTGCTGTGTCTGTACTCAATAACTCCTACTGTGCTCGAAGACTGAGTGTGGGTGTGCACAGGCTGTGAGTGAGACAGCAGCAGCAGCAGCAGCAGCGGTAAAAATTAGGTTTTTGTGTCAGCCTCCTAATGAGGAGGAAGAGCGTTTTCTCAGAACTCTGTTCTAGCAGAGACATTCAGCTGCTTAATGAGGTCAAGATAGTGACTTTACGAGTCTTTGTCTCCCAAAAACTCCAAATGTCAGCCGCTTTGATTCATATTAGGTCAGGTGACCACGTGTAAAGTAAAAGGTGTGGCATCTACGACTTCCAATGGTAACCGATTCAACTCTCTGACTCACTTTGGCATTTTTCAGTTCTAGTTTTTATGACCCACAGCTTTTACTCCTTTGGTTCAGTTACACCATTTTAGTCAGTATTATCTTACCCAGGCCTACACATGTTCATCTGAAGTGCATCGAAAACTCCCTTCTGTTATATTTTGCCCTGAAATCTGCCTCAAAGTGGGTTTTTGGAAAGGTATGACGGCTAACAGGATACTTGTTTATCAGGAGTTTGAATACGGCTTATCTGGATGTTTTCTCAATAAGTAAATCAGTCTCTCCGTCATTTCCACAGATGTTTTTTTTATCAGGTTTCTATCCATCTGTGAGTCAGTGTGTTTCATTGTGTTGGACATCTATATATATATATAGATTTACAGACGCCAACTATAAGTGGAAATGAACTGTTACTGACACCAAAACTCAACTGCGAATGTAGTGGGGCATTAACAGTAGTAGCTAGAGGTGGTGGAGACCAAAATAGAGCAAAAAGTTTCGTAAATACTAAACTTTGATACGCAAGATGACCTGAAACATGATACTTCCTGTTTCAGTTGGTTTGTTTACATGCACAGTTAAGTCAGAGCTGGATTAGAGGATTTAACTGGATTTATGTCCGAATTACTGACATGAGCATGTCCGCCTCCACAACAGTAGGTGGCGACATGCCCACTTTCAGCTTGTTACTATTGGGTGGTCTCCCAGTTGGCTTTTTATTAATCAAAACTATCGACAGAACTCGTTAGCAAGAGGCTAACAGGATGCTTTTACAGCTCTGACCTGTTCGACTGTGTGATAGTAGGGTGAGTGACCATATTCTAAATCTCCAAAAAGAGGACAGTACTAGGCGGGGCGGAGTTGTGCGCAAAATTTTGAGGGTTTTTTAGTTGGGGATTTCACACGGTTCTAACAAAGTAAGTCCATGCAACACAAACTCAAAACCCCGGACATTTGAAGTATTTTATAAACTCCCCCGGACAAGGCCAGACAGCCGCCCAAAAGAGGACATGTCCGGGTAAAAGAGGACGTATGGTCACCCTAATGAAAGGAGAGTTTCGTCTTTTTTACGTTCTCTGTCAAAGTTTTGTTTACCTCCCGGTTTTTGGCCTCATTTTTGGGGCGCTGTCATGCCCATCTTTGTTTGAATGGTGTTAGTAGTGACACTAAATGCATAAATGAAGTAAAAGTTAAGAGATATGGACACAAGAAGTTTGTTCATCATCAGACGACAGCTGATGATTAAATTCTCTGAGGTGTTAGAATAAAACGTTGAGTGACCCACATCCAAAGTCCTTCTTTCTTGGAGTGAATGTGACGGAGCAGACGTCAACACTGGAGACGCAGTAATCCTAATTTGACCACAGTCTCCATCATCAGCCCCCTCCTCCTCCTCCTCCTCAGTATTTTGCTCCTTTCAGGACTTGGACTTCATGGGTGTAATAATTTAACAAACTGGTTTGGCACCACCACTGAGACATATCTGGGGAGCTTGCAAAATTAGAGGGTACAGCAGCCGCGGCCAAGGACAAAAACCCCCAGAGACGAATGAAAACTGACAGCAGACTGCCCCACTTTTCCAGGCATGGACCTGTCAGCCAATCAGGACGAAGAAGGAGACCAGGAGGTCTTCCAGTTGGAGATGAGCCGTGAGGACAGGAAGTGTGCCTTCAGGACCGCTGCCGGGAAATACTGGACTCTGACAGCGGGCGGAGGACTGCAGTGCACGGCCTCCACCAAGTAACCACACACTCGCACAAACACTATCACGCACTGAAATCCGGCACACTCTTTCTTCACAGCCGGCTCATCCAGGTGTGGTTGTGTGTCGCAGGTCGGGCAACAGTTTCTTTGAGCTGGAGTGGCGTGATGGTCGCGTGTGTGTGCGTGCAGCTAACGGCAAATACGTGGTCGCTAAGAAGAACGGACAGCTAGCGGCGACTGTTGACAACTCAGGTTAGTGGTGTGTCTGAAGTTAACAGATAAATACTAGAAAAAAGTTCCTCACAGGAGCTTTAAGAGTTAATTTAGGCAGCAACTTTGGACCCTAACATCACTCTCTAGGGTCAGAGAAGGTCAAAGTTTGGACTAACTCTGTCGTCTCTGCAGGGGAGGCTGAACAGTTCCTGATGAAGCTGATCAACCGTCCTCTCATCGTCCTTCGCGGGGAGCACGGTTTCATCGGGGCTCGTAAAGCGGGGATAGCCACCCTGGACTCGAACCGAGCTTCATACGACGTGTTCCAGCTGGAGTTCCACAATGGAGCTTACTCTCTCAAAGGTGGGCACCGGCTCTACTTTGACTCTGCGGATTTATCCTGGTGTTTTTCAAGCATGTTTTCATTTCTTATAAGTCACAAAGTTTTCAGGACAGAGTGCAGTTTTCTAAAACAGGCAGTTCTGGTTCAATCAAAGTGATACGTGTATTTGGAGTAAGGATGGCCAGTGTTCAAATCTGTGAATTTACTCTTAGCTTGACTTTTGTAGCCTGCCTGGACTAAAACTGCTCGAAGTTTAGCATGCAATGAAGTTAATGCAAATCTGTGAACAAGACCAAACCAAACCCTGACCCTAGTGCTTTAAACTCTTAGTTACAGCGGGTTCAACATGTGCTGTAATCTGGTAATAAAGGTGTCAGTTCCTCTCTACCTCCCTCACAATGCCGTCCTGTCTGAACTGTGGATGTTAAGAATAGTGTTTAACAGGCTTGATTTAGCATCAGAAGGTCAGTTCTGTGGAAACAGTCCTGCTCTTTGGATTTTTGCCTCTTATCTTTATGACACCTGAAATATTTGAATAAACTTTATAAATAGAAACTGTTTTTTCCTATAACCCCTGACCACCACTATCACCACATAGGGCTGCACGATTGATCAATTTTAAATCATAATCAGATTATTTAATTATGACGAGTAAACCACTCCCCGCTGTAAAGTCTGTCTGAAGGCGGTATCAACCCGTCACCACGGAAACTAATTCAGGAGGAAACGCTAAAGTTTTTTGTCGTATCAGCGTTTCAGGTGACTGTAAACGGTACTTTTTGAAAACGGGTCAGAGAGTGAATAAATCTGTAAACGACGACCATTTCATCTCCGTGTGGATGTCTATCTGCATCTCTGGAAACGATCATGTGACACACAGAGGAACTCTTTTATGGCGCCAAAACAACCTTTATACACGTGCTCTGTACTCTTCATACTCTGTACTTCTTCTGTCTTTGGTGCATTTCCTGTGCAGCGTTGCCGGGATTTCCACCGCATCCGGAACGGCAGCGATTTTTCGTCGTACGCCAATTCCTACTGAAGCCGGATGTTTTATTTTGTGTCTGTGCCCGACTTCCTTTCCAGCACGAGTTAATCTGTGCCAAATTTATCCGGCATGCTCCGGCGTCCGTAAAAAATAGAACTCCTATGATCAGCTGAGGAGTCCGGTGATCTGCAGAGGAACGGAAAGAAGTCGGTGGAAATTGACACGTTAACTTGATCAGCTACGATCGACAGATACGGCCTTTTCGTAGACGTTCTGTATGCGGTGGAAATTACCGGTTACAGCACGACTTACTGGCTTGGCATATTCACTACATCGTTTTCAGAGGTTTAATTTTGAGAGATTAAAAAAAACTTTTTATTTTTAAAGTGAAGTTTGGTGAATTTGTCTCTGAATAAAAAATCTAAATCAAGTTTTTAGAGAAAAAAATCAGGATTTTTATTTTGGTCAAAATCATGCAGCCCTACCACTACAGTAAGAGTGGAATAATGCGTCAATTCCAATAGTTATCCATCACTTTGTCTAAGGAAACATACCAGCATGTGTGTGTGTGTAACTACCAGTGTGTGTGTGTGTGTGTTGTGTGTTCAGACTCCCAGGGGAAGTACTGGTGTGTTGGAGATGACACGGCCGTGGTGTGCAGCAGCTCCACGCCCGTCCAGTTCCTGTTTGAGTTCTGTGACCTCAACAAGATGGCTATTTGCGCTCTGGGGGGGAAGTACCTCAAAGGAGACCACGCCGGAGGGCTCAAGGCCAGCGCCTCCTCGCTGGACAGCGCCACTCTCTGGGAATACTGAGGAAGCACAGCCGGACCTCCCTATACTGTCCGAAACGATACTTCAAACACTAGATAGAAACTGTAGGTAGCTGTTTTTATTTGCATACGTATGTGTGAGTGTGTGTAACTGTGGACTTGTCTGGATGGATGTGTGGTGACGTTGAAAAGCTGATTAACTGGAAGTCGTGGCACCAAAGCACTACTTTTATTATTCCATATAACTCTTTTCTCAGTCGCTCTCTCGGAAACTGATCACAGCGCGGCTTCACGTTTGTTCCACCTGAGAACCATCAGGACCGTTATTCTTATTAGTTGTGCCTCTTTCTATTAACTTCTGGTGTAAACAAATATGTAGAATGCTCTGACTCATAACCTACAATATCTTATCTTCTTCTAAAGGCTGACTCTGTTGTGCTGCTTTCAAACTATGACATGTTTAACACACAGGATATCAGGATGTCATTGATTCATGTATTCCTGCTGTAAATATTGCTTCTGTATGTCACTAAATGCTTCAAAACACCTTGTTACCACGGAAACGGGATGAGGAATGGACTGTGGCTCTCTTCACACACCAAGCACAAGTGAAATCATTCGCGCGAATGAATTACATGTTAAGTCAATGCAAAGACGCGAACGACGCGAATTGGGCGGAAGCTGAATATGTCTCAATTTGAGTGGATATTGGTGACATATGAAAACGGACAGTTGTTCACTGGTATCTAAAATGTAGGACAAACTGATCATGTCGGTGTGTTGGTGCCCCAAATTGTATGATACCTTTTCTTTCAATTACCGAAACCAGAATCGAAAGAAGATCACCTGGAGGCAAGTGAGTGAGAAGGTCGGATATTCTGGTAAATTGTAAAAAAGCTTTGTCCAGTTGGATTGGCAGGGGTGACCGTTGAAATTACCATTGACGCACGAATGAAGTAAATAAATACTTTTCATTCAAGCGTCTAGATTCGCGCGAATTAAGCGAGTAGATGATTTTACTCGCGCTTGTCGTGAACACCCCATTACACACATGGCCTAACTATACCTGTTTTTTTCCTGCTCTGAGATGCACAAGCAGACAAATCTGTGTAAAGGTTTCCATAAAAGGCTTTAATTCACTCTGTTTTTTAAGTTATACTGAAGAAAATATAAATGCAAAAAAGTGGGAGGAGCTTGTTTAGGTGAAATGATCGTCCTCTTTTAAAAAATGGGAGGGGCCAAGTTACTATACATCATAAAATGCACAAAATATAAACAAATATGCATCTGTATATATACAGTAGATATGAATTCAAACTGTGAGTCAGAATCTGCACAAAGTCCAACCACAAGAATTGAGAAGCACATCTTTGTCGTGATGAAATGTCTGCCTTAGTTCGGGTGCTGCTAGCTGAAAGAGTCAGTCATTTCTCTGGCTGTTACTGTGTTCGTGCCTTCATAAAGTGTTCCTGTCTTTTCCTTTTCATGAGCCCAGTTAACCCCCCAATAAAGTTTTACCTCTTAACAGTGAAAATTCTCATGATTGTTTTTACTGCTGAGTTTGGTTGTCGGGGTCGAGCTGCACTGATTTTCTACAAGTCTATTTTCTTCTATAGATAAGGTTTGTAGACTGTAAGGAGGTTGTAACGGTGAACAGGAGCCCTCCACTTTGGATCAGGGTCCTGCTTAGCCTTGGTAACGGTCTGTTCTTTGTACCAACAGTCTGTTGTCAAGGAATAGCAGACCGTTGCTAGGGAATTTTATGACAAGGCATGAGTTCTTCCAGAAAGGTTGGCATCCTCTGTAAAATGTTGATTGAAATACATTTAATTGTAAAAGGAAGACATATTAAAGAAGAGGTGTTAGCTTATTTATTTGGATTTTTATTTTTATTTTTTATCATTTTTATTGAATTAATAAAGTTCTAATTCGTATTGTTCCTCTGAAAGCTTCTTAGCAACTTGACATGATTTATAATTCAACATATTCTTTATACATTTCAGGCTGCTTTCTTTGAATGAAGCCACTGTCTCTTTAAGGCCCCTGCAGCATTCCATAGCCCAACATTCTAGAAGCCTCCTTCACTGTTGCCAAATTTGCTCTTTTAAGTAGATTCATTGTCTGGTAATGTCACAGGGATTACTTCCACACACATTAACTTTGAAATCTGAAGAAAAAAAAGGCGTGGTTTTACTAATTCTTATATGCTTCTTATGAATTTGATCCAAACATCACATTTCCGAAAAGTTCAGACAGTGAAAACACAAAGATGAAAATGTGAATGTGTGAGCGATCAACAGCTTCAGAGCGATGTTTCAGAGCACAACGTTGCAAATAATTTGGGAGTTTTGTCATTTATAGAACATGATATCAAATGATTCAGTGAATCTCAAGGTCCCTCAGGCAGCACTGTGTTCAAAACAGACATGGCTCTGTAGTAGAGATCACTGCATAGGAACACAGTTTGTCTCTGCTTCTACAAATGTGGGATAAAAATGCATCACACAGAAATAAGACATGTCCCACACACCAACGACCTCTTGGAGTGTTATTAATGCACAGAGCAGCCTCGATTGTGTCTTTTTGTTTAGTGCTAATAGTTTGTAGACCACGCCTCTGAAGAGCTCCACTCTCACAGTGTCATGTTCCCCTCCTTTAATCCTGAACAGACAACGAGTGGTGCCATTGTGGCTTCATTTCAGCATCCGTCCAGCGTGGAAACCATCTTGTTCTGTTAAAAAACCCCATTGTCATGATTTTTACAAACACTGTTGTGTGTGGGAGAAGGAAGAAAAGCTCTGCGTCATGCCCCCCTTGAGATTTCACCGAGCCAAAACTGTCCAAAAGGAAGGAAGGTGAGGGTGGAGGGAGGTAACCTACTCCACTTTCTCCATCCCTCTGCAGAGCAGACTCAGCTCTCCTCTCCTCTTTAAAAAACACACACAGTCCTTCTTCTGTGTGCTAAACTATACATTATTACTTCAACAGACAGAGACAAGATCAGGCAAAAACAACACCTCCTTCTCTCTGCACTACAGGATCTCTGCATGTTGCCATGGTAACAGGTAATGGCAGGGATTGGGCGAGAGGAGGATGAATGTTTGGAGATGTAACAGACAAACGCAGATCAGTGGTTTTATTAGACCTCAGTAGTCTAATCCAATAACTCGACTGGAAAAGGACTTTATATAAAAAGCTCTTGATAAGCACAGACTTTAGTGACGTGAAGCTTCCACTGTACAGGAAGAAACAATACTCCTATTTGTCTGAGTTTGAGTCTCTCTGTGTTTGTGTGCAAACCTTTTCATCTGCAAGGCCCAAACTCCCAGAATTCGCTGAGTAGAGGAAGGAGAACAAAAGGAAGGGCAGAGAGAGAGCAAAGTGATCAAAGATGTGCAGAAAGAGGGCGACTGCTGACCTGGAGATCTGCTACTGTGATTTTGAGAGTCGTCAAGGTTACGAGTCTCTGACAGCTTCATCGCAGAAAGATACCGACCTTTTTATTAGAGAAGCTGACCTATTATTAGAAACGGCAGGTGGATATTCTCATTAGCAAAAAACAACCTTGTATAAATTACATTGAGTTCTTTATTCATCAAATAAATTGAGGGAGAGTTAATCAAACCCGGCCACACACAGGATAGCAGACTCTGTGACTAACATTAGCAGAGCTAGCACCACCAGCTTTTGCTCCTCTTTGCTGGTTATAAGCTAGCTTCACCGAACATACTCCATATATAACTTTATTACCTCCTATGACATGAAAAGTCGCCTCAGTTTCCTTCTACAATAACAGAAATATAAAATAACTCATTTCACCAATTACTCTGTAAAAGTTACATGTAGGAATCTGAACACCCACATCCGACACTTCTACTACAAAATATGTGAAGTTTAAGGTTATTTTCATACTTTCCTGATAAATGCATTAGGACACATTTGTCTGTCTGTAAAGCCACAGTGAGGACCTGTCGGACAGTGTGGATTATGGCGCCTCCTCTGGTCAAAGCTGTACTTCAATCTTCCCTGCAGATATTTCACCAATAGCAAAGCTTGAAAATGTAAACAAAAACAGCGATTACTTAATACCGCCCTCTTTCACAGACCCTATGGCCAGGTTATGAGCACCTGTTTGCTTTGGTAGCTCATATGAAGACGGCAGACTCGGCCTCCGCCAAAATCAACCGCAGCCTGTTTCACAACCAGCCAAAAACCTCTCACTGAAACTTTGTTTAGTTTTCACTTTGGGACAAAAAGTTCCCTCAGAAAATATTAACAGCTGTTTTTCCCAAAGTAATGCCACGGTTTCGTAGATACAGGCAGATATGTGCACGGTGTTAACCACTTTCCCAAACTTATTAAAACTGAGTTTTCTCTGGATGTAAGTTGTTGATATCTCTGGGAAAAAGAAAAAACTAAAATTTCTCTATGTTAGAAAACATTTTTAGTACCACATCCAAAGTACTTTGGTACAGTTAACTAAATTTGGAGTTTCTCTGTTCATGTGGGCTGTTATTTGTGTAAGCTGTGGCACTACAGTCTCTAAATATATCACAAACTTCCAAGGTTGTAACACCAGTAATTTACAAACCTATACTTAACAAACTGAGAGATCTAACCTTCCTGCCTGTTTTTTTTCTATTGGGGTCTACTGCTGCCATCTAGTGTGGATTATATGAGGTGGCAGGATCCAGTATTTTTCTAGTATATATCTGATTGCAACACTCCTCTGTAAACCCAGCAGATCTCTGTCCTCGTCCCTAATCTCACATCTTTATGATGATTTGTGTCTTGATGGGGGAAAAGACACTCACCGCACACACAATGAACCAACAAGGACAGAGGGGGAGGACAGGGACTACATACACACTGGGAAACGAGCAACAGGTGAGGCAGACGAGACACAGGTGAGACTCATGGGTGATTAACAAAGGAGGGACAACTAAGGGAGTAAAACCAGACTAGAAACACAAGGAATCAACTACTACAAAATAATACAGGAAATAAACACTGAAAACTGATCTAAAGAATAAAACACTGAGAACAGGAGGGAAACAGGGTCAAACACAAACTGAACACTCTCAAGACTGGACTACAGGGGAACAGGACTACGGTGAAATCGACTCAAGTGAAACCAGAGAAAACTAAATAAACAGAACTTATCATGACAGATCATATCATACTGTATCATATCATATTGTATTGTATTGTATCATATCAAATCATATTGTATTGTATCGTAACATACTGTATTGTATCATATCATATCGTATTGTTTTATATCAAATTGTATCAAATCATATCATATCATATTGTATTGTATCATCATATATATCATATAATATTTTATTGTATCATATCATGTTGTATTGTATCATATTATATTGTATTGTAGCATATTATATCATATTGTGTCATAACATAGTGTATTGTATCATCTTGTTGTATTCCATAATATCATATTGTATTGTATCAAATTATACTGTATTATATCATCATACATATATTATATTATATTGTATCATATCGTACTGTGTTGTATTATATCGTATTGTATTACATCATATCATGCTGTATCGTATCATATCATATGGATTTTATCATATGGATCATATTGTATAGTTTTGTAACTTATGGTATTGTATCATATTGCACCACATAAACTGTTTGTAACCTAACATTCTGCATTACTGTGTGGTACTGACTGTATTGTGTCATAATAATTGTGATGCATCAGGACTTATGGAAACAGATATCCTCAAACCCTTCTTATAAAAAAAACAGATGCATTATGGGTGGTAGCTTTGCAGAAAGTAATCCTACCCTAAAAATCAGGAAATGCCAGGTTTACAGCAGCCTGACATTCATTTCTCTCTGTAACAGTTCTGTTTTGACCTGTGGCTGTTTTTCCTACCTAATTTGATTGTGTTCCTGTCTTATTTGCTCGTTTATATTAAACAGGAACAGCTGACCTTCTTTAAAGGTAGAGAGATAGGAGATAGAACAAACTAATTCACACACCCAAACACACACAAAGCCGCCTTATCGTTGTATCTGTTTGCCTTCAGATAACCACATCCAGCCAAACAGTGTGAGTCAGCAAGAGACAAAGACGGCCTGTTTTTGTTTTTCCTATTTTATGACCGTAAATGAGATGCTTATGGAGAAACAAACAGGGAATTTCTGTTTCCTCAAACAAACCATGTTGTCCAGTTAACTCTTCAGCTTCACTTAAAGCACCAGTGGGTGTCTCTCAATTAATCCTTGTAGGTGTGATGATAATCAGGCTGCTAAAATCAATACTTTGATTTGTTTCCAGTGTTTGTGATAATAGGAAGTGTGCAGATGTGTGTATACACAGCTCAATAATTATGTCTGTATTGTTTCTTGGATTAACCTCCCATGACTCACAGCCCGTGTAAACATTCACACACGTGTCGGTATCTTCATGACGACAAGTTCACATGAACATCGCAGAAACCACGTGGGGGTAATGGACCAAGAACTGAACCAATCCGGCAAATGAGCCGCAAAAATGAAGGTATGGTCACGGGACATGATGTATGGTAGTTCAGGTGAGTATGAAAGAGGAGCTGGACGAGTGACACACAGTGACGTCGAATCCACAGCTGACAGGGTTACTGATGGTTAAAGGGCTGCAGAATTAATCTCAGTAAGTCAGTACTCAGCGGTTCTCACTACACACGGGTTTCTTGTGTACAAACAATACCAGGTGCGCATGCAACCAGGGTGCAAAAGCATGCTTCAGAGTGAACTGATATTAATGAAGATGCCATATTGTTTGCACGTTCTCCCTGACGCAACTGCAATAAAATGTCATTTCATTGAAAAATCGCTTTCTTCATGGAAATACAATCAGACCGAGACACTAAGGCAGAAGATCTACCGCGTCTGCAGTGCAAAATGATTAATATGATTATTACTGCAAGGAAATGATAAAGAAATGATCATAAATGTTCTTCCTTAAGCTGCGTCACCCCACTGTTGTCCGTAATGGACTGGCCTGAGGTCTTGCTAGAAACAAGCGGCTGCTGGAAGAGAGTAGGTGAGTTGTGTTAAGTCTCTTAGTCAAAGTTAAAAAGATGTTTGGTGTCTAGTACTATGGCTGTGACCCTATATGTCCTGTTGATGAAGTTAGGTGCTGTTCTGAGCATTATTTGTGGCTATAGAGTGGCGTTTTGGTTGAGGGCGTGGCTCTCTGTATTGCTATCCTGCGGTCGTTACTAAAGTTGGTATAACTAGAGAAGCAAGCGGTCGGCAACATTCATCTCTAGAGGGGGGGTCTAACTCTGTGTTACAATGTGTTTGACCCTAAATTAAATTTACGCCAGAATATCCCTTTAACACTGTAAGTCTAACATCAGAAGCACTAAAGAGTTTTGTAAGATAACTCCATGGCTACTCTCATTTTGCGACTAATCCCTTGGTTATTTTCCACTTTACTTTGAATCATAGTTTTAATTTAATACTTCATAACTGAGCAGGATAAATTATAATGCAGCACTGATTCCTGATTCCATATTAAACACATTTACAAATAGATGTACAGGAGTATCTTAATGATGTTGAGCCTCTCAGAAAGCTGTTAAAGAGGTTAAAGTGACTCATATGGGGACATAAACACATGTCTCTGTACTGATTGTTGACTTACAGTAAAAAAGACACTAAATCTGTCCATGTTTCCATGTTTCCATGTTTCCACGCTGCTAAATGTCACAGCGCTGAGTGCTCTTGTTATGATTCCTGCTCCACCGCGTGGAAAGGAAGCTGATTGGTGGAGAGCAGCAGCGGTCAGCCTATAATTTCTCCTGAAAGCCTCAGAGGTGACCAAACATCACCATCATCATGTCTGTGTCAGGACGACCCAACACGGTCCGGCTGGTGTTCCTCGGGGCTGCTGGGGTCGGTAAAAGTTCACTTATACGACGTTTCCTCCACGACCGCTTCGAGCACAAGTACACGCGCACTGTGGAAGAGCTTCACGTGCTTGAGTATGACACGGCAGGGTCTGGGAAGACGCGTCTGGAGATCCTGGACACGAGTGGGAGCTACTCTTTCCCGGCCATGCGAGAGCTCTGCATCCGACACAGCGACGCCTTCGCCCTGGTTTACGCCGTGGACGACCCCGGGTCCCTCGAGGAGGTGAGACGGCTCCGTGACGAGATTCTGGAGCTGCGGGGACGCAAGGGCGCGCCCATCACCGTGGTGGGCTGCAAGGCGGATCTGACAGAGATGGAGGGTCGCGTGCTGCCGGCGGCGGATGTCATGGCCACGGTGGAGGGTGAGTGGGATGCGGACTTCGTGGAGGCGTCCGCGCGCACAGGTGGAAACACGGTGGGGGTGTTCCGCGCGCTGCTCCAACAGGTGAAGATGCCGCACCGGCTGAGCCCCGCGGTGTGGAGGCGCAGAGACACGGAGCCCGGCGCGGCGGTGAAGAGGAGACCCCCGCTGAAGAAGAACCACAGCTGTATCCTGTCATAGAACCGAACCGAACCTGCAGCTGGACTGCACGTGCTCAGGTGATGCTGGTCAGCACTCTACCTGGTTGGACCAGGGAAGGAAATGTCCCACATGAACTTGAAGTAATGCCACTAAAAAGGAGAATATGGGGCTTTGACTTCTGTGTGCACTTTTTATCTGATGTCAATAAAGTTTTTCAGAGATGTTTTTGTTCTTTGTCTTAAATTTGACTCATTTTGTAAAGAAGTCAAAAACGTCAACTGTGCAAATGTTTCATAAAATCCAGAGTTAAGAGAAAGTCAAATCTACAGATCAATAGTATAGCTACAATCTCAACTAGAGTGAGGGGACATAGAAATAGAAATGCTCAAGTTTAGTTTGTCATGATTTTGCTGATTGAAGCAAAATCATTGATTAAAGGGATATTCTGGCGTAAATTGAAGTTATGGTCAAACACACCGTAACACCGAGTTAGACACCCCCTCAAGAGATGAATGTTGCCGACCGCTTGCTTCTCTAGTTCTATTTCAATAAAGAGTCATGGTTTGAGAAGACATTTGGTGCTTTTATTTGTCTTGACATTTTAAGTTACAGTTTCAAAGTTCATGTTTATTTATCTCATTAAAACATGGTGTTATAACATGACATGTAAAGTGTATTTATCAAATCACTATTGGAAGTGTAAATATTCCATCGATTTGCTAGAAGGAAATAGATTCACAGCAAGGTGGAGTATTTTGGTACAATTTACAGTAAAAATATGCAAATAAACCTCTTTAGAAAAAGTGTAAATAAACTGTAAACAGCTACTTATCTTTCAACAGGATTTTCCTGTTAACAGATTTTTGCTGTATTCATAAAAACAGCAAACTGTAAATTTCAGCAACAGCAATGTAATGATAATTTTACAGTAACTTCCTGGCAACCCTACTGCCAATACTTTACTGTTTTTTAACAGGGGAAATTTCTAAGAGTGTACCAACTATAGAGACGACCGCAGACAGCAATACAGCCAAAACGCCACTCTATAGCCACAAATAATGCTCAGAACAGCACCTGACTTCATCAACAGGACATATAGAGTCACAGACATAGTACTAGACACCAAACATCTTTTTAACTTTGACTCATTTCTTTAACAAAGAGACTAAACACAACTCACCTACTCTCTTCCAGCAGCTGCTTGTTTGAGAGTCGATCATCGAGTGCAGTGGAGTTTCGCAGCTCAAGGAAGAACATTTATGATCATTACTTCATGGAAATACAATCAGACTGAGACGCTAAGACAGAAGAACTACCGCGTCTGCAGAACAAAATGATTATTGTGATGATTATTACTTCAAGGAAATGATAAAGAAATGATTTAAGTGGCATAAAAGCACACAAGACACATTTGTGTGTTTACAGAAACATCTATCTATCTATCTATCTATCTATCTATCTATCTATCTATCTATCTATCTATCTATCTATCTACCTGTGCGTGTGTGTTCAAACACAGCAGTAAACTCAACTCAAAATGTTTGTTCTCCTAGATTAATTAGAAACGGCAACTACAACCGTCTCACATTCAATCACACTAACAATGTTCAAGCCCCCCGATCAAAGGTAAACAGCATCCCTGTCACTACCTTGAAACTTTGTTATATCTGTAAAAAATAGCCTTATAGATTATTATTTACTTTTTGAACTTAAGTGTTTCTAATAAAAATTTGTGTTACTATATATATAAGACAGTCATTTGTACAAACAAACCTTTATTGTAAAGACTACAGAGGGCAAAGTTCAAGGCCCTACCAGTTAGCTTTTTATACATTTAACACAATACTAGCATCTCTCCTTATAAATGTGTGTCTTACTATAATAAACTCTTAGAATATACCAACTCAGTCTGGAGTTTTTTGGGTAATGTGGACAGAGTTGTGTATGGTATGTAATAGGAAGCTAATTGGACTGATGCTAAATGAAGACACACAGCTCAAGCCTGTCACTATCTCTGTTATGGCAAATGTTAGCTGCCATTGTTCACTGCAAGATGTGAATATTAAAATGAGTCACAGCTTCATAAAAATAGCTCCTCTCTGAGCATGAAGCCAAATCGTGCTGTTTGTGGTAATAAACAAGTATGAATGAATAAACACAAACCAAAGGGGAACATTGTGAATCAACAAACAGGGATCTTACGCTCTTTTCATTCATCCATCCTCTCCCACTCATCCGCCTCTTAGCATCCTCCACTTGTCCCCATCAGGACTAATCTGCACCTAAATACAGACGAACACTCTTATCTGAACAAAAACCTCATCAGCAGGAGAGAAAAGAAAAGGAGAATCCCCTCCGGAAGTACACAATGTCTATTCGAATAAATAAGCCTTATACTTACTGCTCTGAAAATAGCTTTGCTCCCCTCAGTACCCTCATACTCCTCTATTTCAGTAGAATAATAACTCAGATTCAGTGGGCTGAATTACACAGGCACATCATAATATTATATTCAATGACATCCAGAGAAGATGAATAAGCCTTTAGTACCTTCAGACTGCAAAAGACTAGTTATTCAGGTTCATGGTTGGATCACACCTGTGTATAAAGATGACTGCAGTATTTCAAATGCTATCTTTGGTTGCAGTTCAGTTCATTTCTTGCCGTTTATGTTGCTGTTAGCGTTAACATTAAGTGAAACTGTCAGTGACTTTATAGCTGTCAATTCATAACAACAAAACCACAGTCCAAATACAGTTGATGGGGGAAAGATGAACCCTTTCTCATATTTCAGATCACTTCATCAAGTCAATCCTTGTTTTGTCTCTAACTAGTGAATCTGCAGATATTTCAGGATGTTGTTCATCCTGCAAACCAACAGAATGAGTGTAAACAGAACTGTAATCTTCATAATATAGCAGGACAAAATAGAAGTGGTCTCCACTTTTGTTTGAAGAGGCAGAGGACTAGACACTCGTGTTGAGATGGCTTTCTGTCATGATAGCATGTACTGAGCATGTACCAGATAAACACATGAAACTATGGCAACAACCGTTAGCTTACATTAGCACAGATGAAAGTTAAAACAAAGACGTTTAGCAAACTGTTAAAGCACACAAAACATCGTCATAGGAGAAATCCGACACTATGACTCTCCACAAGTTGTCCTTCAGGTCGTTGTCTTTGTAATGTTTGTGTAAACGATCATAAAGAATCAGCCAGTCAGCCATTTTGGATATACCGGTGAATCTGACGTCACAACAACATGCAATCTGATTGGTCAGAAGTGGACACACAGTATGCAAAACTTTAGAAAAATCGGCCGTGATATGAAAAAATAAATGCTGCAATATCGCAGGACGGGAAAACGTCGCTGATGTGAACGCTTGTATTGACAGGATACGGGTTCGAAAAAAAATACTGACGACAAAAACAGTTCCGGTGTGAAAGGACCTTTAGTCTAAACTTGGCCTGAATTTAGACGTCTAAGAAACGTTCAGTTTTAATCGTGTGGTTGCCTGATTTTAGACCAGTCGTCTGGGCTACATTTAGACGTCTATTAGACCAAAAAGTGCTCAGGGGAAACAGAGGGTGTCTCAACTTACCCTTTGGCTCAACTTACCCCACTCTCCCCTACTCCAGCATAACCACTTTAAACTCGAAACTTTTCCACGGTGGGATGAGTTTCCTTTCACTTGAGTCAAGTAAATGTAATATTTTGTGTCTGTTTAATCATATTTACAAACTGCTTTTTGACTCTTCTCATCCTTTGCTCGTGAAAACATAATTTAACCAGGAAATCCACAACACTGAATCGTGCTCGGCTGTTTAAATACCAATCTGACTCCATTTCCCGACAGCACTGTGGAAGAGGAAAGAATGAGCGACCGGCAACCGAAATCCAACCAATCACAGCGCGGGATTTGCAATCTCTCGTTTGTGATTGGCTGTTTTTGCACTGGCTTTCCCACAATGCTTTGCTGGCCCGCCTTGGAATTCAAATCGAGCTGACCAATGAGAGAGCGCCGTAACGACTGAGGAGCATTTTAAACTTGTTCTGGTGACTGTTGTCAAAAAAGGAGAGAAGAAGGAGGACAGAGGGAGGACGACGGCTTCATTTCTGTCTGTTCAGGTTTAGTTTGCGCAGAATTTTAATGTTAGACTAAAAGACTCGAACGTCGTCCTCGTTAGTTTTGATTTAAATCACCGGTGTTCGTGAGAAGTTAGCTGCTAAACGGACGTCGTTTGACAAAAGTTGGAGTCTTGGAGCTTCTGTCGAGAGGAGGAGGGGAACCATTTTAGGAGCTTCAATTCCAGATAAACCGATCCAAAATGAGCGCAGCTGTAGCCAAACCGGCGAACCCGTCGACGAACATCGACCCGAAATCGGCTCCTCTCAAAGAGATCCCCGATGTTCTGGTGGACCCCCGCACCATGAGGAGGTACGCCCGGGGGAAGTTCCTCGGTAAAGGGGGCTTCGCCAAATGTTACGAGATCACAGATTTAGAAACGAAGCAGGTGTTCGCCGGGAAAATCGTGCCAAAGTCCCTGATCCTGAAGCAGCACCAGAGGGAGAAGATGACCTCCGAGATCGCCATTCACAAGAGCATCAACCACGCCAACATCGTGGGTTTCCACGGGTTCTTCGAGAACGAAGACTTCGTGTTTGTCGTCCTGGAAATCTGCAGGAGAAGGGTGAGTGTTAGGGAGACTGCTGCAGGGAAAAAACACACTTTAGACCAGGGTTAACGATTTTCAACACATTTACAAAAAAACAAACTCACTTTTACAGGCTTTTCTCTTTTATGTGATGTTGTCTTTTGTCTTTTCTCTATCATCTTTTATGTGTATCTATCTATCTATCCAACTCTATATCTATCTATCTATCTATCCAACTATCTCTCTCTCTCTCCATCTATCAATCTCTATGACTACATGTCAAACCACTTTGCAAACTTCTGTTTTCAAAAGGGCTTTGACATGTAGTCATAGAGCACATGGAAGAAGACAGAGCTCAGTAAAAAAGAGAATTGAAGCCATTTTCATGTCATAAGAAACCCAGACCATACAAGAACCATGCAACATAAAATGAGACCATAAGGACCAAAATAAAAACAATAAAAGGCCTAAAAGGTTAATTAAGAAAAGAGTACAAGTATGACAAAAGCTAAAAAGACAGTAAAGCTGAAATAAGATAAAAGAGGTAATAGAGGTAAAAGAGAAAAGTTAGCATCACATAGAAACAAGTCTGTAAAAGTGAGTTTTTAAATCTGACTTAAAAGATGGAAGAGGTCTTGGTGAAAATCGTGATATACAAATAAAGTTATTATTCTGTTGTCGTCCTCCCTGTCATACAGGAGGCAACTTAAAATGTCAGAAATAGTAAATCATCTTTTAAAAAACGAAGCTTAAAATAACATTTAAAGTGTTGTCTTACTTTGGTTTGTGTTTTGACATTTTCCTATTTATCACCTTCCAACCGCTCAAAGTCCAGACCGTCTACTTTCTATTTTCAGTGACTCTCAAAGCTCCTCTGTCCCTTTCAGATCCTGCATCCTGAAAATCTGAGTGACAAACTTTGACGTTTTCCGTTTCCTTTTCAGTCCCTGTTGGAGCTGCACAAGCGTCGTAAAGCCGTGACCGAGCCTGAAGCTCGCTACTACATGTCACAGCTGCTCAAAGGAGTCCAGTACCTGCACAACAACCGAGTCATCCACAGAGACCTGAAGCTAGGAAACATCTTCCTCAATGACGACATGGAGGTCAAGATAGGTAACCTGCTCCTTTTAGATCCATGGGGGGGTGAAAATACCAGGAACTTGTTTTAGAGGCGTGCACAAACAAAGGACACACCTTGACTTCTCGTCTGACTTAATCTGTGTTTTTCCAATGAGTCAAAGTCAAATCTCTCTGTCTCCTCCAGGTGACTTTGGTTTGGCCACTAAGATTGAGTTTGATGGCGAGAGGAAGAAGACGCTGTGTGGAACGCCCAACTACATCGCCCCTGAAGTGCTGTGTAAGAAAGGCCACAGCTACGAGGTGGACGTCTGGTCACTTGGATGTATTCTGTAAGTATGAGGCTCACACTTCTCAACTGTAATGCTGCACTTTAAAAAAAAAAACAGCCCAAGTGCCTCGGCTAAGTCGGGTTTGTGTCGTCTCTCAGGTACACTCTGTTGGTGGGTAAACCCCCGTTTGAGACCTCCTGCCTGAAGGAGACCTACAACCGCATCAAGAAGAACAACTACACCATCCCTTGGGTGAGTTGGACCGATTCAGTGCATGACATGATCATCACATGACATGACATCGATGTTGTCTCTGAAACCTGCTTTATAACCCGTCCCTGTAGCATGTCAACCCGGCCGCAGCCGCTCTCATCAAGCGGATGCTGCACGCCGATCCATCCCAGAGGCCGACCATCGCCGAGCTGCAGGCAGACGAGTTTTTCACATCTGGTTACATCCCCCTACGCCTGCCCACCACCTGCCTCACGGTGCCCCCACGCTTCTCCATCGCGCCCTCCACAGCTGTGGAGCCCAACCAGAGACGCCCACTTTCCGCCATCAACAACAAGGGTAATGATCCTCTGTGGAAATTACGAATAGAAACAAGTTAGCGCATTAAAACTCAGCGAACTGGATACCAAACCGACTTAATGAGAAAAAGAGAGTTAAAGATTTTCCTTTTTTTTTTCCTTCAACAGGGACGGAGAAGGCTGATGTGAAGGACGAGCTGGTTCAGAGGTGAGAAATGTTTGTGATTCAGACTGAAAACACCAAAGTGTGACACATGACAAGAGATCTGATCGACGTTTTCATGCGTTTGTAGGGAAGTGGAGCCGTCAGAAAACCACCTGAAAGACATGCTGCAGCAGCTCAACAGCATCATCGCCGCCAAGCCCTCAGAGAAGGCCGTCATCTGTCAAGGTGAGCGCAAACTCCCTCTAGGGTCGTGTATGATCGATCGTAGATGAGCGTCTGTGCCGGTATCAATGCTGCGTGTCCTGTTTTTGTATTTCCAGAGGAGGCCGAGGACCCTGCGTGTATTCCCATCTTCTGGATTAGCAAATGGGTGGACTACTCTGACAAATACGGATTAGGTGAGAACTTGATTGTGACTCCACATGCAGCTTAAGCTATTGTTTAACTGTATCAGGGTGAAAAAGAGGTAAACGACTGACTCAGGTTATACTTCAATAATTGGAAACAGTTACGGGGAAAGAGATTTATCTAGATCTGGATAAGTTAGATGTTGCATGTTAAGAGAGCAGACCCTGTAACTTTAATCAAACCTCAGCGTGTCCTTCAACGTCCCGCCAAACACAGGTAACAAAACGCCAGAGTCATACTGAGAGATTATCCTCCATTAGAGAGAGAGCGCTGCTATGGCACAATCTGTCCACCAGGGTGTGCTATTGAATAAGATTCAAACTTAGTTGAAATGATCAAACTCAAAAACATTAGAATTTAATATTCTGGTGTTAAATGAGAGTTTCTGTTTGTGTCTTTCAGGGTACCAGCTGTGTGACAACAGTGTCGGCGTCCTCTTTAACGACTACACCCGTCTGATCATGTACGCCGACGGAGACAGTCTGCAGTACATCGACAAAACAGCGGCCGAGTCCTACCTCAGCGTTCGCTCTTTCCCCTCCACACTCAACAAGAAGGTATTTGATCCCGTCAGTCGTGTTCGATCCTCCTGAGGGCGAATCAGCGTTTCAGCATCATGATATCGACTCTTGTTTTTTCCTCTCTCGCAGATAACTTTGCTGAAGTATTTCCGTAACTACATGAGCGAGCATCTATTAAAGGCCGGCGCCAACATCGCGCGGCGGGAAGGAGACGAGCTGGCGCGGCTGCCGTACCTCTCTCTCTGGTTCAGAACGAAGAGCGCCATCGTGCTGCACCTCACCAACGGCACCGTGCAGATCAACTTCTTCCAGGTTAGTGATGCAAACTGTCATTCAACCACAAAGACGCTTTATGAGGAAAAAACACCGCTTATACAGATCAAATCAATATCACCACAGACTGGTGAGGAACCCCTCCGCCACAGGGGGGCGCCAAAACCAGCACAGAGAAAATGACGCTGAATGAGAAGGTCTCTGAATGAACTTCTTACTTTTCCGAACTCAGAGGTTGAATTCGGAGTTCGTGGTGGAAAGTCAGACAACTGAGCTCCTGTGGACAACTTTTGGTTTGTGTCCACTTTGGCGCCCCCCTGTGGTCGTATCCTGTTCTCTAAATGCATAAGTAGTTTCCTCGGTAACACTTTATAATAACTATCCGTTTTAACTAGTTAATCGATCATTAGTAAACTGTTAATTAAAGAGTTATTAATGACTTGTAAAGTGTTTGTTAACTGTATGTTAATGATTTATAACTGTACCTTTATAAATTAGTAATTAAAATAAAAAATTGGGTCGTTTCCCTAAAGTTACCACTTTTTCTCATTTATTAACCGTTAGTTAATGAGGAATCGTTGCAACTTTAGAACAACATCCCAATAACATATATAAACTATTAACTGACACTTAACAAGTCATCAGTAAATAATTAACTTATAGCTTGTTTATAATCCATTACTAATTTATAAGGTATAGTTATAAATCATTTACATACAGTTAACAAGTCATTAATAACTCATTTACTAACAGTTTATTAATGATATATTAACTATCTATATGCATCATTATTAATCCTTAACAAACTGTTAACACACAGTTAACAAGTCATTAATAACTCATTTATTAACAGTTTACTAATGATATATTAACTAGTTATAACGGATAGTTAAGTTTTATCGTTTCCTCTGACAATAATCTAGTTTTTATGATTTCTCACGGTCAAATATATCATTGATCGTACAGAAACAGTAAAAACAGAGCGGTTTCTTTACATTTTTAGTCTTGTTGCTTAAAGTGTCGTTGCTTAGATACATTAAAAAAAGCACCATTATGAATGTCGGTCTTCCTTAAAAACTTTTTTTCCTCTGTTGAAGCTTCAAAAAGATCAAATTTCACCTTCGAAGCTCAAATGATTTTACTGCAGACCATCGTAGATTCAGGACAAACCTTCACAGAACGACTTTTGTCTTGGATAGACGCGCTTATATCTTCATTTTTAGGCTGTCTTTATATTTCTGTTTTTGTTTTCACAAAGTGCGAACTCTATAAGTCGGAAGCTGTTTAAACAATTTCCTCAAACATCTGAATCTCGAGACCCGTGACCATTTTTCCTCCCCCCCACCAGGACCACACGAAGCTGATCCTCTGCCCTCTGATGGGCGCGGTGACCTACATCGACGAGAAGAGAGACTTCCGCACTTACAAGCTGTCCCTGCTGGAGGAGTTTGGCTGCAGCAAGGAGCTCGCCGGACGCATCCGCTACGCCAAACTCATGGTGGAGAAACTGCTGGACAGCAAAACCTCCCCGACAGCCGCACATTAGGCCACGCCTTCAATCAATCGCTCTTTTCAAAGGCCACTGTTATTCTCCGGGCTCCCAAAGACAAAGAGGAACCTGAACTTGTCGTATTTTATTGAAGAGTCGGGGTGTGATGATGATTTTTATAGAGCCGTGACATGCACCATGATAGTCAACCCTCTCTGTTTTGTACATGCTGAATTTCTGCCTCTTATATTTTAATGTTCTCCTGCTGTCAATGAAATCTTTTTACTTGACTGACATGTTCCCACAGCTGACTCCCAGCATGTCTGAACGCTCCAGAAGGAAAGTTTTAAATGTTTTCAATCATCTGTTGTTCCTTTACCTGAAGACATTTGACTCAGAGTGGACGGGGACGTGTCGGGCATTAGATCTCAGATCAGCTGTGTGGATTAAGAACAGTTCCTCTGGTCACTTCTCCAGTTTGTCTTTTCTATCCGTGTTGATGTTAAAGTCGAGAAACAGACCATGTTCATATGTCTTCATTATGTATATTTGACTTCTCCTTCCTGTAGCTGCTTCTTCTTTTTTACGTGTTTTAAGTCTATTTTAGATGTCTTTTCAACAACATGTACAGACCTGTACATACTGCTGCATATGCATTCATGTTGTAAAGATGGTGAAATTTTACCCAAGTTTGAATAAAGATTCTCTAAAGTTAACTTTAACATGTGCCGTAACCTCCAAGAGTTTCATGACTGACTGAAAAATTCTTAAAGATTATTTAAAATGATGTTGCTGCAGGTGACAAAGAGCTCTAAGGTTCAAGAATCACAAGCTATTGTCCCCTGGTGGACAAATGGAGCTATAACACTCAGTTTGAAACTGACTGCAGATGTTTGTTTATGGCTCCTCAGACCACTGTGTAGACTAAACACAACTCACCTACTCTCTTCCAGCAGCCGCTTGTTTGTAGTGAGATCTCAGGCCAGTCCATCACAGATTACAGCGGGGTGCCGCAGCTCAAGGAAGAACATTTATGATCATTTCTTTATCATTTCCTTGAATTAATAATCACCATAATAATCATTTTCACTGCAGACGCGGTAGTTTTCCCTTTGTGTCGTTCGTATTTTCTTGCAAGTATGGATGTAAAATAAAACTTAAATTTTATTATGGTCTTAAAAAAGTTGTAAATTTGACTCTTTGAAACCTGCAGAAACCTCATTTAACTCCATTTCCTCTATCCAAAGACAACATTGATAATGGTATCTATGAAGTATCTATGAGTTTGCTCTCATTTGGACTCCCCTCTTCCTTTTATATAAATATATAACTGAAATAAATGTGAGACTGTTCGGGTGAACCATGAATACACAAAAGTTTGAGAAATAATCGACAGGATTCACAAACTTTTAATGTTCATCATAAAAACAAACTTTAGCAACACTTCTTTTTTAAAATAAATATCTGAAATTAACAACACTCGTATTTTCAAACAGCAGTGGTAAAAAAACATACAACAGTGGTTTGAAGATTGGAATCTCAGTAGTTTAAAAAGAGAAAATTAATCAGGTGAACATATTCTCCAAAATGAGTTGTGCTCTAACAACAGAAGAGATGAAACAAGCGCTGTTAATGAAATGTTAACGGGGTGTAAACGTCTCTGAGGTTACAGAAAGTGTGAGGAAATACTTAAAAAGGCGTCTTTATTAAAACCTTCATGTAAACGTTGATTTGTTTTGTTGTACCGGAGACTTCACAGCTAGTTAGGGAGTGTAGATGAACTAGTTCTGTAGCAGTGTAAGCCGACATCTCCGTTAAGATGTCCAGTTATCAGTGAGTCTCTCCCTCCCCATCGAACCAGCGTCCAGCCCTCACCCTCAGGAGCCCACAGCATCTTCGAGGCCCCGCGGCACTGGAGCTCCCACAGACACACACAGCCGCTCTGACTCAGGCCCACCACGCTGGAGCCGCTGACGTCTGCTTCACACAGTCTGCAGAGCGAAGAGGGAGACAAGGAGGTGAGTTTAATACAGAGGGAAACAAATACACACCTCGTCCTCCACTCACCTGCCGGACCAGGACTTGGGCGGGTGCAGCTGAGTCACCAAGACGGATTTCCCGCTCAGAGGGTTAACTGCGACCAAAGAGAACAGAGCGCTCTCCTTCCTCTCCTCTTCATCCTCTGGAGACATCAAGTCTTTTTCTTTGGCTTTTCTTTCCTCCTCTTCCAGGGAGCTGAGTAAGTGATGCTGCAGCAGCACAAATAACACTCCCTATGCACAGACACACAAACACACTGAGGTTAGATCATCTGTAGATGTATAACATAGATTCAGCTTTAATCTTATCTATATAGTCATAGCTCTCGCTCTTTCATGTCTTTCACTAAGTCTTATGTCCAAGTCTCCTAAAGATATTTCTGTCCACACAGCGGGGAGGTCTGAGAAAGTGCGTCACTTCTTCAGGGAGCTGAATTTTACAACACTAGTCTTAAATCAGATCTTAATTATCGCAAATTAGTTTCATTTATACAGAAATGAATTGCATTCAGAAAAAAAACTTTTTCAGAGTATTCTATTTTTCTGTTTTTTGGATATTTTTTTTTTCCTTTTTGTTTCTCAGACATTTTTTTTTTCTTTAATGGTTTTCTAAATATTTTTTTTCTATTTTTTTTTTAAATAGTTTAATTTCTACGGAAGTATATTGCATTCACCAAAAAAGCTCTGTTTTTCACAGTATTTTTTTTCCCATTTTTTGGATATTTTTTTTCCTTTTTGTTTTTCAGACATTTTTTTTTTCTTTTTTGTTTTTCTGAATATTTTTTTTCTGTTTTCTTAATTTTTTTTCTTTTCTGTTTTTCTGGATTTTTTTTTCTGTTTTTTGAATTTTTTTTTCTCATCTGTTTTTCTGAATATTTTTTAGACTAATTTAGATAGATAGACGAAAAAAACAGAAAAAAGATAAAGATAAAAAAAATAAACTGAAAGAAGAAAAAAGGTACTAAAAACAGAAAAAAATAAAAAAAACAGGAGGACAAAAAAAACAAAAATAGTACCAAAAAGAATACAAAACAATAGTATGAAAAACAGAAATAAGAAAAACAGAATAAAAAATTCTCAGAACAACAGAAAGAAGAAAAAATATATTAGTACAAAAAAATCAAGAAAAAAATGAGTCTCAAAAACAGCAAAGAAAAAAAAAACTCCGAAAAAAAAAAGACGGTCGACTTTTTCCACTTTTGGACTTTGATGAGTGAAGAAGCTTCTTCTGCAGGTTAATCTCATGAGTTTTTTACCGAGTAGGAGTATCCTCTGAGAACAGCAGTGTGTGATAAACCATCTGTGAGGGTGAGAGTCCTCAGCAGCTGTCCTGTCTTTAGATTCCTGAGACACAGAAACAAAAACAGAAACTGTAGCAGTGCGAGTAAAACGTCTCCTCTGTTTTCTTCAATCATCGTTAAAAGTTCATTTGGATTAAAACTAAGAACATGTTGTGTAGCTCACATGACTTACCAAACAAAAAGACGCCCGCTCTCATCCGTGCCGATCAGAGCGTCCAAGAGTCCATCCACGGGAGCGAGAGCCCCGACACAAACACCAGGAGACGCCAGAGGCTGAGAAGAGGGGGTGCTGAGAGAAAGAGGGGACACTGAGGTCTCTGTGTGACGTGACAACAGCTGACAGAGAGTTCACAAGACTCTGATTTACCTGCCGCAGTCTGAGAGCGTGAACACCTGCAGGGTGGAGACGTACGAATGAGAGGAGGTGACCACTCTGGACCTGGGTACAGCTACAACGGCCAAGACCAGCCCCTCGCAGAGCAAGACCTGAGCGAGGCTGGAGCACGACAGCATCCTGAGAAACAACACGAGGTCAAACTTCTTAACCCTCGGGTTCCTCTACGTCTGTTTTGAGGACATTCGTCATTTTTCTCATCTCTTTTTTTTTTTAAAGTTTAAAAATGATTCTTTTATGAACATTTATCTGCACGTCTGTTTTGGAGACAAAGTCGACTGGATGGAGCTTCAAATCAACAGGAACCAAAGGGTTAATTTAGCGCCGCTTTCACTCGTCATGTTTGGACTCGTGGCGTTTTCTGTACTCACCTCACTTCTCTTATTTCCAGCTGACCCAGAGTCACACACAGGAGGTCAGCGGCACCCGGGACCGCAAACACGTTGATCACAGGCTGAAGACGAACACAGAAATAAACCAGAACAGGGACACAGAAAACACGATGGTCTTTGTATCAGATTCACGAGCGTCAAAAAACTCCCCACTGGAGCTTTAATGATAATGCATCAGATTTCATAGAGCTCTTTATCAGAGACCCTCAAAACTATCTTAGTCGTCACAGCTGACAGTTTGCGCCTACGGCCTTTCCGACCACCACCACACAACACTCACAATCACACACCAGTGGAGGACACACACTGGGAGTGAGGCGGGTTAAGTGTCTTGCCCAAGGACACTCAGGATATCCTTCCGGTTATCGGACGACCGCTCTACCTCCTGAGCTACCGCCGCGCTTTAACAGGACTGACCTTCAGCGCCCCACACTCACCTCATTGAAGGCCCAGGTGTGTGTCAGGGTCCAATCACGAGCTGCAGTCAGACTCCAGAGACAAACGGCCCACTCTCCTGCTGCTGCGACACACAGACCCCCTGAGGGTCGGGTCAGAACGCAGGCGTCCACCAGAGAGCCTCCAGCTGGAGCCTGAAACAAACAAACAAACGAACGTCTGTGAATCCACTCAGGGTCACCGACAGAAGTTTGTGGTTCTTCTCAAACAAAAACAAATCCTGCGTCACCTTCAGAGTGTGTGTGCGTCTGAAGGTTTGCTCCCCCGCTGTCTCCTCTATCCTCACCCCAACCTGATCCTGAACGCAGGGAGCAGGTCCAGATGAAACCTGGATCAGAGCTGCAGGTGAGGGAGGGAGTAAAGTGGGAGACATACAGGGGGAGAGAGCTGGAGGGGGGAGATTCTGGGTGGATGGGCTGTGAGGGGGAGGCAAGGTGAGAGCTGGGGCGGAGGGGGAGGAAGAAAAAACGGGGTGTGGGGTGGGACCTAAGGAAGGGAGCGGGGGGCTCGAGTCCACGAAGGACGGGCGCAGGTGAGGGGCGGTAAAGCGGCCTGGTGCCGATGCAAGAAGAGGACTCAACAGGAGCTGGGTGTCGGCTCTGGGGTCTCTGGGAGGACTGGTGGTGTGTCCAGAAGACCCCCGAGGACTGACGGCAGCTTTGACCTTCAGATCTGGAACAGGAGACTGATGAGGTCCAGATCTCGAAGGATCCTCGCAGGTTTTCCTCTGTGGAGAATCAAAGGAAAGACTCTTGACAACGTCTTCGTCTGTGTCTGTTCTTCTCCTCTGATCCTCTGAAGGATCAGATCCACCAGGACCACCTGTCGGGTCTTCTGGTGAGATGATTGAGGACTCCTTTATTTCAAGTTTCTCTGATGGAACATGATGGTCCACTTCTGAGTTAGAACCAGGCAGTGGTTTTGGAGGTTTGTGTGTCTGGTTGTCCACCTGGTCCTCTGATGCAGACTCTGCTAAGCTGGTGTGAGTCTCACAGTCTGGTTGGAGGACTTCCTTCTCTCTGGAGTCTTCTTGGACAGACGGCCGCTCTGTCGACAAGTTTTCAGGGTCTTTGTTTTGTGCAGCAGCTGGATGCGGTGACTCCGTGATGACAGGCGTGAGGCTGAGCTGCACAGGAAGAGGTTTCACCGGGCTGTGGGGGGCTGGAGTCAAGTCTTCAACTCCTGATCCTGCAGAGACTCGGCAGAGTTTGTGTAACTTCAGGGAGGCGAACTGATCGTCGGGGAGGTGGAAATCTTGAGGGAAATCGGCGTTGAACAGGTGGTTTACCAGCGGACCAGGTAAGAGGGAGGGGGGAGGGAGCAGAGGTGTCTGGGCAGGTGAGGAGGAGGGCAGGGAGAGAGACTGGAGGTTTGACGCTCCTGCAGAAAACAGAATCAGAGAGGATTCAATGAGAGGAAACAGTTTCTTAACTTTTTAGTCCTATTTTTAAATATTTAAACAAAAGGATTTAAACTCAAAGTGATTCTTTTTCTGTCCATCATATCAACAAAAATTAGCAAACAATTAAAAAACTTGAAGTGATTTTTTCCTGAAACTCGCAGCTACAATCATGAGCTGTTTCTGTCCCTGATAGGGTGGGAATCACTCGGTGCCCCACGATACGATATAATTGCAATTTTTGACATTTGCAATACAATTTTTTTCAAGTATTTAGCTGATTTGGCTTTTGTCCTTCCTTTATGTTTGTCTTATTTACGCTGTACTTTATTTTCACGAGGCTTTAAGGTCCTTACACACCAGGCGTGAATTCGCCAGGTGAATTATTCGCCTTTTTTTAAAACATCATAAAGTCAATGCGAGCTTCCACACCGGCTGCGATTTTTCCGCGGGGCGAAAAGCGTCTTTTATTTTTTCGCTCTTGTGTCGAATTTTTCGGAGATTCGCAGGCGAATATCTGGACCTGCTAGACCTCTGGCCAATCAAAAGTCATGTTGTTGATGACATTACAGACCCATGCCCCAGAGTGTGTACCACAGAGCGGTCGCCCGGTGTGTATAAGCGAAAACGATTTTTCGGACCACCGAATATTTTCACATTTTCGTCTCGCTTTTTTGCTTCGCTCCGCAAATTCTCTGGTGTGTAAGGACCTTTATACACATATATATATATTTGTTAACTAACTTTCTCCTGCTCTATCATGTCACCTCTGCCGACCTGATTATTTATTTTTCCATTATCAGAGAAATTCATTTGGAGAATCGATACTTGGTAATCACGATACGATGCTGTTTCGAGTTTTCCTCCCACCCTCGTCCCCGACTCAAAACTCTTACCTCTGCTCGTCTGCGGGGGTTCGTCTGTCCTGCTGCTGCTGCTCTTTAAAAACACTGAGTAGACCTTCTCAGGATGTTCTTCAGCAGATCTAGACTGAGCTCCATTTCCTCCAGAGCTGGGCGGTTGTGTAGTTGTGCTGGGGATGGCTGCGGGCTCAGGGAGGTCCGGTTCTGGATCAGCCTCCCCTGGCTTTGGTCCTTTAACTTCGTGAAGAGCCGGGGAACTTGTGAGCTGAGGATCATCTGGAGTTTGTTGATCTACTTCTTTCTTTTCTGAACTGAGAGAACATCTTGGTTTCTGCGGTCTCCCTCTTCCTCTCCTTCTCCCTCTCCTGGTCGGAGCCTCTGCTGGGACCGCCTGACCTGAACTCCCACAGGAGCTCAGACTCTTCAGCTCAGCAGGTGTCCCAGCAGCAGGAGATTCCACACAAGGACCCACAGATGAGGAAGAAGAGAAATCTGTCGCAGAGTTTTTATCGGACTCTTCCAGACTGAGCGTGCGCTGAAGAGATCCTCTGCTACGGCCGCGGCCCCGGCTCCTGCGAGGTCGTCCCATGTTCAGCTGCGTGTTTATGACGGCCTCCATGTTGGGCTGGCTCTGAGAGGATGACATACGCCTTGTCGTTCTGACGTAGTACTCAGCAGGGAAAAGAAGACCCTCCACTAGAGTGCAAGAGTCCAGGAGACCAGAACCCTTCACAGCCAGCTCACTTTTTTCTTCTTTTATTTCCGGAGTTTTCTGAAGTTTACTTTCTTCATCTGTTTTCGCTGCTTCATGTCGTTTGGTTTCTTTATCACTGTTTTCTTCACACAGCCGTCCATCCGTCTTCTTTCCACTATTCTCCCTTCTTTCCTCTGGCTCTATCGCCCTCTTTTTTCTGTTTTGTGATCCCTCTTTTCCCCTTTTGTCCCGACGTAAAACAGGGCTCTCACTGTCGAGCAGCATAGAGGATGATTCCTTTCCCCCTTCGCTCTCTTTTCCTCTTCCTGTTTCCTTTTCCTCATTTTTTCCCGCCTCCGTTTGTCCACTTGAGTTCCAGTGTGTAAGCAGCAAACATGGAGACTCCGACTCGGCTCCAGAGAACAGCTCTTCACTCCCACCCAAAACCTCTCCCTCTACCTCTGATTTGGCTCTTACTTCACTTTCACAAATCCCACTCGCCTCACTCTGATCCAGTCTGTCCTCGCCGTTATCCACGCTCCTCCTGGCCTCGGCGCTCTTCCTCTCCCAGCGGAGGCGGCTACGTCGAGACCTGAGGCGCAAGGCGGGACTGGGTCTGTGGCCTCCTGCTGTATCGTGGTGTACGTCTGGTGTTTGTGGGCAGGCGGCATCAGGAGGGAGCAGGAACCTGATCGACTGGCTCTTTTTGGACGAGTCATGATCTTCTTGACCTGGTAGAAGATTTGATTACTGTCATAACAGGTAACAGCGAGAATCTGGGGAAACTAAACGTGACATTAGTAGTAAAATCAAGAGCAGACCATCTCGACAAAGCCTGATATTCTACTTTGTTGTTCACGTGCTCCTCTAACCAGAATGTCGGCATTTACGACATGTTGTCAACACCAGGAAACACATCTGGGCTCGTTCCCGTTTGTGTAAGCGTTTAACCTGCTTTGCTTTCTGTGTTCTGATAAATCGGGCAGATTAACATCGACGTCCATGTTTGACACACTAGGACTCATACCTGACGCTGTCCCGTTGGTTGTCGTGTTGAGTTCAGGGTTAGATGTCACCTCAGGGTCTCTCTGCTCCTGGCTGTTCCACTGTTCGATCCTGCTCCTCACATGCCTCCGAACTGCCTCTGAACGCTCGGCACGCTGTGGACAAATCAAATAAAGACTCCTGACACAACTGTCAAAGTGAGGAGTTACTCTTTCTTATCAGGACTAGTTTCTTCCAACTACATCTCCTGGCCAAGGTCAATGTTTTTAAGCCGTCACGACCTTGAGATAGCCATCCACGCTCTCGTCAGTTCAAGATTAGACTATTGTAATGCACTTTATGTCGGCATCTCCAGATCATCTCTTAGTCGCTTTCAACTTCTCCAAAATGCCGCTGCCTGTCTTCTAACCAACACTTACAGACGTGAGCATATCACTCCTATCCTTCCCGTCTCTATTAGGATTGATTTTAAACTTTTAATGTTTGTTTTTAAAGCTCTTAATGACCTCGCTCCCATCTATTTAACTGAGCTTTTAGCTGTTCGGGAGCTGGGTGGAGCTCTGAGGTCGTCAAATCAACTTCTGCTGGAGGTGTCCAGGTCAAAACACAAACACTGGGGTGACCAAGTCTTTTCAGTCGCTGCTCCCAGGATCTGGAATAAACTCCCCACCGAAATAAGACTTATTTCTGACCGGAGCCTTTTTAAATCTCGATTGAAAATGTACTTATTTCTGCTGGCTTTTAATACCCAGTAGCATGGTGTCACTTTATGTTATTGCATATTGTTTTTATTGCTTTTTATTGTTTTTTTCATTTAATCATTTTTATTTTCTATTGTAAAGCACTTTGGGTTGTTGTAAAGGGCTGTATAAATAAAGAACATTTACATTTACCTGTAGCTTCTGTGCTGTTTTCAGGTATTCCCTCTGTAACAGTGCCAACTTCATACGTAGCTGTGAGTGAGAGTGAGTCAGAAACAGGAAATAAAAGCTTTAATATGACATTTATAAAAAGGTAAAGAGTAAATAAAAGCTTTATTATGGCATTTATAAAAAGGTTAAGAGCACAGACAGGTGTACCTCACCTTTTCCTTGTCGTCACAGTGCAGGGTGGTCTTCAGCTGCTCCTCACAGTGAAGAATATCCCCCACATTGATCTCCATCCTGCTCACTGTGCCTTTACCTTCACGACACACAAACAACACGAACAGTTTTATCTAATTCAGGATTTATTTCTAATCCTCATCATGGGAAAAACACACCAGAAATACTTCTAACAGGGAGAGGTTATCCGGACACGGACAGTCGACCATCGACCAAAGAAACAAGCGATTTCATCACAAACAGATACATGTAAAAACAAAAGCTCGGCTTTTAGACCTCAAAATAGTTGATGTAGCTTCATATTAGTGAGCTAAACCGAGCTAGAGAGCAACAATCACCGCTTATGTGGGGTAAAAGTTCAGTGAATATCGATGTTCTTGTTTAAAAAGCACAACGAAACTTCAACGTCGCCGAAACTGATAATAGTTTTCCAGATACTAACCACTGCGGTACGTAAAGATGACAACTTTCCGTAATATGTGTGAATGTTTACAGCAGACTTACATTGGTACTGTTGGTAAGTGAGTCCGTCCAAACTTTATTTTCATGATCGACAAACCGGCTATCGATTGAGCTTCAGTTTCCCGCGACATAGATAAGAAAGGCTAGATGACTCTACGAGGCGGATATATACATAAACGCCGTAAACCAATGGAGACCGACGTCCGTACATGACGGCCATTTTGCTACGGGACGCTCGCCCACTCCTAACATTCCAGTCTACAGTACCTGTAACATTTAAATAACCATAGATTGATTAATTTAAAACCGATTTTCAAACAGTTTGGTTTGTAACAAACCTCAGAGTTTTAGTTATGTCCCTGCATACTCAGGAATAATTTTAACCATGGATTTACATAAATAAACAAGCAGATAGGTAGAGCAATAGATATAGGCCTTCACACACAAGGCAGTTATATCAAATCATTTATATATATATATAAAGGAGGATAACTATAATAACATATACTAATATTTATTTTTAATATAAATATCCGCCTCATGTTGTCATTTTAGATGTTTTTAACAAACCAAACAGTTTGGAAATCATGTGCAACTTCAGTTATGTTGAATCGAAAGAGCACTTCTGTCTCTCCAACTGATGTCAAATTACTGGGTCAACTTTGTAATATGTACTTGGTCTCACTCACAGTGAGTCTGTTAGCCAAGTTAGACAGCTGATAAACACAAGAACATCCACAAAGACTGTCACCTAGACTAAATAAATATTTAAATAAAAAAAAATAGGCCGTCATACAAGAAATTAACTCGTGCAAAGCGACTCAAAGTTAACCCTTGCGTGCAAATATACGTTAAACAACTGTGCTGCATGATTGTCTCTTTTTTCTTATGAAGGTCTGTAAAAAGGACGAAAAGGACCTCCATTTTAGACACCAGTGAACAACCATCCATTTTATATGTCACCCGGCAACCTTCGTGCTGATTAGTTATCGTAACGCGAATATCCGCTGAAATTGACATATATGGGTCAATGACGTATAAGGTTTTTCAACATGCCAATTTTAAAATACCAAAAATAAGAATATATTTTGCAACAGCTCAAACACTAAGGATGTTATGTATACAAAAACTAAAGTTTAATTTTTAAATTAGGCAATTTTAGTGTTTTTTCATATAGATGAATTGCCCGTGGCCTTAAAAAATGTCATGTGGTGCGACCATCATTTATCTCAAAATTATTACATTTTTTCAACATACTCTATAGTTTTTTACAAATTGTCAGTAATATCAAGTACATAGGAACAAAGCCTTTGCATTTTATTTGAGTTTTTGTAAATAATTATCTCATATATTAGCTCTATAATGTCACAGTCGCTATATCAAATGTAGTTCACTGACTATTTTTTTCTTTAAATTGCATAATACTGATAAAAATGTTTTGAAACTACCTTTCATGTAAGCATATTGTATCAGGTATTAATGTCTCAGTTACAGAAATTAGATATTTTAGTTTGTATTTGATATAATTAATGTTATTATTGGTCGCACCACAGGATTGGTGGTCGCGCCAAATGACTTGAAGACCTTGTATCATTAAAAATCAATTTAAAGAGACCTATGAACAATTAATTTCATGCAAATTTTATATTAAAACCAAATTTTATTAACATTTCAAACATGAACGCGAACATTTTATTTCCCTTTTTTTACAAAAATTTAACTCTATGTGTGTTTGTGTATGTGGTCCAGAGGCCTGCACTTTGAAGCTGGATTAACACACCCAGGATAACTCTGCCACAACTCGCTAAACTTCACCAGATCTCCGTAACCCCGATCAGCTGTACTACGAGGCAGGATATCAACTTGCTAACTAAATTCAGTTGTGGCCAGTCTAGATCTGTGTACGCACATGTAAATGGGGCGGGGTCAGTGCCACCGGACCAATCTACACAATGAAGAAGGCTGCACGTCATATTTCACAGCCGAGGAACAGAGCATCGTTTTACGCTAATATGAGGAGCACCGCAACGTTATAACATTGAGGAGCAGGATAGCTACAGCCGCTAAAACCGGAGGGACTGCTGGCAAAAAAAATCATCGATTGTGTAAATTTCATTTGTGCGTTGATAAATTTATGGCCCCCTAATATGTTGTCATGCAGCGTGTGTGATCACCTCCATCATTTACCTCATTATTTCAGATACAACAGCAGTGGGGAAAAGAGTAGGTGGGAGCAAATAAAAATAAATCTAAAAACATCCGTCAAAGTGGTTAGCTGGTTTACTAGAAGATTTTATTTGTACATATTTCAACGCGTAAACAGTGATTTCCTCACACTGCCTTTTTTCTTTTTTCTCCATCATCTGATGGTCACATGTCATCTGCAGACACATTTGGGGTTAAGAGGAGTTTTCTAATCTGCTTCAATAAATTCTGAATGATGACTGATATGCCGCATGAAACTTGAACTTGGAGCTTGGCAAATATTAGTGTATTGCTTCGACTTCATGTTACCCGACTATTGAGGCCGTCCGAGGAAAACCTGTAACGTTCATAGAGAATGTCATCAGGTAAATCAAACGGATTTGAACGATCATGAATATAACGCTCTCGGCGAAGCGCTCCTCTCACCATCCGCGCAACGATGTCAACAATCTTGGCCCAATCTTTGACCAGCCCTGGCATGAACAACATGCTGCAGGGTCAGAGGTCAGAGGGGTCAGGGTCAGAGTTGACACGCTGCCTATGGCGAGCGCTTTTAACTTTGCTCGGCAGTGGCATCTGGTAAAATAAGTTAAAATGACTTAAATTGATACATGAAAGTTAATAAATTGCTAACAACAGCATAAATACCTTAAGTGAAATGGCATGCTTTTATTATTATTTTTTTTATTTTGTACAGAGATGACCTAACCATTATTTCAGAAATGTTAGCAAAATGACTCATCAAATAACAAAAAAAATTCAAAATAATACTAAAAATGAAGTACTTAGTGTTTATCAATCATCAATTGAATATAAAAAGCGTAAATACTGCCAATCGAGGGCATATATTTATGATAAAAAACAATCTGCAGTGGTCGCACCACATGATAATTGGTTGCACCGCATGACATTTCAAATTCAGTCAAATCTTACTGATACAGGATTAGTCACATAAACAAACCTCACTAGCTTCCCACAAAAGGTCACTATGAAATTTATAATTGGAATACTTATCTGTGGAAATAACTTAAATTAACTGTTTTTTTTGAGGTCATACCACATGACATCGAAAAGTGCAAACACCATTACAGCAGTTGAAAAGGTCTTTTTTTTTTTTAAGAAATGAGAGAACCACCAACTCTCTTTCTGATTCCATAGCTCTACGACAAAATGGTGAATGATCCAACATCCTGTCCTTGAGTAAATTTCAGCATAAAAGTGTCAAAAATGGTCATTTTTTGATGGTCGCACCACATGATATTTAATGAAATGGACACGATCGGACAAAATTCGTTTGAATATTATGAAAAAAATATAACTGCAAAAGCTTTGCAATTTTGTACAGGAATAAAAAACACTTTCAAAATTATGCCGAATATTGCAGAAACTAAATTATAATAGATTTAGAGTCATTTCAAAGAAGTTTTCAAAACAGAAGTCATGGCCGGACGGTCGCACCACATGATATTTTGACCCTTTGAAGTTAAAAAAAATTACAAAAAACTCCTGATTTTTGAAAAGTTTAAGTGGCTCCATATATTAGAGAGATACTACAAATAGATAGTATATTTTTTTACATTTAAAACTCTTTGTAACATAAAGAAAATACAGCCGGACACAATATTGAGGCGTCACGTCATTGACCCATATTCAGTATAAATGACCGACATTATGTGTCGGTCTCGTCAGTCTTATTTTGAAGGTTCAACCACTATTTGCTAATATTTTACTTGAACAGAGACCGATGCCCTTATTTTGAAAGGAAATTTCAGCGGAAGTTGGTAATCAACGGACAGTGGAACGATACGTAAAGTCAGGATGGCCCAGCCAGGCTAGGATTCACCCGCCAATAACGATCTCTTTAAGTTTTTAAAAGTACCTGGTTTATAGAGACACAAGGTTCGTATATGCGTCTTTTCTCACACAAATTAAAATGAAGTGACTCTTTGACGTTTTTATGAAGTTTGGTCGAGTTTCGTGTTGCCGAGTATTAGCAAAGATGCTACAGTTACGATGATGGTTCGTGTTGCCGAGTATTAGCAAAGATGCTACAGTTACGATGATGGTTACAGTTAACTCAGACGTTATTCATTTAGTTCATCGCATAATGTATTAGATGATATTTGGTTTATAAAAGAGGTGAATTCATGTGTAAATTTAAGTTGATCCTTGCTAATTAAAACACTTGGATTTAAGATTGTCATTTTGCTAAAAACAAGAAAGTTAATTTCGTTATTCTTGAAGGTTTATAAAAAAATATAGGGGAAAAAATATTTTTTGTTACAGAAATTGTATTAATATTGTTCTTATTGTTTTCTCTAGCTGTTACAGTGTGTTCCGACTGTTCATGGAAGTTTAAAGAAACCCAGGAACCAAAAATAAAACTTTGTGAAACATCAGTCGGAGAGTCAGACCATAAATCAACCAGGGATGCTACATTCAGCTTCTGCCCAATTCGCGTCATTCGCGCCACCAGAGTAGTACGAGCGTCTAATCGCGTTTTAACATCAACTTAACATGTAATTCATTCGCGCGAAAGATTTTTATTGCGAACAAAGTGACCTGCAGCTCATTTTAGGTTATCAAATCAACATATTTTGCTCCTACACTGAATATGATGTTGGACAGTTATCTTTGTAAAGTTAGGTAAAGGAGGAGTTTGTGTAGTAACAACACAATCACACTGTGTGCAAAAATAAAAACCTGTTCGACAAAATATTCACATTTAGTTGGGGTATGAGAAGAGGAGTGCTCATCTGGTAGTTTATTGGCTTAACCAGCAGGTGGAGCTGCTGCATGAACAATAAACTGAGACTCAACCATCCAAGTTCCTGTTTTAGTAAACTTATTTTAATGTGGACTCAGGAGAGGGAGATGATTGTCAAGAATACTGAACTTAAAAGATGATCAAAAACTGTCAGTAAATGAGGAGAAGAATCTGTGATCTGGTGGTTTAGGTTTCAGTGAAAACAGTGAAAGTGAAAGTATGTGAGTTAAACAAACAGACTCCATTTTGAGAAAAGAACAGAGCAGGGAGAGGAGAGGCCGAGGAGACAGGGTGAGTGTTTACTCTGTTTTTGTTTTAATGTCAAACTCTTTATCTGTATCATCCGTTAATGAAAAATGATTTACTGACTAAAACACTTAAAACTGTAAAACAAAGAAACCTGAGCAGACAAAGAGCTGGATCAGTTCTTCATACAGGAAACTGTGTACGTGCAGTTCTTCCTCCTCTTTGTTTAGACTTGTCTTTTTAGTAAAAACAAAAATGAGAATATTTTCATTTAGAGGCTCATTTCAAATTTAATCCAGTCCGTTTAGATTTTTTATGAGAGTTCAGGGACCTCACAGCTGTTTTTGTTTTGACCGTGAATCAGATAAGGATCAGAGAGAGGCCCTGCAGGGTGGGGAGACATCAGAAGTACATGGACATTAAACCTGTTTAACTCTTAAAGAGGGGGATTAAGCTGTTTCAGACTCTACTTCCTTTCTGATTCCTCTTTTATTTCTGAACACTCTCTTCCTGTTTGTATCTCACCTGTTTGTCTACTTTGTCCTCAGGTTGTATAACTTGTTTTCATCTTTCATAAATTTACAAAACAGAAGATGGAGAAAATGAGTGTTTGTGTCGAGGAAGAGGAGGGCAGAGCAAAGTCTGATATGTCTGACTGTCTGTCTATGAAGAGTGACCAGTCTAAAGATGAGCCTCTATACTTCAGTAAAGAACCAGGACCATCAGAGGAGGGCAGAGCAAAGTCTGTCATGTCTGACTGTCTGTCTATGAAGAGTGACCGGTCTAAAGATGAGCCTCTATACTTCAGTAAAGAACCAGGACCATCAGAGGAGGGCAGAGCAAAGTCTGTCATGTCCGACTGTCTGTCTATGAAGAGTGACCGGTCTAAAGATGAGCCTCTATACTTCAGTAAAGAACCAGGACCCTCAGATTCACAGTAAGAGAAACACTTTTCAACCACCAACAGTTGGTGTTTCAAAAAAAAAACCTCTAAATCCTGACCCCAAAGGGCTGGTAAAGAAAAAGTCACTGAGCACAGATTTACTTGTTATTCCTCATGTTTATAAAAATGAAGGTCGTATAAAACAGCATTAGAAAAGGATCCTGACCTCTGTATTTTCTGATTTGGTTCCTGTGTTTGGGATGTTTGGAGCCTGTAAGTCTTTGGACTGTGGGGGCGTGGTCCTTGGGATCGTCCAGGCCCGGACGGTTAGGGGGCTCTGCACTATGTGCGGGGTGCACCTGGGCTGTCTGGGTTGGGGGGTCTCGGGGGCGGTGCTCCCTGTAGGGGTGGGCTGTGGCTCCTCTCGGTGTGGACGGCTCCCATAGGTGGTCTTTCCTTACCAGGATCCTCAGTGCCTTGCCATGTTTTTACTGACAGTTAGTGTGTGGGTGTGTGGATACGTGTGTGCGTGTATGTGTGTGTGGGGGGGGCTGCTGTGCATGCCTGTATGTGCTGCTGTGGGTGGAAAGGGACAGGTTTTATGCCTATTTAATTGCCTTATATTTACTGTTGTTTGTTTTTTACCGTTGTTTGTTTTTACCTTTTTGTAAAGCACCTTGTGTTGCAGCTTAAAAGCATGAAAGGTGCTATATGAATAAAGTTTGATTGATTGATTGGTTGGTGTATAGACCCCAGAAAACAGTCTGTGGGTCACAAAATACCAGAAGACCAAAGAAAAAAAAAATCCTGAGAAATAAAAACTCATTCAGAGCATCTGTCTGTTATTAGACCTTTAGATCTGATTGGTCAAAAAATGTTTTAAACTGTCTGAGAAAATCTCCCTACCTTCAAAAATCACAGTTTAGTTTTTTTCTCCTGTCTCCACACTTTGAGGCAGCAGCAGCTGAATATTTTATGTTAGAGAAAAGAGTGAGGTCAGAAACTTGGGTTTAGTAAATGTTTCTTATTCTGTATCTTTCAAACATGAAATGATAATTTTAAAGAAAATAAATGTTTATTTCCACAGAGAGACACAGAGATGTGACTCTGTGGAGGAGCAGCTGTCCAGCTGTTCTTTATGTCAGGACGTCCTGAAGGATCCAGTCTCTACCCGCTATGGACACCAGTCTACTTCTTCAGGACAGACCTCCTGTCCCCAGTGTGGAAAAAGAACCAGAACAGTTCTTGACTTTCAGACAGACAGCCAGTCCAGCTCTGATCGAAGTAAGTCTGAACATCTGTCCTTTAAACCCTAAATTACACAATTTCTGCCTGGATTATTTTGCTGATTTTAGCCATTAAATTGTCAGAAAATGTCTTATAAGTGAGTATTGTTACCCATTTTTCCAGAACACTTTGAACTTTCAATGTCATTTACAAATTACTGCCTGTTAAAAGAGTGCTTTAAAGTTTAAGATAAAGAAAAACACAAAATGGAATAAGATTTTTTAGTTTTAGTGAGAAAAAAAAATATTCATGAACAAAATTTTTCATTTGAAATCTGAAATTTGAAGAGTAATTTGAAGAGCTGTCTCACAGTGTAGGAGCTGCAAGGTAAAGGTTTGTGGTTATGCTCTTGATTTGTTTTTGGTATTTTGTTGTGATTGGTGGCAGTGATTTGTGGAATCCGGGTCACGGGAATAGGGGCGGTGTCACTCAGTTGATTTAAGCACCTGGTCACCTGTGTTCACGAGGGAAGAGGTTTTGAGTGGGTCGCCGTATTTTTTGTTGACCGCATGCACACATACTCTTTAAGTCCAGTGATCGCTGTTTCTTCAGTTGGTATCGTTTTGTTGATTGTTTCTTTAGTATTAAAGCACGTTTTTTCCTAATTGATTCCCGTCTCAGCGGATCCATTGACAAAGCGCGTCAGACAATTAGACTAGGCCCGTATCTCATCCTCTAAGCGACATCCTGGTCTCTGAGGTCGCTATATTTAGTCAACAAAAAAGGCAGATTATAATCACTCACACGGCAACGGATCGAGGTGCACTTCGGAGGAAAATGAAAAGAACAAGCATCGGAGATGAAGCATGAGGGTAAGCGCTGTTTGATTGACAGCTCCGGACGCCACGCGGCATTGTGAATCTGCGGCAAGGTAAGCTTGTCTGCTCTCAGCCTTACTGAGGAAAGGAATGCGGCTTGCATATGCTGATTGTCAATTTGGGATGATTGCCTGATATGACCTATGGTTCTCCGGACTCATGCTTTGATATTGTGATGGCTCACGGTGCTGGATGTCTCCATGCTTTTATTTTGAAATCTCCGTTGTGTCTCCTCGAAGTTACTGGTGCTTTGCTGTTGTGGAAAAATAATGTCTATCTGATGGAGAATGCCTCTTGATTCATGGACGCAGTTTCAAATGCGCAAGGTTTGGGGAAAACATGCACTGGAAATTAAAGGAGGAAAATGAGTCAAATAAGCGCCGATTTTGCAAATGCTGAAATGCAGTGTGGAAAAAGAGAAATTAAACTCACCTTCAAAGCCATGGCAAATAAAATTGAGAAGCTTCAGCAAGAACGCAAGAACATTGTGCACAAAATTAAATGTCTCATACCAGAAACGAAAACTCTCATGAAAACAAAGGAAAAAGTCTCTACTGTGCTACTTCATACTGACAATTTAAATGAAGTTTGTGAGAATGCCACCACATTGCACAACATGCTGCTTCCCTTACTCCCAGAGGATGAACAAACTAAACAAGATGAATGGTTCTCAAGCATCATGAGGTACAGCAATACATTTAAGGAGAATGTGAATAAATGGATGAGTGAAACAGTGGAATCGATCCACAATGACAGTCCTGATCAGTCTGGCCAAGCTGTAACAACTGGAGAGTGCATTTCTGACATTTATCACTCTCAAACAGCAGTGCAGGCTGTGTCAGTAATTATGGCTGATGATCCACCGGATGAAGTAAAACCAAGTGACAGTGTGTCTAATGTGGGAAGAGGAGCCAAATCACAAAGTTCTGTGTTTGGAGGAAAATCAGCTGTTTCAACCACTTCTTCAGTTCGTCTCCAAGCTGAAGCTGACTTGGCAGCACTTATGGCGAGACAAAAAATATTAAAGGACAAGCATGAACTGGAACAACAGGAGGAACAACTACGGAAAAGGAAGGAACAGCTTAAATTGGATGAGGAAATTGCAGCTCAAATGGCTAAACTGGATGTGTTGCGATCCAGGAGCATCTTAAGTGGGAGAGGTTCAAGAACAAAACACTCAGATGGAATGAATTCATACCTGGAAAAACAAAAATTAACATCACAACCTCTCAGAGCTGATTCCAGGGCATTTGTTCCGCTGAAGTCAACTGAACCAAAGGAAAACAATAAAGCACCTCAGCCACATTCTTACTCTCTTAATGCACCCAGTCTACAGGCAGGTCAAAATGCTAATGAAAGTATGCACGTTCAACAGCAAGATGCCTTGGGTGCAAGAGCTGGATCAGGAAATGTGGATCAAAATAATATGCTGTCTATTATGGGAAGGCAAAATGAAATAACATCACTCTTAATACAACAACAAAGCCTCTCATCCTTGCCTAGGAGGGAGATCCCAATTTTTGATGGTGATCCATTAAAATACCACACATTTAGAAGGGCCTTTGAGAATGGGGTTGAAGCGAACACGGAGAGCTGCAGTGACCGACTATACTACTTGGAGCAGTATACCAGTGGTCTTCCTAAACAACTAATCAGAAGCTGTCAGCATCTTGATCCAGTGAGAGGATATGCTAAAGCTAAAGTTTTGTTATCTGAGCATTTTGGTAATGAGCAGAAGGTTGCAGCGGCATACATGGAAAAGGCTCTTTCATGGCCCTCCATCAAAACAGAAGATGTTAAAGCTCTTCAGGATTACAGCCTTTTCCTTAGAGGCTGTTCTAATGCCATGGAAGAGGTGCAGTATTTGCATGACTTCGATATGCCTGCTAACATGCTAACCATTATAAAGAAGTTGCCTTATAAGTACAGGGACAAATGGAGATCTGAGGCCTGTGAGCTGCAAGAGAGGCGTGGATACAGAGCTACATTCAAAGACATTACAAATTTCATTGAGAGACAAGTGAGAATTCTGACAGACCCAGTGTTCGGAAATATTCAGGATGCCCCCTCAGTTACCATACCTAGAGGTGTACATAAACTTGCCACACAGCCTCGTTCGGGTACGAAAGGGACCAGCTTCGCCACCACTGTGGCCCCTGTGGCCCCTGTGGAAAAGAGAAATCAGCCTGGAGTCAGTGGTCAGGAATTTGTGCAATCAGCAAAGAAGACATGTTTTTGCTGTGGAGGAGGACACACATTGGATCTGTGTCCAAAGTTGGAGAAGAGGACACACAAAGAGAAGATAGGCTTCTTAAGAGATAAAGGTGTCTGTTTTGGCTGTCTGTGTATTGGACACATCAGTAAAGATTGCAGAAAACGGATTTCTTGTGGAAAATGTGGCCTCAAACATCCTACTGTACTGCACATTCCTGCAAAAGAAAAGGTGAAGGATTCTGATCATGCTGAGAGGAAAGCAGAGATGATGGTGGACAGCACTCTGGTGTCGAGTGGTCTTACTGGGGCTGGTGATCATGATTGCAAACTTCCCATAGTCCCCGTTCAGGTCAAATCACAGAAGGGCACCACAATACTTACCACATACGCTTTCTTGGATCCGGGAAGTACAGCAGTATTTTGTACTGACAGTTTAGTGCACAAGCTGGGCCTCACAGGGAGGAAAGTGCACATTCTTTTGCGGACCATGGGCCAAGAGAAGGTTGTGAGCAGCCATATCGTGTCAGGACTGGAAGTGGCTGGCTTGGATCAGGAGGATTTTTGTGAACTGCCAGGTACTTATACACAGGAGTCCATGCCTGTCCACAAAGGTAACATTCCCAAACAGTGTGATCTTGAGGATTGGCCTCATTTGAAACATGTATACCTGCCTGATATAGATGCAGGGATTGAGCTGCTGATAGGGACAAATGTTCCCCAGGCCCTGGAACCTTTGCAAGTCATTCGCAGTGCTAATGGCGGCCCCTATGCAATAAAGACAATGCTGGGCTGGACTGTGAATGGACCACTGAAAGGAGACAGTGGGAGTACATTGAGTTGTGAGCAGCAACATGTAACAGTAAACAGAGTGTCTGTTGTGAATTTGGACGGACTCTGGCAGCAGCAGTTTGCAGCAGATTTTCCTGAGAGCAATATGGATGAGCAACCTGCAATGTCAAGAGAGGATCATAAGTTCATGGAACTTGTCACAAACTCTGCGAAGCAAATGGATGGTCACTACCAGATCAACTTACCTTTGAGGAAGCCAGAACTTAGCATGCCAAATAACAGAAGTATTGTTGTACAGCGTGCTTTGCACCTAAAGAAAAGGCTTCAGAGGGACTTACCGTTTCATGCAGACTATAATGCCTTCATGAACGAGCTTGTTGCCAAAGGTTATGCAGAAAAGGTGCCTGAACGTGAGATAGATCGTGGAGATGGCAAAGTCTGGTATATTCCACACCATGGTGTTTACCATCGTACGAAAGGGAAAATCAGAGTTGTCTTTGACTGTGGGGCTAGTTTCCAGGGAACATCTCTCAATGCTGAGCTGCTACAAGGACCTGATCTGACCAGTTCACTGATTGGAGTGGTGACTAGATTCAGAAAGGAACCGGTGGTGATCATGGCAGATGTGGAAGCCATGTTTCACCAAGTGAAGGTACCTGCTGGAGATGCTGATCTGTTGAGATTCTTATGGTGGCCAGATGGGGATCTGAATCAACCCCTTACTGACTTCAGGATGAAGGTGCATCTCTTTGGAGCAACCTCATCACCTAGCTGTGCCAATTTTGCCCTCAGGAAGTGTGCAGAGGACCATAAAGAACAGTTTAGCCAGGAAGTTGTAGAAAAGGTCTTACATTGCTTCCACGTGGATGACTGTTTGGTGTCTGTACCTACCGAAGAGGAGGCAGTAGCTCTCTATCATGACCTTGTCTCAATCTGTGCCAAGGGTGGGTTCCATCTCAATAAATGGACAAGCAACAGGCGTGAAGTCCTAGCTGTGATGCCTGAAACACAAAGAGCAAAGGTCATGAAAGAGTTGGACATGGACTTGGATCGGCTACCTGTGGAAAGAGTACTTGGTGTGGAATGGTGTATTCGCTCTGATACCTTTAAGTTTAAGATTGTCATCAAAGACAGACCACTTACCAGAAGAGGGATTCTCTCCACTGTTAGTTCCATCTATGATCCTCTAGGGATACTTAGTCCAGTCATCTTGTCTGCAAAGAAAATCCTAGGAGATCTGTGCAGGAGATCACTTGGATGGGATGACATCATTATGGAGTCAGTTGCTGAAAAGTGGATAACCTGGTTGCAGGAACTCCGTCTTCTGGAGAACTTTAGTCTCATGAGGTGTCTGAAACCCCAGAACTTTGGAGCCACAACTAAGACACAGTTGCACCATTTCTGTGATGCAAGTGAGGATGGTTACGGAGTAGTTACTTACCTGCTGTCCCATGGTTCACACTCACAAGTACACAGTGCCTTCATTGGGGGAAAAGCAAGGGTTGCTCCACTGAAGTCTGTTACTATACCCCGAATGGAGCTCATTGCCGCAACAATGGCAAGTCGCATGGATGTCCTGTGGAGGAAAGAGCTGCACATGAACCTTCAGGAGTCTGTGTTCTGGACCGATAGCGAGTCTGTGCTCAAGTACATCAGTAATGAGACTTCAAGGTTTAAAGTCTTTGTTGCCAACCGAGTCTCAGAAATACTCAAGGTGTCAGAGCCTTCTCAATGGAGATATGTGGACACTGCAAGTAATCCAGCCGATATTGCCTCTAGAGGTTTGAAGGTGGATGCATTTCTCAAGAATGAAATTTGGGTGTCAGGTCCACAGTTTCTTATTCAGCTTGAGACTGAGTGGCCAAGTAAATTTGGGAATGTTATCCAGCTTCCACCAGATGACCCTGAGGTCAAAAGAGCTGCTGTGGTGAATGCTGCTCAGGTTGGAGAAGAGGCTGACACTGTGAGTCGCATGATCCGCTGCTTCTCATCTTGGATTGCTCTGAGAAAATCTGTGGCTTGGATATTGAGGTACAGGAACTGGCTTTTGTCATGTTATCAGAAAAGGAGACAGTTGATCACAGATTTGGCTAAATCTGACTTGAATGCAAAATCACAAAGACGTTCATTGGAGGAGGCGATGGACACTTTCAAAAGGGAATCAATGGGCAGTCATCTGTCAGTGGAGGAACTTGAAAAAGCTGAACTGGAAATTGTCAAGTTCTGTCAAAGGAAGACGTTTCCAGAGGAGTTGTCCAGACTCCAAAATGGGCAGTGTGTGAAGGGCAGAAGTCCTATTCACAGACTCTGCCCACAGCTACAAGATGGTGTTCTGAGAGTTGGTGGTCGGTTGAGCAAGTCATCTATGCCTGTGGAGGCTCAACATCCCGTTATATTATCAAAGGAATTCCACATCTCAGACCTTCTTCTTAGGCACATCCATCAGGAAGTGGGACATGGTGGACGTAACCACATGTTATCCAAATTGCAGGAGAAGTACTGGATCACTGGAGTCAGTACAGTCATGAGGAGAGTTTTATCAAAGTGTGTCACCTGTCGGAGGCTGAATGCTCAGCCAGTGTCTCAGCAGATGGCGGACTTGCCACACGAAAGAGTTACTCCGGATGAACCACCATTTACACATGTTGGCGTGGACTATTTTGGACCATTTGAAGTTAAAAGCAGAAGAAGTGTGGTCAAGAGGTATGGTGTCATCTTTACATGCTTGGCCATTCGAGCAATTCACATTGAAGTGGCTCCTTCACTGGACACCGACTCATTCATTAATGCTCTTAGACGCTTCATAGCAAGACGTGGTCAAGTCCTGGAACTGCGGTCTGATAATGGCACGAATTTTGTGGGGGCGGAGCGTGAGCTGAGGGTGGCGATTGAACAGTGGAATCAGTCACAAATCCATGTTATGCTTCTCCAGAGGGGAATCAAGTGGACATTTAACCCCCCAGCTGGCTCGCATCATGGAGGATCTTGGGAGAGGTTAATTCGTTCTGTGAGGAAGGTCCTCAACTCCACCTTGAATGTGCAGAACCTGGATGAAGAAGGTCTTCACACAGTTCTTTGTGAGGTGGAGGCCATAATTAACAGTCGGCCAATCACAAAGGCATCAAGGGATCCGAATGATCTGGAGGCACTGACACCAAACCATCTCCTATTGTTGAAAACCTCACCATCCCTACCTCCAACAAACTGTCAAGAAGTTGATGTTTATGCTCGTAGGCGATGGAAGCAAGTACAATACATGTCAGACTTGTTCTGGAAAAGGTGGGTGAAGGAATACTTGCCTCAGCTGCAGGAGCGTCAGAGGTGGACAGGAGTGAAGCGCAACCTCATCCCTGGAGACATAGTGCTCATTGTGGACAACACAGCTCCTCGAAACTCCTGGCGCATGGGGAGAGTTCTACAGACTTTTCCAGACCGGAAGGGATTTGTGCGTCAGGTGCGTGTCAAGACGAAGAGCAGCTGCCTGGACCGGCCTATTACGAAGATCTGTCTGCTACAGGAGGCTGAAACTGGATAAGGAGTACCTGCTGCATACTGTGACATTCTGACATGACTTTGACAAACCCAATAGGGCTATAAACATTCTTTTTGACCGAGCCTGAGTGTTGATACCTCTGGCGTTGACTAGCTAACAACAAATGTGCATTATGCATGGACTTTTAGTATCAATTTTGTATTTGTCTCATATAGTTGAAAAACATAAGTAATTATTATGGTTGATAACCTAATAATTAGGGGCTGGTATGTAGGAGCCGCAAGGTAAAGGTTTGTGGTTATGCTCTTGATTTGTTTTTGGTATTTTGTTGTGATTGGTGGCAGTGATTTGTGGAATCCGGGTCACGGGAATAGGGGCGGTGTCACTCAGTTGATTTAAGCACCTGGTCACCTGTGTTCACGAGGGAAGAGGTTTTGAGTGGGTCGCCATATTTTTTGTTGACCGCATGCACACATACTCTTTAAGTCCAGTGATCGCTGTTTCTTCAGTTGGTATCGTTTTGTTGATTGTTTCTTTAGTATTAAAGCACGTTTTTTCCTAATTGATTCCCGTCTCAGCGGATCCATTGACAAAGCGCGTCAGACAATTAGACTAGGCCCGTATCTCATCCTCTAAGCGACATCCTGGTCTCTGAAGTCGCTATACACAGCATCACCAGAACATCCAGCATCCTCATGGCCTTTCCTCCCTCTAAAGCCCTGAGTGTGGCGTCCCTCTCTGTCTCTCTCTCTCTCTCTCTCTCTCTATCTCTCTTTCTCTCTCCCTCTCTCTCTCTCTCCCCTCGTCACAAGCACAGACTGTATATAGAATGGACGACATCTGCCTCCTCGCTGGATGAAGCCACTCCGAGAACAGCACCCTCTGGTGACAGGCTGCAGTATAGGTCATAAATCCCGCCTCCTTATGGAGCTGTGGACAAACTTTATAAATGAATGACACAGAATATAAATGTTTCTCCCCCCTGGTTGTGATGTTGACATGTAGTTACTGTCAGACTAGTTTGTGCTCAAGTCCTCTTTTTTCTGTACAGCTCCATTTTTAAAAGTTATTAGGGGGTTCATGTTTTCTATGATTGACACCTGATACAGCCTATGGGCATTCAGGGACTGCGTAGCTCTCCTGGGAGATACGCTGTTTGAGCCGAGCGTCATCACAGTGACTCTCAGCGACTGCACGCCTGAATGCGCACATCGCTTATGCGTAGTGCTGGTTTTAGAAAATGAAGAAAAATCCCGGAAATACTGAGAGCTTTTTGGCTTCAAATCCGTATGCAGGCGGGAGGTGGAACCAAGTTGTCCGTAGTTTATACAGTCTATGATCACAAGACAAATGACACTAAGAAAGTCCCCAAATAATGCACGCGCCATATTTAGGAGTAGGGTTGCAAAGGGGTGAAAATGTCCGGTAAATTTCCAGAAACTTTCCATGGGAGGTTAAGCTGGGAATTTTGGAAATATTACAAAGTGGAAACTTTCCACGGGAATTATGGGAATTATTGGGAATTGGGGGTAATTTACACAAACTGTTTCATATCCAAATAAATATTTTTGTAAATATTAATATATAATGATAATATTAATATAATAAAATATACTATAATTTATGTTAATAATATATATTTATTTTTGTAAATGTTTTTGTTTTGTCATAAGCAGACATCCATGCAAAATAATACAATTAAAAAACATGACACACATCAGATGGTGAACGTGGCATTTATCTGTAGAATAAAATAACAAAGCTTGTAAAAACACCAATGCAAAGGCATGACCAGAAATATAGTCGGCTAAACAACTGGAATGGTCTTCAAAATATTTGATAATTGATGTTTAAATTATTGTTTGGTTACAGAAAACTGTCTTGTGGGAGTCAGAAGAAACAGCATCACATTTTAGGTATCTACCACCACCATAATAACCTCGCCCCTAAATGGTCAATGAAATGAAAAATAGCATTTAGCAACTATTTTTATTTAATTTTCACAAGTTAAATATTAATACTATTATAGATCAAATATATTTACCCCATGATATTATCCAAACTTACTTTCTATAGTCGGTGGACTCAAATTTCTTGTGCTTTGGGCTCTAAAGTGTGGCCTCCAGGGTTCAAGAAATCATCTGTCAATCATGTGATGGAGGAATGCACAGTGCATGTAGGGGGTGTGGCCTCAGTAGCCCTGCAGTAGCCCTGTTGAGGGCCAACCTTCAATTTCATAAATTTCAGATTTAGTCCAAAGTACAACCTGATTTAACTCACAAAGCGCTGTGTTTTTGTCATGCTTTTATTTTGAAAAACGTCACGCAACATGAACCAGTCACATTACCTGTGTAATGTGAGGCCTCGTCTGTAATTGGTCACGTGGTTTTCAGCAAACCGATACAAGCCTCAAAGAGAGGCTTTGTCAGACTTTGATGTACACACATCAAAGTCTCTGCTTCAAACATCAACCATCACTACCTGTGCAAAGGTGTCGTCGTTGACACACTGAGAGGAAAAGTCTGTGTGGATGTAAACTCAGCCGACTGATTTTCACAAAGACGTTTCAGTGTTGAGAAGTTTGGTCCATTTTATTTTCTTCTCTTTCAGAAGATGGCGGTCTGCAGGAGGTTTTAGATGAACATAAGATCAGTCTGAAGAGGAGATGTGAACGTGTGAATGAAGGAAGTGATGAAACAGGAAGTAGTCAAACCCTCCTCAACAGGATCTTCACTGAGCTCTACATCACAGAGGGACTGAGTGAAGAGGTGAACACCCAACATGAGGTGAAACAGCTGGAGACAACTTCAAAGATGAAGACCCTCCATGACACGCCCATCATGTGTCATGAGATCTTTAAAACCTTACCTGACCAACAGAAGAAGCTCATCAGAGTGGTTCTGACCAACGGCGTGGCTGGTGTTGGAAAAACCTTCTCAGTGCAGAAGTTCACTCTGGACTGGGCAGAGGGTTTGGAGAACCAAGACCTCCATCTGGTGGTCCTGCTTTCATTCAGGGAGCTGAACCTGATCAGAGAAGAGCGCTTCAGTCTTCTGAGTCTGCTCCATGTTTTCCATCCAACCCTAGAGAAGGTCACAGCAGAGACGCTGGCTGTCTGTAAACTTCTGTTCATCTTTGACGGTCTGGATGAAAGCAGACTGTCTCTGGATTTCACAGACTCTGAGGTGGTGTCTGACGTCACACAGAAGTCTTCACTGAACGTTCTGATAACAAACCTCATCAAGGGGAACCTGCTCCCCTCAGCCCTCATCTGGATAACTTCTCGACCTGCAGCAGCCAATCAGATCCCTCCTTCATGTGTGGACAGGGTAACAGAAGTACGAGGCTTCACTGACGCCCAGAAGGACGAGTACTTCAGGAAGAGGTTCAGAGATGAAGATCTGTCCAGAAGAATCATCTCACACATCAAGTCCTCCAGGAGCCTCCACATCATGTGTCAGATCCCGGTCTTCTGCTGGATCACTGCTACAGTTCTGGAGGACATGATGAGCAGAGAGCAGAGAGGAGAGCTGCCCAAGACCCTGACGGACATGTACTCGCACTTCCTGCTGGTCCAGACTAAGAAGAAGAAGCAGAAGTATGAAGGAGGACATGAGACAAGTCCTCAGGAGCTGACTGAGGCTGACAGTGAAGTCCTCTTGAAGCTGGGGAGGCTGGCCTTCGAACATCTGGAGAAAGGAGACATCATGTTCTACCAAGAAGACCTGGAGCGGTGTGGTCTGGATGTCTCAGAGGCCTCGGTGTACTCAGGAGTTTGTACAGAGATCTTCAGAAGAGAGAGTGTGATCTTCCAGAAAACCGTTTACTGTTTTGTTCATCTGAGTGTTCAGGAGTTTCTGGCTGCAGTCTACAGGATCCACAGTTTCACAAAGAGGAACACAGAAGCTCCGAAGACTTTCCTAAAAGACAACGATGAGGAACACCAAGATGAAGACAAAGACGAAGCTGAAGACGAAGTTGAAGACAAATATGAAGATGAATATGAAGACAGATATGAAGACGAATATGAAGACGAATATGAACACGAATATGAAGACAGATATGAAGACGAATATGAACACGAATATGAACACGAATATGAAGACAGATATGAAGACGAATATGAACACGAATATGAAGACAGATATGAAGACGAATATGAAGACAGATATGAAGACGAATATGAAGACAGATATGAAGACGACTATGAAGACAGATATGAAGAAGAATATGAAGACAGATATGAAGAAGAATATGAAGACAAAATGTTTTCTTTTTCTTTTAAAAACCTGAATATTTGTCTCTCATCTCTGGATGTCTCCCTGAAGAGTGTCATGGAGAAATCCCTTCTCAGTAAAAACGGTCACCTGGACCTGTTTGTTCGCTTCCTTCATGGACTCTCTCTGGAGTCAAACCAGAGACTCTTAGGAGGTCTGCTGGGTCACACAGACAACAGTCCAGAAATGATCCAAAGAGTCATCAAGAACCTGAAGGAGATGAACAGAGAAGATATCTCTCCTGACAGGAGCATCAACATCTTCCACTGTCTGATGGAGATGAACGATCTGTCAGTTCATCAGGAGATCCAAGAGTTCCTGAAGTCAAAGAACAGATCGAAGAAGGAACTCTCAGAGATCCATTGCTCTGCTCTGGCCTACATGCTGCAGATGTCAGAGGAGGTTCTGGATGAGTTGAACTTAAGGAACTATAACACATCAAACCAGGGGAAACACAGACTGATCCCAGCTGTGAGGAACTGCAGAAAGGCTGAGTAAGTCCAGGTTTTATTCTCAGAATAGTGTAAATGATCCCTGTAGTTCTTCTAATGTCCACGTTACTGATGATGTTCTTCTTCAAATAGAAATCAACTCAAATATCAGGGAGGGGGTTTCTGTAGCAAAAACATGATCCTGGTGTCAAAAGTCCTGTTAGCACAGGATGAGGTCTACCCTGACACAGAGAGAGAGAGGGTCCACAAGCTCAGCTCCACCAGCACCGAGCACCAAGACCGCCCTCACACCATCCGGCCCCCCAACCAAATTATACAAAAAGACAACTACATCAACTATTGCACATCTCCAACCCAAACCCAAAGTAAACTTCAATGCTATCTGGCCCTAAACAGACAAAACTCCATGACAGATTTTTCCATCACTTCGTATGCATAATCATGATCAAAGAAAACTGTTTGTTCTTAAGGTGGATTTTCTTTTTCTAAGCCAACTTCAATCCCGTCTCTTTGACGTCAGACTGCTGAAAGTTTATCACAGTAGACCGAGGTGTAATCTCAGGTCCCTATGAGCTTGCTGAATCTGCAGGGACATACCGTCGGGGAGAGCCAGCTCTGTGGTCAGCAGGTTTTCCATAAACTTTATCATCGAGTCACCCTCTGAGCCCTCACCATAAACTCAGATGCTGTATCTTCTACCAGGACCAAAAACCTGGTTCTTCTCAGTCCCCTTCTCCAACCAGAACTCAAGAATTCACTCAGTCATAATGATCCAGCTGCACTAACATGAAGACAACACTGTTAGAGAACAGAAGGACTAAAATAAGTCATGAAGTCATTTGTCTTGAACATCTGAACAGTTTTTTCTTCTTCTAAACTTTGACTTCCTGTCTTCTCTCATGGCTGTGGTCCTGATATTAGTATCTGTCTGGTTAAAAACAGGCCGTCTGTCAAAGATCATGTTTGAGTTGTTTTTGAAGAGAAACATCAGATTACCCTTCAGTTAAATATTGTTTGATATTTATGTTGTTACAGATTTTGTAACTGTAGACTCTCAGAGACTCACTGTGAAGTTGTGGCCTCAGCTCTGAAGTCCAACCCCTCCCATCTGAGGCATCTGGACCTGAGCGGAAACGATCTGCAGGATTCAGGAGTGAAGCTTCTCTGTGCAGGACTGGAGAGTCCAAACTGCAGACTGGAGACTCTGATGTGAGACACCATTTCCTTCTGATCTATCAATAAGATGTGACAGCTGCTGCCTTCGATCTTTCTCTGTGGTTTTTCCATCAACTTTGGTCGAGCAGTTTGAATTTGTCGTTGTAAAACTTCAACACAGGAAGAAAAATCTGACATTTCAGAGTTGACTTTGAGTAGAACGATGGATGTAGAAAGGAAGCAGGAGAAAATCAGTCCCACAAATATTACACATGCTTGTAGAGGGCAGGAGCAGCACAGACTAAAGGCTGATATTGAACTGATCCACAATTAATGTGATCACTGATGAATGAATGAAGTGTCAGAGAAATGATGAGCTGCAGATTGAAACCTGAAGAACAAAGTGAATCCAACTCTGGATATTTAATTTGGAAACTCTTGAAAACTTGAATTTCTTCTTTGCTCAGTCGTGTTCAAATGTAAAAACCAGATCCAGATTTTTTTCACTTCAGTTTGTTGAACATGAACATCATCTTGTCCAGTTGATCCATAAAAACCTCTCTGATCAATGATCTGTTGGTTTATTTTAGAGTAGTTGGCAGTTGTTGACAGCAGACAGACAGACCCCTGAATAAACTCCTGACTATTTTAATCTTCATGATAGTGCTGGGCGATAGGACGATAGATATCGTGGGCACGATAGAAAATGTCTATCGTGCCATTTTTTATTTTTATCGTTTCGGGCGATAGGCTGTATTTTATCCATAGGGCTTGTGCCATCAGATGATTCATAGTAACAACAACAATAATTGCACATTCAGTAAGTGTATTTGGTGTCAAACGGGAAAGAAAACAATATTTTCTTACGAAGAAAAGGATGCGTTGACATGTAGGCTCGCATTTCTCTTTCGATTTTGCGACATGACGCCGCTTTACGTGCCCTCTTCGTGTCCAGCGTCTCCCGCCGTTGTGGGTTACCTGGGTTACACACGTGAGGGGATCATTGTAAGCAGTGCTTAATTTGTGCCGGAGCAAGTCGGAGCGCGCTCCGGGACCGCTTTTGATCGGATCCGGGACCTATTTCAGCAGCTCCGGGACCTTCCCTGTAGAGGATTACGTTTTTCGGGAATTCCCGTGGGTCACGTGATTCCCGCGGGAATCCCACGGGATAGGAGTCATTTTTTTATTAATCCCTTGATCGGGACGGGACGGGAAAAAAAGCAACGGGAGTGGGCAGGAGCGGGAACAACATTAAAAGATGATCATTTCCAGCCGTGTTTAACAACCAGATAAACAGGTGCGTCCATTTTTGTAGTCATCTCTCAGTGAGAGCCAACACTCTTGACCGCGCTAGCAACACAAAAGAACTACAACAGTGGTTTGACTTCCTGTCAGCTGGGAGCGCGGCTGCGCATTTGTACCCTTCAAGCCAGCAGCGAGGAAACGTAATTTTGTGACATTCTGTAGTTTTTCAATCATTTCTGGAGTCGTGGCGAATCAAATCACCTTACCTGTCTGCCCCTGATAGTTGAATAAAGCGCTCGGATTCATGCTCGGGTCTACCTACGTGCTTCAAGAGTAAAGTAAACAATGATGGAGGCAGAGAGCAGCTTTGGAGGAGAAACATCTAGCAGTGTGAACAACCTCTTCAAAAGAGCCCTAAAGACCTACCTTTTTAATAAAGCCTTTGGTTAGTTTGCCTCTATGCTTTATGCTTTTACTACCTTGCCTCTTACATTGCAACTCTATATTCTTTATTTTTTTTATTCTTTTATGCTTTTTTTATGCCAATCTGTGACTGTCATTCTATTGCTTTTTTTATTGTTGCTGCTCTTTTTTTACTGTGTACTGTAGCACTTTGAGATTTTTTGTAAATGTAAAATGCATTACAAATTAAAATTATTATTATTATTATTATGGAGTGCTTTGGCTCACACTATCGACGTTTTCTGTGAGTGTTGCATAACTTTGGGTGAGCACAGACATGAACGCACTTCTGCCATGTATTTATTTATTCATTTTTCTAGTTTTAAGTGCTGGTCTTTATTGGCACTGTACTAGGGCAGCTGTATACACTTTAATTTTTCATAGAACTGAAAGCATACCATAGCTATATCGTGATATATATCGTTATCGTGATATAAAATGATCCATATCGTGATATACATTTTTTTCCATATCGCCCAGCACTACTTCATGAAGAATTCAGGACTACAAAAAACCTTTGAGATTTCTCACATTAGTGTCTCAGGATCTCACGAAATTTTTCTTTATCTTTAAAAGTTTTCTGAAAAACTTTTTGGGATCTTCAAAAAGTTTAGAGAGGATTTTACAAAGTTCCTCAAGATCAACTCTGAAAAAGTTCTTCTTCCATGTCCTTTAGGGGCTCAAGAACATTGAATCATCAAAAGCAGGAACAGTTTCTTCAGAGGTTCAATGATTTTTTCTTTTTTTCAGACTGAGTGACTGCAGTTTGTCGGAGATCAGCTGTTCTTCTCTGGTCTCAGCTCTGAAGTCCAACCCCTCCCATCTGAGACGTCTGAACCTGGGTTTTAACAAGCTGCATGATTCAGGAGTGAAGCTTCTGTGTGACTTTCTGCAGAGTCCAAACTGTAAACTGGAGACTCTGGAGTAAGTTTAGTCTTTGTCTGTTTCTTGTGTAGATTTTTATGTTTAATTTTAACTTAATTCAAACGCTCATAGAATTCTTAAATATTTCCAGAACTTTCTTCTTACTCACATAAATTCATAGTTTTTTTATTGAATCATCAGTCAGATACAGATGGAGGAAAACTGTGAGTAATTTTGTTGATTGAATGTTGATGATTTTTTATCAATGTTGTTGTTTCAGATACATTTTGAACATATTCTTTAGTTAATATTCATGAATTACAACCATATCATACTGATATCAGACAGGAGTGTGACAGGTGTTTATTAGTCTTTTTGACACGTTACAATAATGAGGATAAAGTCATGGACTAAACTTGGGCTCCCAGTTTCCTTGTGTTGTTGTTGTTTCAGGGAGCATCATTGTTTTCATCTCAGTTATTAAAGTAATAATGATGCTTCATAAATTCATAAATTCAGAGTCACAAAAAAACACCAAACAAACCAAATCTGAAAAAAATCCACTTTTTCATCAAATGAGTTTAATCGGTCAGAACATGAGGTTTGAGTTTTCATGAGGAGGAAACGAGAAAGATCTGCTCTGACAGTTAGAAACACAGACGCCTGAATTTACTCTGACAGACACACAAATACAGAGAAACACAGACAGAGAAACACAGACACACAAACACAGACAAACAGGGATTTCCACTTTGCTGTGATGACTGAAGTCACAAAAACAAAGTTTTCTTCGTCACTTTTATGATTGAACCAAAGAAGTTAAAGAACCAAACTCTCTAATTTTGTTCTTCCCAATATTATTTGAACCATTTTGATTTTTTTTCTGATCAATATTCAATGATCAGATTTATTGGGTCGCTGTTTTGGCTTCACTGCCTCTTTTCTGCGAGCTCAATAACTGCTCATATGGTTTGAAAGGTTCCTGCAGTAAAACCTGATTAGAGAGTGGACTAAATGAAATGTGAGTGAACTCAGCCATCAGTGAATCAATGACAAAGTGAGAGGAAGAGTGGATCTGTCTGCTGTCTGACCTTGTTGATCCTGATGAAGGTGAGGGAGAAGAGTAAAGCAGTAAAGGTGATGTTGTTGCAGACAGAGTCAGCTGACCTGTCTCATCAGAGTCTCATCCATTCTCTGTTTGGCAGAGCGCTGATGTTACAGTCTGAGAGCACATTCAGGTTCAGGTTCACATGGGCTGGATCTGCTAAATACAAACTCTTGAGACCAGCCTGGTTGAGGGAGGTGGGCTCAGTGTCCTGGGTGACTCTCTCTGAGCTCTTCTTGGTTGAAAGTATTTCTGGTTTGTCTCTGACTTCCATGAACTCAGATCTGGAGGATTGCTGGCTGGTCCGGTCCAGTTCTGACAGTAGAGACAACACAGTCTGTTATTCTGGGTTGAGTGTTCTTGTTGAAGATCAGTGTACAGTGAGGGATGAAGGCAGACAAAGATCCTCCTGTTTCCTCCATGTCACAGTTCAAGTTCATTTTGAAGACTTTGATTGATCCGAGCGCTGAAGAGGAACAGGAAACGAGGAGTAGAGAGTGAGGGAGGACTTACAGCAAAGGATCATGGGAGTCTAACCAGCAACTGCTGCAACAAGGACTCCACCTTCTGAACACCTGAACCTCTAATCCAAACCAGTGCTCCATCACATTTGATGTCTGTTATTTTACATGGAGGGTCAGAGCAGACCAGATCATGAGCTCTGACAGACTGGATCTGGTCCAAAGGTCTCCTGTTGGAGTTCTCTAAGCTCCATATTTTAAACCTGAACACCTGAAGTTTTGATTATTAATTATTTTTATCTACATTCTCTTTTCTTTTTTTCAGACTGTGGACTTGCAGGTTGTCAAAGATCAGCTGTTCTTCTCTGGCCTCAGCTCTGAAGTCCAACCCCTCCCATCTGAAAACTCTGGACCTGAGTGGAAACTATCTGCATTATTCAGGAGTGAAGCTGCTGCTTGATCTTCAGAAGAGTCCAGACTACAGACTGGAGACTCTGAGGTCAGTCTAGAGTTGGAGTTAGTCTGTGCTGATCTCTCCTGTTCCTCTCCACACAGTATCACAGCAGATATTCAGTATTTCCTGCTGACTCTTCGACCCTCTCAGAGGATTATTTCTTTAGTGAAGCTGTGAGAACAGAAATCATCAAACCAGGAGTGTAAGAGTGTCACTGATGAAAAAAGTGTCTCCTCATCTCTATATTTCAGATCAAATGTAGAAATGAGACATAATGAAACAGAAATGTTCAGTTTCTGCTCTGAAGTGGAGTTTATAGTTCTCTGTATTCAACACAGACTTTATTTCTCTGCTAACTTGTTGATTTTGACCTCTAAGTCTGAAAACAGACAGCTGTTCTTTATACTTGTTATTTTCACAGCAGGTTTGTTTGATCAGCTTTAACACATTTGACAGGAAGGATTTCTTTATTATGATGATGTTGGTTTATTTGTGAGGAAACCTGCTGCTTTACACCATCACTTCTGGTCTGAGCAGGACTGGAACCTGCTGGTCTGTAAACTGATGAAGTGAGTCTCAGAGTGGAAACACTGATCGTCTTTTTTTCTCTCCTCAGATGGAAGTAGCATCTGTCAGAGTGATTAAAGAGAAGATCATGTGTTTCCTGATGATCAGAGAGGTGGAGGCAGCAGCAGTGAGGGTGAGGTGAGTCTCTGACTGGGCTGTGTTACTGAGAGACTGACTGACCAATCACAGCGGGCGGAGAGGACTCTGGGAGCTGCACTTTGACCTGCTCTGAGATCAGCTCAGGACCTGGACTCTGGATATTTGATCTTTTCCCTCATATTCTGGGATCAAACAGTCTGAACAGGTTTGTTTTGTTGATGGAAACATGATCATAAATTTACACTTTGATTGGATTACTTTGTTTTTACCATGATGCAGCGCCACCCAGTGGAAATATAAAGAGGTGGAGTTGATTTATTCCCACATATTTCTGCAGCAGGAGTTGATACCATGTGTGAGAGTAGATCAGTCAGAAGTTCTGATTAAACCCAAAGGTTTTTTCTTTCCTTTGCACCGTTAGAGACCGAATATAAACTGAAGGGAGAGAAAGAGAAGTGAGGAGAGATGGAGGTGAAGGGAGGAAAATCAGAAGCTTTATTCTTTCATTTGATTATTTTTATTAATCTGTTTTCTTCTTAATTTTCTTAAATGATTGTAAATATTGACTGGAGGTAAATTAACCTTATTTTATAGTAGACATTATTTTCCGTCTCTTTACATGTTTCTGTTCTCATATCATCTTTGTGCTCATCAGTAATCGATTCCCTCCTGTTTGGATGAACAAACACAATTAATAAACCATAAATGAGACCTGAAAGTAAAATGTGTGAAATATAATTACTCAAAGGCAATAGAAATATTACTTATATAACATACATGGAATGATCAATTGTTTTATATATATAAATGATTTAATGTAACTGCCATGTGTGTGAAGGCATATAGCTACGGTTCTACCTATCTGCTTAATGTTTATTTATGAAAATACAAAAATATTTACTAATATAAAATCCATGGTTAAAATTATTGTGGGGTGTGCAGGAACATAACTAAAACTCTGAGGTTTAAAACAAACCAAACTGTTTGAAAATCAGTTTAAAATTAATCAATCTATGGTTATTTAAATATGACGTGAACCGTAGACTGTAATGATCTGATTGGGTGAACAGTCTGTGGCAAGATGGCCGCCATGCGCTGATGCCGGTCTCCATTGGCTAACAGCGTGCGTTAGCCATCTAATGTTTATATATCTATGTCCCGCGAATTCAACATACAGGCATGGGTAGTTGAGCACTGATGACTCGATCAGACGGACTGAAAAGGGGTGGAAGACATCTTGATTTATGTGCTGAGGTACCCGTTATTGATTTTATTTGACAAAACAGTTGAGCAAAAGGCGTAAGTTTGACTATTATCGTGTTTTAATCTTCCCCCAAACAAAGTATCTTAAAGAGCATTTTAAAATGACTGAGGTTAACTTCTCAAACCCTGAAATCTGAACTGTTAATCAGACACATTCAACCAGCTTTAGAAATGTTTGCATTAAGATGTGGTGGGATTTCAGGTGTCTCTGAATCTGTTAATAATATCTACGGTAAATGATAAACCCCACTATGTTTTTAGGCACACTCTTGTTGATGTATTGACTCACACAGTCTCTTACAGAAAGGTCATCTTTACCGCTTTATGACAGACTCAGCATTTGACAACTTTGTCAGTCTTTTGTCGTCCCCGTCTCAGTTTTTTTAACATGTTGATGGCACCAAATTCAAAATCAGCATAATTTTTTCATAACTTTTTTCTAATTCAGGTTGCATAGTTAGTATATTTCTCCAGACGCATTTGCCAAAACAATAAGAAACATCAAATACCAATAATTGGAAATGATAAATGACCAGTTTTAATGCCAAAATAGTTGCTGCAACATAGAATGTCAAAAATATGTACATGAATGTAAATACATCGGCTACAAATCAGCAAAGAGTAGAACTATTTTACAGGATTACAGCTCTTAAGATACAAACTGTGAAGTTGTGTGGCGACAGTAACAAAGTGGGGCTACAACATGATTTTTAAGTGCAGACACTTCCTATTTGGCACGCTGCATTGGCCAACAAGTATCAAATCTATAGTTTCAAACTCAGCAGGATTTTGAGTTTTAAGGAGCGTCCACAACTCTAAACGAAAAACAAAGGACGGTTCATACAGCAGAAAATATGGCAGGTCCTAAAAGTAAAACTTTGAAACTTCTCCTGTTTGATCGTTTATTCTTCTGGCAGTTTAAGCAAAGGGTAGTTTGAGTGATCGGGGTGTTTGTATCGTTGGAGTTGTCTCTAGTGTGGTGAAATTGTCCGGCTCCTCAGGCATCCACAGGTGAGATACTTCATGGCGGTCATGCTGACGTGCATTAGAGACCCCATATTGAAGAGCATATGGTAGAAGGCATGGACAGACAGGCCTCCAGTTTCATCAGCGTATTTCAGCGCTACGATGGGCGTGTATAAGGGGTTGGTGAGATTACGGAAACGAGGGCTGCTTGCTTCAATCACTTTCTTCGTGCACTGCAGACGATGGGGCAAAAAACAAACAAAGGAAAGATTTAGATTTCCACGATAAGTCGACACAAGGTCACGTTTAAATATGTTTTTTGTGAACTTACTCTGGCGATGTCGTCAGGCGTTTGTCCCAGAGCCTCAAAGATGTCAACAGAAGAGGGCAGATAGACATTTTTGAAGTAATGAACCGTATCAGGATCAGTTCCAGGATACTCCTTCTGCCTCACATCCTGAATCATCTTTGCCTCAAACTCTGTGTGAACCGGACCCGGTTCAATCATTGATAGTCTGAGGAGAAAAGGAGGAACATAAGGAGGCTGTTACTGCAGATATAACGTATAGTGAGTTGGTGGTTGTAGAAATCAGAATCCTGACAGGGTGAGCAGGACCCCAAAGCAAAGTTGAGGAGGGTACAAAAGCACAACAAAAGCTCTTCCCTCACCATATTATCAAGATTCTATTTCACATAACCACCTGCTCATTGTACATTATCTCTTATATATTTGGTGCTTACATTCAAACAGTTCCTCCAATATTAGCCCAAACTTTTGTGAGTCCAAAGTAATACCTAACCATCTGCTAATGAGTGTAAACGGTTAACAAAGTGAACAACAGCATTCTAGTGCTCAAGCTGTTTTTATTAGCATGATTTAAACTCTGACATGTAACCAGTGAGTCTGATTTAAGTGTTTGTATTCATAAAAAAAGTTATTTGTTATTTCCAACCTTAAAAACACCATGTGGATCAGTTAGAACTGAGTAGAAAACATACTATTAAACCGCTCGGTGTGTTTTTGTTTTATTTGTTACTGTGTTAGAAGTTCAAGCTGCCCTCACATGACGTTAAACTTCAGGAGCTGCACGGCCAAACTCTCACAGAAGCCCTCCATGGCGAACTTGGAAGCTGCATACACGTCATTAAACACCACACCTGCAGAAACAAAGAGAACGTGTGTCTGTTTCACTTTCAGAAAACATCAACACCTAAACAAAACAGTTTTTGTCATGCAGCGGCTCACAGGACCGTCCCTCAGCTCTGTTTCTACCTCATGAGTCTTTCTTAAGTGTCCACCTTCTCCTCCATTCGTCCGTCATCAGCTGGTGCACACTTCAGAGCTAACATACCTGTCAACATTCCAACCCGCCTCCTTTTTCTTCCCCTTCACGCCTCTGAGTGCTAACCTTGTAGTCCCATCACACTGCTGACCACGATGATGTGCCCTCCTCTCCTCTTCTTCATGTCAGGCATCACCTCCTTAATCATTCGGATCACCCCGAAGAAATTGGTCTCAAACACTTTCTTCATCTCCTCGATTGGGATGCTCTCCAGTGGTCCCACCAGGCCGATACCTGCGTTATTGACTGATCAGAAAACAAAGAGATAGAAAGAACTGAGTATTAAACCAACTCTGAGACACGGTTCAATGAATGTTACTCACTGAGGACATCCACGTGCCGATCTTTAATGCCGTTGATACACTGTTTGACCGACTCATCGCTGCAGACGTCCAGCACGGCCAGAGACAGAGTTTTCCCGTACGCGTCTCCAGCAGCCTCCACCAGTTTATCCTTACGCTTCAGGTCCCGCATCGTTGCTATGACTACAGAGAGGCGGCGGTAAAGAAAAGCAGAGAGAGTGGATGTGGGTGAGACACTAATCAGAGTAAATGAAAAACTGTCACAGTTTGGAATTTTATAAACTTCAAAATAATCAAAACCAAACTTTCAGCATCATATTGACATGAGTTACAGTTACAGTAGGAGAGCCAAAGTATTACAGTTTTTAATTCATGAGTCCATTTAATTTTGAACATTTTCTTCAACTGATTTCAAAAATTGATTTCAAATAATTGTTCTTATGTCGACCAATAAGACAAACATTATTGGATCGATCTTCATTATGCCCCTGAAGTTTCTCACGTGCTCCTTGTGAACAAAGTTAGTGTCGAGCCCTGTAAAGACTTGTTTAATTGTGTGTGGTTGATGGAAAATGGCAGCAATAACTGCAATGATGGAGATCACTGGGATGTAAACGATTCAGTCCAATAAGATCTTCATCACGTCTCTTAAACTTGTATTCGGTCGTTAGTCTTTCCATCCCTGCGGTGTGCAAACAGCCCTCTGTATAATAAAGCTCCTCTTATTTCCATTGGCTGTTTATGAATGGGTTGAGTGCCCCCTACCAGCTTCTCCATCCCCACAGGCCTTCATGCTGCTGCTGTAAATAAACCTGTGATTAGGAAACCTGCCCCGGTAAAGAAGATTACAGCAAACAGTGTTACTACTCCTGAGTCAGACTGAGTTCACTGGATCAGAACACACAAACATCATGATCTGTTGACTGTTTGTTCAAATAGTACAAACTGTTCCTTTGTGTTCATCACATGTTCTCTGTGTGTGAGTGATCCTGTCTTTGTGTACCTTTCCTGTCATAGGTGGGAGCGGAAAAAAAAGGATGTGAGGTCGTGAGGAGCGAAGGAGGGGACAGATGGGAGAAAAGGGTCGGATGGACAGTAAAGTACACACACAGGAAACCCTGTTCATGCCTCTCTGACCCGTGTGTTGTTTTCCTGCTTTCTGGGAAGTTTGTCTGAAATTACACAACAATGTAAAGCCAGTGGTAAAGATAGCAGTTCGAACAAAGATAATCTTAAGAAGCTTTAATGTGGACTCTCTGTGAAGTAAAGGTTTACATATGAGCATGTAGAGCGCTCACGTCGCCTCCAAGAATAGCTCTCGGCGGCAGACTTTAGTTAGCCGCGCTATAATTAGCCTGAGAAAAGCTGTAGGAGGTCTTTATAATTGTCTGGGGTTACCTGAATCTCAGGCATGACAAAAGGTTAAGTTGGGATCAGAGACGTGATATTTGTAGCCGACTGAGTGAGCCGGGAGCTTTCCCAACATTACGAAATATCAAAAACACTTTTACGAATAATGATAATAATAATAATACAGTTTATTTATAAGGTATTAAACAGGATAAAAAGAGAGTAAATACATTCAAAATACGAGTGCATCAACAGAGGTGGGTTTTGATGGGATTTGAACTTTGGTGGTTCAGATCAGGACCCCCAGGTTTGGTGCTTGGTCCTCAGAGAAGGTTGGAGTCTGAGGTCAGTGAGGTCAGAGGGGGCGTGATTATGGAGGCGAGGAGAAGGACTTTAACCTGGATGTGTTGGTGAACAGGGAGCCAATGGAGGTTTGGGTGTTTGGATGAGGAGGCGAGTTTTGGATGTTTTTGATCATTTTTGAGGGTGAACCAAACAAGATACTTCTGCAGAAATCGAAGTGTGGATCAGAGAAGAAGAGTGAAGGTCGGGGATTGATGATACTTCTGAGGTGGAAGAATGTGGTCATGGTTATGTGATTCATATGAAGACTATTACGGACAACATTTTTTATTCTGTTTACACTTTATACTATTTTCATTTATCGTCCTTTGTTCCTCCTGCTTATCCAAAACTCCTTTAAGGAACTTTTGGGTCGTGTGAATTTTGTAAACAAAGCAGTCTCGGCCAGCGGGACCCCAGACAGTCAGATGTATCATTGGTTGTGAATAACTGACACTTTTTTCCCTCGCACTAAGTTTAGACATTAAAAATAACAAAATAAAAACCATAAATGTTTCTGGAAATTATGAAAAGTCATGAATTTTGAGAGAACTCCTCACAGGAGCTTTAAATGCATGTTTACAAATGGCTTTTATTTGCCCTGTCCGTTTTTAAACCTACCCATGTATCGTCTCAGACTCTGATTATTTTTATTTTGTTAACACCGACACCCCCATGGACCCTTAAAGCTAACCTTGACCTCTGACCTTCCTGCGTGCGTGGAGAGGAAATACTAAAGAGTGGTGAATTTCCTCTTTCGAGTTCAGCAGAAAAAAACTCTCAGCTCTCGTTTTCATCTTCAGTCAATTTGTCCTGGTTCATTTTTCATCATCAGACGGTTGTGAAACTCATTTTCAGTCATTGTGTCTAAATTGGATCCTTATTTCGGCTCATGTGGTTCAGATTGGATATTGTGGGTCTGAACTTCTGCACACAGTCAAACACAGATGGAGGTCTATCCTCTGCTGCGCGGCTTTAATCTGCATTATGATGTGGACTGTGTAATACTCTTATGTACGCTTCAGTCATGATGTAAGCATCTTCTGTGGACACTGTAGAACAAGGAGCGAAGTCTGTTTAGTCTATTATCAAACCTCTCTGATACTCGAGGAGGAGATTCAAGGCCTGTTAAATCAGACCGAACCGCTGTGAATATTATCTCTCCATGTCCTTTTAGTCTCTAAGCAACAAGTGAAGTAGGATGAGCCAAAGGGTTGTGCAGTATGTCGCTCTACTGTTTGAAGTTTTTACGTATTTTTCTGTTTTATTGAATTTGTTCATCCAGAATAGAGTCTATAATGAATTCTCCTAAGAGGACATAAAAGCGTCGCTTCTCTTGTCTTAGAATTTGAAGTCTGAAAGCTCGTGCACTTATAGTAAGAAACTGCTCTTTTATTTCTGTTGTATATTGTGTACATGCTTGTATATTATCTCTTCATTTTCACTTATTTTATCTATTATTTTATCTCATTTTACTGTATTTGCCCCTGCGGATTATTAAAGTATTTCTGATTATGATTTTGTCCAAAACACAAAACTCCAAAGTTGTTTAATAACATAAATAACAAAAAAAAACAAACTGCAGTTTTATTTGACAAACTCTTTCTCACCCTTATAAATGATTTATAGTATTTTACAGGTGAATTCATTTATTTTAGCTTTGGTACAAGTTGATTTTATAAAACTTTAAAAATACGACTTTAAAAAGCAGAACCGAGCAGATATTTGAGGTTTTTTTTTAATGTTTGTTTTTACTGAAAATGATCAATCATTGCAGTTGTCCAGATTTTCTTTAGATCGTTTTATTGCCTCATGACTGCAGCTCAAGAAAGATTTTATGAGTTATTAAGATTTTAAGATGAAAATGAAGTCTTCACTAGTTTAACCATGACAAGAAAACTGGATAGACATCTTAAAAGTCTCTCTCTCTCTCTCTCTCTCTTACACACACACACACACGCACACCGTGCACTCACCATGGTAACGCTTCTTCTCATCCTTGGCCAGCATCACGGCCATCCTCAGACCGATCCCGGAGGAGCAGCCCGTGATCAGCACCACTTTCTGTCCGGGACTCGCCATGGCTCCTCTCCGCTGCCTTTCTCCTCTGACAGTGAATTAAAGCGGCAGAGAAGCAGGATGAGAGCTGATTTAGAGGGAAACCCGTGGTAAGAGGATCACACAGAGAGAGAGAGGGAGAGAAAGAGAGAGAGAGGGAGAGGGAGAGAGAGAGAGAGAGAGAGAGAGAGAGAGAGAGAGAGAGAGAGTCACATGGACTGAGCTTATCTAACCCTCGGTTTGAAAGCTCTGTCAGCCGCTCCGACCCGGCAGGAAAACTTTCATCCCCCTCGTCCTGAACCAGATAAAACCTTTGACCTCCACATGTGTCGTCTTCTTCAACGATAGTTTACACAAAAGTTTTTTAATTTATATTTTTATTCATTTATTTAATCCCTGAACACCGATAGGCTGTATCAAGTGTCAATCATAGAAAACATGAACCCCCTAATAACTTTTAAAAATGGAGCTGTACAGAAAAAAGAGGACTTGAGCACAAACCAGTCTGACAGTAACTACATGTCAACATCACAACCAGGGGGGAGAAACATTTATATTCTGTGTCATTAATTTATAAAGTTTGTCCACAGATCCATAAGGAGGCGGGGTTTAGGACCTATACTGCAGAAATAGTTTGATAAATGTCATTTAGTGTTTTAAATGTGACCTCTTTTGCTTTATGAGGGATTGGATAAGACAAATATCATTAGTTTACACAAAACTTTGAAAAGACAAACTGATATACAGTTCATATATTTACAGGCAAACTCAAGACCTTCCTTTACAGTCTGGCTTTTGTTTTATTCTTCGAGCCTCTCTTTTAGTCTACTTTTTTATCTTATGTATTTTACTCCACTTGAGTCCCAGAATAATTACTTTATTTTTTAACACTATTTTTTATTTTCTTTTATTGTTTGATTTAAAAACAGTTTTATTATTTTTGTTATAATAATAATAATAATAATAATAATAATAATAATAATAATGATAATAATAATAATAATAATAATGATAATAATAATAATAATAATAATAATAATAATAATAATTATTATTATTATTATTATTATTATTATTATTATTATTATTATTATTATCATCATCATCATCATCATCATCATCATCATCATCATCATCATCATCATCATCATCATCATCATCATCATCATCATCATCATCATTATTATTATTATTATTATTATTATTATTATTATTATTATTATTATTATAATGATAATATTTCCTTGGTTCTCTGTGGCTTCCTGTTGATCCCTGACATGGTGTCCCAGTGGTTGTGAGAGATTGTGTGTGTGTGTGTGTGTCTCTGTGTGTCTCTGTGTCTGTGTGGTCGGGTGGGTGGGGGTGTCTGTTAAATGCGGGCTTGAAGGGTGGGTGGGTGGGGTTTTGCAGTTTGTATTTTATTGTGTATTTTATTTTGTACCCCCTGATCCTCTCCTTCTTGTGTTCTGTAATGTACAGCACTTTGTGGTACAGTTTATGTACGAAAAGTTCTTTATAAATAAAGTGATTGATTGATTGATATTAAAGGTTAGAAGTCGCTCTTTGGCTGTTTAAATCAGTCTGTGCTCGGTGTAGAGATTTGGCGCCATCCAGTGGTCAGAGTGAATACGACCTAAAATGAGTCCCTAAAACTGGGTGAATGGCCCCTTCAGTTATTCAAACAATAAAAACATCTGGCCCCATCACTCATGATGATCCCTGAGGGTGTTTTTGTGGCAGAAGCTTTAATCTACATGAAGACGATTCAGAGACATGAAAAAGTTTAAATTATGAGCCACAGAGTTGATCAAACATATGTCACACACATGCACACCACTACGACTATCCAGGTCTGCTTTCAGTTCACTCAGCTCTCTCTGTATGTTTGTTTGTATGAGCTGCCCAAACACATGAAGAGTCAACAGTATACATTTATTTAGAGAAAAGAATCTTGTTATTTTGCCTGTTCTGGTTGATCTCTCCCTCCTCTCTCTCTCTCTCACACACAGTCGAGCCTGAAAGTGAAGCTGCCACTCAGGAGTCAAAGACATCTGAGTTGTGGGAGGAGGCGGCGGGCGTCCTGGAAAAATGCCTGGAATCCATTTTATTCTCCTTTTGTATGTATGTGCGGCTGAACGCAGTTTACCATTGTTACCAAAACAGAACTGTTGCCAAAACACAATCTTCTAATGATTACTCCTTCCTTTTTTTTTTAACCACATTTACAGAATTTGAAGACATGTTTTTAACTGTCAGAGCATGCCAAGCGTTTAAAAATGTCTCACCTGTATGTTAAATTACAAAATATGGATACAGCAATATCTATAGATATCAATCAATGTTGACATGTCAGCTGAATGAATACAACAGTCTGAATAGTTTTCTGCTAATTTGGCTGTTTGTGTCGTGAATACAATCTTTAGAAATTTGCACTTTCTTTAATGTGAAATACGTTTTATTCACTCTTCAGAAGTTAATCTGATTTTACAAGATAGCTCCAGATGGTGTGAAAAATAACATTTATTTTGAGAACTAAACATTTTACTCTTTATTTGCACACTTGCAAAGTGTGTCAGACTCATGCACAAACTGAAATGTGATTGAAGAGTCATGTGGTACTTATTTGTGACTTTAGATATACAAAGTAAAATACTTTAGTGACACATAAATCTAACTGCAGGAACAGTTTTCTTGGGTTAATTTCTTTTGGTCTAAAATGAGTTTGTTTTTTTTGCATTTGTGATTAATATAAAAAGTCTGCTTCCATGCTCTGTCACTATATTTGTCTCTGATTTTGCAGTTTTGAGGTCTAAAGTTAACTGTTTGTTCTACCATGAAGAGTCTGAAACAATGCAGACGTGAGCAGGACAGGGGGGGAAACCTTCAGGCTCATATAGGTAATCCTGTAAATGTGTGCATGTGTGTGCATGTACTGAGCTCCGATCCTGTCAGCCTCATAAACCTGGTCTAAAGAAAAAAAAACCCCGAGATGTTTCATCAGGAACCACCCAGAGAGATGTTTGTTCTGATGGACTTTTCCACATTAGAGAATCTCAATGAAGAAGGAGCAGCTTTTGGATTTATTGTGCTGCCTATAGGAATAATGTGTGTGTGTGTGTGTGTGTGTGTGTGTGTGTGTGTGAGTGTGAGTGTTGGGCAAAGACAGACAGGCAGTGGAATTTGGAATCTGCAGCAGCATATTTTTATTAGTTGGGCAGCACCTTTGTCCTGTCCTAGCATGCTTCGTGCGTGCATGCGTGCATGCGTGTGTGTGTGTGTGTGCGTGTGTGTGTGTGTGTGTGTGTGTGTGTGTGTGTGTGTGTGTTTGAAGAGGAGCAAAAAAAAAACAAATGTGGCATGAGCTCAACTCCATGTTGGATGCTTTGTATCCTCCACTGTAGATAGAAACTCTGCAGGCAGCTTCGCCTCGACTAATAGAAACTTTTTGCAGATGTGCTCGTGCACGAGTGCGTAACATCGTTACACTTTAGTGCCTGTGCGCGTGCACGCTGAAGCCAGATAGAGACGCTGCTGCAGCACCTTAACCCTTTAATGCCTTTTGTATCATATTTGATTCATACTTTTAAGAATAAGAAGAACTTTATTGATCCCTGAAGGGAAATTCAACTGTCTGTCGTCTAACTTGACATGCCTCTCGAAGTTAGGTATCTATTATTTACAGAAGAGTTATAAAGTCTGATGTCTGTTGGTACAAAAGATCTTCTGAATCTTTCTGTCCTGCAGTGAAGAGAGAGGAGCCGTCCACCACCATCGGCCCTTTGGTCCATCAGGGTGTCGTGAAGTGGGTGATCCATGTTCTTCAGAATAGTCTCCACCTTCCTCAGTGTAGATCTCTCCACCACATCCTCCACAGAGTCCAGCCTTTTTCACCAGTTTGTTCAGACGTCTTCATCTTTGTGTTTGATGCTTCCTCCCCAGCAGACTGCAGCGTAGAACAGAACACTGTAGATCTACACCACAGACTGATAAAACAGCTGCAGCATCTAACTACAGACGTCTATTGATCGGAGTCTTCTCAGGCTAAAGAGGCGGCTCTGCCCCTTTCTGTAGATGAAGTCTATATTTTCTTAGACCAGTCCAACTTCTTATCCAGATGTACACCTAGGTATTTATATGATGTCACCACTTCGATGTCCACTCCACAGGTGTTCACAGGTGTGTTTTATAAACTTCTATCAAATCAATATGATCAACAAACTACTTAAAAAAACACCCGAATACAGTCGGATAAATGATAAAAATGTCCTCTTGTAGTTTATCAGTTTCCAAAAACATCTAACAAATCAAACGAGATAAAAAAATATATATTTGTTAAATTTTAAGGACATTTTGATTTTTTTGGTTTTCAGTATTTAGTGAAATAAACAATTTAGCTCCAAAAAATTGAATTTTTTGGCCATAATTTGTGGACAACTTGGTTCCGCCTTCCACCAGTTTACGGATTTGAAAAGCTCTCTGTCATTCAGCATTTTTCTCCACTTCCTGAAACCAGCGTTGTACACATTGGACGGGAGAGTCGCCGAGAGTCGCTGTGATGACGCTCGACTCTAACAGCGTATCCCCCAGGTGAGCAACGCAATCTTTACGCCCATAGGCTGTATCAGGTGTCAATCATAGAAAACATGAACCCCCTAATAACTTTTAAAAATGGAGCTTCACAGAAAAAAGAGGACTTGAGCACAAACCAGTCTGACAGTAACTACATGTCAACATCACAACCAGGGGGGAGAAACATTTATATTCTGAGTAATTAAAGTCTAAAGTTTGTCCACAGCTCCGTAGGGATCACTGGAGGAGGCGGAATTTATGACCTATACTGCAGCCCGTCACCAGAGGGCGCTGTTCTTCACCCAGAGAGGATGCAGACGGCGTCCATTCTACATACAGTCTATAGTTTTCAGGCATTAAAGGGCAAAATCACTCAGCCAGTAGTTTGGCTAATAGTGACACGCGTGGTAATTACGCTGCTGTACAGCCGAGAGTCTCCAGGGAGGGAGGGAGAAATAACAGCCTGGAGGAAGGGGAGGTGAAGAGGAGGAGGAGGGAAGAGAAAGTGAGGAAAGTTTTCTTTTTTTTGTGGATGAAGGAGGAAAGCCCCTCTGAGGTTTGAGAGTTTCTCCTCCATCCGTCCATTCAGAGGAAAAACCGCCGTCAGGAGTCCACGCGCCGCTGAACACCAACCATCATTAACGGAATCAGCGTTTCAGCGCGCGCGCCCCTAGTAATTGCTCAGCCCTATAGTGGAGTGGAGTGCGCGCGGAGAAGCAGCAAGTTCCCGGACCGTGAGGGGCTCTCGCGCGCAGAGCTGAAGACACCTCTGACTCTGCAGGTGTCAGAGCTCGAGGAGCAACCGAGGAGCCACGAGGAGGAGGGAATTATTGGGCCGCCGGATCGATAGCTTCCAATGCAGTGATGGATCGATTGGGCACGGTGCGCGAGACGTGGCTGCTGTGGCTGCTCGTGGCGGTTTTTTCCACCTCAAATGCAGGTAAGCTGACATTTCCAGAACTTTCTCCTCTTTTTTAGTCAGTTTAACTTTAACTGAAAATGAAACATGTAAAAAGTTTGATTTAAAGGTTCCTCTTCTTTTCTCTGTCGCATCAATTGTCACCACCTGCCCCCCAGGCACTCATGGGTAATGAAGTTCATGTTTCTCCATCCTCAACATGAGCTAATTACAGCTCTTCTGCAGGAAACTCAAACCCTGTCATTTATGCATTTGGACAATTTCAGCTCTGTCTTTGTAAACTTGATGTTTCAGGATGAGTTCATGTAAAATAGACACCTTCAAAACTCCCCCTGAGTCATTTTCCTCTCAGCTTTGGGTCTCCACTTTGACAGATGATTTTGTCATGCTCGGTCCTGCAGGCCTGAACTGAAGCTCTTCATTCTGGACTCATGAAGCCCACTGCACATTTGCTCGACAGTCATAAGACAGGGGTCTATTTGTCTGGACTTGTTCTGTCATACCTGCTGCTGCTTCTGCTGCTGCTGCATCACTCTTTGCTCTCATACGGCAGCGTACAGGATATTTAACCTGTTCAGCTGGGTAATGGGGAACAGACCGGGGTAAATTAAAGTGGGCTGTACTGTGCTGCAACGCTTGGTTTCATACAGCAGCCCCCGGAGCGGCACTGGAACCATATGAGGAGGGTCGTCCATGTTTATTAGGATGAGTGGTTCCTGGAGCTAAACTGTGAATACATCTATGTAAATATTTGAGTTTAGGAAACCTACACAACAGAAGGTAAAGCAGCTCTCCTAAACAATCCTGATGAATGTTTGGCATGTTAGAAAACGATCAGCTTAAATTACTTAAAAATAGACAGGTTGCTCGATTATCAAAAACAGATACCGACATCTTCATGATGTTATTTAACCCACCGCGTTAAATCCCCAGTTTGTAATTTTTCAGGTGTTACGGACCGGAATAATGTTTTGGCCAGGTGCCGAAACTTCCTGGAGTCTTCCTTTCAGCATGAGGCTGCTATGCAACCGTCGATGACTAAGCCTCTGTTAGACAGCCAAAAATGTCAAAGCGTTCCAATAAAAGCTGAGCGTCAGCGTTAATTCTTGACTTTGAAAACTGCAGTTGGCTCGACGGGCTTGACTCAAGATGTGATCCGTAATTTAGATTATGTAATACGACCAACAGATCCAGAACAGCAACAGGTTTAGGTTAAATTAGACACATATGATATCCTCATGGGCTTAATGAGTCAGCGTTAACAGGACTCAATTCACCGAGATCCAAGAGTGCAGGTGACTTGGCTCAGACTCCACCATGTTGCCTCCACCTGGTCCGTCTGAGAAGACACAATAATGTTAATAATGAGTAATGGTATTATCGCCCACCTGTGATTCAACAGGTGATAAACAGAAAGAGTAAACACGACATGTTTACAGCGGTAAGGGATATTCCGGCATAATTTTAATTTAGGGTCAAACACACTGCAGTTAGACACCCCCTCCAGAATGTTGTCGACCGCTTGCTTCTCTAGTTATACCAACTTTAGTGACAAACCTCAACCAAAACGCCACTCTATAGCCACAAATAATGCTCAGAACAGCACCTAACTTCATCAACAGGACATATAGGGTCACAGTCATAGTACTAGACACCAAACATCTTTTTAACTTTGACTCATTTCTTTAGCAAAGAGACTAAACACAACTCACCTACTCTCTTCCAGCAGCCACTTGTTTGTACTGAGACCTCAGGCCAATCCATTATGGACTACAGCGGGGTGATGCAGCATTTATGATCATTACTTTATCATTTCCTTGAAGTAGTAATCATCATATTAATCATCACCCCGCTGTAGTTGTCCCTTACACCCACAAACCATGAAATAGTGTGTAGAAACAGGAAAATTCAACAATATCTAGATTGAAATGCTCCCTTGCTCACTCCTCCCATGAGTGAAATGATCTTCCAAGGAAAGTTTTTACCATCAAAAATTCTTCTTATTATTCCTCTTCTTCATTTCCTACCAGGACGTCCCCTCAGGTCATGATTACCCGCTGATTTAAACACTCTTATAAATATTATAATCCAGTCCTACCGACTTTAATGTTTCTGTTTCTGAACCTTTGCTGGTGACGATCAGTCATTCTGAAGTTTCATCCAACGGCATCAAACTGCACCATCGGCACCTTGTAAGTCACTCACATTTGGGTCAAACCTCACCCTGTCTGTGAAGGTCATTACTGAGGTGACTAATGTGACCCCTGACCCTCTGGGGTCATCTGGGGTCAAACTCACTCAGGGTGTGAACCCTGTAGCGTCCACACCTGGCGGTCAGAGGAGTTGTAAATAAAATATTTGCGAGTCGCCTTCCTGCTGAGGAGAAAAACAGAGAGAGAGAGTGAAAACAAACAGTAACGCTGACATACAGAGGGTATACTTTAAACTTTCGCCCCCTCCTCCTACTGGACCAACTCTGTCATTACACCCATTATTTAACTGTCTGCAGTTACGTGTTCGTCTTGATTTTGACCCTACTGTCAAATGCAGTCACACACCTGGCTGTCAGCAGGTTCGGTGTGAATTATGATTATAGTTACCTCAGAAATGTGGTCATGTTACGGTCAAGCATGTCACGGTCTGGCCTAAGGTGTTTCAGGCTCTTACCTGGCTCACCTTGTCTGTATGTAACCTGTGCCTCAGGAAGACCTCACTCTCGTTTTTATTGCTTTTGAAGAATTTAAAGTATTCGTCGGTCGGAAAACGGATTCTGATGTAACCTGGTGGCTGATGTTAGTTCGTTAAAGTCAGAGATGAACTTTTATCCTGTTTTTAGAGGTCCGGTCCACGGTGTGTTTTGGACTCCGAGCAGAACTAAAGCTTCATTCACTCTGTAAACTCAGCGGGTCCAGTCAGGAGTTTCTGCTCTAGTTTGATTTGTCTGTTTGGTCATAAATATGGTGAATAACCGTGGTCCAGTGTGGACTTAGTCATGGTTTAAACTGACTTAAAAAACATGTAAAATGTCCTTATATGGCAGTAAACTGATGCCATGAAATCAAGTGAATACGGTTTAATCTCAAGGTTCATATATAATTGGAGGCAAGTGCATAATCTGTGAATTTAACTAACACAAAGGAGAGGATTCTGGTTTGTTTTTCAGTACTCATGTGATTATACGTGTGGATGGTTGTCCAGATATCATGAGTAGATACAGGCTGGTTATTTATTCTAAACCCACACTGGCTGATTAAACAAACAAACTGAACGGTAACTTGTTTCTAAACAGTGAGGTTTCAGTAACTGTCATGGAAGTGAGTGAAAATTCAATTTGAAATATAAAATATATTGAATAAAAATATTGAATTTGCCTCCGGGGATAAATAAACTTCTTCTTCTTCTTCTTTAAAAAAGGCTGCTTACTCACTCTGCTGTCCATCACTCTGTCGGACACTTTCCCCCTCACGGCGGTGTCAGAAGTTTCCCAGAGTAGTTAATAACTTTGTTGCTGATGGTCTCGTTTGCTTCTGAATGTCATAAAGAGGCACCAGTATCAGTTTCAGTTTTTTTTTTAGAAAATTCCTCTAGAACGTGCTGCTAGCTAAGATAACCACGCATATTAGATTTTGATTGTGCTGCAGTAATTATTTATTTTTTTAATTGTTGTATTTTGATAAATGTGAATAGATCAAAATCCTATATATTGATCTATTATCAGCATCAACATTAAAGCTCATTTATGCTCAATGTTACATACGGATCTGGGTGCAGACGGAGCTCCCAGTCTTTTCTTTTCGTCCGTGTTTTTGCACGTATCCTTGAAGTTTACGGATACGGACCAAACAGAGCAGTACCACTGGAAACCATGGGGGGCAGTGTTGCTGCTGTAACAACCCGATACCAGGAAAGTTTTCACCAATGTTGATATCAATCAGAACGTTTACATGACACTCAAGAAAACCGAATTATCGCCTTATTCCGATTAAGACCGGACATCTGAAGTGAATGTAAACACTTTAGTCCGATTGGAGTCAGAGAACTCCAATGAAGACACCCAGATAATGCGATTGGAATTTGATTTTTCTCTACCATGTGATGTAGCGCGTCCATCATGTCGGACAAAAACAACGCTGTACGATGCTCCATCTTCTTGTTTCGCCAAAATGTCCAGCAGCAGTTGTAGACACTTCTGACGTCTGACACCGACCTGCTGTTGTTGTTGACGGTTGTTTGGGGTCGGAAACAGCGCCGCTGAAAAGACCCATATCGCCCCCTAGTGTTGGGGAGGAGGACACGTTCACGTCAATAATTCAATTTTTCTCAGCTGGACAAGGAGAGAAGTCCGATTAGGTGAAAAAAACAGAATTATGAGCTTAGTCTGATTAAACTGTGACTGTAAACACAGGGACAGTGTCAGGAATCATAATTTTGACTTTTCAGGCTCCGATTCAACAACAAGGAAGTCATTGTCGCCTCTCTCTGCAGTGCGTCGCTGCTTATTCACTTTCTAGACACCAAACATTAAAATACCAAAAGTGAAAAAACAACAACAACGACATCATGCACGGGTTGAATTTGTAGCTCAGGTGCTGTTCTGGTCTCACACCTTCAGTCACATTGAGGCCGGTGGTTTTGATTTGACAGCTGATGGGAAACACCTGCTGTGACATCATGAACTGGGAGCTCGCCAGAGGCGCTACAGTAGCTCTTCTGCCACATGTGGTCCAATGTGGAAACCATCTTTGTGGATATCATAAGCCACGCTCAAGGCTCTGAGGATGGTTATATTTGTCATGAGATTTACATGAAAATTTATCCTGATATCCAGGCTCTCTGCAGGATACCAACAAGATCATCTTTGGACTTTTTATCAGGAAACAAATTCAGCTTCTTCGGTATTTTGATTTGTGACTTCTTGCAAAATTAAAGCCAGGTAGAAGTCATGTTGGTGTCCGAACCTGAAAATACCCCGAGTTGTGAGCGTCAGAGAGATGATTTGACTTTTTCAACAGGCGATGGTTTCTGTCACCTGAGAAAACGGCGTACTTGCAGCAGCCTGCTCATGTGATCGATCCAGGAGTGAGTCTGAACAGTGATTGATGATGGCCCTTCTTGTAATTGACAGCTGTGGACGGATCGTTCGAATGAGGTTTTTAGGTCAGTTGGAGCGGTGAGGAATGTCTGAAGGCATCCATCACTGCAGACTTACAGAGCAGAGGAGACAAAATGATGAAGTGCAGGAAGAAAAAAAAGGGAAAACGTTCAAAAGCGGTACTTTTTTGGTGGTTTTTCACAGCTTTGACAAGATTCAGCAGCGATCAAGAAGAGATCTGAGTGGTTGTGAAGCAGGTTTGACATCAAATCTTCACTAAAAACCAAAACAAACCGCCAACTTTCTGACGAGACGGCAAAGATCTTTCAAGAAATTCTTACATCTGCTTTAAAGGCACAATGAGGAGTTTTTAACTGATGGAAAAACAGACTAAACAGAGACTAAAAAAACAGAGACTAAACACAACTCACCTACTCTCTTCCAATTCCATTATGGACTACAGCGGGGTGATGCAGCTCAAGGAAGAACATTTATGATCATTTCTTTATCATTTCCTTGAAGTAATAATCACCATATTTATCATTTTTAACTGCAGACGCGGTAGTTCTTCTGTCTTAGCGTCTCAGTCTGATTGGTTGAGGTTTGTTTATGGCTCCTCAGACCGCTGTGTATTACTATCCTGCGGTCGTTACTAAAGTTAGTAAAAATAGAGAAGAAAGCGGTCGGCAACATTCATCTCTGGAGGGGGGGTCTAACTCGGTGTTACGGTGAGACTGACCCTAAATTAATTTTACGGCGAATATTCCTTGTAAAAAGCAAAATAAAAACCATCAGCAACAGGTCTGAGGATTTTATTTCTGTAATATTAAAGCCTTAACACTGTAAGTGTCAGACCAGATGAATGAATCTGCAGATAAGGACCCTTTTGGATCAACCGTATCTATAATCTATACATCTATATTATGTCATAGATATTTTGTAACAATCAGCACATCTACTCCATCACTAAATCTGTCATCTTTCATCTGTATAACATCTCTAGACTCTGTCCTTCACTCTGTGACTCTGTTGCTGAGACTCTCATTCGTGCCTTCATCACCTTGTTTACTGCGGTGGTGTCCAGTCTGGGGTAAATCCCAGGACAGGCTCCAGTGTGTCCAGAACCAAACCCTGGCAGCACATCACCTCCACCCTCATCCACCTCCACCAGCTCACAATAAACTCCATCATCAAATACAAAGTACTGCTCCTCACCTGTAAAGCCCTTCACGCCCTCACCCCTCAGCACCTCTCTGACCCCCATCCTGGAAACTCCTTATCCCAAAATCCAGACTTGGTATATTTGGGGGCGGGGCTTTCAGTGACAATATTAATAAACTAAACCTAATTAGTCATGTTTATCTAGGGTGACAATATTCTGAATCCCCAAAAAGAGGACATTACTATGCGAGGGCGGAGTCGAGCGTAGTAAATTTTGAGAGATTTTTGGGTCAGGTTGATTTTTTTTTTACGCACTTCTTACTCAGTAATTTCACGCTACACAAACTCAAAACTTTCATCCAAAACCGCAGACATTTGAAGGATTTTATAAACTCACCACAAAAGAGGACATGTCCGGGTAAAAGAGGACGCATGGTCACCCTCGTTTATCACTTTTCCTCACAGGTGCTCTGCATTATCTCACCACATTCATCTGTCGTGGGCCGACTGGAAAACTGGCACACTGCATGTTTATCTGGATGCGTTTTTCTCTTTATCCCCGTATAACGATGGTGGAAGGAAACGCGCTTCAGTTCTCCCACATGATTGTGTCGAGTTTGTGCAAAAACATCTGCAGGTTTGCAAACATATTAGCACGCTTATGTTAGCACAAAGCCCCACAGTGAAGAAGTGCCGTCTTGTTTTTGACATGAGACATGTTTGATTTAACTCTAGATCTTTATTCCAGCTATGATTGAAGTCAGACTTGTTCTCTTGTACAATAACTACAGTTTAGCTTCATAAGATGTTCCTGATTAGCCTTTCCCAGACGAACAGACCACAATGTTAAGGGTTTGGGACAAAAGAGAGATCCACCAGTGGGAATACTCTGATTGGTGCCACGCTGTATGAACTGACTGTATGAGGTTCAAAGACCAATAAAATCACAGATGTTTGTTCTCCGTCAACTAATCTTCTGTACAGCAGTTCAAACTGACTTGTTGTGCAGTTATAACCACTGATGGCAGCCAGAACAACACATCAGGTCAAAGGGGAGCGGTTTTTTTTAGTTTAATCTGCAGAGCCGGTCGTTCAAACGGGCCGTTCAGTTCTCTGAATCTGTCGACTGTCATGTTTTTGTGGTTTTGTCTTCAGTTGTTGAGATTCAATAGAAACTGCAGAACCTGAAGAGAGAGGAGAAGAAATTTATCATAGGAAGGTTTCTGGGTTCCTTTAGTAGCTCCTCAGTGAAGTGCTATTTACAGTGAAACTGAGACTTAGGAAAAAGATGCTAACTGGACGACAAACAATGGCGTGCACAGAAAAAATAGTCAAAAAATTTGAACTGCATGCGGAACGGCGGCGAAAAGGCCGTTGGTGCCGATCGCTGCTGATCATTTTCATTCAAGCTAATAAGTCAAATTCCACCGGCTTCTTTCCGGCCCCCTGTGGTTCAGCGGGCTTCGTATCCGATCGCCAGGGTTCTATTTTTTTTGGATGCCGCAGTATGTCGCATAAATTCGGCACAGATTAACCCGTGCTGGAAAGGAAGTCGGGCACAGACACAGAATAAAATATCTGTCTTCTTTTCAAAATAAAACACTACGGGCTCTATTTTCATGCCTCGCTGACATCGGGGTGCAGGCGCGGCATAAGTCAGGTCCACCGCGCCGACAAGGCGTTCCCAAGCACAATTTGGTATTTGGTGAGAGGCACAGCCCGGCGTAAGTATCCCCTCTCCCTAACTCAGCTCCTCCCAGTGGCGTTAGTCAGGGAGGAGAGAGAGGGCGTGAAGTGGGTTTAACACAGCCGATACCTGTTTTCCACCCTCCGCCACGTCGCCAGCGGACACGAAAATAGAGCCCTACGTGTTTCAGACGGATCATATTTCACAAACATGTTTTGTTTCGTAGATAAAGATAAATATTGCACTTACCCATGGTTAATTCCCAATCTCCACTAAAGTGTCTGATCTCCTGGTCTGGACAGAGTGGATCTCCTCCTCTGGAAGGACACAATCTACTGCTGACATGTCGATGTGTCTGTCTTTGCGATTCTGCTGTCCGAAATCCTCAATGAAATTCGCCCCTCAAACGCATCCAGTAGAAATTGGCGGACGGTGAAAATCGCCCTTCCATATGCAGTGGAAATTAGGGGTAAGGAGAAGGTCATCTAAACCCAGTCCCTGTTTGCACCAGACTGAATGAAAAGTTCGGCGTCTTTCCCATTTGCTCATGTCATCAGATGATAGCAGATGGGTTTCAACATTGTGTGCTTTCAATTTAAGACTTTTGGACGGATCCTTAAGATACCAAAGGTCGCTGTTTTTATCTGGATGTTTGGTATATGAACCAGTGTGTTGAACTGTTGGGCTTGCATCTTGTCTTTTTTACTGTGGATGTGATGAAGTCGACTCTGGACATCAAGTTTTAGAGTTTGATTGAATTCCTGTGTCAACATTTGCTGCACACGTGTCTTAGCCAGTTAATCCAGCCTTTGTTTTGATGTAAACATTTTCCTTTTAACTTCACCAAGAACACAAAAGCACATAAATTTGATGCTAACGGCCATCTTTATCATCACTTTACCCTCACAATTTGCACTCCAGCGTAGTCGGCCTGCCTGCTATAAAACTTTTTTTGTGTTTGTGTGAAAATAAACTCACTCTTTGTTCTCCAAAATCAAAGTCACTGTACGATGCAACATCCAACAATAATAGAACCCAGAGCCACAGAAAGCACCTCGTAGCTGTCCATGAAGAGCTGGAACCCAGTGCCGGATAAATATTGATCCAGTCTTTGATCCGTGTTTGGGGGGAAGGACGCTCCAACTTTGCTGGAGTGAATGTATGTAAAAACATTTGTTGTCCATGCAGAGGAGAAATGTCTCCAACTAAGATGGTGAGACTCCAAATGATGTTTAATTTCAGCGTGAGCACCAGAGATTCCTAGAAGTAGATTAAGCGCACATGTCTGCTTGTCTTTGAGCTTCTTACTCTGTTCCTGCGTCAGTGATTCATCGTTTGTTTGGTCTGGTTTGGTGTTTTTTTAACCTTCAAGTTTCCAGGAATACTGCAGGATCTCTTTGAAACGTGACAGATATAGACATTTTCGTGAATCTATAATCATCCTGCGACTAGTCTGCGCTGTAGAATATATAATGCTTTAGGGCAGAGATGTAAACAACAGGGTTGAGAATCACTAGTGGCCTCACCGTACAATATTATCACAATACTTGGGCCACGATACGAAATTATTGCGATTTTTAACATTTCGCACGATACACAATGAGTATTGCGATACAATATAGTGCGATTTATACAATTTTTCCAACTGGTTAGCTGATTTAGCATTTGTCTTTCGTTTATGTTTGTCACAGTCTTTTTATTTTCGTGAAGCACCTCTTGGAAACCTCGTGTGTCAGGTCCATTTGTGCCCCGCTTCGTTCCTAATGTCTTTCTCCAGGTGCCTTTATATATATTGTGCTGACTTTGACCTCTGCCAACCAATCATCGACCTGAATTCATATTGGCAATCAATTAGTGAAAAAAAATCTATACTTGGTAAATGAGACGATATGATATATCACCAGACAAAATATCGCGATACGATGCTGTATCAGCAACAGATGGTTCTTTGTAACGGTGCATTTTGACAGTTCTTTGATTTGACATCAGCAGAGTTTTCAGGTCCTTGCAGGTCAGCATCGACACGCCTGTCCAGGTCATGCATCGCTACAATTGAGTGATGCTCCAGACACGGTGGAGATGCCATCGTTTCCGCTTGTTTAGTAGAGATTCAGTTATGGTCACGACCTGGAGATACAGCCTGGGCCAGTATAGGTGACAGGGCTACAGTTAAAAAGATATAAAACTTCATTAAAGGTGTTGTAGTCAGGATCTGAGTTAGTTCCAGTTTTTAGGAGAAATCTTGAATGTAAACTCCACCCCTCCCAACCAGTTTTCCCCTCAGCTCCTCCTCTCCCCTCAAGCCCCGCCCACAAACAGACGCTCCTGCTCGCTCGTATCGTTCCAATTAAATTCAGATATAATGCAGATCAATACTTCAGATCATTACAAATGGGGCCCAGTCAAGGTGAAAGTCAAAAGCATTGGTGCTACTGTAGATGCCAACAGACTACCAGCAAACACAATGTTTGCAGGACTTCTACAACGAGGATAAAGTGACATAGTCCAGGACCCGAGGGAGGACAGTTTAGCGATGGCGCTACAACACGCTACAGCAGGTCCATTTGACAAGAAACACTTCTGTTACAGACACTTGTCTTACTTTGTTAAAGCGGTTTACCTGTCCAGCAGAAAGGTTACAGGGTCACCAAGATCCCCAAGCATCCCCCATCGTTTATGTTGACCCGGCTTTTTAGCTCTTGTCCGGTCTACCTCCGTTTTAAGCGCCCGTTATTCCTCCAGAGTCTCCGGTATTTACTTTGTTTTCTTGCTTGTGTCGGCAGTCGTGGCCAAAGGAGGATTCAGACAATTTTCCGAACTTTCTGGTTGGTTTCTACTGTCCGATATTGTAGCACGCTAACTTTGTTTGGGCTCCTGAACGACACGGAGGAGCAGCGTCTGCCTCACAACCAATCAGGTTAGAGGAGGTGGAGAACGTCTTTGTTTACAGTCAGAAAGAGCGGACCGCTCAAAAATGTTCAAATGTTGACGACACAGACATAAGAGAACACAGAGATATCGATATATTACCAAATGTCATCAATAACTAATAACTATTGACTGATATTAAAAGATTTTTTGTAAATACACCACAAAAAAAGATGCTTCTTTAACGGATTCCTGCCTACTTCACCTTTAATGTGCATTTTTTTAGTAACTCTGGTGTTTCATGACTCAGTTGACTGCACTTCTAGTTTTGTGTCGCTTACATGAGTTAATATAATATTACAAGTTATGAATAAAGTAGGACCTGGTATTGACACATGTTTTACTCCATCACTTACATAACTTTCATTCCACTGAGCAGGTTTTGATGAAGAGGAAGATTAAATTTTCTCATAGAAATAATGAAAATGTGCAGCTCGGTGTTCTTTGAAGTTAATGGCATCTATGAAGTCATTTAAGACCTTCACTGAAGAAGTGATGGATCTGTTTTTTTTCCCCTGAAGTCAGACTGGAAGTCATTTAGAGACCGCGTTCTCTATGCAAAGACGAGTTTATGTGTTTGTATCAGCAGGAGAGAGAGTCCAGTGTGTTTCTTTGATCAGAGACAGCTGAACTGGGAGGAAAGAAAACATATGGTCCCTCCATACTATTCCTCCCTCTTCACTCGTTTTCCTTCTCTTCTATGCCTCTCTCTGGTTTTCATCTCGCTCTTTTTGTCCTGGTTCAGTCTCTGAAGAGAGCCGTGTCTGATGTTTGAGGAAAATTAAGCAGAAATGAAGACAGGAGTGTAAAAGAGGTGAAGGACTGTAGTGACAGGATCCCGGGGCGAGTCCTCTGTGGGGGGATTGAACTCCTGGTGTTTGTGTGTCTGTGTGTGTGTGTCTGTTTTGCAGTTGTGTAGGAGTTTTTACTAAACAACAGTTTTTGTTTCTTCAGAAGACATGTCATTACATTCTTCACTGTTACTGAGTTAATGACAGACCAATTGCAAACACACACAGACGCAGAAAAGCACTTACCCTGTCTTCCCTTGTACAGTACACACACACACACACACACACACACACACACACACACACACACACATGGACACACATCTGGTTTCCAGAGTCTCTCCAATCAGTCTTCCTGATTCGGTGCCCGTTAAGTTGTCTTTGTGACAGTCTGTTGTGTCTCTGCCTGCTTCACTGACCCACTTACTGAGGTGGGGGTCCTGTCTGTGTCACCTCTGTTTCACCTTTGTGTAAACCAGCATGAACAGCACACTGACGGACCGACCTACAGCGTGTTTTTAGAGTCGTTAACCAGCAGCAAAGTTTAGAGAAACAGGAAAATACTGAATATTATTAATCGCCCTGAGATTTCACTCGATTTGACGCCACTTTCTCCTCTATATTCTGTTTATGTGATATTTTCCAAGTGCAAAAATCTCCACGGTGTCCTGCAGCTCTGAGCAGTTTGCTCCAGTTTTGCATCTCAGTGTGACTTAACGAGCTGTTAGCCTCACAACCTTTCACTGCGCAGAGCTGTGCTGTGCACTCTCCTCCTGAATTCTGTCAACATGTCTGATTAGCTAAGAGGGACGCCATTTACCAGTTTATCGTGGAGTCGGTTCATGTCTGATGAGACACAGAGTTCATAGTTGATACTCAGAGCACTTCCTGTCGCTATTGTTACAACCCAGCTGGGGAAGGGAAAGGACGTAACATAAACCCCGGTTTATTTCCATCGTGTCTGTCCTGATGAGCTCTAAAAGTGAATTACCATCAATCAGTATTAATATTGGCTTTATTTGTTTATTTTGGGGCTTTTATGCCTTTAATCCAGAGAAGATAGGACTGTGGAGAGAGGGGAAAACAGAGAGAGAGAGTGGGAAGAGGTTTGCAGGAAAGGGAATCGAACCCAGGCTGCTCCTGGACAAAGTAGAGGAAGCAGAGTCAAACCACCAGGTCAAACTGTCCCCCCTAAAGACTTAAGACAAAGAGACTCACAACTCAATGAAGATATCAGCAAATTATCTATCTATCTATCTATCTATCTATCTATCTATCTACCTGTGTAGTCAGTAGTTGTGGATTTTTCTGTTTGCTCTCTCTCTCTCGCTCTGCTTTATGTCGAGGCTTATATCTGACATACTCTGCATGTGTGTGCATGTTGATCACGGTGCCCTTCACACCAGAGTTTAGAGCCTCAGGATAAAAGCAGCAGCAGCAGCAGCAACTGATGAGGACCAGAACTCTGTCCTGTGAGCGTAGAGCGAAGCGTATACACCATGTGTGTCTGCGCGTTGTGCACGTGCACACGCCATGTGCGTGCCGTTTTTTTGTGCACGCACATTCTCGTGCATCAACAGCACGGGGAAACACTGTGTCAAGTGTGCGAGGGCATACAGAGAAAGAGCAAAGCTTCCATGTCCCGTCTTGTCCTCTGCTGCATTCAGATGTCAGCGCTGCAGATCAGTTCTTGGTATGTGCAGAGGAACGTCTCTGTTTTAGCACAGAGTTTATGAGTGAAGGAGCAATGTCATCGAGAGTGCAACAGATTCTCCAACGTGTGCTCAGGAGCGATGCAACAACTCAGATGTTGTTTAAAGAATAGTATTATCGACCGTTTGGCTGAGAGATGAAAGTTCTGTATGATACTGTCCTGGGGGCACAGAGTCGGGTTCTAGTAACAAGCTGAAGGTTAAAATGCAAAACAGAGTCAGATTACAGATTAAAACTTGCACATCATCATCTCAGTTTAGGGCTGCACGATAAATCGATTTTCAAATCATAATCAGATTATTTAATTTTGATGATGTTAAAAAAATCAAAATCAAAGTCAAATCAATTTTCCTCTCTATCATGTCTCACACCTCCAGGCCACCGTAGGCTCCCCAGTTCCCACACACACCAGTGTAAACAAACATGGCGTTTGCAAAAGAAGGCGATAATTTCGTGGTTAAATAGGACAAGAGCGAGTCAGTCGTGTTGAATTGGTACGACTTCACACTTTCAGATGAAGAGTAAACCACTCCCCGCTGTAAAGTCTGTCTGAAGGCGGTATCAACCCGTCACCACGGAAACTAATTCAGGAGGAAACGCTAAAGTTTTTTGTCGTATCGGCGTTTCAGGTGACTGTAAACGGTACTTTTTGAAAACGGGTCAGAGAGTGAATAAATCTGTAAACGACGACCATTTCATCTCCGTGTGGATGTCTATCTGCATCTCTGGAAACGATCATGTGACACACAGAGGAACTCTTTTATGGCGCCAAAACAACCTTTATACACATGCTCTGTACTCTTCTTCAGCGTTACAGCGCCACTTACTGGCTTGGCATATGAACTACATTGTTTTCAGTGATTTTGTTTTGAGAGATGATAGAAAAACTTTTTATTAAAGTGAAGTTTGGTGAAGTTATCACTGAATAAAAACTCAAAAATCGAGTTTTCAAAAGAATAAAAATAGGGACTTTATTTTTGCCCAAAGTCATGCCACCCTATCTCACCTCCACCACTTATTGGCTCCTGTAGAATCCAGAGGCTGATGGTCGTCGCCATATTAGAAACTCTCTTCTGTCTAATCCTGAAACCAGTAAAGAGGTGGAGTTGAGACAGAACATGGAAAACACTTGTTTATGCAAAATAAATAATAATATAACAAATCACAAACAGAAGAAAAATCGTCATTGTTGTCATCGCTGCTCAAGGAACCAGCCTCTAGTGGACACTGGAGGAACTGCAGTTTTTGCACCCCTGTCTTTTGCCTTACTCTTCCACATTGAAGGTTCTGCCTGCTTTAGACCCCCCCTTTAACCAGAAAGTGCTATCAGTAAATTTAACTAACCCCAACGGTACGGAGGAATAACGGAGGAGAATCTGACCAAGTGTGTCAGACAGGATATTTACTCGCACCAGTTATTAGTCTGCGCTATCATTAAGGAACTGTGACTTCACCGGCGGGAATGTGCGTCGGTGACCTCAGATAAAGCGAAAGCAGACCTGGACTCTCAGGAAACAGCGAAACCACACTGAGACATAAACAACGTGAGCTGTTTATCCCTTTATTAACCCGTTTGAGCAGGTTTACCAACCCGAGCAGATGTTTGGAGTCCAACTGTGGGGTTCTCTCTCTTTTCTAGATTGGTGCAATATCCTTTTGCTGTTTGTTGTATTTCTCCACAAAACCTCCACAAAATTCACCTTCAACCTGTCCCACATGATTAAATCAAAGCTCAAAACTGCTAAAGTCAACATGTTGTACCATATGATACAGATGCTGTAACTTTTGTACTAAGAGTAATGCTGCATCTTAATTTTTTTTAGGATTTTAGTATGCATGAGACCCTGAGACCATTTTTTTTTAGATTTGAACTCTTATCCTTGAGAGCCCTGCTGAACGTGGTTTTTCATTGTCTTGCTGAATTGTGCAAACTCTTACCTGAAAAAGACATCACCTGGATGGCAGCTTATCTCGCTCCAAAACTTGTTTATATCGTTCTGTATTGAAGACGCCTTTTCCTGTATGTGTAAACTAGTCCTCCTTTAGTCAATGATGCTCCCTGTTCAATCACAGGTGTTGGATTTTGAACTGTGATCTAGAGAAATACTCAGAGGCATCCATGATTTCCAAGAGGAAGGTCAAAGTTTGATTCAGTAGACCACAAGACAGGTTTGATATTGAGCCTCAGTCTAGAGCTGCACGATAAACTGATATTATTTTTCTGAGATGTGAAAAATCCTTGAAATGGACCCATTTCAATGAGGTTCATCTCTGTGTGCATGCGTACTTATCTCTTGTTTTACATTATTTCCAAAACCTCCCCTTCACGCTAGCTTGTAGCCTAACTTTGCCGGTTTAGTAGAAGAAGCAGGTAACATAGGAGCTGTTCAGCTCTCGGACACTAATGTCTTTGGGGTCATGATGAAAGTTAATATCATAATTAACTTTCTTACGAGCGTTGCAATCTGCTAACACACACACTTGTTCTGCGATCGTCTTCCCTTTTTCTCTGAGTCTGGCTTACATAGCGGGGCTTTGGGGGCGGAGCTTGGATTTGTGATGTAGGAAATCTCAGTGTGTCTGAACCTGCTGTTTGGGTCTGTCAGAGATTCACAGAAATGCAGTTTTGCTCTTAGTTTTCTCATGATAAATATCATATGAACACGTAGACAATAAGAAAAACATGATTTTCATCAGAGTGGGTCTTTAAACACGGTCATATTTGTTGAGATTAAGCAGAATTTTTACAGTGTGCTGATTGGAAATAATCAATCAGAGATGGAGGTGAGTTTGCGGTTTATTGTGCATCTCGTGCTCAGGTCCAGAGGAGTCCAAGTGTTTCTCATGATACAGTTGAACCTGCATTTAATGGTGGTTTAAAACCATGCAGTGATTTCCACTTCAGAGTCGGTGCGGTGCCTCCTCACGGCCTGACTGCAGATGTTGAAATCACTAAACTCTTTGCAGTCGTGCACTCAGGAACATGATCCGGACTATTCGGCCTCTCTGTGACGTCCTTTTATTTCCAATCTGCTTCAAATAAACCTGATCAGTTTCGGCTTTGTTGTCCCCGTCTTCACTTCTTTAAAACATGCAGACACTCAAATTTAAAACAAACAATTCATTTTTAGGCTGTAAATTTAATAAACTGCAAACATCTGTTTTTAATCCACATTTTCACACTTTAAGCGCTCTAATTAACATTTTGGTATTTTGGATGCGGCGTAATATTTGTGCAACACTCGACTTCTTCGACACCGAAGCAGCAGGAAGCAATCAGAGCGCAGAAAAAGAAAAAATGTGCTGAATTTGAACTTTTCAAGATTTTTCTCGACAGCGAAAAACTGTCAGCTGTAATATCTCAGTATTTACTGTATCGATAAATAAGAAAAAATGGAGCTGACAGTGAGAATCAGCAGGCAGATAAAAAACTGGGCAGCTAATACATCTGGCACTCAGACCCCGGTGATCATGCCAGCCTCTTGTGTTCATGCACATGCACGAGTGTGTGTGTGTTTATTGTGTGTGTGTGTGTGTTAAAGGTGCGAGGCAGATGGAGGGTTTACGTAAGCTGCAGAAATACGTGTGAAAAGAAGCCGTACCAGTGGAGGCATGCCCTCCTCTGCTCTCCAATACCATCTATTATTTCCTCCTTTCTCCCTCTCTCTTTATCTCTTTCTGTCTCTACTTTTTATTCCTCTCCACTCTCAGCCTCGTCTTTTAATCCCATCTTTTTCTTCTTAGTCTCTGCGACCATCGTGTCTGAAGAATGTGCTTACATATGATCTGCATTTCTGCTCAGGCTGCAGCTCCGTCCACATCTTCAGCATTCCACATCTTCTCCCTCTCTGTGTGTGTCTGTTTCTGTGTGTGCATCTTTGTCCAAACACATGTTATCTTCATCCCCTCGGGGCGTCTCTCTTGACTGTTACTTCAGCGATCAGATAGGCGTTATCAGGTGTTTACATCCAGCTTCTGCAACAGGTACATGTCCTTAAGGAACACCAACATCCTCAGACGCTGAGGGAGACAAAAAGCACACGGTGTGACTGATAAACGATTCCATTAGCAGGTTTACAAGGAAGTTTAAGTATGAGGCCGGCATGTCTGAGAGGTGACATCAGAGGAAACACAGTTGTGTGTATTTAGAGAAAGGATCCAGGTTATTTGTGTTTTTATTAGAGATGCACCGGAGAGTCTGTTTTTACTGAATAAACCTGTGGAGAGTCTCCTTCTCTCAATGGAAAGGCAACATCAGTTTTCACTTAAACGTTTCTTTTAGTAAAATAAAAAAAAAAACTTTCCAGGTCGAACATGTTGGCGCAGCGAGGCGGGAAATACCTCCAAACAGCTGACAATTTACTCCATCGATGTGGGCAAGGTGACGACTTCCTTCTGTTTCTCTTTGCAGCAAAATGGCAGAAGAGTAGCTGCGTTTACATGGACACAAATAATCGGAATAAACGCCTGATCGGAATGAAAAAGCATCATGTAAACATCGGAAGATTCTGATCCAATGAAGCTCAATCGGAAAGAAATTGTATCCCGATCATAGGGGTGGTTTATGCCGATCGTTATTCCGAAGTGCGTCCATGTAAACACTTATTCCGATCGTGACTCCCTAACCTGACTCGATCTTCACTCTTTATTTATTAAAGTCAGTTCAGGAGGTTTTATTATCAACACTCAACAGATGCCGTGTCTGCTCGTCTGATAACGTAACGAGGCGTACATTCAGCTGTTTCACTGACTGGTGTTAAAATGCAGAGTGTTATACAGAACAGGGTAGGGGTGGGAGAAAAAAAAGATTCACATAAGTATCCTGATTTTTTGTTTTACAATTTTTAAATTGATTTTTATGCTCAAAAATCTTTTTTTTTCAAATTTAAGAATAAACCTCACAAAACTGACTTACTGTATTTTTTTAGAATAGTCAGTAGACAATCATAATCATTCAACTGGTGTTAAAAATTCAGACTAAAAATCGAGAAAATTGTCAATATCCTAGAATCGCAATTTAAATCAAAAATCGTAGAAGAATCAAATCAGGAGAAAAGCGTATCGTCCCAGCCCTACTCTCCTTATGGTCATACTACAACAGCTGTTTTGGATAAATGTGCCTGTTTTGTAATTTTGCTGATTTTTTATTGTTATTAATCATTTATATCTCTAATATTAATCAATAGCTCCGATGTTATACAGTTTCTGATTATTTCTGCGGTGTGTTCTCCTGTTTTACCGCAGCATAACAAACATGACTCCTTCATTTGTCAGAGAATTCACGGACAGTTTGTCTTCAGACTCAAGATGAGATCTGGTTTTAGTTCCCTGAATCTGTGGACATCCACACATGATATGATGTCAAAAGAATCTGTTTTTATCCAAGAATATGAAGTATATTCACTTTGTGTGAAGTGTGCAGGCGCCTTGGTTTGTTTCCTAAAACGATTGTTTTCCTTTGACTCATTTCTGTTTTAGATGTGACTCTGAGAGCGTCTGATGGTTTTTATTGCATCGTTAAATTTGGTCACTTTCCCTCCTTGTTAACTCAGAGTTTTCACAGACGCTCTGCAGAGCTGTGATCAAACATAAAGGCAGAATAAACTCACTCAGTCACTCTCAGACGGCTGTTACTCAAGAAGAAGGAGGAGGAGGAGGAGAGTCATTGGCAGTAAGAGCAGAAATAATTTAGTTGTCACACACATGACCAAGCACGGTTATTTAATTCTGCTCCTGCTGATGATATCAACCGTCTGACACGTGCTGCTGTGTGCAGAGAAAGATCACGTTCAGATCTTAAAGTTTTACGTACGCGTGGGTGGATCTCAGTTATTGAACGGGTGTAAAAAAACTGTTTCTCGTTTCTCTTGCAGCTGTTCCTATTGACGTCCTGAAGGTCCTGGAGCTGACGGAGGACATGGAGGGCGTGTCGTTGGAGTCGGGGCTTTGTACCAGCAGGGAGGGACGAGAGGAGACCGACCTCTCCTACAAGATCGACAAGAAGATACAACTGAGCGCGCCCACCAAGCAGCTCTTCCCGGGTGTGTGGGCGTGTCTGACGGCGTGAGGAGGTCATGAAGTGGACGTGTGATCGTGTTTTTTAACCTCATGTCTGATTTTTTTTCCAGATTCACCGTTCCCGATGAACTTCTCAGTGATGACCACAGTGAGAGCCGTCAGAGGCTCACAGGCTTTTCTCCTCTCCATGTATGACTCTCAGGTACGTGGATCAGACCGGCTGATGGAGTCCACCACCATCACCCTCAGACCCTGTGGATGGTGGTGGACTAGGTCAGCTGTCAGTGTCCGATGAAAAACACATATCCCACTTTTAGCAATATGGACTTTTTTCAATACATGCATGGTCCATAATCTTCCCTAATAACCTGTAGCTTTGGGTTTCCAAATGACCGATGGAAAGACGTTTTATAGCATCGTCTTTTCAACAAGGATCTCTTTTGGGTGTCGGAAGTATCAACAAACTATGTATCGCCCACCCTGGCCCTGCGTTGTCAAGTCCGCAAACAGACTTTACTCTGTGACAGACTCATTACAGTCCAGGGTAACGCTACACTTTGATACAACGTTTTTACCTCCGATACGATACCGATATCGTAGCCTTCACTATTGATGGATACGGATATTGATCTGATATTGGCACAAACTTGTGCACGACAAGTTTTGCACTCAGCTACAAGTCTTATTCGGACTTAAATGAAAAATACTGCCACAGGGCCGACATCACTCCTTGGTATTTTGTTAGTACCTGAGTACACACTGATGTTGTGGTTACGAGGGATCAGGGCGCTGCTAGATAGATAGAAGTGCTGGAGTGGAGTCTGGAATGGACTGCCTGTATCGGAGTGCTGATATCGGAATATATGTTTTTTTGCTGATATCCAATATCAATATCGTATCAGGACACCCCTAGTCCTCACAACGACTGATGCTGACCTCAAACTTTTTTCCGTGTTTCTTACCTGTACGTTCATCCCCAGAGGTAAAGCCGCTGTTTTCTTTCTCTCACTTGTTGACTATCGTAAAACTTGTCTGTGTTTCTGCTATCTTTTAATTTCTCCACTGATATTTCAGTAAAATCAGAGCCAGAATTTTATTGAAAACCAGTTGATTTAGTAGCATAAGAACTCAAAGTAAATTTGGTAACGCTTTCTTTTACGGTAAACTTATTACCAGGTAATTAACAGGTAATTACCGAGTAACAACATGAAATTATCTGGTAATTACATGATAACTACTAAGTCAATACTGTCTAGTTTTTCTTTTCTATAAGGTGGTTTATGAATAAAATTGTTTTTTAATGTTCCTGAAAAAAACACATTTTGCAGATACGTTTTTATAGATTTATATCATATCAACATTTTAGACGAGTTTATTTTCAGAGCACATTTATACTGTATTAAATATTCAAAATCCATCAAACATAAAATCAAAAACACTTCCCTTTATGTATCCAGAGTAATTTCTAGGAGCTAGTTCAGGCCGGCTACTCGTCTTGCACTGATTTGCACATGACAAACACTCGCGCTCTGTTTAAGCTGCGAGATTCTCCTCCACTGGACTCACATTCTCAGCTCCAACAACTTCATCCCATCACTCCTTCATTTCTGCAGATAAATTAAGTCAAACTATAAGCAGCCCGGATCTAGACGACCGTATCTTCTCCTCATTTCTTCAACGGTCCGTCTCTCTGTCCCTCAGGGTACGCAGCAGCTCGGCGTGGAGGTCGGCCGTTCTCCTGTCTTCCTGTACGAGGACCACGAGGGTCAGCCCCCGCCTGAGCTCTACCCCACCTTTAGGAAGATCAACCTGGCTGATGGCAAGTGGGTAACTGCACACGCACGAACACACGTTTCCTGCCTTCATTTCAAATTTCTGCCTTTTTTGGCGTCTCTGTGAAAAACTGTACAAAGAGGACATCTCTTCCTCTTCCTGTCAGGTGGCACAGAGTCGCCTACAGTGTAGAGGGACGGTCCGTGACTCTGTACCTGGACTGTGTCAGACTGGACACTCTGGACCTGCTCAGAGGATCTGACCCTCATGTGAGCACCGAGGGAGTAACTGTGTTCGGGACGAGACTGCTGGACGAAGGCGTGTTTGAGGTAGGACATGAAACCTGTGATAAAAACGCTCTAGTTTAAGGGAAATGGGTGAAGTGAATCCAGGTGAAGCGGTCTTAAAGAGGGAACCATGATAGTCTCGTCTGCGTCGACCTTCTTTGTCAAGTTTAGACTCATTTGGTTTCTTAAAAATCCTTGGCAGAAAATGAGAATCCATAATAAGTTCCTTGTATGTGGTTAGGAAGTGTTTCTGCTTGTTGCAGCTTGTTTGATTTCTCCATCAAAGTGGGACAAATGAATAAACAGAAGGCCTGTCTCCTCACACTGCCCTCCAGTGGTTGATAGAGTGAACTGCGCCTTTAATTCAGCTTCAAACCCGAGGCTGTGGATGATCAAAAGTTTTTACTCTGATTGTTTCGTGACGTTTCTTCATCAGATCTTATTACTGCAGGTATTTAAACAAAAAAAAACAGTTTCAACATAATCCATCCAGAAAATCTGTTGAGTAGATTTAAACTTTAACAAGTTCTGCTGCTGTTGTTGTCAGGTATTGTGGTTGAACCTTGACCTTTGTCGTCAGTATAATGTCAGGTGGTCCATCTGTTTAACTGGACCACTCCCTCTCCATGTTTGTCTCCGATTCTCCCCCATATGTTTGGATGTGTAAAATAGAGCGAGAGGAAAAGAGAGTTTTGGTCTTAATGTTCTGGCACCGGTTCAGACCGAAACTCTGGAGACGATTAAGTCCAGCACGGCGATAAAAACCAGCCCGCCGCACCGCTTTGATCTGGTTTAATGAACACATACAGTCGGAGATGCAGACAAGAGGGAGAGATGAATTTGACATGTCATCCATATAAGTAATGACTTATCACACAGCGAGGGGAGAGTGATGACAGAGCTAACGAGATCTGACACTTCATGTGCATTCCTGATGATCATACGGTCGTACAAACGGGCTGAGAGTCACAGATCTGCATGTTTCTGTGGTACAGGGTGAAATCCAGCAGCTGCTGATTGTTGAAGACCCCGCAGCGGCAAGAACCTACTGTCGGGACTTCATCCCAGACTGTGACGCACCTTTACCCTACAACACCATATTAGCAGAGGCAGAGGAGGTAAGTCCTGGTCTGTCATCGCGAACATGAACTTTTATCTACTCCAGTACGGCTGCACGATTCAGGCCAAAAATACAATCCTGATTTTTGAGTTTTTATTCAGTGACAACTTCACCAAACTTCACTTCAATAAAAAGTTTTTCTATCATCTCTCAAAATTAAACCACTGAAAACGATGTAGTTCATATGCCGAACCAGTAAGTGGCGCTGTAACGCTGCACAGGAAATGCACAAAAGATAGAAGAAGAGTACAGAGCATGTGTGTAAAGGTTGTTTTGGTTGGACACGCGCAGGCGCCATAAAAGAGTTACGTTGTGTGTCACATGAAATGATCGCCTTCTTTAGCAAACGCCATGTTTGTTTACACTGGTGTGTGTGGGAACTGCAGAAAGGGGGAGGAGCCTACGGTGGCCTGGAGGCGCGAGACATGATAGAGAGGAAAATCGATTTGATGATTTTAATTTTTCTTAACATCGTCATGATCAAATAATCCGATTTAAAACCGATTAATCGTGCAGCCCTAGCTTCTAGTAGATCTCAATAATCACACAGAAAGTTCAAAACTCTCCTGTTAGTTTTCAGTTTCCTTCGACATTTATTGTCGTGTTTTTTCACTTTTTATGGCGTCAAATTACTGAATATCAGTAAAAAAAAAAAAAAACACGAAATTTAGCTGAATCAGCACGTAAAAAAACATACAGTCACAACAGGAAGTTTGTTTGGAGGAAGTTTATTCAACATGTTTCTCCATCTAGTTTAAACCAGGTCGCTAACATTGAGGAGGTAAAACTATACTGCAGTCAGTCAGTAGAGGGCGCCCCAAATGTTTGGACTTCATTTTCAGGGGAACTGTCATGCAGCCTGTCTTTGTTTTTAACATGATCGAGTAACTAATTATAACTGTAATTATGATTCAGAGAGGATTGACAGCGTGGAGAGATCGGTCAGAATATCAAGACAGTCTGAGCGGACCGGAAGTTGTTTAAAGCCTTTCAAAATAAAAGCAAATATACTGGGAGTACATTTCTTTTTTTACATCTGAAGTTGATTCAAAGCCTTTCAAATAGGGAAGTACATATTTTTCGTTTGTGTGAATTTTTTTTTTCTTGGGGCTTTATTTTATGTATATAATGTCAATATGATTTTTGACCACTTTAAACAAACTGGAGCGCCTGAGAAAAAACCTCACCGTTAGTCAACAGCAGGTACCGTAATCCACAAGTATGTACAGCAGTGAATTATATCAGAGCTACTACAAGAAGATTTTACTTTAAAGCTGCAAATTTGACCTGAGCTGGGGTAAAATATGGAGCCCATCACTGATAGATTGAGGTGTCAGACCTCAGATAGTCAGATCTGACCTGAATCATGTTGGATGAAAATCGGTCTAAACGTGAGACCCGTCTGTTTCTCGTGTTATGTAAGTCCTCTAATCACAGGAGGGTGAATCACATGTCAGATCAGGAGGATTCTGATACCTGCTCCTCTTAACACCCTCCATGTTGTAAATCCAGACTGTCACCTGTAAAGTGAAGTAGCCCCCCCCAGGGTTTCACTCATAGAAGGAAAACCATTACAGGTATTTATGGACGGTTAGGAGCGCCGTTATGACAGAGAGACTCATATTTTCATGTATTTACACTTAGTGGCTGACATCAGTTCAGACATCACTGTGGGCTGTGAAGAAGTGAGACATCCAGCTCGACACTTTGTGGTTTCTATTACATTTTAAATCTTTGCATGTGTCGACATCTGTGTCTGCGCGCAAACACAGAAATCTCCGTCCAGTTTCAGAAGACTGCTGCAGCTGTTTATTTAGACGCTGATAGGATCACGCTGCAGCTCTCAGATACGACGATAAATCATACACGGCTAGCAGCATCTCCTGAGATTCTCTCTCCTGTCTTTATCTTGTAATCTCTGAATAAAAACAAAAGACGTGTTTCTGCCAGGCTCTCGGTGCCAGTGTTCTGCTTGCCTGGGAAAAGCTTCAAATCCTCTCCTTCTTCTGCTGCTGTTTGATTTATCATCTGGCTATCGACTCAAACCCCTCCAGGACCTCCGTTTTATGTGTGTTCGGTTGTTTTATTTTAACACCTCCACAATCTGGTATCAGCAGGAAGAAGCCAACCATAAACACGGAGTTTACACGCTCTTGTGTGCTCTGAAAAATGCTCTGATGAAGCCGTTGTGTTTGGACGGGAAGTCCTGGAAGAGGCAGAATAAACGGGACCAAGCTGGAGCTGTTCAGCATGTGGCCTCTGCTGTGTCTGTGTGTGTCTGTGTGTGTCTGTGTGTTTTGGCTTTTTCATGAAACATCCAACAGCCTGACAAAATCTGACTTCTTTGTTAGGATCCTGACAGTCATGAGGTTGTCTCTTCATTTCATTTACAAATGATATAAAACTTTTTATTTTCTTTTTTATTAAAGGAGGAGTTTTGATGTTACTTTGAAAAACCTCTTTCTGAGCTGCAGAAGAAAATATCAGTAAACCTCTTTTTGTCCACAGGAGGCGCCAAAATCAACACAGACAGAAAATCGCTCACAGCAGCTTTAAATCTATTTAATCAGAAAAACATTGTTTTTTTATTGTTTTTTATTAGGAGGTTAGGCTCATTAGAACAGGAACCTATAACTACATAGGGTATCATATAACATCCACATCACTATCAAAAATGTAAAAATATTGATACAAGAGAATCGCTGTGCATCAAGATAAAGAACAAGACATACAGTCTGCCTCCTGGGGTGTTTTCAATCTTATTTTGTGGACCAATAGGAACATGACTGGGAAATAAAACAATGATAAAAAATAAATAAATAAATAAAGTTAAATAAATAAATGAATAAGTAAATAAATAAATAAAAATAAATAAATAGTAATAATGAATAAATAAATAAATATTAATGATAAATTCATACATAATAATATAATAAAACAGTAAATAAATACAATAATAAATAAATAAATACATAGTAATACATTGAATAAATAAATACATAATAATCAAAATAAAAGTAGTGATAAGAATTAAATAATAACAGAGAAACAGTGTTTTTGCCAAGATCTACAGCTTCACATTTTAACACCAACAGACAACACCACTTAAAGCTCCTATAAGGAGTTTTTTATAAGTGATTAAACAGACTTGGGTTAAATGAGACCATTAATAATGAGGTTGACTTTTTTTTCTGCTGCGATTTTAAACGCCTGTTTTTGCTGTTTTACGCCAACCTAACAGCTTTAGGTATTTTTCCAACAGCAAATATTTACAGTTGGTCATAAGTTTCACTGGAAAAAGTTAACAAACACTACTTTGATAAAGACAGGATGGAATCAGCAACATTATAAGAGTTACCGTTTTGTCCACAGGGGGTGCCAAACTCAACACAGACAGAAAGTTCCTCACAGGAGCTTTAACATTTATAAATACAAGTCGAAAGGTCATTAAAGAAAGTTTCTGCAGCCTGATATTTTATTCTCAAATGCCACAAATTTGCTTCAAAGGGACAGTATGTCCTATTTATCAGGATTTAGCAGAAAAGAAACAGAATAAATAAAGTAAAAAACTCTTTAAACTCTTTGAATTTCCCTTCAAGGATCATTTAAGGTCTTCTTCTTCTTCTTCTTCTTCTTCTTCTTCTTCTTCAGTAAAAGTAAAAGTAAACAGAGAGGAATAAGAAGAGAGCGGCTGTTATTCTGCCCAAAATAAACACCTGTTGATGTTGACATATTGAGGATCATGTGTCACCGATGCTTCTTGTCTTTTCATCCTTGTTCGGTCTTCTCAGGTGGAGAGATTGCCGAAGAAACACGTCCAAGAGTTTGAGGAATTCGACTACAGCGACCTTTATGAAGATCTCTCCTTCTCCACGGTGACCTCAGGTCCTAACGTCACCGAGTATGAGGTCAGACTCAGCAGGATCAACTGAAGCTCGAGTTTTATATCTGTGTGTTTTTTTTGTTTCTGCACATCCTCCTCGCTCTGTGTGTGTGTAGATCATTGAGTACGAAGACTACGACAACGGGACAGATTACTACCATGTGAACGAGTACGAGTATGAGGAAGAGTACGACGACCGCTACGGACCTGCTGAGAGGGAGCGAGAGATGTCTCTGAACGCAGAGGTAACAAAACGCTCTTCTCTTTACGTCTGATTTATCCACATCTTTACTTTTTACACGCCTGTGTCCATTTCTTCACAAGGATATACCGGAGAAAGGACAGAAAGGAGAACCGGGCCAGCTAGGAGCGGTAAGAACATCACAGCCCCGTCAAATCCAGTAAATAAGACGCTCGTAGAATACTGGTGTTGTCCCTGAAGAAGTGAGCACCAGTGCAACCAGTAAACCAGTTTAAGAGAGAGAGAGGTGCTCTTTAGGACCATCATAGATTCAGAGAAAACAGTGGTATACCAACACTGCAGCAGACCATGAATCTATCTATTCCTCACACTACCATCCAGCTCAGAAAGTCGGGGATTCAGTGGGACTGGGATCATGAAATTATGGGATGATGAGTATCTGTCTTATTTCTGCAGGGAACCCAGATAACAGGACCATACGGACCTCCAGGACCTCAGGTGAGTGTGATCAGCTGCATGAAATACGACCCGAGAGGCATTCAGTGTTTTTAGTATTCATGCAAACAGACTGTTTTTCATGCCGAGTGGGTAAAAAAGGTGAGAGAGGAATCTTTTTACCTCCCATCAAATCTCAGCTCTGTGATTTCAGGGGGAGTCAGGACCACCTGGAATCACAGGACCTGTTGGACCTCGAGGAGACCCCGGGGAGCTGGTGAGGACTGTCCTCTGTTTGCTTCGTCGATTCACCACGCGCTCTTTTTCTCCTTTTGTGAATGTCCTCCTCTGTCTCCTCTCAGGGCCCTCCAGGGCGGCAAGGTCTTAGTGGGGCTGATGGGATCCCGGGACCCCCAGGAAACATCATGCTCATACCGGTAATATAAACACGCCTGAGGCTGTCTAATCTGCAGAGAGGCTGTTATTTAGCTCTAATAACCCTCAGTGGGGCCTGAGGGCGGCTGGAAATGTTGGCATATTGTTCCTGAGAAACAGGCCGGCTCAGTTATCGGACTTTTCCTGTAAAGTTCAGTCCAGCTCCATCTCACTGGATACAGCCGACAAAATAAAACATTGTTATTAGGGGATGGGACTCGATTAAAAAATAATCTAATTAATCACAGGCTTTGTGATTAATTAATCACAATTAATCACAGTTAATCGCAATTAATCGCATATAAATATTTGACCTGAGAACAGTAAGAATAATTTTTTTTAATTGTTATACGAGTGAATCAGTGATCAGTGAACTGAATAAATACATAAGTTTATTTTAGAGAGTTTGTTCATTTTTCTGATGTGGACTCACTCGTCTTTGCTCTGAATCCACTCATCTGGTCGAGTGTGGGTGGGTGTGGGTCGCTGTACTCAGAGTCGGGCTAATGTTAGCTTCCACGCTAGCTGCAGCATGTTTAGCATTTAGCAGGCTCAACGTGCTGCGGTGATATGCTGATCCTTTTTTGCATAGTTTGCACAAGACTATTTTTTTTATTCGAGCTTCCATCCATCTTTTTTTTTGTTAAACAAAAATGCCCATCTGCGACTTCGTTAATTTCTCCGAGTGGCAGATTTTTTATTTTTTTTTTGTAGGATGGTAGGGGAAGGTCTTGCCCTCCTTCGCCTCTGATTGGCTAGAAGTGCTGGGCTCTGATTGGTTATTCCTTATGGCTGTGAAACGTCATTGTCTGTCTGGTTAGGGTTAGAATTGCGATAATCTTCTGTAATGTTCTGTTCGATGTACAGAGCTGACAGCCCGTGTTTGGCTTGAGCGTGTGATGACGTTTCCAGCTTTTCTAGCCAATCAGAGGCAGAGGAGGCGGAATTTCCCCTACAATCCTACACAAAAAAATATCGCCCCCGGGTGGGAGTGGAATCACTGCTGCACTCACTCAGATTGGGGTGTGCCGGTCTATGCCTGAAACTCGTCCTGTGAGAAACATGACGCGGTGCAAAAATACAGTCAGTGTGATTAATATGGGTTAATAACGAGATAATTAATTAATTGTAATTAACGCGTTAAAGTCCCGACCCTAATTATAATGTTAATACATTTTTGAAGCCGAAGCGGCTCCTTGTCTTCATACAGGATTTGATAGCAGTGCTGAATATCGACCACTGGGTGGGGTATTGAGTTACAAAGCATCTTATATTTGTGTGTGTGTGTGTGTGTGTGTGTGTGTGTGTGTGTGTGTGTGTGTGTGTGTGTGTGTGTGTGTGTGTGTGTGTGTGTGTGTGTGTGTGTGTGTGTGTAGTTCCAGTCAGGTGGCGATCCAAAGATGGGGACTGTCGTTTCTGCACAGGAGGCTCAGGCTCAGGCTATCCTGCAGCAAACTAAGGTACAGAAACGTTTAAAGTCCACAGACACGACGACAACACTGACATGAAACAGGAAGTGACTGACTCTGACCCTCTCACCTCCTCCAGCTGGCTATGAAGGGACCTCCAGGGCCGCTCGGCCTCAGAGGGAGACCCGGACCTCTGGTGAGTGACGCCTGTATACCAGTGAGATCAGTCTACAGATATATAAGATGAAATCCTGGATATCTGTGTTTCTGATCGTCTGCAGTGAAGATGTTTTTACGCTCCAGTGACGAGGAGTGACAGATCTGGCAAAACTCCAGCTAAATACTTAGTCTGGATACTTCAAGATAAAGCATGTGGGCATATTTGGATAATTTATTTAACGTGTTTGTAACAGCTGACACACCTGGGAAATCCTGCTCTGTGTTTGTGATCCAGAAATGATCCAGATTCTTGGTGTTTTGGTGTTGTAGACAGATAAGAGATGAATCCTGGGAGTTTTTCTACATTTTAGCCTGAAGATAACCTGAGGATATTATGATAACATGTGACCAAACTGGGAGTTTAATTCAAAACACTGTGAGAAGAAATCAGAGCGTCCTTTCTCCAGCTCCCTCCTCCACATTTGTAGATCCATCCCTCGTTTTGTCCTCCAGGATTCCTGCGTCTTTCTTTCCCCATTAAATGCATCAGCTGTGTTTACGTCTGTCAGCTGTGTCGTAGTTTTGAATTTTGTCACTAAATTTTGGGATTTGTTTGAGAGAATCAAATCAAATCTATTAAAGGTAATTTTAATTATGTGGTGTCTTCCTCAAGATCATCCTCGTGGTTTTTAAAGTTGATGAAGAGCTGCTTCATGTTGTAAATTCATTTTAAACAAAAACCAAAAACAGGATTATTATTTCACATCAAATCTAGTTTTTGGAGCAAAAAGTCCAAAATGTGATAAATTCACGTTTACTCTGTCTCCCAGGGTGCACCAGGTCCATCTGGGCTGAAGGGGAGCAACGGAGACATGGGTCCATCGGTGAGCCAACTCGTTGTCATAGCAACTGCCTCAAAAGTTCGTCCTACAACCCCGAACTCATTTGATTGGTCTCTTTGTCACCTTAGGGTCCTCCAGGACTGCCCGGTCTCCCGGGTCTGAACGGACGAATCGGGAAAAGGGTGAAGTTTTGATTTCTGTTTCCTGTCGTTGAGAAAAAACTGTTGACGTTTTCTTTACTGAACTTGTTTGTGTTTTTTTTTCAGGGTCGCGGGGGTACTGACGGGGCGCGTGGTGCGATCGGAGAGACCGGAGCAAAGGTGCAAATGAAGTGAAGTTTCCTGAGTTTCCTGAAAGTTTGAAAATAACTCTGAAACTAAAACTCATTTCTCCTCTTTTTTAGGGGGACAGAGGGTTTGACGGCTTACCAGGTCTCCCTGGAAACAAAGGACATAAAGTAAGAGTCGTGTGGAGGGTCTCAGACCGAGGGTCTCAGGCCGCTGATCTTCGAAACAAATACAAACTCACGTGTGTGTGTGTGTCTTCTTAGGGGGACAGGGGGAAGCCGGGTCCTGTAGGTCCTTCTGGGGAGTCAGGAGAAAAGGTGAGAGGTCACAGTGGTGTGTATATAACCATAGATATATAGATATAAACGCTAAATGTCTTACACACGCTGTTAGCCAATGGAGACCGACGTCCGCGCATGGCGGCCATCTTGCTACAGGAAGCTCATCCACTCATAATTCCAGTCTACGGTTCATGTAACATTTAAATAACCATAGATTGATTAATTTTAAACCGATTTTCTAACAGTTTGGTTTGTAACAAACCTCAGAGTTTTAGTTATGTTCCTGCATACTGAAGAATAATTTGAACCATGGATTTTCATAAATAAACATTAAACAGATAGGTAGAGTAATAGCTATAGACCTACACACACAAGGCAGTTATATTAAATCATTTATATATAAAACATTTAATCATTCCATGTGTGTTATATTAGGAATATTTCTATTATAGGGATAACTAAAATAACATAAAGCAAAAACATGTATAAATATTTATTTTTAATTCCGACTCACAGCCACGTTATTAAGGTCTGTAATAAACAAAACCATCTGTAAATCTGTCGAGATTTCAGCGAGTTCAGAGTATTTTTGATCATGCAGATTACTCACCTTCTGTCAGCTACCATAGAGTGTACCAGAATGGTATACTGGAGGAAGATGGCCGCCATGGAGCGATGCCTTGAGTCATCTAGCCTTTCTTATAGATATCTATGTGTGTAACATCTGTACGTGTGTGTTTGTGTGTGTGTGTGTGTGTGCTGCATGTACTCATGTTTGTGTTTCTGACAGGGCTCTGAGGGACCACCGGGGCCGAGGGGACAACCAGGAGATGCTGTAAGTGTCACAAACAGTCAGCTGATACACTACCATGACCCTTTAACCAAAACCTGTTCCTAACACGACTTTACCAGGCATGAGGAGAGTTAGTTTGTCCTCACAAAGATAGAAAATCAAACACACAGTAATCTGTCATTTAATGCATCATGTGATTCCAGGGCTCCAGAGGTCTGAACGGTCCCAGAGGTCGACCTGGTCCCCCCGGCCAGATTGTGAGTGTGAAATAAACACAGTTTAAGAAGTACTGAATCTGCACTATTATACACACACACACACACACACACACACACACACACACACACTCGTGCAGTGTTGGTAGCTGTCCAGAGAAACCGAGGTTTCCCTAACCGCCGACACGGATTCATCGGCGGTTTCACTATCTGATAACGCCACGTGATCACGTCGACATGATGTAACGGCGGTTAATCATTCGTTAACACGGCGTTATGTAATTTCGATCTCGTCGGAGAGAGCCACCCCGTGCCAAAAAAAACTACATCATATCTGCAAACACCTCGAGCTCTTTGGAGCGTGAATAATTTATAGTAGTATGTGTGCACTCGTAGAAACGCGAGCTCGCACTTGTGAGTATCTGACACTTCTTTATTTGTTTTATGTCGGTTAATGAAGCATCACGAGCCTTAAGCGAGGAGGTGCGAACGCCAAAAACGAACAGGGGGGGCGGTATCGTTTTCATTCGTCTTACGTAACGAGCTCAGATGTAAAAGAACATCTTAAGACTCTAAAGAAGTGTGTGTTTTTGTAAATAAGAGTCCACACAGCTCCGTCTTTAACTTCTTTTACGTGTTTTTGTTTGTCTGTCTCCTCACAGGGCATCCGGGGAATCGATGGTGTTCAGGGTTCAAAGGGAAACATAGTGAGTACAGCTGAAGACAGAATAAGCTCTATCAATCTGTCACCTACTTTTCCACCATTAAAAACTCTGTTCAGTGTTTTTAAGCAAAGAGAGAATATTCTTCTTGTGTCATAACGTCGAGCAGATCCAACAGATTCAAGATGTCTGTCACAGCAGATGTTGTTGTGCATACTTATCTCATTATCTCTTTAAGTATCAGTAAAACTAACGCTGTCGTGATGTCAAAATAAGAGGGAGATATACGGCTGATGAACCTCATCAACCTGTTTGTGTTAGGGTCCCCCCGGGGAGGTCGGAGCACCCGGACAACAAGGAAACCCCGGGATTGTGGTACGAGCAGAAAGATCAAAATACTCGCACAGATAAATCAAGTGTAAGATAACGCACGGAGAAATCACTGCTCTGTCTCTGCTGTAGGGTTTTCCCGGTCCTCAGGGGTTAGTCGGGCTGCCAGGAGAGAAGGTACGGCACATTCAGATCTGGTTTTTATCACTCTGAGGCGACAGAGTCGAGATTAACGGCCTGGGTTTGTTTACAGGGACCCCAAGGGAAGAAAGGGATGCAGGGTTTGCCTGGGAATGACGGCCCCCCTGTGAGTACACGTGTATTTCTCAAGTATGAAACAAACATGTCCGGGACGGATAATAATCATATCAAACCCACAATCTAACAGGGTCACCCCGGGAGAGAGGGGACCCCAGGTGAAAAAGGACTGCCGGTGAGTCACATCATACACACACAAACCTGTTTCAGAGCAGGTATAAGTTACTCCACATATATGACAAATCAGACGCAGCAGTGGAAGAAGGAGAAGGGGCGGGCTGAGTGATGCACTGTGGGCGGAGCTTGACTGAGCGCTGGTTAAACTCAGGTAGCAGAAGTCCTGTCACACTGGCTGCAGGATCGATGTACGTCAACCCGACGACAAGAAGCCTAAAGAAAATAAATAAACACATATAAATAAATAAGTGTTACCCAAAGATGTTCACTTCACAAAGTATGAACATTGATTTTCCTCGTGTGTGTGTGTGATTTGAAGGGTCCTGTTGGAGTGCAGGGTCCTGTCGGATACCCCGGACAACGAGGAGTTAAGGTAGGAAACGTGAAGGTACCTGATTCCTTCTGTGTTTGGGATCTCTGTGGTTCAGGGTGGTCTCATGAAGGTCCTCAAAGCGATCAGAACTGATCAACTCCAGAAACTGTTGAAGGAAAGTGAACTCTTCTGCGGTTTAGTGGAAAAGATGCGACCACGTAAATCCTGAAGAACCTCCGATGTTCTCTTCCCTTGTTTACCCACACTTTGTTTTCCTGTCTGACAGGGAGCAGATGGGATCAGAGGACTAAAAGGAAGCAAAGGCGAGAAGGTGAAGTAAAAAAGTGACGCGTTGAGAGCGCATTAAGAGAGTTTTACTGTCTGAAAATATCAAATCGCCCCACAGGAGGCGTCCAACTGTTCCCTACTGATGTCTTTTGGTGTCTTTCTCAGGGAGAGGACGGTTTCCCCGGAGCTAAAGGGGAAATGGGAGCAAAGGGGGACGTCGGAGACAACGGGGCTCTGGGTATCCGAGGAGAAGACGGGCCTGAGGGGCCGAAAGGTCAGATGGGTCCTCAAGGAGAATCTGGTCCTGTTGGTATCGCTGGAGAAAAGGTGCAGAGCTGAGTTTGCATGAAAGTTTCATAACTTTAAAAACGTGATGAAGACGAGCAGAGAGTGACCGTGTCTCTGCCTTTCAGGGGAAACTGGGAGTTCCTGGACTGCCTGGATATCCGGGGCGTCAAGGACCAAAGGTACGAAGACTTAAATCCAACCCTTCAGTGATGTTTGAAACACACTGACTCTGTGTGACCTCCTCCTTCTTCTCAGGGTTCGGATGGGTTTCCGGGTGTGCTGGGACCTGCAGGAGAGAAGGGGAAGAAAGTGAGCCGAGGATTTTAGATCGTTCAAATACTAACGCACAAAAATGAAACGTTGATTCAAAGACTTTTTTTATGAACATCCTGTTTTTTTTCATATCCAGGGTCCTGCAGGACAACCAGGAGGTGGAGGCCAGAGGGGTCCAAACGTGAGTGATGAGCCCAAAATGCAGCTAAACCTCAGCTCGATATGAGGACAGAGACTTAATATTGATCCAAACACAAGAACAGAAAATAGAAAGAGAGAGAGAGAGAGAGAGAGAGAGAGCTGCCGAAACCACAGAAGATACAGACGTGATCGGAGAGATACGTGAAATGTTGATACGTGCATTTCTTTTCCTTTTTCCAGCTGTATGTGTGTTTTTACAAACATTCACAGATAATGTCGGATTCAATCAAATAAACAAAGTCCGCTCCAAAGTACAGATTTATAGGCACAGATTCTAGTCAGAGGCAGGAGGACAGATAGGAAATTCTTACACCACTAACATAAACTGTGCATCAGTAAAGTTCCCATCTTTTAATTAAGGAGGCTTCCTTCACCTCCGTCCAAAACACACTTAATTTAGGGCGGAGCCAAAATCTGTGGGTGTGATTATCTATTTGGGCTCCGCAGTTTCTCCCACATGACCTGGGATATTGTGGACCCATCTTGGAAACGAAAATCCATTATTTTAAAGGTGCAGTCTGCAGAAATATAATATAATATTCACAATATTATTTAGATTAGTCGATTATAACCAGCAAGAAGGCGAGTCCCCTTCCTCAGAGGCTTTTTCTTGTTTCTATTGATGTTTTTTATCACGCATCAAATCAGTTTTTGTCCTCTAAGACCACCGTAGTCCATGCTTTCAATCTTCACACTTTAACTCACTGTTTCTGTCACTAAAATCACACTCAGACTTTCCTTTGAGTTTACTGTGAGTTTAAAGTTTCATCTTCAGACGTCTGTCAGTGGTCATGCAGAGTTTGTTTCTGCTGCCCTCTAGTGGCTAAAATATCTGCACACAGACGTTTTTCTGCGTCCACTAATGCCCTTAAGGCAGCAGCAGCAGACGTAGATGAATAGAAGTGAACTGCAGAGAGAGTTTCAGCCTGAGGTGAGTGTACTTTGATGGATGTCTTACATTTGGACTCACCCGTCTGTCTTCTTCTCTGACAGGGCGCACGAGGAGGCAGAGGAGCTAAAGGGCCAACGGGGAAACCAGGAGAAAAGGTCAGCTGACCGTCTGTCGGCCAATAAAATCGTCTTCTTCCAAATGTCTGCTGTTGATTCTATCAATCACCGCCACGGTGTTCTTCCCTCACTTTCACAGGGCGCCTCAGGACACGACGGGCCTCCAGGATCTCCTGGAGAAAGAGTAAGAAAAACACGTTTGAAGTTTTTATTTTTGAACTTTTCATTCATTCATTTGAAAAAAATAAAAAAGCAAAAATACAAGAAGTGATAAACACGCAGATGAGAAAAAACACAACAGAAGTAAATCCGTAAATCAGTATATCTCATTCGTTTGATGCAAGTGTTTTAGTCATGAACTATTTTTTCAATAAATGCACCATTTCCCAACATTTTTACCCGAGTTCTCTCTGTAGATGAATTACTCTAATTATCGGTGGACTGAGCGGCCAATCACCACCTGATATACTGACTGTTGGTGTTTTTTTAGGGACCTTCAGGGCCACAAGGGAGGAACGGAGAACCAGGACCCAAAGGAGGAACTGTGAGTTTAGCAAAAGCAGATATTGACACATAAATTGAGAATAAATTCAGAGTTATAGAGCGATTTTTTAACTGTTTGATTTTGAATTATTCAAACAAAAGAAGGGAAACAGGATGGACAGGTCACCAGCCATAACACAAAGCTTTGGTTAACTCTCTTCATGGATTATTGTCTCAATAACTCAGAGCAGGAGAGTTAAGGATAATCATTCATACTAACAATTAATGCAGCACTTTTTTTCTATTTTTGTTGATTTTTTTTTTTATACTTTTGATTTTTTTCTTGAATTCTTTCTTTTTTGATATTTTAGATTTTTTTCTTGAAACTTTTTCTTGCATTCTTTCCTTTTTCTTGATTTTGTGTTCTTTTTTTTTAATTTTTTTCATTTGAATTTTTTTTCTTGATTTTTTAAAAAATATTTCTTGATTTTTTTTTCTTTTTTCTTGAATTTTTTCATTTGATTTTTTTCTTGAATATTTTCTTCTTTTTCTTCTTTTTCTTGAATTTTTTCTATTTTTAATTTTTTTTTCTTGAATTTTTTTCTTGAATTTTTTCATTCAATTTATTTTCTTGTTTTTTTTTATTTGATTTTTTTTTCTTGAATTTTTTTTTCTTGAATCTGCATTTATTATGACGTGTGCTGCTGACCTTTTGGCCAGGTTGCACTTGTAAATGAAACCACGACCTTAATGAGATTCTACCTGGTTAAATAAGGGTTAAATAAAACTAATTAAATATTTGAATACAGTCCCAGTGAGGAGTAGAGCCGGTTACTAAAACAGAATAGAGAAAAACAAAAGAAGAAGGTCAGACAAAGGAAGAAAGAAATGCACCAAATATTTCCTCCCTGTGTCATTTCCATATTCAGTATCATTAACCACCTGGACCAGAACCTTCTGACTCCATTAAAACAAATTCACCTCCAACACTTCAATCAAACACAGTTACACACAATTCCTCTTTGTTTTTTTGCTGCTGCCTGAACTATAATTAGAAGTTTATTCTCTTTATTTGGTACCGTGGTCCGCACTGCAGTGTTTTTGTTGTGGTGCAGTCTGCTCGTGCCAAAGTTTGAAACACTCCTCCTAGGGTTCTCATTTTTTCATTTTCTGATAACAATTCCTCCGACTGAGGATTCACGGGGAAGAAATCCTGCTCACATGCTGCTATGAATCACTTTGTGTTGCCTCTGGGGGACAGCTCCTGCAGCCTCATTTGAATATCTGACAGCTCCTGTAATAAAATGCCACATGGGTGAATTTAAAAAAGCTGCTCAGGATTATTAGGACCATTCTTATGCCCCTCATTTTCAATACCAGAGATATAACTTTGTATTTGGAGGCCGTTTTTTACCCTAAACAGCTCACGTTTATTTTAATGTGTGTGGGAATCCAGGGTCCTGCAGGGAAAGATGGACTTCCAGGTCATCCGGGTCAGAGAGGAGAGCCGGTGAGTGGGTTTACGTTTTATGAGAGGTCATTAAAGGTCATCATGTGCTGCTCTTTTCTTTGAGAAGTTCATTTTCTACTCCTCTTTTTCTGTGACTTCAGGGATTCCAAGGAAAGACGGGCCCCCCGGGACCCTCAGGTGTTGTGGGGCCACAGGTGAGCTCAGCAGTGAATCACTTATTATGTAACAACTGCCTTCAGCTCCAGGTCTGTGCAGGTTTAACTGACCCGATCACCTCTGTGTGTGTGTGTGTGTGTGTGTGTGTGTGTGTGTGTGTGTGTGTGTGTGTGTGTGTGTGTGTGTGTGTGTGTTACAGGGGAAATCTGGTGAACCTGGTCCAACAGGGGACAGAGGTCACCCGGGGGCACCAGGTGTGCCAGGAGAGCACGGTTTACCCGGGACTGCTGGGAAGGAAGGAGGAAAGGTGAGTCCGTGACGTCACACACACACACACACACGGTCTGTTATCCTCACGTTTCGGACCGTAATCATAACCATGCTGGACTTTGGTGTCTCAGGGTGACCCAGGTCCTCAGGGGACATCTGGAAAGAACGGACCCACAGGACTGAAAGGGTTCAGAGGGAGCAGAGGAGCCCCAGGAATTATGGTAGGACACAATCTCAGATCAGCGACTCGATTTGTAGCTGCAGGAAAGACACAATTGTGTTGTACTTGATCAACAAGTACACACAAAAACCTACAAGTACACAACTCAGAGTGTGGATTTCACATTTACTAATACACATAGACAATAACTGTACACATGTTACAGATGCACAAACCTTTTGCAACCAAACTCCATTTAAAGGTACAGTGGGTAGTTTTTAGCGGAAAAGACTTGATAGAAATGAAAAATTATTTGTGTCCTTGGAGGCCACCGTAGATTCACCTACTGGAGGGGTGAGCAGGGGAACATTTCATCCAGAACCTAACGCTCCATATCACCAAATTTCTGCACTGTACCTTTAAAATATGAACGTTTGATCAGGTTGTGTAAATGATTCGAGCAGAATCATAAAAATCATACCTGGTCTTTTTCAGGGACCTCCTGGTCTAAAAGGAGGATCAGGACCCAGTGGATCCCCAGGAGGCGTGGTGAGTCTAAGTCCGTCATAACTTCTCTGTAACGTGTTTTTTTAATGAGATGAAAGCAGAGGTATTGATCTGCAGATTTCTCTGTATCAAGGAGACTCGGATCAATAAGCGATCGATCCAGAATTCTAATTCATGGAGTTCTTGTGTCTGTAGGGACCCACCGGTGAAAGGGGCCCTCCTGGATCTGCAGGGGCTATTGGACAGCCTGGTCGGGCTGGAGCGATCGGAGGACCTGGACCAATGGGAGAGAAGGGCGAGCCGGTAACCTCGTGTTTTTTAACTCTGCTGTGTGTGTGTGTGTGTGTGTGTGTGTGTGTGTGTGTGTGTGTGTGTGTGTGTGTGTGTGTGTGTGTGTGTGTAGGCAGAATAACAGGTCGAACATTCTTGTTTTCCAGGGTGAGAAGGGTCCGATTGGTCCAGCAGGTCAGGATGGGGATCAGGGACCTGGTGGGTTGCCCGGGGCGACAGGCCCTGCAGGACCTCCAGGAGACGACGGTGATAAGGTGAACTATCTGTTCCAGAGAGTGTGTGTGTTTGTGTGTGTGTGTGTTTACTGTGGTGATAATTTGTGCGTCTTCTGTGTGTGTGTGTGTGTGTGTGTGTGTGTGTGTGTGTGTGTGTGTGTGTGTGTGTGTGTGTGTGTGTTCACAGGGAGAACAAGGAGAACCCGGGCAGAAAGGCAGCAAAGGAGACAAAGGAGAGTCTGTGAGTCTGGAGCTCATTATAGACCAAACTTCACAACCAGCGTAGATCTGATGGAGTCTGAATGATCATCTCCACCTCTTTTTTCACTCTCACTCTCTCTCTCTCTCTCTCTCTCTCTCTCTCTCTCTCTCTCTCTCTCTCTCTCTCTCTCTCACAGGGTCCCCCGGGCTCTGCCGGCACTCAGGGGGTTGTCGGTCAGCCAGGACTTCCGGTGAGTCTGCTCTTCTCTTTGAACTCTCAAACTCAAACCCCTTAAACCTCAGATCTACACGAGGGTGAAGGAGCTCAGATTTCCTGCTGACTGATCTTCACGGCCGCAGTTTTTCACACTGGTTTAGATCTTGATCCTTAATCAGGAGGATAAAAAAAGAACACCTAATTAGTCTCAGTCCTTTTGGAAATAAAACATCTGCAGGTACATTTCTTCTTTACAATGGAGTATCAGGGCCACGTTAAGAAAACAAAATCAAGACTTTGAGATTAAAGTCATTACTAACGAGAATAAAGTTGCTATAAAATAATTTCTTATGAGAATAAAGTCGTAATAAAATAATTTCTTATGAGAATAAAGTCGTAGTGAAATCAACAATAAATAATTAATAAAATCTGAGCTCATGCGTTAATTCGGGCTGTACAGTCTTCGTAGACTGGTCGACTTATCTGTCGATACGTCCTGAGTCAACCTCGATTTTTTTCTGCGTCAATTCACAGTAGGAGGAATGTGCCAAGTGTAAAAGGGGGTGTTTTTAGAGCACCCCTGTTTTATTAGGTAACAGTCTGTCTCAGAACACCCCTCTTGTTTTCACCCTTTTGGATTTGCCCAACCCGAGGGAGAGCGGGTGGAGACAGGACCATTGAAGAGCGTCCACATTAATCAACGTCTGTTGTTTTGCTGAATATTTATATTTTAGCCTTTTGTGTTTAACGGCCTTCTTGTGTTGGTATCAGTATGTTTTCACCCGCCAAGCGGACCCGTCGTCCCCCGCCTCAGAAGGGGTTCGGCGACAGAGTCCACCCCTCCGATTAGTCAATTTTTGGTCAAAAATTTTAGTGTTTTAGTCGACCAAGAATTGGTTACAGCTCTAGCATTATAACTTGTTCTCATTGTTGGAGCTGCAGTTTCACTTTGAACCTGCAGGGGGAGCCATCCTACATGTGCACGAAGCCGACCCTGCAGAACCAGGACTTCATCCTGAGTACTGAGGGTGTCCCGATACGATATTGATGTCAGATCGGAATAAAAACAATGAAAATGAAATAAAAACTTGTCATGAACAATATCGGATCAATATCGGTATCTGTAAATATTAAAGGCTACAATATTGGAAGTCAAAAAATTGTATGGGGACACCCGTTAGCCCTTGAGTTTATTTTGAACAGTTCCACTGACTTCATCACTTCTCTCTCTCCTTTGTAAACCAGGGCGTAGACGGACTGGTGGGTCCCAGAGGTCAGCAGGGCATGTACGGCCCGAAAGGAGATGAGGGACTCCGCGGCTTTAAGGGCTCCAAAGGACCGATCGGGTTACAGGTCAGATCTGTGGAGCAGTCAGAGATCGAGGCTGAAGCTCTTCACTTCTATCCTGTCTTATAATGTTTATGTTTTCTCCCAGGGTATGCCGGGTCTACCAGGAGAGAAGGGTGAGAGTGGACACGTGGGACTCATGGTGAGTTTATCTCCTCTTCAAAGATCTGACGTCAGTAAAAAGATTTACTGATTTTCATTTTAACCTCTGTTTTAGGGTCCACCCGGTCAGCAAGGCCCTAACGGTCCTCAGGGTCCAATTGGAGGACAGGTAGGTCTCACAGATCCTTAATTTGTTCAGCACGTCAGTCAGATTCTCCTCAAACTCTGTGGTCCTGTCGTTCAGGGTCCAAACGGTCGACCTGGGATGATCGGACAGCCTGGTGGCGTTGGAGAAAAGGTGAAACATCAGCGTTCGTGTTTCTCCTCCTCAAACATTCGGTCTCTTTCTGAATTTATGACGTAAGTCTCTGTTTCTCTCAGGGGGAGGATGGTGAGGCAGGTGACCCCGGTCCAGTCGGTGTCCCAGGAAGGCTGGTGGGTTTTTGTCGGAGCACATTTCGACTTCAAAGAAACGGATCAAAGAATTTTCTTCCTCCATGTTTTTTTTTTTTAAGCCTCTCTCACACTTCCTCTCTGCCCCACTTTTCCTAATCTCTCTCTCTCTCTCTCTCTGCTCCTTTTACTTCTTTAGGGAGAGAAAGGAGACCACGGGGAGAAGGGAGATACAGGCCTCCCAGGGGCAGCTGGTCCTCCAGGAGCCAGGGGCGCCGCAGGAGAGGACGGGGCCAAAGGCAATGCTGTGAGACACACTTAAACGACCTAAAACCGTTTTATAAATCCGGATCGGTTCAGAGTGTTGAGACCCAGTAAAGCTGTCAGATTTAAAGCTCAGCTCCTGTCAGTGAGATTAATCTGCAGCTTCAGTGTTTATCTTCTCTCTGGTACCATAAGGAGGCATAGAGAGAGTCTGTTATCATAACTGCACAAATAAAGAAAAAGTCCAGTTATAAATAGACCCAACTCCTACAAAAACAATAACTCAGTGTCCTCCAGATTTCTCCTACTCCTTTTTCTTAAAGTCCCACTCCAGTCATTTTTTTAAAGTGTTCTCTCAGTGATCTTTAAGTCGTGATTATGAAGTTTTCCTGTGTCATTTTCAAGGCCTTTTCTTCTGCAGAGCTTCAGTAGCTCATTAGCAATTCACCTCCGAGTCGTGGGCGGAGACGGCGCTGCTCTGCTCACTCCTCTTCATGCTAGCTTATAGCCTAACGTTGCTGATGTCGTAGAAGTGTCAGGTAACATAGGAACTATTCAGCTCTTGGACACGAATGTCTTTAGGGACATGATGAAAGTTAATATCATAATTAATATCATAATTAGCTTTCTTAGGAGAATTGCAGTCCACTACCGCACACGCTTGTTCCGCGATGTCCTCTCTACTTCTCAGAGTCTGGTCTGCTCTGGGGGCGGAGCTTGGATATGTGACATAGAAAATCTCACAAAATCTTACGCTGGGATTCCACCGCATTCCATCCTCTTCGCTTCTCTCCAGAGCAGCAGGCGGATCAAAAACGCAAGAAGCAGTGGCTACCAGATCTGATCTGCCGCTGCAAGCGGAGGAGAAGCGCTTGTGAAATTACCGATATTAGACTGGACGAGATCTCACATGTTTCACCATGAGACATTAAATAAGACCGGTGGTTTATATAAACACCCAGATCCCACAACCCTGACCCCTCCCATTATTACGTGAAGAACAGTTCAACGTATTAACTTTATTTTATTTTGAAAAATTAACCGGATATTTTACTCAGTAGCCGCAAACAACTTCTGCTGCCGCCGATTCGTTGTGGTGCGGCATCCGGCAAAAATGAAGGCCTTGCGTATCTGATCTGACCGCCAGAGCAGACGGATTGTGTGGAATCACGCACATTGATTATAATGCTTGAGTGGATCGAGACGTTAGCCTACTGTTTGGGTCTGTCAGAGACTCACAGCGGTTTGACTGCAGAAATACTTTTTCTCCTGATATGTCCTGTAGCGTCAGAAAAACGAACATGTAAGAAAACAAGACAAACACGATTTTCATCAGAGTGGGTCTTTAAGTGTGTAAAACTAAAACGTTTGATAGACCGATTTAAAAAGTAAATTTTGGATTTTTGCTCTAACTTTTTGGAGGCATTAGGACGTTGACCTACGATCAGGACTGAAGGCTGGAGGTTCTGACTCTGCTGTTGTTTGTCTCACGCTGTAAAGACATGATGATTTTGTACAAACTCAGACTTTGACTCTCTCTCTTCAGGGTCCTATCGGTCTCACCGGTGACCTCGGACAGCAGGGGGAGGCTGGACCCAATGTGAGTCTGTTTCCTAACCTTATAATGTTACTGACTTTTACCGACCAAAAGACCGACCATCCAAACCTTTTTTTTGTCCCCCTCAGGGTGTAGACGGTCTGGCCGGTACTAAAGGAGACATTGGAGACCCTGGAAAATCTGTGAGCGCTCACCTTCTCCTGCTAACACTGAGAGAGTTCAATTTAAGACCATGAGAGATACTGTCAAACACATTCTGCAGGACTGGGTTCATAAAAGTTTCATGTTTAATACTCAGGGACCTCCAGGAGCACCGGGAGAACCGGGACCAACTGGACCTCCAGGGCGAAGGGTTTGTGTTTTTTCTTTTTTGTCTCTGAAGCTTTTTTCTTTATTTTTGGACCCTCGTCTCTGTCGGGACGAGGTCTTTCTCTCAGGTTCGTGAGTATAAATGTGTTTGTGGTTAAAATGTGGTTTTTAGGGCCACCTGGGAAAAGCAGGAAAAGAAGGGAAGGCGGGTCTGAAGGGAGTCAAGGTGAGACCGGGAGAAAAACCTTTGGATTAACATCATCTGAACGCCGGTCGACTCTGAGGATCATCCTGGTGTCTGTCTTTTCAGGGGGCTCCTGGTTTTGAGGGACCGATAGGGAAGACAGGACCTGTAGGTGCACAGGGACACCCAGGGAAACCAGGACCTCAAGGTTTAAGAGGGATCCCCGGTCCTGCAGTGAGTTAAAGAACGAAGATTTACAAAAACAGAGCGAGCCAAAAATAGAGGTTTAATTTTTTTGTTTGTCTTGCAGGGAGAGCAGGGTTTGAATGGACCACCAGGCCAGACCGGACCCCCAGGTCCCATGGTATGATCACTCATCAAATCAGCAACATAACAGAAAAGAAATAAACTAATCCAGATTATTAAAAAACCTCTGACTGCTCTCAGGGTCCACCGGGATTACCAGGACTGAAAGGAGACCACGGGAAGAAAGGGGACAAGGTGAGCGAGTAAGAAACAAAAATGACAAATCACCACAAACATGACCGTGACGTCGTTTTTGAGCCTGTTTGTGGTCTCTTTTCAGGGTCATGGGGGTCTGATTGGTCTCATAGGCCCTCCAGGAGACATTGGAGAGAAGGGGGACAGAGGACTACCAGGAAACCAGGGTCTTCAGGGTCCCAAAGGAGATGAGGTGCTGAAAACGCTCCATTCAGTTTAAAGTCATAATAAGAGAGACTTGAGCATATTGATGAAAGTGTTTCCAGTAAAACCACACTGGAAACTGATTTTAACCAGGAGGTCACTTTAGTCTGAGCTCTCACATTCACCACTTCATTTTAATCTGAAACAGGGTTGGTACAGAGAGGGACTGAACCCTCAATCTGAATAACGTCTCAGATAAATTCACTGGAATCAAAAGCGTCCATCGTCTGAGAGGAGGGGCGTGTTTAACTCAGACGGAAGAAATTCTGCAAATGACTTCAAGTCGAGAAAAGCTTTTTCCTGCTCTCCACAAACTCTTTGAAGTCTTTGAGGAAACCACCTGCTGAAAACTGCTGGGGGCCTGAGCAGGAGGTCACGTAGGAGTGAGGGCAGTTTACCAAAAAAACCTGCAATTTAAGACGTCCATGTGGATTTAGTGTCTGACAAACCGACTCTGAGAGGATGGACTTTTCTTATTTTTTTAGCTTTTAAAGTTGCAGGACAAACGAATTAATCCATCCTGTGAAGAACCACTTTAGATAAGTCGTCAAAAAACAGCTGTGCTCAAATGTAAGGGTTCATACTGTCGGTGCATTCAGGAGGGATGTGCAGGAAACATCTCTGTCTCTGTCTCTGCCTGATTACCTGCTGAGCTTGTGTGAAAATATTGCTACTGACAGGTACACAGAGAGCCGCGGGCAGATGGTTCCCTATTGTATTGATAGTGGACGGCTGTTTTACACAAATAAAAACAGAAAGATGGTGGAAATGGTCAGTAAATGTCAGTGTTTGTTCTCACTGTCAGAGCACATGTGCTGACTCTCTCTGCTGATCTCTTACACACATTATTCCAACTTTATTAATCCAAAGCATTTCTGTGTCTTTATTTTTATGTCCATATCAGGGTCAAGTTGGTCCAGCAGGTCCTCATGGCCCCCCTGGCCCCACTGGTCTGTCTGTAAGTATACAGGAAACCTCTGCAGTGGATCTGTAATAAACCGGGACAGGAACCTCAAACACTGAGAAAGACTCGTAAAGGATGGCATTTCAGAGAACCTGAGGGTTCATCATCTGTAGTTCATAAAGTCTCTGAAGATCAAATCTGGAGAAATCTCTGTGATCTTCAAGCCCTGAGGCAGCACAGCATTAAGAGTGGAAGTCACCGCATAATAAAACACAATGACAGAAACCTATATTTACTTTTTATTTCACCTTTATAAAACACGGTGAGATCAGGATCTCTTTAACAAGGTTAAAAGGTCAAAGATTAAAAACACAGTTTAAGAGATGAAGTATTTTTTTAATAAGAAGTGTGAGAGCAAAAATATACAAGCCAAATATCAATATTATTGTCACTAAACTGCATTATTCTGTACATCCTAAGAGAGTTTAGAGACTCGTCAGTGTTTTAGATCTGATTTTTAGATCTCCCATTTTCCCAGGACTCTCCCGTATTTCAGACTTATCTCTCTCCCGCCCACCTCCTGTATTGTCATTTCTCCCAGAATCTCCCGTAGTTTGATGGTCCACCTTCATTTATGAATCAGATCACTAGATTTGTTTCTGCTGAGCCTCACAGACACTGGATTAAAACTTTGACTTTACAGTTTGGGACGATTCAGGTCGATTTAAGCTGTAAACTATATTTAAACAGTGTTTGTCGCAAAATTGAATGAAAGGGAAACAAACGTGAGATATAATATTTACATTGATCATCTTTCACTGTCTCGGAGTGATGCGTTCAGGGCAGCCTCGGATAAAAGAGCGCTGTATTTCACACACAGATGTTCAGAGAGTCTCATACGGGAGAGAGCATGTCAAACATATGAGGACTTTAACACTAATATTAGTGGACTAAATAAGTTCAAGGCTTATCATAGCTATTATATTTTTATTTCTATATGTTATTAAAACAAAAAAGTGTGCAGCTTCACTTAGACTTATTTGGATGATCAATTTAATTACAAATACTTTCATAATGAGCTCATATCCACCAAACAAGGTAACGCCGAAACTGCCCAGCACAAAAATCTCCCGGATTTCATAACCCAAATGTTGGCAGGTCTGATTTATGGTTGTATAATACGTGTCGTTGCTGTTACCGCGCAGATCACCGTGACTCTGAGTCTTTCCTCTCTTACAGGGCGCCATCGGTCCAAAGGGGTCTAAAGGAAACCAGGTCAGTGTGAAGCCTGTTGTTGTTTTGGTTAATTCTGTATAATAAAGGGGTCTTTTTACTTTCCCTTCACACAATCATGATTGGTGTGTTTTGTTTCTATGAAGGGTCCAATTGGCCCAAGAGGAGACGTTGGACCTGCAGGACCTCCAGGACCACCAGTGAGTTCTGTTAATGCCCCCCTCCCAACAGCCTCTTGAAAAACTGCCCACCAGCTAACCTGTTTCTTCTTCTCCTCTGATTTCAGGGTTCGCCAGCAGCCGGCATGTCCCCGCTGCCGGAGCGAGGACGAAGGAGGAGAACCCAACCCTTGGTGGATGGTGCTGTACTTGAAGAGGAGGAGCAGGCGGAGGAGGCTGTGGATGGAGGAGAGGAGGAGTGGATGCAGGGAGACCAGGCGGAACAGGGCGAGTGGATGAAGGAGAAGGAGGGCAAAGGGATGGAGGAAGTGTTTGCATCTCTGTCCTCCATGAAAGTGGAGGTGGAAGGTCTTCGTAATCCACATGGGACGTTCCACAGCCCCGCCCGCACCTGCAAGGAGCTGTGGCTCCTCCAGCCTGGACTCCCCAATGGTACCTAAATTCTGCCGTCTGCTGCTTCTGTTTGCTCATTTTCAGAGATTCGTTTCTGTGTCTGTGTTTCTGCTGTTGTTAGCCTCGTGTATATTTAGCCTCCTCTGCCCTCATTCTCTGTCTTTCCCACCAGGTGAATACTGGATAGATCCTAACCAGGGTTGCCATAGAGACTCTTTCAAGGTGTTTTGTAACTTCACCGCTCAGGGAGAGACGTGTTTGTACCCTGACAAGAAATTCCAGTCGGTTAGTTTTCATGCAGAAAATAAAATCGCACCTTCCCACCTCAGTTTGCAGAGTTTGATCACGTGGTCAGGAGAACTGTGGGCTGATTTAATTTTATTTTTTTATGTTTGTTTTCCATCAGGTGAAGTTGGCGGGCTGGAAAGGTGAAAACCCGGGCTCCTGGTATGGCTCATTCAGGAAAGGAAAACAGGTATTATAATGAAGTGTGTGTTGAACAGAGAATCTCTGCCCTTCAACAGCGACTGACTCATCTTTCTGTCAGGATTCCTTCGTTTTTTTTGTTTAAAGCAGTTTGGAGCTAAAGGTCAAAGTGTTTCTGACACTTAGTTTAAAGGGATATTCCGGCGTAAAATTAATTTAGGGTCAAACACACCGTAACACCGAGTTAGACCCCCCCTCCAGAGATGAATGTTGTCGACCGCTTGCTTCTCTAGTTATACCAACTTTAGTAACGACCGCAGGATAGCAATACAGAGAGCCATGTACTCAACCAAAACGCCACTCTATAGCCACAAATAATGCTCAGAACAGCACCTAACTTCATCAACAGGACATATAGGGTCACAGTCACCAAACATTTTTTTAACTTCGACTAATTTCTTTAGCAAAGAGACTAAACACAACTCACCTACTCTCTTCCAGCAGCCGCTTGTTTGTACAGAGACCTCCGAACGAGTCTATCGACAACAGCGGGGTGCTGCAGCTCAAGGAAGAACATTTATGATCATTTCTTCATGGAAATACAATCAGACCGAGACGCTAAGACAGAAGAACTACCACGTCTGCAGTGAAAATGATTAATATGGTGATTATTGCTTCAAGGAAATGATGAAGAAATGATCATAAATGTTCTTCCTTGAGCTGCAGCACCCCGCTGTAGTTGATGGACTCGTCCAGGTCTCCGTACAAACAAACCGCTGCTGGAAGAGAGTGGGTGAGTAAACATGAGCCGTGAATTTTCCTCCTGAACATGTTTGAGGATCATTCCTGAAGATGTTGGTTATTATCAGAGAGTATTTAGCTCGTATTTGGCAGCGCAGACTATCTTTATTGTATCAGCGTCTGATTTCTGTTTTTGCTTTTCCAGTTTTCCTACTCAGGGTCTGACAGCGTTCCAGTCCACGTGGTGCAGTTGACCTTCTTGCAGCTTCTGAGTGCCACAGCCAAACAGACCTTCACTTACCATTGCCTGAACTCAGCCGCGTGGCTAAACACTGCCACCTATGGCCATGAACATGCACTGCGCTTCCGAGCCAGCAGCGGAGAGGAGCTGACGCACGAGAACACGCATTACATTAGTGCGCTGTACGACGGGTGTCAGGTACGTAACATGGATACCCGTTAAACTTGTTTTTCTGATCGTACGCTCGTCTCCTGATTGATTGATTGATCGATTGTGTTTGTGATTGTTTTTTTTTGCAGACACGCTCAGGACAAGAGAGGACAGTGTTGGAATTTGACGCTCCGCTGTCCAATACCCTCCCCATCATCGACGTTTTTGTGCCTGATTTTGGGAAGGGGAACCAGAAATTTGGTTTCCAAGTCGGCCCGGTCTGCTACAACGGTTAACAGAGTGGGGGACTGGGGGGCTTATCACAGGAATTATTTAATAGGACAAAAAGAGCCATGGACACTTTTTACATGCAGGGAGAAAACTACAAACAAGACTTACCTGGCGCTAAATATTTATGAGTTAATTTACCTACAACAGTATTCTTCCATCAGACCATTAATCCTTTCACACAGACGCTCTCGTTGACTTCTCCAACACTCTCACCGACCGTCAGCTGTCTCATTTGTTTCCTTTTTGTCACTTCTCTTTGAAGGAGTGAGTGGTGCTCCAACAGCTCTGATTATGTCTTTCATACCTTCATGGACTGATGCACTCAAATCTGCTCTTTTCACACACACCCACAAACATCCAATATCAGAGACACGTCTTCAAAAATGAGGAGGAACACATTTCAGGCACATTCACTCACCATGTACTTCTGTGTTATTATCAAACCTCATCTTGTTGTGTTTATTTTTGTTTGTTGTTGTCATTTTGTTGTTGTTATTAACTGTAATGTGATGTATATTGGAGTGTAATTCACCACGGTGCTATTATGTAGCTCCTTACAGGAGTGCATTTCTTTGTAAAAGGGATCTGGGGCAGTGCATTTTTTTATATTGTGAATCTGTTTTATATATTTTTTTTAAACACTCAAACCAAATGTGGTACATGATTGCCTCAATGTCTTTCTAGTTTGTGGGGACGTGACTGAGTAACATATTTTAATAAAAGTACATAATGTACATTTAAGTTAACACTGATGAGACGTAGGTTTCTTGTGTGTTTGTTACAAAGACAACAAAGAAAAGGTGTAAGGAGAGGAAAGACAGCTGCTTTCCAACCAGGTGAGTCTCTTCATTACGCTTTCTCACGTCTGTTGTGTAGAGCTGTTGTTCATTACGTTTTACAAAGCAATTTTCTCGGTATCACGGCGGGGTCCGTGATGACTAAACACCTCATTATGTTTGACTGTTAAAAGCAAATTTCAGGAATAGTTCATTTCATTGCGCCTGAGAATATCTCAGCAAATATTAGAAGGCATTTCGAAATATCTCAAACAGACACAAGGCTACAAGTCAGGAAATTACTGCATGATAACTCACTCAACAAAAATGTTTGCCACGTTAAACCCACATCTCAGCATCCTTACTGGAAAGAGAACTTCATAACCAGGATTGTTGTGGTTTTGTTTTAAGTCTCCACTGTTCATATCAACATTTTAAGATGCTTATAGGGTGACTTCAGGTAACAAAGGTCTTTTAAAGCAATGATTATGAGAGGAAAATCTAAAAGAGTGGCCTTATGATGCACCAGCGAATATCCAGTAAAGCTCATGTTTCATTAGGAGTCAGGGCAAATACGTTCAAATCTCCATGACTGATCATTAAATGTGTGAATAATTTCTTGAATCAACTGCATCTGGGGAGATAAAATTGATTTAATGTCGTCACGATGGGTGGAAAGAGCTCAACCACTGCATACTGAAGAGACAATTACTTTTGTAGAGGAAGAAAAATACACTTTTCTGAACTATTCTTAAAATACTCCAAATTACTTGTGAAAAGGAGGACAAGTTTTTATCTTTGTGTGCTCTAAGTGAACCTCATCTCTTCTTTACTCTTTCACTGCTTTTGTTTTTAGCCTGTTCTTGTCCTGCTTTGTCTCTGCTGTCATCTGCAGAGCATCCAGCAGAGATATTTTTCATTTTGATGATTAAACTTTAATGAGGTGAAGAGGATTCACACAGCTCATGCAGGGATGTTTAACCTCCACCATCCTGCTGTAAAATATGTATATAACATGTGACCTGACATGAAAGTCCGCCACATCAGAGTTAGCCGACTTCAAGCAGCTTCATGTAAGGCGTGTTGGGGAGGCACAGGTCGAAAACACTGGTTAATATTTTACTACTTTCAGCCTCAGTAGCTTATAGAAGATGTTAGTATCTACAGAGATCGTGTTCTAGGTAGAGGGGATGGTGGATTTTATTGTTGGGGACTGAAATCGCTACAGCATCACCAGCGCTGCTCACTGATGTCATTTTTTTTTAGAAAAAGGGGAAAAAAGTGTCATTTTCACATGTGCCGCCTCACCCAGAGTATTTTACTAAATATGTACAAAGCCTCCTGTCACGGGGTTTTGCTCAAACAATCACAATAGAGTGGAAAAGCACAGGCGTAGCGGAAAACACAGTGATGGTGATAGTATTTCTTTACAGTCGGTCTCCCAAGGTGCAATGCAAAAATATTTACAAAAGTGTAAAAAAATTGTCAAATAATATTTACAAAATGTAAAAGGCAAAAAAGAAAATGCCAACAAGGCAGGAGTTCCACTATGACTCAAGAGAAAAAACAGAAACACAGCAGCACAACAAAAGTCAGTTTGGCACTTACCTTCCATACAACAAACTCCAGAGTCAGAGAAATGCTCAGGCAGCCTTCTTTTAAACCCCTTTAGCCCCTCCCAGTGGGCGTTATCAATTACATACCTTTAGAAAAAACATATTTATTCACATTTAAACCATTTTTAACTTTCAGTCCTTTTTCTGTAAGTTTTTGCCATTTTAACAAAGTTTTTATAGAAATCAATGAAGCATTTTTTTCGGGATTCACGGCCAACAACAAGGGAATCAATTTTTCATGCATCATGTGACCACTTTGACCCGCCATACCCACCTATTTCACACCCGGAAATCACATGATCCGGCATGATGGCGCGAATGGACGCATCTTCGGCAGGTAAGTGAAGGGATGAATATCAATGTGAATGTTTGTTAAAGTTAACTGATAGAGCTCCAAATGTGCACCTTTGGTTCCCCTATCTAACAGAGAAGGAAAAGTAGCTGTTTAGTGGGTGATTAGAGACGCTCGAAGGGAGGGAAATGTTTGGTGCGTGGCTCCGTGCGCCGCCCGCCGTCAGTGAGGACGCAGATCCGTCACATCCGCTAACCGTGAAAATGGCGGTAATATTTCTAATGTTGAAGTAGTAGTAATATTTCCACATTCACTGACAAAAATGGCTGACCATTCGGAAAGTTGGGATGACCGTTTTGGAAAGGGGATGATTTTGATCCTTTTCATTTCAGGGAGGATCCTGTCTATACCATATAATCTGTTGTAGGATCAGTCTAATAGCTGGGATTTGGAAGTAATTATTAGCAAGGCCGTAACAGTAAGTTATGGCCTCAAATATAGGCTACTAAGAACATGGTTTTATTCTAACTTTATCATTATACACCAAGCACTTTTGTCAAATGTTAATTTTAACATGTTCATGATGTGAAGTTAACGTAGAAATCGACCAGTGAGTCGAGCGAATGCTATTTCTGCGCATAGCAGTGAGCTAGCTAGCTTATTGCTATGTGCAGAAACAGCATACTCAGAAAAACAAGATAAACTATTAACTAGGATATTACATTTCATTAGCAAATATAAACTAATATATTTATGATATATCGTATTAATTTTGTTATCTCCTGGCTGCTTGTGGTACAGTCGTCCTAGCAGACTAAAGCTAGCTGTATTAGCTTTCGTGTGCGTGGCTGTGACGTTTAAATCACGGAGGATTGAGCGTAAAGATGAGGCTCGATATTAGCGAAGTGTGTGGGGAGATTTAATACTTTAATTTCAGTAAATATTCATCATAATTTAACATTTAAATTTATCCCAAACAAACTTAAAACTTAGTCAGCTCATTAGTCGGATGAGCTGTTTTTGTTATTATTCCTTAAGGTGTGTTAGTAAGTTATGCAGTCAAGTTATCATTTCCAGTTCAAGTCTGTCATTTAGTATTTTCTCTTTTATTATAACATAGTTTGATCTGAAAGACTTTGTTCATGAGGCTGAAAAAGTTGATAATTATACAGTTAATCATTTTATTTAGAAACTGTTGTACATTTATAAATATTCAAAGGCTGATTGGTTAAATTGTCTTATAGTGAACTCCCACATTGAGTTTCTACTTTTTTTGAATATAGACTCACTGTGTCACTTGTAATCTGTCACTCACATAGACACCCACACACTCGGTGATCTACTTCTATCTCCAGCTTGTGTTGACGTAGCAGATACTCATCCCTTCAACTCCTCCTTCACTACACCTCCTTTTTCACCTTCTCCAAGACAGCTGTCCTCCTCGGTTTGTCTGAGTGCGTCTCCTCACGATGCTGCTAAGACTAGTTTGTGTTTCTTCTCCACAGCCAGAGGGGATTTGCTCACTCCGGCCTGCCTCTTCAGTAGTCCTTTACCCTGAGGCGAACTAAGAGAGGTGTTCGGTGTCCGTCCAGGTGGTTCCTGAATTTGGTCACTCTTCTGGATCTTCCGAGGGGTCAGCGCCCATGTTTTTTTAAACATGTTTGGAGCCAAACCTGGGTCAAGACTACACAGGCCAGCAGGACTGAAGAGGATGGTGATGGGTCCACCTGAGGTCCTTTGGGTGCTGCAGCTGCTCTTCACGGTCTGCTTATGTAAGGTATAGAAAAAACCCTGCACCTTCTTCTAACTTCTAATCTTTCTATGTGGACATGAAGTGTGTCAGACCAGCCAGAGTAACTGCAGCTCAAACTTTACATTAATTATCAGCCAATTGAATTGATAGAGACTTATTTATGAATCTGTGCTACAGGGAGAAAAAGTTCTCACTTACTTGACATGGTGAAAATAAGTTTTATAGAATAACCAATAACACTTTTGGAGAAAAAAAAAGTCTAGAATTTTTTTTGGCTCCATTTCAAATCCCATACCCAGAGCCTGAATTTGTTTCCATGGAAAGTTATTTATAGCTCTCTAAAACAGGCTTTGTTGAATATTTCCAGCAAGAAATGAGAGGCTTCAAGGATCAACAACATAAAAAGGACTAGATAAATATAGTATAAGCTGCCAGAAGACTAGAGGGTAGCATCTCGAGATTTTTTCTCCCAGATCAAGTCAAACGGATTTCTCTTATTTTCTTATTTTTCTACTCTCGTGATTAAGACACAGTGCTGCTGCTGCTGCTGCTGCTGCTGCTGCTGTCGATCTTTTATTGTAGGTTTCTATTTTACCTTATTTTGGCTCATTTTGGAGGACTGATTACTTTGGGTGTTGCTTTGTTTATATTCTGGATTTCTCTACTTTTGCTTTGCCTCCAGTCAAATTCATTGACCCTAACTTCCCCGTAGGTGTTTGATATCACTCAGATGTCATGTTGGCTTCAGTGTTGCCCCTCCGTCTCCCGTTGAGTGTGTTACCCCTAAGTGCTGCTGATTGAAATATTCATGTTAGTTCAGCGTATTTGCTGAAGGGCGTTTTATGTATAATCCATGCATATCCTGGGGGTTCCCTTTTGAGACGAGGACGCTTGAGCATGTAACCGCTGATGAGAACAAAGCCACCATAAAACATTTAACGTTTGTTCGTTAAATTGTCGGCATGTAACCGCTCCAGGCGCGAACCACCGAGCTGTTCTTTTGTAGTCGTGCTGTACCATGAGGAGTGCTCTCTTTCATCAGCTTCACATGTATGTATGACAAATATAGAAGTGTATATTTGTCATTGTTGCAGCAGCATGAAACGGGACAACTTCAATTATTTTGACCATCACTGAAAATCGTGCTCCTCAACTTGTTCGCTCCATGAATGTACTACAGACACGAGAAATTGCTTCTGTTTGGTGTCTGGTTTTTGTCATTTTTATTGTGTTGGAAATTTTCTCCACAAAAGGAAGACCAGTAAACAGAACATGAAAAACAAAAATAGAGTTACAGAAACGGACAAAAAAGAACATTTCTGTGGCTAAAAGGAATGAATTAGAAGTAGCGATGACAAAAAACTAAAATGTATTCCCTTACAAAGTAAAATGGACCCAGTGAAGAGCCCGCTCAATTTAGTTTACATGTGAGGTCTGTATGAAAGAGGATTAGGGCAACAAGAAAATAAAATAAAAAAATTTTTGTTTTATTTTTTTTATTTTTTAAATAAGTTTTTTTAAATTTTCATTTCAAGATTTAAGTTGAAATTTAAAAGTCAAAATTTCAACTTTATTCATGTAGACCTTCATCTCAAATTTTAAATCTTAAAATTTCGACATTATTTACGACATTTCGTTATCTTGAAATTTCGATTTAAATGTCGAAATTTCGACTTTATTGACATAATTTTGATTTTTCCATTCTGGATACTTGACTTTGATCTCTAAATTTCAACTTTCACCTCCTTCCTGTAATTATGTCTTTCTCTTCATGTGGCCCCTACAGCTGAAATCAACTCGCCGTGTATCTTCAGCAGAGCTGCTCTCGATACGATGCTGATGCGCGTCCTGTACGCTTTGCTGCATTGACAAGAACGGCGACCTATTTGCTGCGTGATATGTGACACTGCTGCCACGCTCCAAATACGCATCCTGCATGTTTTAGCCTTTATCCTCTTTCGTAGGTCTGTCCTTCCTGCCTTTGCACGAGGAGATGTGGAGAGTACTTCTCCCCCTGTTGCTCCTCGCCATGCCTTTAACTCAAACACATTGAATTAAGTGTTTTTTTAAGTCTTATTATATCAGACGCTGGTAACAACAGTCGTGTGATTATACATGAAGGAATGGAGAAAGAGTTGACCATATCTGGGGCATATAATTGATGTAGTGTTTCATTATTCTACCATTAATTAGTTAACCATCACAGCCTTGTTACATCAGCAAATATGCTTTTTTACATAAATATGAATTAAGATTTTCTTTCATCATTTATTCATGAAACTGCAGCTGCAACCAAGCGTAATAATTACACGCAGCTTCTCGATTATCATGGCAGCTACACGAGGTACATAATTTATGAAAGTTTTTATTAAACATCATTAAGGGGGATAATTACTCACAATTTTAGTGTTTCTGATCCTCTTCTGAAGAAAAGCTCTGTAAACTGTGTGTGTTGAGCAGAGACGGCGGCTCGCTCACCTCCAGCGTTTCGTCTTTAAAGCTTCATCCTTAAATCTGACCGGTTTGTCAGTTTATTGATTGACAGTATTTTGTAATGAGCTTTGCAAAAACAGGAAGTGATGGTGCCACTCACAGCTGGAAGACTAAATTTACTCTGTGACAAGTTCATGAGGAAGAAAATCCAGCTGTCATTTTGTGACGTTTGTTTTTCCAAGATCCAGCCGGATGCGGATCGGTGGACGCGTTTGAAACTGTCAGGCATGTCCATATTTTTGAAGACAAAATTTTAAAAAGTATACAGGGACTCTCGGTAAATATTTTATGATGTATACACTTTATATATTGGGGGGAGACGTTCCTGTGCTCAGCAGATTTTCTAATTAGCTCTCTCTCCTCCGAGTCCCTTATTGACACAAACACAGGACAGAAGCGGCTAATTGGCTGGAGTTTGTTTTGGGAGTTTGTTGCTTCAAACGCTGCAGACATAAATCAAATAAACATCCTCTGAACTTCTGAGATGTCTCCTCAAGTTTTAATCAGATCAGCTCAGAGACTGTTTGCATACTGAGTTTAGGTATATGACCGGCCACATGGTGGCAGTGTTGCATCAGTTGACCTCTGCAGCAGAAACCCACATAAACACAGACACGAGTACGCACACATAGACAGGGGACAGGTCAATCCCCAGTATTGTGCTTTCATGTAGGCGGCTGCATTAAATCAATATGATGAAAGAGAGAGAGAGAGAGGGACAGAGAGTGAGAGAGAGAGAGAGAGAAAGAGAGGGGGGACACAGAGGAATCTGAATCACTGTGTTCTCTCACTGAGAATACGATGAAAGAAAGGAGGAAAAGAGGAGAGGAAAGTGAGCAGAAAATAAATACTGATGGGAAAACAAAAGAAGGAAGAAGGGGAAGACTATCTGCTTTTAGGGAAATGTGATTCAAGAGACAGATCTGATCATTTAATGAATGAAGCGAGAGAATGAGTGAGACTGGGAGGAGAGATGGAGAGTGAGTCTGAAAGAGAGAGAGAGAGGGAGGGAGGGAGTTAGTGGATAAATGAGAGAGCAGCGCTGGCTCAGCCACAGCATCTTACTGCCAGGAGAAGGAAGCAGTCCAGGAGAGAGACACACACTTCTCCCCACACACACACACTCACACAGACACACACAGACTCACACTCCGCTCCGGAGGATCTAAGCAGCTGTTTCCAGGAGCGCCTCCTGCAGCCTGGGCAGGTTTTTGGATGTTTGGACTTGATGTGCCTTCACATGGAGGAATCTGGAGTGTCTGGTGTTTCATGTTTCGTTCTCTAACCTGTAGCAGCAGTGCAGGACTCGGGACTCGGGACTTGGACTTGGACTTGCTTTGGCGTTGAAACCGTGACTCTGGATTCTGGAGCAGAAAACTCCCCTTAAAGGCGATTTCTTCCTCGTCTGTTCCTCGTAGGATCATGCTGTGCACCTGCTGTCTGTAGAATGACTGCTGTCAACAGTTTGGAGTGTGTGTGAGAGCCAGCGAGTGTCTCTTTCTGTTTGTGTGTGTTGTGTGGTGCGTGTGGATGTGTGTGCATCAGGATGAGCGTTCCCATGTTAAAGATTGGCGCGGTGCTCAGCACCATGGCGATGGTTACTAACTGGATGTCCCAGACTTTGCCGTCGCTGGTCGGACTCAATGGAACCATTGTCTCTCCGGATGGCACACATGAGCGGATCGTCAGCGTACGTACTCTCCAAACACACTCACACACCTTTTGAGTTTTTATATCTGCAGGAACCAAAAGAGCAGAAGTTTCCTGTGTTTGCTCAGCCACCGCTCTTTGTGCAGTTCATGTAATCACATCAGCTCTCCTGACTGTGACTAATCAGAGAGAAATTGCTTCTTTTGAATGGTGGCAGAAAAACTCTAATAGGATCCAGATGAAGGAGAAAGAGAGTGAAACCCAGGAATCCTCACATTCAGGAAAATGCAGAAGATATTTGATCAGCTCATTGATGCAGAAAATAGACGAGAGGAGAAGAAGAAAAGATTAGTGGAGAAGGACAGAAGAGGGCTCAGGGAAACGGATCTGGAGGAATATTTAAAAATAGAGCGCAGCAGGAGGAATTAATGAACACGTATATTAACATTTTCTGTCCGTATGAGTCAGAGAACACGTGCAACACACAAGTAACGCACACATCCAGGTTTATGTACACTGAGGGTTAATGGGATTGCCCCCTCCATGACTTCCCGGGGTGACATTTCCTCAGGGGATGACTGACTCACCTCTGGGACTGCCAGCAATTTGTTGCCTTAGCAACACATTGGATACCCCTGTTACATGCACATACACGGGGCCAGTGCGCACACACGGATTTCCAAACTCTGTGTTTGCCAGTGTGTGTGTGTGTGTGTGTGTGTGTGTGTGTGTGTGTGAGTTTGTGCGTGCTTTGGGCTTTGCATGATTTAGCTCTCTGGCTTGAGAGGCACCTCACAGCTGCTGTGTGGCTGTACTTTGCAAGTTCAGCAAAGTGCACACAGTCTGATGCAAGCAGACGCCTACACGCAACCAAACACACACTCACACACACACACACACACACACACACACACACTCGCACACACACGGACGAGAGCTGGCGGGGAACAGATGGAGATGTGAGTGGTGCAGTATTGCTCCGTCTTGCTCCTTTCTGAGGATGACAGACAGACGGGGTCTTAAATCTCGCTCTGTTGTGTTGCCCTGGATCAGCTGAATGTAATTGTGAGTTAGATCAGCAGTTCTCGCCTCGTCCGTCTGATGTTGGTTTCCTGCTCTGTCAGAGGGGTTCAGGTCCTCCTCTCTGTTTTTGGTTGTTGGTCTGTCTTATAAAAACGTTTTCTACCTTAAACATTTTGAACATTCAGATCTTCTTCTGCAGTGACATTATTCTTTCGCTCTAGCTTTGTGTCGACAAAGGTCTGATTCAGTGGTTTTGCTTCACTATCTCTACCTCTGTGACCGTGAATCCTGCTCTGGACAAACATTATCTCCCTCTTAAGTGCTCCGTCTTCCATGACCCTTAAATCTCCGTTACAGAATCATCAATCACCTTCAGTTTGAACAGGATCAATCACCTTTGGCTCTCTTCCTCTCTAACATCCTTTACCCTTACTTCTCTGTTTTAGCATTATCCATCACCTCTAATGATCTAGATGCATATCTAGATCACTCTTCTCTAACTTAAGTCAGTTTCAGTGTTAGCCATGACCTCAGGTTCTTTGTGACAACATTATCTGTTCTTCTTAGAGCTCCTTTTGAAACATTATCCCATTTTCTCTGTTGAACACTTCCCTGTACATCATCTCTTTATACATTATCCCTAACTCTATGTCCCTAAGTCTCTTCTTGTACAGTAACATCCTTGACCCGTCTGTGTTTCAGCATTATCCATCACCTTTAGCTCATATCTAGAGCACTCTTCTTGAACTTGAGTCAGTTTCAGTTCATGCCATGATCTCAATTTTTTCATGACAACATTATCTCCCTCTTGAGCGCTCCGTCTTCCATGACCCTTAAATCTCCATTACAGCATCATCAATCACCTTCAGTTTGAACAGGATCAATCACCTTTGGCTCTCTTCCTCTGTAACATCCTTTACCCTTATTTCTCTGTTTTAGTATTATCCATCACCTTTAGCTTTTCACATTATCTGTTCTTCTGAGAGCTCCTTTTCTAACATTATCCGCTGATAAAATTCCTCTGCTTTAGCATGAACTGCTCTCTGTTTGAACACTTCCCTGTACATCATCTCTTTATACATTATCCCTAACTCTATATCCTTTTTTAACATCATTTTTGACCTTTTGTAGCACACTTGCTGAACATCGATTCTAATCTCTCTGTAATAATAATAATACTTCTCTGTATTACTGTTATCCATTACATTGAGCTCTGTTTCAACATTATCAGTTAAGTTCTGTATTTTTCAGTTTTATCCATCACCTCACATTCTCTGCTTCTACATTATCCAATACCTCCAACTTTTAGTTATCTATTGATTTTGCCTCATTAACATTGTCCAGTATCCAAACTGCCTTAAGATCATTAAATTATTGATCATTTTGATTTTAAGCTGTCACGTTCAGCTAACTGCCGCGACTTTCTCATGTTCAGGTGATAAAGCTGCTTCAGTTTTTGTCGGACTGCTCTGTAATATTTCCATTAGGGCTGCACGATAAATCAATTTCTAAATCATAATCGAATTAATTGATTTTGACGATGTTAAAAAATTAAAATCCTCAAATCGATTTTCCTCTTTATCATGTCTCACGCCTCCAGGTCACCGTAGGCTCCTCCCCCGTCCTGCGGGAGCGCTCCCCAGTTCCCACCCACATGTGTGTAAATAAACATGGCGTTTGCAAAAGAAGGCAATAATTGATGATAGTGATTGATAATAGATGAAGAGTAAACCACTCCCCGCTGTAAAGTCTGTCTGAAGGCGGTATCAACCCGTCACCACGGAAACGAATTCAGGAGGAAACGCTAAAGTTTTTTGTCGTATCGGTGTTTCAGGTGACTGTAAACGGTACTTTTTGAAAACGGGTCAGAGAGTGAATAAATCTGTAAACGACGACCATTTCATCTCCGTGTGGATGTCTATCTGCATCTCTGGAAACGATCATGTGACACACAGAGTAACTCTTTTATGGCGCCAAAACAACCTTTAAACACATGCTCTGTACTCTTCTTCTGTCTTTGGTGCATTTCCTGTGCAGCGTTACAGCGCCACTTACTGGCTTGGCGTATGAACTACATCGTTTTCAAAGGTTTCGTCCTCCAGCACCCCTAAAACCGCCCCCCCTTGGGTTTGAACCCGTCTGCTGGAGGACAGTTTTTAGTCTCTAAAATTAGCTCTAACTTTTATTGAAGCTAATTTTGTCTCTCTCTCTTTGACTCTGTCTGTTCAGCGCCGTTATCGCTCAGTTCTCTGTATACATATATATTTACACTGATCACAATCTGCTTATCTGCTCGGCTTGATTTTTATCATCTCCTCCTTGTGTGAAACGAGCCCTCGGGTGCTGTACGTCCTCCTCTGTTTCATTACACGCAGCATTCGACCCAAACTATGCTTATATTCTCATCCCGTCCACGTCTTCCCGTTTAAACCCTTTTACCCCCGTCACCTTCATTGTCAACACGACGTCAAGGTTAACACACCAAACGCAGCTGATTGATTTACCAAATGTTCCCCTTCAGGCCTCCTCTGTCCTCCTCGGTTGTTTTTGTCCGGGGTTTGTAGGGCAGCCTCTCAGGGAGATTATTGTGACAGGCTGGTGTGCAAGCTCGAAGCCATTCCTTTGTGTTATTCCAAAATGTTCAAAGTAAGTAGGTCAAACAGAAGACCTGCTTAAATCTCACCAGGATGAGCTCACATGTGCTCTCCTCTAATGTGTTGTGTCTCGTGGTCAGACGTCTGGACCTCAGGGAACAAAATGTGTCACCTCAGCACTCCATAACGAGGTCCAGAATAGCTCTGAGAATTTTAAAACAGGAGTGCATGTCATTATATAACAACAAGGTGTTTCTTTAGATCTATTTATGAATGCGAGGGTCATGGCAGCTTTGAAAACGAGCTCGTTATGAAGAATCCACACTTTCTCTGTTCTGCCAAAGAGCTTAAAAACAACTGAAACAACAAGACACGTCTGAACACCTACGACTGCAGTGTCTGTACCACTACAGGTTCAATATCGAGGTATTTTGACTTACAGAGCTGTCTGTCCGTCTGTCTGAAAGTACGAGATCTGCATTCATTCATGGAGCTTCTTTTATTGGGATTTTAAGCAACGACCCTTTAGAGGCGAGGCAGTAAAGCTACAGTCATTGATTAACACACAACATCGATATAATCACCGTTCAGGTAATTAGGCTGAACTTGTTAGTTTAGTTAACAGCTGCTGATGTACAAATAAGAAGAAGACACACACTAACACTGGTTATTGAGAGAAGTTCTTTTTATGTTACAAGCCAGGATAGAACATACCCGACATACGTACCATGAAATGGACCCGAATTACTTCAGCCTGGCTGGGCCATCCAGTTCCGTGAATCACTTGCCGTTCCTCCCAACAACAGTCTGGAGCCCTAAAAGTGGGCGGGAGTACTTTACTTGATAGACAGACTACTGTAACCAATCACCCTAACCAAACATCTGACGTCATCACAGTGAGCAACTGTGTTCCCTGCTGGGCTCTCAAGCATCAAGTAAAGGTTTGGTAATATTTCAACGTGTGCGAGCAAACAACGTCTTTTACGTCTTCTTCTGCGGATATAAACGATTTCTGCCAAATTTGCAGAGTCAGCTGCAGAATTAACGGCGTTCTGAATGAACGGCGCGTTGAAAAGTCCTGCAGCATGTGTTAGATGTCACCACTACACATGGACCAATCAGGGGCTGTGTTTCCCTGTTGTCAGGGGAACAGTGGAAACACAGTCAGTGATTGGCCCGGTTATTTTCTGATTTCTAATACACACTCCCAATTGGCCGAAGTCCAGACTGTTGTGGGAAGGAACAGCAAGTGATTCACACAACTGGATGGCCCAGCCAGGCTAAAATTACCTGTAGCATGTAGACTGGTAGACGGTAGAGTTGTTCCGATTCCGATACCAGTATCGGAAATTGCTCCAATACTGCCGAAAATGCTGGCATCATTATCGGCATCGTTATCACTGGGTACGAAAAAGAAAATCTGTTATTAAAGTCTCATCATTTACACGTTAGTCCAATAACAGGGAGATGTAAACTTGTTTAAATGATCAGTTCTCTTATTTTATCCCATCTCAGTGTCGACCTCTGCCTCAGTGAGACTTTTGACTCTGTTTTTATCCCTTGATTATCAAAAAGTATCTCCATTATAATACATTTATTATAACGTGCTGTAACTGAGACCTGAGGGTGCTACATTTTAATTAAATTTATAATTATTTGTACTGTTTAACAGTCTGAAAACAGGAACAACCTAGCAGACAAAGTGAGTGTGAACGTATTGGATGGTGGAAAACGTTTTCTGTCTTTGGTCGTTTATGCAGCGCCTTCCCCGCTCCATCGAACTGATCTGAATATAGTCCAATCACCATACAGGTGCAACGCCGTAATTGCAGTATATGCAGTAAAATGACAAATTCGTCATGTGTGTCGTTGTATAAGAGCAGCATCAGACTCTGACAAGCGCCTGAGGCAGTATGTAAATCAAGCTGAAGCAGCCACCTCATGGTTTAATACGCAGGATTAAACTCTCTGTACCTATTATACTGAATGATGGGACTTTGATTGGAGGAATGGCGTCTGTGTTTGGTATTGATCTGGCAAGACAGCTTATCACCTTGATAAGTGATCTGATGCTTCACTGTTGTGAGATCTCAGAAACAACATCCGACATACTGATGAATAACTCATGACCTGCAGGGCTGAGCAATTTGATCGATTCTGGGATATAAATCGATGTTTGTTTTTTCCCAGAGTATCGATTTTTCAGATGTGAGTATCGATACATTAACTCTAATTAAAATCCCACTAGTTATGCCCGGTTAGCTCTCCGCTAGCTGCCCCACCTCACCCTGTTCGCTGTGATGGAAGAGCGTTTAGGTCAGCCAGGCGCTGGAGTTGCTGTAGAGCATTTCTAGCAAGTATCCCGTCTAGATACTGTCTTTACACAGAAGAAGTCGGGGCGAGGAGATTCAAGAAAATGGCGGGGAATATAACTCCAGCACTGTCATGCTTAAACGTAAGGATGCACCGAAAATTCGGCCATCAAAAATATTCTGCTGAAAATGGCCCAAAAGTGCATCTTCAATATTCGGCAGAAACACTTTTGTCACCGAATGTTGTGACGACGCAAGCAAAAAAAACACAACCAGCACATGCTTGTCTGGATAAGAGCTGACATATCTGCCGTGTGGACGTATTTCAGTGTATCTGAGAACTACGGATAGCGATCAGCAAAACGTGTAATGCTAACATTCAGGGTGCATCTGCAAAGAGTTTCTAATTCTTCATCTGAAATCCAAACATCCTGATCGCCATTCTGAATATAAGAACGCTGCAAGTTAATGTTAATTTAGTATTTAACAAAAATATGAATTTATACAATTGTGATGCTTTGATTTTAGTCATAGCCATAAATGCAATGGTTCCAATATTTGGCATATTCATTTCTCTCGGTTTTCAGTCATGGTTTCCTCATTTCGGTTTCGGCATTCCTTCTTCAAAGCAGATGTGTGGGAACATTTGGGTTTTAAAAGGAAGAAGGAAAGCGTCGATTTAGATCAAAGTTTGGTGGTTTGCAATCTGTGTCACACAAGAGTGAAATATTCTGGAAATACAACCAACCTACGAGCGCACCTAAAACGTCACCACCCGGACAAGGTAACGCACGTTTGCTGAATATCTTGATAAATAAAATAAATATCGTTTTGTGAAATTGGTTTATCACTGCAGATCTAATGACCTGTTGACTTTATCTCTCTGTTTGTAAACTTAATCCCTCTCTGGCTGCTGCTCTGATTGAACATAAAACTCTCTTGTTGTATTCTTGTACAGTTTAATTTGTTGGAACCAAAGTGGATTAAATGTGAATTAAATTTGTGGTGTAATGAGAGTAGAAGCAGACTCATGCACTCGCAGACTGTGAGTTAGTAAGAAATCCGTTGGGGAGCCGGTGACTTTTTTTTTGCCAGAGAGAACAGCAGCTCTGGATGTAGACCCGGGGATGGAACCTCTCCAGTCCTGCTGAAAGCGTTCCTGGACTCAGACGTGTGGGAGATGTCACAGCTGATTTAAACTACGACTGAAAAACGTCTAATTTAGTTACAGATGTCTGTGGTGAGGAGCGGAGCGAGCGTGCACTTACCTTCTGACAAACCTGGATGGACACTTAAATTACAATATTTGTCTGGTACAGAGCTGCAGAGAGCCTGCTGAGATTTAGCAGCAGGGTGGAAATAGACAAAAACATTGTTAAAAGAGAAATGCTTGTCCTCCCGCCTAAATACAGCCTGACCTGGATAGCATGCTGAGATGCAGCGGAAATGTGTGATGTGTTGGATGTACGAAACAAACTGTTTCAACTGGATGACTCATTAGTTTCCTTTGAAAAAAAAAACACCTTGCAAGAAACAGTCGCACCAAAAATACTCAAAACAGCATCAGGAATGAAAAATAGATCAAAACAATTCAAAGAGACGGTTAAATTTAACTCCAGGTGTGGCATAAAAGCGCCTTTTTAAATCGTGTCTATTGTCATGTCACTCTCGTATCAAAGTACCGACTCTGAAGCAAAGATCGCTGCTCTCCTATACGCTGTAATCCTCCACCTGTGCTCCGAGCCCTTTTATTACTCTATATGTGCTGCAGGGTTGATATGCAGCCTGAAGGGAAGCAGCTCCTGGGGTGGAGGGGTGGAGGGGGTGATTCATGGCAAGTTATTCCAGAGGCCCCCGGTGCCTGTGAAGCTCGTGTTGTTTGCACATGATATAGGGGAACAAACGGTGAATCTGAGCGTACGGTCGGTCTTATCTGGTTCACAATCAGGAATAAACCGGGACATGAGGACCTGGATGAGGAAATTACAACCAGAGGCTTCATGTCCACGGGAAGCTGAAAGAACCTTTTTTTTTTTCCCACTCCAAGCTTCAGGTGGGCACCCTCCTTCATTCAGGGTTGGGGTCCTTTTTCTTCTTCTGCTTTGCTCAGCGGTCTCTGATAGAAACTCGATGACTTGTCAGAAGGCCCGTCCTCACACTCCCGTTCCCTTTCAAAGTTTGGTTGTGGACGCGGTAGGGTTGTAACGATATAAAAATTTCACATCACGATTATTGTGACCAAAATTATATCACAGTTTTTAATATTATCACGGTATTGTTGAAATATGTTCAAAATGTAAGAATCTTTAGTGTTTGAAAAGATCGACTCTAACAAATATAAAACAGAACAACACGACTATATAGAACAAAAACAACCACATGTAAACAAAGGTGAAGTTCAGGTGTTTAAAATAACATCAAATATGTAAACTAATCAGATGAACCGATTGTCTATTTTCTTCTGCTGCTGACTTTGTTCACTACTTGAGATTGAAATGTAAAAATGTCAGCAGATTTACTTGGTCTTGAGTCGTGATCTGCGAGGAGAAACGATGTTCCCGCTGACACTGAATAGCCTCTCGGACGGCGAGCTGGTTGCTGGGATGCAGATGCAGAACTGCCTGCAAAACTGACCTCCGCCATGTTTACAAGTTGCGGGAATAATCCCCGGTTTTAACGGTAATTAAAATTTGAAACGCATTAGAAACATATTGACCACCCCTACAGGGTTGTGTCTCCAAGTGTAGCTGCCTCGGGACAAACTGATTTTGCAGTCAGTGATAATCTTAACATTTCTGCAAAAACTGTGATTTGATTCATAATTTATTGAATGTTTGACGACTTTAAACCACAAGTGATCAGGATGTTTTCAGTCCGGACGTTACGGTGCGAATTGTTTCCCTACGAAAAGTCAAATATGAGCGTCTTTAATGTCAAATGAGTTTTACTGAGTGTGGCGACCATTAGAAGAGTGAGCACCACCAGCTGTTGGTCCTGACCTGCACCATGTCACCTGTGCTTGTTTACATCCAGGTAGTAGAGCATATAAGAGAAGAGGACTCCAGCTTAGGTGCAACATGTGTCAGGCCTGCAGTAATAAATACAACCATGAGTTAAATGGATAATTAATTCCAGTATGAATAAACAAGGGTGATGTTTAATGACTTTGATGACTGGTTTGGTTGGTTGATGATGAATTTAGAGCGTTCATGTACGTGTAGGTGGAGCTTGTACTCAGATATATCAGCTGAAGTCTTTGATGTTTCATGTTATTCTCATAAATGTTCTCCAGTGTCGAGAACAAACACATAAAAACGTCTGTTTACCTGACGTGTTTCTTTGTTGATGTTCTCTCCTGTCAAATGCTCAGCTGACATGTTTACCTGCAGTGTCTTGTTAACATAAACATGCTTGTGTGTGTTTGTGTTTGTGTGTGTTTGTGTTTGCAGGGTTTGTACCCGGGCTCAGAGGAGGGCTGGCAGGTGTACAGTACGGCCTCAGATCCTGACGGCAGGTGTGTTTGCACAGTGGTAGCTCCGGCACGAAACCTCTGCAAACGGGACCCTCGGAGTCGACAACTACGGCTCCTGACCGAACAGGTGTGTGTGTGTGTGTGTGTGTGTGTGTGTGTGCGTGTCTGTTTGTTTGTTTGTTTGTGTCTGAGTGACTCCTGATTGCAGCCCTGCATGTTTCAGCGGTCAGCATTGTGATGCTGAGCGGGATGGAGAGGCAGCGTACTGGAATAAAATATTCACTGGACTGTCTCTTTGTTTTGACACTCGGAGGAACACACATGAAGAGACACACACTCTCACACACACACACACACACACACTCACACTGAGGTCTCACTGACAGATGTATTCCTGATACATCAGTAGCTGTATCCTCTAAAGACGCTCAGTCATTCAACATGCCAAAAGAGTTTAAACTCAAAGGACTCGCTGACAGATGGGTGGGGAGGAAACGTTTACTTCTATATGCAGCTCTACGCCGCGCTCTACGTGAGGCGTTGAGCGCTTTAATGCGCTTTCACTCGTGTGTTTATGTGCAAATTTGCATCTGGCTGTGTAAGCAGATTCCTCTGGATGTATATATGTGCATCCTGAGACAGAAGTAAATGTGATTTGTGACAGAAGTCGATGAATTATTGAACACTTTCAGGCCAGCAAACATTTTCCGTGTGGAGGCTCACTCACCGGGAAACACGCACTCTTATTCTCGCCGGGGTAAAAGTGCAGCTCAGCACATTAATGAAGACATCATGAGGATTATAACTCCTTCTCTAAGGAGACGGACACTATCTGGACTTCTCTTCTGTTCTCACTCTTGGAAAATTGGATCTTAATTAGCTCAGCGATTCTCTGAAATCGACACCTATTTCTTGCTGTGATCGCGGTTGTGTGTTTGTGTGTGTTTGTGTGCGTCACATGTGCGGCTCATCTCCGGCCTGGCAGCATGTGTTTACAGCAGGAGATGTGTGTGTGGGTGGGTTGTTTGTTTGTTTGCATATCACTTCTGTATATCTGGGTCATTTTCATAAAGGGTGTCTTCTTCTTCTTCTGCTCGTTTTTAATCGGATATAAAAGCGGTTTGAAGTATCTGGTTAGATTTCAGGGCAGCTAATGAGATGTGTTCGCTCCTTTAGAGATGGAGCCCCATGCTGAAATGGATCTGATGTGAGGCCCCTTCAAAGAGGAATACGATCCCTTTGGCTTTATATAATGTTCCTCTGCCTAGTTTCTTTAGTCTGAATATGATATTGAACTTATTTTTATACCTTTTGATTTTATTTGTCCACATTTGCCTCCAAGATTTCTGCTTCCTCCCATCAAACTTCAGTAAAAAGGATTTCAGCAGATTGACGATTATATTTCATGAAATTGGAGGAGCCGTGTGTCTTTCAAGAACGAGTGTCTCCCTCATTTTGCATAATCCTCAGTCCTCTCTGTAAATGGATTAAATTGGAACCACTTTGTGCCAAAAACAAGTCTCTGTGAAGTCACAGACGGATCTGTTTTTGGAGTACTTTGTTCATTTTTAGCCAACGTTACAGCGAGACTGTCGCTCTGCAGGTCCAGACAAAATCTCTCCAGAGGAAGCAGCGGGGCGTTGGTGCTCCCAGGAGGATGAACCTTCATGTGTTTTATGATCTTTTCCATTATTTGAAGGATCTTCACAGCAGTGGCTGATCTGCTGTGAAACTAACCTCATATATTCCCCAGAGGATACACCCTGAAAGTTCTGTTGTTTTATCTTTGGCTTCAAGATCAAGTCCGAATTGACTCTGTTCAATATTTTACATGATTAAAAGTTCCGGTTACAGTCCAATCCACTTCATATGAGTCCACGCAGACTTCACCTTTTCTCACGTTCTTTGGTTTTCACCGAGTCAGCGCGTCTCTTTGTAGGGCTGGATGATAATGGCGAAAATAATAATCAGAAATATTTCGACTGATATTGAAATCACGATTAATAGAGACGATTATTCATTCAAAACTTGAGTTTTTATTAAACCACCAATATTTAACTTTAGATATAACTTAAACGGTGGTGCTGGCTGACATGCTCGCACTTTTTTCCCTTCATCAGACGACTTTATGACTGAACATTAAGTGATTGAACAAGTTGTGTGATCGAGAGGATACCTTGCTCATGCTAATAATTGTTGGTGCGATACATATGAGTCCGAGTTAGAGTCACGTAAATAAAAAAACCCTCATTTTTAAGCTGTGGCGGTGCAGCGTCAGGAGCAATTGCACATCGGGAAAATCCTGAAGTTGGTCGTGTTTCCTCGGGGAGCAGACACGACAGCATGACAAACTTTGCAAACGATGTCCTTTTGATCGACGTCCGTCTAATTGAAGCCAAAAAAACGACGTTGTCCGACTTCTTTCTTCTCAACCAAAGGCCGCCTTTCTTTCTTTCTGCCATGTTTTCAATCGCTCGCTCCTCATTAGTGATCCAAACACGTCACACGCTTGCTGCAGCTGCACGCAAACAGAGGTGCATTCGAAGTGTTTTCCAGAACAGGAGCTTACATACACGCAGCACTGTCTTTCAATCAATCAATCAATCAATCAATCAACTTTATTTCTATAGCACATTTTAAAATAACCACAAGGGAAGCCAAAGTGCTGTACAATGATACATAAAAACAAATAACACAAAGAGCAAGATAAAGTGAGCAGAAATACATTAATGCAAGGGGATAAATAAGTAAATAAATAAGCAGGCTCACGGCAGGTGCTAAAATGATTAAAAAAAAAAAAGAAGTAACACTAAAACGTATCAAAAGCCAAGGAGTAAAAGTGTGTTTCGTCAATTATAATGTTTTTATGATCGTAAGAACTCAAAATCGAAATCAAGATTAAAATTCAATTAATCGTCCAGCACTATCTCTTTGACTTCCTGTTTCGGGTGTTGCGCTGCGGTCCACTTCTTCATTAGCTAATCGACTCTCGCCATGGAGACCTGAAGTGATGACGCCATGAGTCAAATAAGGGAAATCTGTGTCTCCTTTTGTGTTCTGATAATCAGGCTGAGATCTTGTTCGTCTCTCAGTTATTAATAGGATCATGTAAGAGTGATTATGCAGATTTCGACGCTCCTCTCCGGTTCTGAAGTCTCACCGGGCAGAGCTGGCAGCGCCTACATGTACCAGGATGCATTGTGCACAAGCAGCTGTTAAGTTGGCCTTATTACGCTACATTTCTTTGGCTGTGTACTCTGGCACCGTTTCAGACAGCTTGATGTCAGAGTCAGCCAAAACACTTCACTCATATTTTTGAGATATGCCGTTTTCACAGCTAGTCGTGCAGTTTCATCGCCGGTCTACAAGTCACACAAGGATGGAGGCTGAAATACTGAGCCAATTCAGTCCGCTCTTCTTTCAGGGGTCACCGACTGAGACGACACGTTTTACAGCTGCACTCCAGAGAGCGTCGGTGACAACTGCAGCGGATTTTTGTAGCCTGTGCCGTACACACAAGCTCCACAGACAAAGAGACATCGGGCTCTGGATTTAAGAGATTCTCTCACCTCCTCGGTTTGTCTGCTTCACACTTGTTTGTCTGCGTTTATCATATACTAACAGGTGCAGGCGCAATTTTAACACCTGAGTGAGATTAGACACCTGCAGGCTCAAAGCCCTGAAGCTCAAAGTCCTCCTGTAAGGCCTGTTATTGAACGCTGTACACTCTTAGTCTCATGGTTTCGTAAAAAAAAACAAGCTGAAAACTCAAAAAGACTGAAGTTTTATCAGATCTGTCGTGTCATGTGGATTATTCTAAGAGCAGAGACCATGGACCTCGTTTCAAAGACCTCAAATGTTCGGTCTACAGTGAACGGCGCAGGCTTTCACTGGTTTAGCAGCGAACAGCGAGTGTGCTCAGTACAGTACAGGTTATGAGGAGGTTAAATTAAGTCCTTGAATCAAAACCAGTCTGCATGTTTCAGACGGTCTCATAGTCAGGTTTGCCTGCAGGTGTTTTACTGTTTACAGATTTTAGCCTTTTTACTCAAACGCTCAGGACCGGAGATAAAACATGACTTCCTTCATTCTTCTGCACCTCTTACCCCAAATTTCCACCGCATCCGGAATGGCGGTTTCTTTCCGTCCCGCTGCGGTTCAGCGGACTCTACAGCCGATCGCCAGGTTTCTGTTTTTTCTGGATGCCGCAGCATACCGCATAAATTCAGCACAGATAAACCCGTGCTGGATAGGAAGTCGGGCTCAGACACAAAATAAAACACCAAGCATGAGGAGATGCTGATTCCAGAAGTCTAGAAGTAGATTTCCTCCTCTGGAAGGACACAATCTACTGCTTATATGTCTATGTGTCTGTCTTTATAGAGACAACTTGTTATTGCACGATTGCATGTAAATCAGGGGGTTCTTGTGAGTTCTCACGATTCCCGAAATCTCTGAAATCCGCCACGAAATTCACCTCAAACGCATCCTGTAGGAATCAGCGGACGGTGAAAATCGCCGCCGTTTCTGCAGCAGAGCCGTTTCGGATGCGGTGGAAATTGAGGGTTACATTGTGTTTTGTACCCGACACAGATGCTTGGGAGGAGTTAGAAGTTTCAGTGCTCTGGTCTTCCAGCATCCCGAGACAGTCTGCACTGATTGTATTATTATCATGTATGCACCAGGTTCAAGTGTCCAACTTTCTGAAGTATCCCAAAATAATTACGAGTACACAGACATGAGGACTGAAGTATCCACGAAGAGGGACTCTCCTTCTGGATGGACACGTGATTCTTCATTCCCAACTCCTCATTGTCTTTTCTGATGTGGCAAAGCAGAAATCTCCTGGATGGATCTCTCCATCATGTGTTCTTTAGTAATTTAGGTGAACTGGCCCTTTAAATGCCCCATCACATGACCACACACTCATGTTAGCGGGTAAATAACAGGTGGCAGAAACCAGACGACAGCCAAGACTCCTGATAAGCAACTAATTATCATTCATAATGTCCACTTTGTGTGTGTGTGTGTGTGTGTGTGTGTGTGTGTGTGTGTGTGTGTGTGTGTGTGTGTGTGTGTGTGTGTGTGTGTGTGCGTGTGTGTGTGTTTGTGTGTCAGGTTCAGAATGTGAGTCAGTCCATGGAGGTGGTGGACCTGCGGACATCCAGAGACCTGCAGTACGTCCGAGACTCTGAGCCACTGCTGAGAGGAGTGGATGGACGTCTGCACTCGTACGTCGCCAACCCTCGCTCTCTGACAGCGAAGGGCTTGCAGGTACACACACATACACACACACACACACACACAGACAGACACTGAGACACACACTCTAAGACAGTCGCTGTAGGGAACATATAACCTTTGGTGTGAAAACATTGATTTCACGCATGCCAAGTCGAAGTTTCCTGCCCGCACTCAGACACGCGAGCATCTTTCATGGAGGGGACGAAATTTGTCTCCGAGCTGTCGATGCACCGGCCTCGTGTCGGCGGTGAGAAGTGTCTCACAGTCTCATACAGAAGGTGCCGATAAACTGCAGCGTCATCAAAGCTCAGACATGTCCCAAAAATAAAGAGGAAGTGTGTCTGGGCTGATTATAAATTCTCATATTAATGAGTAAATTTACATCGTATTGACACACTTACGAGAGCGAGCTGGGAAGTTTGTTTTCATCTCGCCGTCAGTGTTTTGAAGATGATGAGATTACCTCGCCGGATAAGGATTGAAGGAAATCTAAATTCATTTCACTTCCTAAATTAGGAGTACTAATCTGATCAGACTTGGTGTTCTCTGCCACAACGCCGCCGGTAGACATCTGTGCCAACAACAAAACCAGCAGCCAGCAAGAGGAAGATTATCTCAAGAGCTACAGAGAATTAAAGGCTGTGGATATGAGGACCGAGGATCTGACTGTTAAATCAGCTGTGACACGGCTGCTTTAGCGCCTGCAACACAGAGATCAGCACTTCTAATGACACCGACTCTATAAAGCAGTAAAAGCCTCGTAAACTGCCGGCACCTTTCCCAATAAACACAGATTTGAGGATTTGGGTAAACGTGAGATAAATTCGACTCTTGAGCTTTCGGGTCATCGAAGTTTCAATGTGTTTGTGTCCTGTTCAGTCATTTTCAACCAAAAACTTAAAGAAAGAAAGACGATAAGGTGTCCTCTGACGTGTAAATGGCGCAGGATTTCTCAGTGGGAGTGGGATTTCATTCGAGAGGTCGGTTCATCTTCAGTTCAGCGTGAATAAACTTCGTTCTGCTTCGTCACGAGTCCAAGACGGATTGATTGTATCCTTAAGTGCGAGGGCAATGATTGCAGGTCGTGTGTTTAAAGTTTGATGTGATCCTAAATAATTCACAGCTGGCGGTGTACTGTAGTTAGCGTGATAGGATACCACTGCAGAGGACATTTAGTTCAGCCAAAGCTTTTCTGAAGATGGTGCAGACTGAAGGAGAGTTGGATAAAAAGACAGATTCAAGCCAAAGAACATGCCAGCTGTTTGTGAGGCACCATCACGGAGTAAACGCTCAGATCAGGGGTGCCCAGCCTTTTATAAATCAAGATCTACTTTAAAAGTTTCTCGTCGGTTGAGACCACCAAAGCGGACCCCCTCAATGTGCCTAAAAAGTCTGTCTATGAAAGTGATGAACAGTATTGATGACGAAGGGTAAAGCTCTGGATATACTGGTTTGATCTACGTTCCTACCCTCACCTACGATCACGAGCTGTGGGTAAAAACCAAAAAGAAGAAGATCAAGGGTTCAAGGAGCTGAAATGAGTTTCCTCTGCAGGGTGGCTGAGGAGTCAGACGAGGTGGCTCGGGCATCTAATCAGGGGGAGGGAATCCTGGGCTTCTCTGCTGCACCCGCGACCTGACTCTGTAGAAGATGGACTGGTGCTGCACCCTCTGCCCTAAGAGCAGAGAACACGTTTGGTTCATTATCAGCGCACTGTGCAAAGAAAGCATCTGTGATGGTATGGGCATGCATAAGTGCAAGTTTGGAGTGACATATGCTGCCATCCAGCTGGTGGCTTTTTCAGGGGAGACTGCATATTTCATCAGGACGGAGCCACATTTTCTACATATTACAGCAGCTCCACCTTAAAGCAGAAGAGTCTGGGTTCTTCACCGGCCCGTCTCCATCCTCGACTTGTCACCCACAGAAAACATCAGGGGATCATTAAATGAGAAATGTGACAAAGGAGACCCAAACTGCTGAGAATCCAGACCAGAGAGACCAGAAAGGGACAACACTTTACTTTGAAACTGCAGACACTGGAGTCGGCGGTTCATTAGTGTTTACAGTCCAGTGTTAGAAGAGGAGGTGATGCAACACAATGGTAAACATGTCTCTGTCCAAGCTGAGCTGAAGTGTGCTGAAGACATCGACATACACCACAAAACAAGATTCTAAACATGTTTTTATTGAACCTTCCTGATAAATACAAAATTAATGGATTTTTAGGTTCATGTAACAAGAAAAAAGAGAGATCACAACTCCACCAAACATCATCATCAAGTTGGTGTAACACCGAACCACAACAAGATCCAGATACAGGTGCGCAGCCTGGCAAAAATCAGAGTCGGTTAAATCAGGAAAAGGTCGGAACACGGGATCAAAAAGGACAGACAGAGGTTTCCGATCTAAAAGGCAAGAGGTCAAAAAAACACGGAAATGTGGACAAAAGAAAAGGACGTTACATCAGTACGATTTTTATCAAAGGTTTAAATAAATATTAAGTACAGAGAAAACTTCTGTTTTATTAAACCTGATGTGTTTCCATCTTCAGGTTTTTATTTAGAGTCAACCAAACCTGACAGTCTATCTCAGATTTATGTCTTATACCCTATGTTTAGACTTACGTAAATGTTAAATATTCTATAGGTATCATATCAAAAGTTGTTGGTGATCTGGACACACTCACGTCTTTCTGAATAAGAGACTCACAGGGTCTTTGCTCAGCTCGACATTTGAATTCAGTTAAACACGATCATTGATATTTTTTCAGTAATCATTGATAACTTTAAAGCTGTCGTCCTCCAGGTCACATGTTAAACAGTCCAGACTTGTTCTATGTGGAAGTTGAGGGTCATTTACAGACGGTGTAACAGTCTGAATTAACACTGTCACTGTAATGTGTTAATTAGATTAATCAATTACATGGCAAATTAACATGTTATAAAAATTAACACAAATAGCACACTTGAGTGGCAATTCAATGTGAATTTTACCCGAACACGAGCATTTAAACTTGGTTCATTGAAGGACCCGTACTCCACACATGCGTCACTAGTCATATTTAGAGGCGTGTTATACTTGGAGTTTTCATTTTGAATTGCTGTATTGAGTCAAATTTAGTATTCATTATAAATTGAGAGTGCGGTTAAGTACCTATTTAAGACTCAGCCTTATTTTATTTCTGAATTTTATTTGTCTGTATTTGTACTGTATTTTTTTAAAGGTTTGCTGGGATATGCTTGACCTTTTTCTACTTTTGAATATCATGTATGAAACACACTGAAAGTGTTATATGAGTTTCCTGATTGAGCTTAGAATTTATTTTGGACAAAATGCTCGGACTTAGCAGGGCTCGACAGTGTGACCGTTTCAATCGCATTTGCGACTAAAAAAAGATGTGTGCGAATTGTCAAATGTATTTAGGGTCACATGTGCGCAAAAAAAAAAATCAGCCTAAGTAACAAATATTTTTCCTGTAAATACGGCGGTAAAGTTAGTTTAAAGTTGGATATCTGACGGACATTCTCTGAGGATCTACCGGTGTCTTCTCACTCTCCATAACCGGGAATAACAACAGCAGCGCGGTTAAATCTACTCGACACCCTCACTGTCAACGTCGGTGTTGAATAAGGGACCGTCAATAAATTACTGGTTGATGTTCTTAAAAAAGGCTGTTTACCTTCAATAGCTTCAATGTCATGTGACCAAAAGACCTGAAATTGATTTCTACTAATAGTACAAAGGTCAGATGATAAGACACACCTCTTTATTTCCCTAACTTGTTGTCTGAACATTTTTGTGTTAAATTAAAAGGAAAATTTTGAACATTTTCTTCTAATTCTCTTGGGAACCTTAAGCAGATATGAGATTCAAATGCGATTAATTGGATTAATTAATTACAAATCCTGTAATTAATTAGATTTTTTATTTCTTTAGTCGCCTGACAGCACTAGTCTGAATTGATTTTCTTTTCATTTCTTTCATTTTATCATTTGATTTCCAGATTTGCAGCCAGGTTACTTCATCAATACTTGGTTGGTGGACGTAAATGCAGGTCTACTGTGTCCTCGTCTCAGTAAACCTTTTTTACCCCCTTATGTTTGCAGAGAGCTGATGAAAAGGGACACTGTTTGTTTTAGGATTTAAAAAGCTACGTTCCCGAAAAATTCAATTCTGGGGAATTTATTCTTGATCTATCCTTTCATGAACCCACTTCTGAAAACCCTCATCCTCGATACCCGCAGGAGAATCTGTGTCGTCCCTCTCGTCCTTCACTCTTCCTCATGTCCTGGTCGGCCTGTAATTATGTTTGTGTAATTATGTCTTTGTCAACATGAACCTTTGCGATCCAAATGAGGTTGTTTTTAACCCTCGAAATGAAGAACACAGTTTCAGTGATTTCTGTTTTCACACAATGCCCGGTGTGTTTGAGAATCTGGGTTTGCAGAAGCGTAGGATGCAGATGCTGTATGAAGCAGACGCAGGTTTTATAAGTGGTCCACACTCATGCAGACACACAAACACACACTTCCGCCTTACAGGACTTTTCCCACATTCCCGTTAATCCATCCTGCCTTTCATCCTTTTCCGGAAACTCTTCTTAACAACATCACGGGGCTCTGGGGTCTGTTTTTAAGTTTTCATGCTGTAAGTTTATATGTGTGTGTGTGCGTGCGTGCGTGTGTGTGTGTGTGTGTGTGTGGGCACGCTCGGCGCTCCTCTGGGGATTTCACAGTCGTAAGCTTTTGCCTCTGCACCGAGAGGCAGAACTGGTGAATATTTATGCGATGTGCAGCTACACTAAGTTTATCAATAACTAAATAGTATTTCCGTCCCACGGGGCGATGAGAACAAGGGAGACGGAGAAGAAGAAGAAGAGGAGGAGGCAAAACTGAGGGATTAAGTCAGACGGAAAGATGGATTGATTAAGAGTTTGGGGAAAAAAGGAGGAGGGAAAAGAGGGAAAATGAATTATTGCATATCATCACTTTCCCCTGCGGGTGGGAGGGAAGAGCAAAGGCAAGGAAGAGGGAAGGTAAAGGTTAGCTGGGGGGAGAAAAGGGTGAGATAAAAGAGAGGAACAGGAGGGGAGAGATTAGAGAGGTGAGGATAAAGGGGGAGACCTGGCAGGGGAGGGATTAGTCTGCTAAAGTGTTTACTATCTAACAGGCTTTGACATTTTCGTGATTTCAATACATATTAATGAACTCAACATGCAAATAACCATGTCAGTCCCAATCAGGGGGGATAAAACGGCCTGATTTATGGTCAAGCGTGAGAGGACCCGCTTCAGAGAGAGGGTTTAGGTCCTGATTTGAGGATAGCAGCGGAGGGATTAGGCACATAAAGTGTCTGACTGGCTGCCAAGCCTGTTTCCTGGATGTGTTTTGTGCCGGTGTGCGGGGGTATGGGATGTTCTTAGGAGACGATAATGTTTTTGTCTTTGCTTTTGACACTCCTTTTAATCCTTCTGCTTTCCGCCGTATCAAACCCAACTCCGCTCTCTGCATGGTAAACGCTTCTGGGGGGGATTTTAGGGTGAAACGACGTCTGAGCGTTGAACACAAGCAGAGGAATAAAAGGGTGTGCGGGGAGAGGCGTTTATGTCCTTCTGCAGCAACACACAGCTGTGCCCCACATATAATTCATACACTAAATATTGATCCCAGAAAAAGTCCAGCACTCTCCATCCTTCCTTCCATTTTAAAAGATCAATTTTCATTCAAAGAGTACGCTTTCGGAGGGGGAAGGGAGGCCGCGTGCAAACAGAGAAGATTTGTCTTCCCAGTTTATTCTGCTCTTCTAGGCCAGCAAACTGTTCAAAGTAGTCCAGACGCGCTTTCCTCTTCTTCATCTACCATCTCCTCCTGTGGGAGCGTTAAGTATTCCCAGTCCAGATGGGATATGGAGTCCCTCCAGCATTTTCTGGGTTTTCTGCTTTCCATTTGGATAATGCGGTTCTTCGCTCTCCCCGCTTATGTCTCTTCCTCACGTCTGAGCTCCTCTCCACGGACATACAGGGATGTGAGGAAGATGGAGACGCGAGTCCTCGTGACACGCAGCGTTTTCGCAGTCGAATGTGGAGAAATAATTTAGTGGAGGAAGAAAACATGGTGCCCAACAAAACGTGACCAAGTGCAGACTTTGAGGTCCAGGGATAGGTAGGAAATCTGAAGAGGAAAAATAGGACGAGGTATCAGGAGAAGTCCGAGGACTTTATAAACATTTCATGATTTTTATTGAATGAATAATGAATGGAGTTAGATTCGTCTTTTGTGGTTTCAGTCCTGTTTCTACAAGTAGGCTGTCGAATCTACAAAACTGAAACCACCCAGTAACATGAATAAAACATCCATCATGTTCTAACAACAGACCCGCCGTTTCTAACACTAACCCCTTTAAATCAGCCGACCAATCCCTGAACAGTACGGCATGAACTCATTAACTAACATGGAGTTACCTAACCCAGAACACAGAAATAAAAACAGATGCTTCGTTAGAGTTAACCGCATCAGAAAAAGTTAAAGAAGCCTCAAGGATGGAGGTGTGAAGCTCAGTGAGGTGCTTCAAACTGGTTTAATAAAGACGAGAGACTGATTGAATATATATATGAGAAAACAGTCAGGACTTCTTTAACATTCATGTGCAGTTAGTTATACATTTACTATGTTCTCCCCTCAAAAAAAGACCAACCAACCTTCTGATACAGCACAAAATCAAGAGCATCATGTCTGTCAGCAGTAATTTATTTAAGGACGGAGTGATAGATAAAGTTTGGGTGTTTAAAAACAGATCCTTCATTAGATTTAACCACATTCGAAAAAGTAAAAGAAGCCTCATTAACCAGGGTAAAAGAAGCATCATGGATGGAGGTGTGAAGCTCACTGAGGTGCTTCAAACTGGTTTAATAAAGACGAGGGACTGATTGAAGGAAGATGAGAAATAGTAAAGACTTCTTTAACATTCACGTGCAGGTAGCTATACATTTACTCTATCTCTCCTCAAGAGAAGACCAACCAACCTCCTGATACAGCACGAATTCATGAGCATCATATCGGTCAGCAGTTACTAATCCAATGACAAAGTGATAGACAAAGTTTAGGGGTTTAAAAACATAGCTTCATTAGATCTAACCGCATCAGAAAAAGTTAAAGAAGCCTCATGGATGGAGGTGTGAAGCTCAGTGAGGTTCTTCAAACTGGTTTGATAAAGAAGACAAAGTGAATGAAGGTAGATGAGAAAACAGTCAGGACTTCTTTAACATTCACGTGCAGTTAGCTATACGTGTACTACGTCTCTCCTCAAGAGAAGACCAACCAACCCTCTTATACAGCGCACAATCATGAGCGTCACATCCGTCAGCAGTAATTAGTCCAAGGACGGACGATTCTTCTTCAACTCTTCTTCTTCTTCTACAGGACAAAAGGAAACTGGATTTATTTCTGTCACAACTTTGATACAAGAGTTTTTACATGGTGGTTAAATGTAAAGTTTTCATCAAGTCATATTCCAAGATATTTATACTCTGTGACTCTTAATTTCTGAACCGTTTCTGATAAATATGTTAATTTAAATCACAGATAATTAAGGAGAGTTTAGTTAATTTAGTTCCAAATCCTGAGGGGATTTCCTGGACTAACTCTTTGCTTACGTAAACGTTCACTTCTAACTAGATTATGGTCTGCTGTTAGTTTCAGATACTCTGCAGTAGAACATGATGTTCGTTTGAGGAATGACAGTCCCCCGTTAGAGCGGGGGGGCCGTGTATCTTTACATGTTGACAAGCTTTACAGTATTTTCTTCTACAACACAAGAAAACATCAGCTGGTTGAAGACTGGAGTGTTTTCTTTTTTCTTTGTTACCGCTCGGTAAAAACAGGTCACTTCTTCTCCGACATGTTTCCTTTGGTGTCTGCTTGTCAGGAGGAAGGTCTCATGACCCCGTCCACTTGTGACACTCAAACAGCCTTCAAGCCTGTCAAGGATATCGATGAAATGTGGTCTTTTGTTATGAGCTGTTTACTCAGTCGTCCTTTGCGGAGTAATATTCCATCACACAGGAAGCTGCCATGGCAACCTGTCAACTAGGAGAGAGAAGTAGGAACGAATTTCCACCCTGCCGCTCAGACATGTTCACCGCTGACTGAAATAACGACCACAACGTTAGATTTACCGCTTCAGAAGAGCACTTCACTGTGACCGGTGGTAATCCACGATATGAACCCTGTCTGTGCTTTCCTCTCCACCCACAGGAGTTGAAAGGCCAGATGTCCCAGCTTCGCCCCCTCCTGTCAGTGGTGGATCAGTACAGGTTGGACCTGCAGACGCTGTCCACCCTGCGAATGGAGCTCCTCAACCTGTCCGTCATGCTGGCGTCCATTCAGGAGGAGGTGGGGGCGTACGACTACGAGGAGCTTCAGCAGAGGGTCTTACTGCTGGAGACCAGGCTGCACAGCTGCATGAACAAACTGGGTATGTAGTGGAGGGTCAGGAGTGCACGGAGAACTATGAAGGGGAGTTTTTGAAACAGAAAATCCAATCGCATTTAGGGGGCACTTAGCAGATTATTCACAAAGAGGACTTTTCTCCTCACTCAGAACTGTGAAAACGCTTGTGTAATCTCTTTTGTGGCTCTGAAAGGAGCTTGTCGAATTGAACTGGAGCTCTGAAATTTTTAGAACAAAAAAAGAAGAGAGAGAAGGACGTAACTAACTAGGGCAGTGAGATTGAAAAGTGTGGATGTATCCCAGGCAGGGCATGCCCTACAGAGTATGGTATCAAGATGCATTATGGGAATTGTACAGAGGGATCCAGCTTTAGGAAAGTCAGCAGCCCGTCCTCTGGATTAAATGGTGGGATATCTCTTCTTAGTATTAAAAAGTTGAATACTTTAAAAACTGTACCCTGGACTTGATCTGATATTTGTGCTCACAGTCACTGCCTGTAAATCCCTCTATTGTATCAGCATCAGTTTACAGCGTTCAGACTCTATCTGTGGTAGACAGTCAGATATCGGCGCTCCAAAACTTCTCTGGCACATCAACATCTCCGACAGGTTTGTGTGCGAGTGAAACTTATCCTGCAAAATAAAAATACGTAGATACACCTCACGTCCTCTCCGATATCTCTCACATCACACGGGTTGACAGGATTGCTTCTGCTGATATCCTGCGTGTGATCCGGCGCCTGTCTGATCTGTCATGGGTGTAGAGCAGTTTCAAAGCAGAGATCCTCAGTCATGAGTGTCGAGCTCTTATTTATTTATTAAGGTCGAGGTTCAGGGTGTCGTAAAAACAGAGTTGGACATTTTTGTTGCTTTTTGTATAAGAAGTTTTTTTCAAAACTGTTGATGCGGGGAGACAGGAAGTGTGAGGAGAGTGACAGTACCAAGGGCCAACCAGTGCTGTGTACAACAGTGACAATGAGGAGTGAATCGTAATCAGATTATCTGATTATGATGATGTTAAAAATGCGGATGATTAACCGATCAGTCGTGGTGAAGACAGAGCTGAGCTGTAAGGCGAGACTCTCAATTTACCAGTCGACCTACGTGCCGATCCTCACCTATGGTCATGAACTTTGGGTAATGACCGAAAGAACAAGATCGCAAATACAAGCGGCTGAAATGGGTTTCCTCCTCAGGGTGTCCGGGCTCAGCCTTAGAGATAGGGTAAGGAGCTCGGACACTCAGGAGACGCTCAGAGGAGAACCACTGCTCCTCCACGTCGAGAGGAGTCAGCTGAGGTGGCATCTGGTTAGGACGCCTTCTGGACGCCTCCCGTTAGAGGTGTTCCTGACATGTCCCACCAGGAGGAGACCTCATGGCCGGCCCAGGACCAGGTGGAGGGATTATATCTCTCGCCTGGCCTGGGAGCGCCTGGGAATCCTCCCAAAGGAGGAGCTGGTGGAGGTGGCTGGGGTGAGGACCGTCTGGTCCGACCCGGACCTGAATGAAGCGGAGGAAAACGATGACGATGTTAAAAAAATTAGAATTTAGTTTTGAAAGATGAAAGAAAAACATTTTATTAAAGTGAAGTTTGAAGTTGTCACTGAATATAAAATTAAAATCAAAAATCGAGTTTTCAGAGAAAAAAATCTGGATTTTATTTTTGGCCAAAATCGTGCGGCCCTAGTAAACATGCGTCCAGCAGCCGACATGACTCTGTCTTCAGGTCGTCGTCTGTCTCTGGTCTTTGTGACTGTAGCTTCACTTTAACCAGACTGTTTCCTGATTGATTCGCTGTTTTTTCCTTCGTGTTTTACTGAAAATGTTCGCATATTTCTTCAGAGCAGCTGGCAGAGACTCCAGCATGAGTCTGACAAGGTCACCCACGGTGATAGATAGACGAACACATTCTCGTCTTCATGTTTTTATGAAAATGGAATAGTTTGGATATAATGTAAGCTCATGAATAGTTGGCAGAGAAACGCCAACGTCAGCTGAAGTAGTTTAAGTTTTTTTTTCGTCAACATTTCGACTTTGAAAAAAAAAGTATCACCAATGAAATCCATCTGCTGTGAAGTGAGCTGACCACAGCCTTTTTCAGCTGTCAGCCACCTAATTCCTGCTGAAGCATTTCAAGGACTTTGAGCTGATCTTAAAGATTAAAACTTAATGCAGTTACAAAAAGAGAGGGGGGGTGTTTGTGGAAAAGTTTCTTTAAAAACTTTTTTCCTCAGGTCTGTGTTTTTAGCCTCCTTATTTGTTTGAAAGTAGATTAACACTCAAACTTTTGCAGCTTTTACGGAACATGTCCTATTTTGTGCCTTAAAGGTTGTGGTCGTCTGACGTCAGTGAGCACCCCGATCACCGTGAGGGCCTCGGGGTCCCGCTTTGGTTCCTGGATGACTGATGCTATGATCCCCAGCTCTGACAGCAGGGTAGGTGCACAGCGTGTGTGTGTGTTTGTGTGTGTGTGTACATGTGTGTGTATACGCGGTCACAGCTTTGCTAAGCTCGGTGTTTTTCTTGATTTACTTCTTCTGTCTCTTGGATAATGACTCCGGTGTGCACTCTGTCTGCAGCCTGCGCCCGTTTCCAAAACAGCTCCCACATACACAGACCATGTTCGGGGGCAGCGCATATTAAGCTAGTTGTCAAGGCGACTGTCTCCCAGTTGCCAGGTGTGATTTATATCGCCATGGTGACCCTTGGCTGTTGCCTATTAGAGCCTTCCCCTGGTGATGAGATGGAGCTCCACACAGCAGCAGTATCCCAGATATAGACCCGCGACTGTAGTTCAAGTTAAAACCTCACCGAGTCGGTCGGTTTCTCCTCCTCCTCCATCCTGGAGATAAAAAGCTTCTTCTTCTTCTTCTTCTGTATGTGAAACGTTTCTCAATCTGGTTTTGACATTCAGCGCAGCACAAATAATGCATTTGATGAAATTCACAGAGTGTACTCTCTGGAAATGTGGTATAAATAAGCCAGTGAAAACACAAGACGCAGTAATCAGCTGAAATCACTTTCATCTCGCCTCTCTTCAGGCCTGATGGAGCCCCGTGGAGCTCTCTCGTAAACAAACACAGCCATGTTTACATTCACATTTCCGCACACTCAAGGTGTTTTTTTCATCCTGACGAACTTACCGAACACATTTCCATTTTTATAGACGTTTTTAGTGTTTTAATGTTTCATTCCACGTTGTCAACGTCGAATCGTTGAAGTGCCGAGGAGATCTGGAGCTTCCACTCCATGATTGCCCTCGATTCCTCTCTGTGAAAGCGGTTAAGTGGGCGCGTTTGACACAAAAAGTCTCTGCAGGTTACCTCAGCAGTGGGACTCTGGATTCTGACAAGTGAGTCATTGAGTCATGAATCATTAAGTGGTGCTTGTCACGCTTAAAGAAGAAGAAAAAAATCATTCAGCATTTTACAGCCACTCTTTCACCAGCCGGAAAAACATCTCTCACTTTCGGTTTTATTGGAGGTGGAGCGGCTGTAAAACAGTTGGTCCGTTTTCAGAGCGTCTCTGGATTTGATCGTAAACAGCAGCTTCCAAATGAATAAATGAGATTCTAAGATTGCTCTCCTCTTCAGATGTCACGTCTTCTGCTCTTTACACCATCCATCCATTAGTTTCCTCTTACTTATCAAACAAGTGGACCCAGACGTTTCTCCTCCTGAAGGAGCCTTAGGCATCCTCGGACCAAATGGACTGTTTAATCCCTCCAGGGAGCTCTTGGTCCTCACCGAGTCCAGAAGTCATCCTCATCAAATACGTCAACGGGCGTCTTTTGATGCAAAGGAGCAGCGGCTCTCCACTGTTCTCTCTCCAGATGCCCAGGTCTCTAATCTGGTCCCTGAAGCTGCGCCCTGGAGGCTCATTTCAGCTGCTTGTGTCCAAGATTTTATTCCTTCGGTCCAAACCCGATCTGGACTGGTAGATAGAATACTCTAGATACCCTCATGCATGAACATGACCTCACACCGAGGAGAGCAACCCACCATTTCACAGCTGACTCTCACTCAAGCCGCTCTGCACTGAGCTGTAAACCACCTGAATACCTGCAGGGGGTCCCAGCAGAACCACATCAAGAGACCGAACTCTGAGGCCCCCATAGAGACCTTCCCTCTCCTCTGCACCTGACAAGAAGCAACCACCTCCACTGAGTCCATGTCTGACTCTGAGTCCACAGACTCTCTCTTTGGTTTTACTGGATTTAACACGTCGTGTGAGTTGGAGTTCTCCTCCTGGTTCGAAGATCAGCCGGCGCCCCCTTTCCTTCACTCTGGACTGATCCTTTCCCAAAGGACTGAACGGTGTGATTACACAGAGTCAGACCAGATAAGCCGATCTACGCTCTGTCCTCCAGTCTGTGTGCCCCCCCTCCTCACACAAACATTACAAACAAATTAAGTTACCATCAAGTGCTGGAAAACTCATCTGAGTAATTACAGTCTCTGCGATTAATTAATTAAGATGAATGACATTTCTGCACCGTTCATGAGATCTGTTACATCACAGGTAAATTAGTAATGAATCAGGACTCTCTTTATCTGCACTTCATTTTATTTCATCAGTCAAATTAGAGGGAGTTGGAATCATCAGGGGACTCATGATACGTGATACTGGACCCACAAAATCACAATAATCCAACAACACAGTGATTCTGCAATAAAGGATATACTGCAGAGCCAACATGTCAGGATACATCGTGATAAAGGATTAACTATAAACTAAGGCTGCAGCACACCAAGACTCCAGTATCACCTGAATGTTCAACATGTTGCAGCTAGCGTGGAAGCTAATGTTAGTCCAACTCCGAGTACAGCGACCCACACCCAAGAATAAAATAGAAGAAGTTTGTCTGACACAAAAAAGTGACAGAAATTCATCTTTCGACAGGCCTCAGTCGCATCAGAAGACATACATTCTCCATCATACTTGTAAACACATACAGAACAAGAACTTTAAACCCACCCTGAGTGGATTCAGAGTTATGATGAGTTAGTCCACGTCAGAAAAGTAAACATCCTAAAATTGCTGCACTTAACATAAAAAACACAGATCTGTCGGTCTTGGATAAGTGTCACCTTGAAAAAAAACAAGGTTTTGTTTACTTATGCTCATGTATTCATTCAGTTCACTATTCATTTATTCACTCGTATACCATTTTAAAAAATAAATGATTCTCGCTGTTCTCAGGTCAGATATTTAAATGCGATTAAAATGCGATTAATTGCGACTAATTAATTACAAGGCCTCAGATTAATTAGATTATTTTTTTATAATCGATTCCCAGCCCTACTAAAAACACAGTGACCTTAAAACGGTTAAAAATAAGATTGATGTATTTGTTTTTGAGTTAAATTCTGCAGTATTAGAATGGCTGTAAGTCCTGTCTGCGGTCTGTGCGTAAGGCGAGTCAAACTCTGGACAGACCCGAGGGCATCCTCCACCTTTCCTCTCGTCACGTCATAAAAACTGGAATGATGATTTCCTTCATTCTTCCTCCTCAGTTTTAAAAGTGATGAGTACATGTCGGCGCTATCAGGCAGTCCACTGTCCTCTGCTATTGAGCAGCTGTCAACCTTTTCCTCCTCGTCCAATTAACCGCCGATCACATTTCCCTTATTTCTGTCGTTAGCACACCCACGTGGCATGAGTGGTAATAACTGGCAGAGAAGCTGTGATGAGCGCGGCAGTTTTCACATCGATATTCGGCCCGACGTATTGAAACTCGTGTCGCACGGGTCAGGACGATGATAAACGCCGCCCCACTCTTCGTAACGAAGATAAGCAGGTGAAGTCATGGCCTCCATCATATTTACAGAGCTACTGTGTGACGCCCTGGTGAGATTAATCTGCGTTAATTTCATCACCTCAAGTTCTCATGACGTCCTTTATTGGAGCTCGCAGTCTTTTATTACGATTCTTACTGAGGTATTACCTCTAAGCGATACATTAGAGCGCGATAAACTTTATTACACAGAGTATCAAACCTTCACCATCATCACAGCTTTTACACTCACCCTGAAGTGGTTTAAATTAGAGATGGAGGTAGGCCTGGGCATCGATAGAATTAAAAGAATTAAAATATATTTGTCATATCCTCCGATCTTGCATCTCAAGCATCTTTACTAAAAACTAAAGACACTAGAGATTATTTCAACATTTTATTAACATATAAAGCAAATTAAATAAGAAACAGAAAAATATTAAAAAAACACAGTACAACAAATGTAGATAAATACTAAATAATTAGGGTGACCATACATCCTCTTTTACCGGGACATGTCCTCTTTTTGGGGGGCTGTCTAGGTTTGTCCGGGGAAAGTTTTTAAAATCCTTCAAATGTCCGCGGTTTTGTACTCAAGTTTCGATTTTGTGTCACGTAGACTTACAGAGTTAGAAGCATGTAAAAAAATTTGACCCGAAAAACTCTCAAAATTAACGACTCTGTGACTCCGCCCCCGCGTAGTTGTGTCCTCTTTTTTGGAAGTCAGAATATGGTCACCCTAAAATAATACAGTTTAGAGTCCTGAGTGTTTTTGCTGGTATGTAAGACCCAAAATAAACAAATGTCCCCCTCAGGGATAATAAAGACGCCTTAAATGTAAACATTAGATGATGTAAACGTTGATGATACAATTGATCGCCGCTTTGGTCTGGTGGCTGCACTGCGAGTTGTAGCTAAACTGCTAATGCTACTCGTGCCGTCAGCAGTGACAGGCTGTACAGACTCCGCCCACATTTTCATGTTTTCCTCATAATCACTCGGAAAGAACTTGTTGATTAAACAGATCTGTTATCAGGGTTTTTCCTGGCTCAAATTGAGGCAGAGGTGGCACCATCCTGACCATGCGCCATGACGTGCATATATTTGTAAATTCAACTGTCTCACTTTCTTTTACAGGCAACATACTTTAAGTTAAGAGTTCAAAAAAAAGTGTGACCATTATCATGTTAAAGCATTCATTTATTAAAACTATATACATACACAAATCAGCTGGCAACTTTAAATTGAAAGTACACTTCATCCACACATCTCGCAACCCGACAGAACATTTCAGCCTCCTCTTTTTCATTCTGTAGAACCTCCTCATGCACTCCTTGTAGTCCAAGGCCTCCTGGTCTGGTCCATCAACAGCCACCTTACAACAGACATCCAAGTGCCTCTCCTTCAGTCTGTTCCACAGAGGTGTCTTCACCTTAAACAAAACAATTCATCATGCATTAAGTATTTTTGTTTTTATTCTGATACAGACATGAAGAGTGATAGTGTTTTCAATCATATATTATATATATATATATATACGCTGCAGTGTCCTCCCTAAAAAAAAAAAACGACAACTAATTATTTCTTAAACTATCTAAACTATGTTATTTTAGTTTTATTTATTTTTTATTAATTATTAGTTATTATTTATTAGTTGAGTGTTTTTAGGTACTACCATCTTTAATATATTTCTCCTTCTCTTCTGCTGCTTTGTGAACGGCTATCACCTCATGTCTTTTTAATGTGTCCAGCCTGTAGTTGGTTGATGGCTGTCTCACTAAGGAGGCAGCAATTGCCTGCTGTGTTGGGGCACAGTGCTTTTGGCATAAATAGCAATGCATGCCTTCCTCAGTATGCCTGAGCCAGGTAAATTGATTGAGCCATTGCTTGTCAAAGCCACTGGCTCTGTGTTTTTGAGAAAATCTGGAAAGAGGAATAAAAACCACGTACACGTTGGCTTTGCGTTGTTATGCTCCTAATTGGAAACTAATTAATTAATTACCCTCGCCTCGCCGACTCGTCCTGTCCTGCATTCTGACCCTCGCGATCACCAGTCCCTTGTGAAGTACTTTCAGACCTGACACAAATTTCCACGTTGTCACCACTATGAATTATAGCATTTTAACTGCCTATTACGTTTTTTCTCTGCTGTGTTTCACCTGGACTCTTGACTTTCCTCCTTGCGAGGTCGCTTTTTAAAGTACTGGCTGATTTTGCCTGTCATATCTGCAACGCTAAAAAACGGAGGAAACTTTTTTTTTAAATAAACACGTCATGCTTGGATGCAAAAAAGACAAGCAGTATTTACCTGTTTGTACCATCCGCCAGGGAAAATCAGGACGCCGACAGCACCAACTAGCGGGAAAAAAAACTTGAAAAAACATGATTCGATCCGTTTCTTCTTCGGTAGAGGCTTCAGGTCTTTCCGGTGCACTGCTGTTGATATAGCGCCTTTATAGTGGCGCAACGCTGCAACTGCAGTTAAAATACGTTGCTGCAGCAGAGGGACATCATACACTCAATCAACACAGCTGGAACTTTACGCTGTGTCGAGCGAAATCAATCGCCCTGGCCGGGGGCGGCACAAAATTAGGTGGAGGCGGCCGCCACGCAATTTTGAACGCAGGAAAAACCCTGTGTTATGTTTCCAGTTTTTAAGGGCACTGACCGCCCACATCGGTGTTATTGCTTGACGTCACTTTGGAGATACCTGAACCACTGCCACATAACCGACGTTGAAGAACTTCTCAACAATAACATCTTCGGAGGATGACTCAAAGTCACGGCTGACATCTATTTTGCTGATCTCAGCTCCACATTCGGTCGTTCTGTTTACTTCTCCGGCAGCTTACAGAAGTGAGCAGGAAAAGCTCGACTCTGATTGGCTGTTGTCACGCACATTTCCGTTATGTAAGTATGCTCACAGCTGATCACCGTGATCGAATTGAAATTTATCATGATCATTAATCTCGATCGGTCCTAGATGGACGTTTCTCTTTGTGCTCCTCATCATCGAACCCGGACACAGTTGTGAAACCATCACTTTCCCAACATCTCCCCCTCTTCTATCTCCAGAAACGCAGGTTCAAGTGAAAACTGTGGCGTCTGCATGCACGCCCACATGACCTTGGCGGCCTTTGATATTTCATAAGGTCAAAACTGTAAGTCTGCAGGTATTTAGCATCTGCGGTTCAGTATGATGAGAGGCTTTTATTTGCACCTTTTTAAACTTTAATACCTAAAATCATATAAATCCAATATTCAATTGACGAGCGACACAACCTGCATTTCACAAAGGCCGGCGCACTGTCGCGCACTCAAACACTCTCAGTAAAGTCATCCTCATACATCCCTTGGTCTCCATGACTACAGAGTCTGCACAGGGTCCCAGTTTGGCATTTATGAATTCTTTATAAGCTCATCAATATGGGAACGTGTGTGTGTGTGTGTGCACGTGTGTGCACGTTTTATACTTTACACCCCCTCACACACGCGCATTAACACACACCTGTCGCTGTATTTGAGAACAGATGCTGAGGTGTGGATATCCCCTGATCTGTCAAGATGTCTGTGCTGAAAGTGTGAGGAGGAGAAGAGAGAGAGAGAGAGAGAGAGAGAGAACAAGGAGGTGTGAAACAGAGACATGAAAATGGAAGAGGAGGTGGACAGGTAGAAGGAGAGACAAAGAGAGGATGTAGAGGAAGAGGGGAAAGGTTGATCAGAAGAACAAGAGTCGGGACAGACGAGGAGGATGGAGACAGAAATGGAACGAGAAAGACGAGAGGAAGAGGTCAAGACAGGTGGAGGTAGACAAAAGAGACAAGCTTGAATTTTTAAAGCTAATTAGCTGCTGTAATCTTTCACACTGACCCAAAAGTGATTGCTTCGTCGCTCAAATCCACAGCTGTGTCGAAATCTTCTTAAAATTCAGCCAGAGATAAAATGAGGCCTTGGCAGTCTGAGTTTGAGGACGCCGGTCTGGTTTATCAGGGTTCAGACTGGATCCAGATTACATCAATATGAGGGGATGGTCTTTTGGTTACAGCGATGCAAGTGAACGCCATCCACAAAGTCCAATATTAGAGAATAAATATGATAACTTAGAGATGATCCAGTTTCATATCTATAAGTATTTCTGATTTGATGCGATGGGCTGAATGTTTCTGCAGTCTGGAGGTTTTTCTGCTCGTTTTTCTTTATCAATTTGATGTTTTATTCATTTCTCCTAGAAACTGCCTCCTGGCTTTATGTGGAATTATTAAGTTACAGCAAATCACATAATTATACAGACCTGTTTAAAAAGAGCAGACATCAGGGATAAAAACTCTGGACTCAGAAAGATCAGACACGGAGGAAAAGGAGGAGAGGAGGAGGAGATGGTAGTTTTGGTGTCGTGGGCAGGTGCTGGAAGTCCTGCAGGAAAAGGACATGAGCATCTCCACAAAGCTTGTCAGCAGATGGAGGGATGAGAAGATGAAGCGGCAGATCCTGGGGTTGACTTTGGATTAACTCTGACATGACATCCCAAAACCATCACAGACGGCAGAAGCTTCACTCTGGATTTAAACACCTTGGATTTGGTTCCTCTGCGCTCTTCCTCCAGACTCTCAGACCTTGAATTCAGAAGAAAATATCAACTTTACCTTCAGCTCTTCTTCTCCACCTTCCTGACAGTATCTGAGGTTCAGGAGAGGCTCCTCATGATGAAGATCTCAGGTGTAGATCTTTCTTAAGGATGTCCCGTGAAGCTCCTCTGACTGCAGTCATTCCTGTTGCTTTTGCTTATTTTCCTTTCCAGTCAACTTTCCATTAACTCTGCTAACAGACAGCCTTCTCAGCGATGACCATCTGTGGCTGGTGGAGGATGTCCATGTTTGTCTGCTGAGCAGCTGTCAAGTCAGCGGTCCTCTTAAAGGTTTTCGTTCCATGATCTGAACGAGACAGAGACTCAGGGATCTCACTCTGACTGAATGTGAATGCACTTGAAGGAGGACTTACATATTTTAATACTTTGATATAGGGCTGGGCGATGTGGGAAAAAGTTTATCATGATATATTTTTTCACATCAGTCAATATCGATATATATCACAATATATAAATTAAAATTTAACAGTGTTTATTGGTTGCATGTCTTTTGCAATAATCTCCTGCACCTGTGAGGTCTTTGTGTCTCTTTGACGTTTTGTCGTAAGGCGTTGCTCTAGAGAAAGCCGACTGAATGGTCGTCTGTTTCAGCTGCTCAGGCGTCATTAGCTCCTTACTCCACTCCGTGGCGCTGCTTCAGGTGGTGAAAAAGATTTGAGGTGTTTCCCGACTTTGTGAGAACATGTACTCGACATAATTTACAGTCCACATTACTCTGCTTCATGTCCGACCTTAAAAACCAAAATACCTCCACACCACCGACGTTTTCCTAACGCCAGTGTTGTGGTTGACATTGATGTGGTCATCTGTTGAGCCTTCATGGTCATTTCTGTCGGGGGTAGCACTCATTTTCTTTGTTTCTCACCAACAGTGCTGTCGGCTTCACCTGTTAAAGTGCTGTGGTTGGGTGGAGCTGCTGTCTGCTACGACTTTGCAGTTGGTTGATACTTGGTTCTAATTCAGAACATGATTGGTTCAGCAGAGCAACTCCCCCTTTCATTGGCTGTTCGTATAGTCTACCAAAACATGGCAGAATGCCGACTATTGGAAATGGATATTGACCATGTTTGATATTGACATTGAGGGAAATTAATTTTTGATATATATCATTATTGTTTTATCGCCCAGCCCTACTTTGATGTATATATTTTGAAGATGTTATTTGAGCTATCGGCCGTAATCATCAAAAATTGAGGATCTCATTATCCTCAATCAATCAAGAAAACATCAGGAGTTCATGTGTGGAAGTGACTCCTGTGACTCAAATGATGCACATAATATCAGCTGAATTCACCTTTGTTTGAACTTTGATTTAAAACTTTTTAAAGTGACCTTAAAACACATAAAGCTGCAAATGAAAAACTGAGTTTTGTTCTTTATAAATCGCCTCAGATTATTTAAGCATTCAAGCTTTTACTGAAGAGAAACATAAAAAAACTGCAGACTTGGAAAAAGCAGAGAAAAACAGTTCAGCAGCATCTTAAACAAAAGTCAGAGTTCAAGAAGCTGTAAAATCTCTCTTTTCCCGTCTTCGCATGTGGTGTTTGTTGTATAATCAACGTCTGGAGCTTGTTTATGAAGAGCGAATGGTGCAGCCAAACGAGGGAAGATTACAGCTGCTGGAAGGAGAAGAAAGTGTTTTTAAAAAGAGAGAAAGCCTCATCAGAGGAGCGAGCGTTGGTGTCTGAGAGCAATCAGTCTGTTTTATTGTCTTTGTGGACATCAAGCTGAGTGCCAATTAAACGTTGTGTTATTGACATCTCAGAATCAATTCAATCAGCTGTCTTTGTCTCAAAGTCTAATTCAACAGGGATCCCAAAGTGTGGGTGCCACTGCAGGAGAGATTAGTCTTCCTTTTGACCCACAAAAACAAAGATAGTTTTCATCTGCTCTCTCTCTCTCTCTCTTTTCTGCAGAGAGAAGAACTCGACTCTTTTTAACCGAGAGCGATCTCTCCTGCCGACGCTCTTTTGCTCTTTTCTTTCATCTATTTCACCTCTCCTCCCTCATTGACTTATTAATCCTCCATGCTGTCAACACTCGATTCTCCTCCTCTCTTCTCTTTGTCTGTTGCTCCACACTCGTTTAACTCATCGCCATCGAGCAGATTTTCAAAGTTGCAGTTAGCATACGGAGGCTGATTAACGTTAAATCCATGTGGCGTGGATCTCTGTGTTCGGCTAACTCGTATTAAAGCCTGTTTAGGGTTTTGAATACGCCGTGGGTGGATACATACATGACAGGCTGATAGATGAGTGAGGCTGAAGCTGCAGGAACGACAACAACCAGGCAGGAGAGGATTCATGTGCAACTATTCAAATAAGACAGTGTTGTTGCTCTACTGCGTTTTAAAGACAGTATGGATATAAAAGAACCAGTTAATTTACAGGCTGCTCCAGACTTTAGGCCTGGCCCATTTGGACACCCAGGTTTGGAGGGTTTTACATCAGAGGAAAACGACTAAAACGTGAAGGAGTGCGTTCTGTCAGCGTCGTGTATCACGCAGCAAATAGGTTCCCATTCTTATCAATGCAGCATCGCATACAGGAAGTGTATCAGCTCCGCCGCAGCTCTGAATCAGGAGTGTGTCGAGCACAGCTCCGATAAAGATATGTGCCAAGTCTATTTTTGCTGCTCTACACTTCGTGTCAATCGTCACAGATTTGATTGTTCTGGACAGAATGTCAGTTAAGATGGACAACTTGGAGACATTATTAGGTTTAAGAGACATGTACAGCTGAATGTCATCTGCATATAAGTGATAAGATACTCCTTCAAAAGCTCTTATCAGATAACCCAGAGGGAAAGGGCTGCGCGATATACAGAAAATTTACAAATACCGAAATTTACGACGATAATCGACGTCATTTTGCCCGTATCGGTATATTCAGTTCCAAAAAAATAAATAAATCAAAGTTGTTTTTGGATGTGTGTAGGTAGGCTATGGTCTCATGTCCCTTTAAGACACTGTCCTACGTCAGAGACGTGACTCCAGGTGAGGAGATGGAGGACGGTTCAAAAGTTGGAGCGGCTGAAGTAGACGAAGTTAATGTGGGAGGGGGTGAGCAGCTTGTGGAGTAGTTATCGTCCAGTTATCGTTATCGAAGTGAACTGATCAATATATTGTGATATTGATTTAAGGCTATATCACCCAGCCCTACAGAGGGAGCATGTACAGGGAAAACAACAGAAAGCCCAGGACAGAACCTTGTGGGACCCCACAAGACAGGAGACAGGGTCCCAACTGCAGAGACATATTTACCAGAAATAACTGAAAAAGATCATCCAGACAAATCGGAGGAAAACCGGTCTAATGCTGTTCCAGAGACACCCGCCCACTGTCTGAGCCGCTGGATTAAGACGCTGTCCTCCACGGTATCGAAGGCTCCTCTGAGTTACTCCTCAGTTATAAACGCCAGAGGTTCGATTTAGGTTTAAACGTAAATCAGCTCGTTCAAACCTTACACAATCAAGTTAAGCTTAGTTTCCTGGAATAAAATCAGGGCCAGCAGCTGAAGCAAGGAAGACCAGACTTCCCTCTCCCACTTTGTCCAGTTCTTCTCAGAAGACCCCGAGGTTTTCCCAGTCCAGTTCATGACATGAGTTACTGCTAAGTTCTCATTTATGCAGAAAAAATCACAGCGAGACTGAAGGAGAATCAGAAAGTCAACAAGCCCTGAGGTTCCTGTCATCAAGTTACACAGAATAATATTACTGATGATGAAGTTTGTCTGCCAGACAGAAGTATTTTATTTAAACTGCTTTGAAACAGTTCAATCCTGCAGACACTCGATATAATGACACTAATGATGTTTGAAGCTGCTGTGAAGTTTTTGTATTTTTATGAAATCGACTGAAATTCAGAGTTCTGCCTCTTTATGCTTTATAAAAGAAAAGAGGAAAATCAGGGACTGAGGATTTTTATCTTCTCATATTTTATGAATGAAACTGATTACTCACTTTTTCTAAGAACCAAAACACAAATTTAACTGATAAATACAGTCTACAGCAAAACAGACGATTAGTCATATTTCAGATCTGATAACCAATACAAACAAAACTTTATTTGATGTATTTTCATTTTGTAGTTTGACCCAAATTCAGTTTGTTAACATACAGGATAATGAGCTATTCTATAGTCAGTCAGCAGGGGGCGCTCTAAAGGTCGTTACACACACCGGATCTTAACTTCTGCAGAGTGAAAAAGCGACAGTAAGTTTTTCGACCCTTTAGCGAATTTTGCGAACATTCGCAGGCGAACTGCGATATAAATCTGTAGCCTGATATAAACCGTATCGCAGACATCGGCTCTCTGTCCTCTCCCTCTGCAAACGTGGAGTCAGCTGATGGAGCAGTTCTTGAGGGACATTCTGAATGATTGTCAGAATTTTTTGGGATACAATTTGAGCTCCAAGATCGTTGCGTGGAGCTCCCCCATCTCCTGTCCCAGGTTCACTATTGGATGTACGCAGAAACTTTTCGTTATTTAATTGGCTTACAACCACGACCAGGTCATCATCACTTGAGGATGTCGTCGCCATTGTTTCTCCTTCTTCTCTCTCCCCCTCTGTTCTCCTGTGGTGTATTTTTATGCAAATATGTGAATTTTATTCACGTCGCACCAGGTGTTTATAGGAAAAGTCGTAAGCCAAATATTTTGCATTTTCACGTCCCTTCGCTTATTTTCCGTTGTGTAACAACCTTAAATCCTGCATTTACTTAATTTTTTTGGACAGCTAGTCTGACCTTCTACAAACTATTTCATCAGAAAAATCAAGCGTGAACTTTTTCGTGGGCAGTTGAGTCTCAACTCTGCAAACTTATAACAGAACTTACTAAAGTACAACCGAGGTGCAACCGAGAGCGTGAGCTGCATACGAGGAGCATTCAGGATCGATTCCACACAGCTCACTTGTAACCCTGAATTAAACATCTTTTCAATCAACATTAAACCCAAACGTATGGTTTAGTAAGAGTGGATCGCTTTTCTACCAAAACAGCATCTCTTCACAATCCAGAATCTCCCCTGTGGAGATGATGCTCAGTGGGACACTTTAGTAAGAAGCTCCTTACTGTCACTGTGTGGATCTGCATGACCAGGTGAAGGTGACATGTAGTGTTAAAATGCTGCATCACACATTTACATCTTTTTCATGGTTGAAGAAAAACAGATTTTTAAAGCAGACCTTTTCACCGTTGAGCATCTCTCCTGTTCAAATCAAACTCTTGCATATTTCCTCTGCAGTATGTGCAGAAATCTAAACCTTGACAGGCCTGCTGTGCATAGTTCTGGTTGCTAGGTTATGAGGAGGCATCCGCTGTTCTTGTGAGAAGTTGAGCCGGGTTAAATACCCGGGGTTTGCCTTTACAGATGTCTGGATTTCAGGGGCTGTTAGGCAGAAAAAAGAGACATGAACAGGGACAGAGTTAAAGCCGATGTTCCGGTACAGTGTCGGTGAAATCAACAGGAGATCATGACGGGCTTCTCTGCATAAATGACAGCTGAACAGAAGTGAATTTAACACTTTTAGGGTTCATTTAAATTCAGTTCAGCTTAGGTGAATAAAAGCTTAGGTGAAATCTAGTGATAAACAAATGGATAAACTGTAGAAAACAACTACAAAAAATCTCTAAAAAGATGTTAGAGTAAGATTTTAAAAATCTGTTAAATATTAAATGTCAGCCCTGACGAGTGTTTTATAATCTAACTGCAGACAAGATAAACATACAGGTGAATGTGAGAGGTAAAAATAACTTTTATTTATAATGCACCTTAAACAGGTTCAGGGGCGTGCAGACGGCAAAGTTGTTTAGAGCGCCCCAAGAATGGGAAACACGGTCCCCCAATGTGCTGCAGGACCCCCTAACTCCCCACATTTCACCCTCTACTACCAATAAAAAGACAAAATCACCCAAAATAAATACTTTAAAAAAACAAAACAAACTAAAACAAAAATACTTGGGTTCACAAGGTGCTCTGTACGACAGGACACATTAAGAAAAAAAATTAAGACTTTAAGATTAAAGTTATTTTTTACGAGCGTTTTTCAACAGCGCTGATTTTAACAACTCTCCTCTAAAACAGCAGCTTAGAAAAGCTATTAGCTACAACTTTATTCTCATAAATGAACAACTTTTTTCTCATAAATTAACGACTAAATTCTCAAAAAATTAAAGACCTTTATTCTCAAAAAATTTGCGACTTTATTCTTATAAATTAAATAGTTTTTTCTCATAAATCAACAACTTTATTCTCATAAATTAACAACTTTTTTCTCCAAATCTTACTCCATCGTAGCTTTGACATACAGAAGCAAATATCAGAAAACATTAAGGATGCAAACACAGAAAGAAGCCGATCAAATGTGCCCATTATTACAGAAACACAACAATAATTTAGTCCATCATTATAGGAAACCAGAGGAACCTTTGAGAGCCCGTGAGAACCCGGGAACACAAGAACCCAAGAACATGAGCCGAGACCAAACGGACCGAGGAATTAATGTGATTAAAGTTTAAAAAAAGAAAGGAAACAACAATTAAGTGGATCTAAAAACGATTAAATAAAGTATAAAGCAGCAGAAGAAGCTGATGTAACAGGCTGGGGTCAAACATATTGTCACAGTATTCTAGTATTTACGGTAATCGTCGTTATTTATTTATCAAACATGGATGTCATGATTAATATTATAGACTTTTATGCACATTTATACTACGTTGCTCCACCCTGTTCTATGTCACTTCCTGTGCAGTTTTAAATCTCAGGTTTAATGTAGTTATGGTGATATTTTATTAAGGTGAACATCTGAAATCTCTGCAGCTCTAATATGGATTCATGGTTTGGAGATCAGGAGGTAAAAAACAAGTTCAAACAGGAAGAAGGTCAGAAGGTCTGAGTGAGTTTCCTCATCTGTACCTGTTTCTGTCTTTCTGTCTCCGCCTCTCTCCGTCAGGTGTGGTCGATGGACGGCTACTACAAGGGCAGGCGTGTGCTGGAGTACAGAACCATGGGAGATTTCACCAAAGGGCAGAACTTTGTGCAGCACCTGTTGCCCCACCCCTGGGCAGGAACCGGCCACGTGGTCTACAACGGGTCCCTCTACTACAACAAACACCAGAGCAACATCCTGGTGAGAGGCTGAGAGGGACGCCAACAACACAGGGGAGGTTAATCTATCAGATAAACAGAGTAAAAAGTGTGTGTGTGTGTGCATGCGTGTGTGTGTGTTCCAGGTTCAGTACCATTTCCGCTCTCGTAGCGTCCTGCTGCAGCGCAGTCTGAGTGGAGCTGGATACAACAACACGTTTCCCTACAGCTGGGGAGGATCGTCTGACATCGACCTCATGGCTGATGAAATGGGACTGTGGGCCGTCTACACCTCCATCCCCAACGCCGGGAACATAATGGTACAGGCTTTTGTTTTGGGTACAAATTGAAAGTGCACTCACAGACACACACACACACACACACACAGACACATCAAATGGATGGAGATATTTAAAGCTCGGTGACTTTAAAGAGACACAGCGCCCGAGAGCTGGCGGACAAACTCAGTAATGATGGCTCAGTATCAAAAGGATTGTTGGCGTTCCTCCTCTGCAAGAGCTGCTTATTTATAATCTGTCATATATGCCCATACAGATACATCTACAGTGGGACGGATCATTATTTAAAATCGTTACAAAAGTTAAAATCTTGGAGCCGGACTCATCAGTCAGCTCAGATTGTGTTTGCTCTGGCAGACGTTCGGTCGGTCAGGTGGATGACCTTTAGTATCCTGAATCCTGGAGGAGCTTCACTCTGACAGCTCACTGTACCAGGACCCTGTTTGTCCTCATTCCTCTCACATTTTCTTTCACATTCAGAAAAATAAAACCTGATAAATTAACTCCTTGAATAATATCTGGAGCCTGCAGGTGAATGCTGAGGAGGAGGAGGTTGAGAAGTTATGAGCACGGCGGTACAAGGCAGCTGTGGCAGTGACAGAGCACAGCCGGAGACCTGAAATCTTGTCGCTTTAATAGACCGCCAAATTGGGAGGAAATGTTTGTCATGGGATTGTGAGAATGATGCATGGCAAATGTGAAATCAGTGCAGCTGGAGTGTGCCAAAACAGCTCCCAGGCATCGCTCCATCTACGGCGTTACCGTTTACTGTCGGATTGGCTGTTAGACATAGTGGTAGTAGAAGCATTGAGCTGAATGGAAAAATGTACGCCAGCATTTTGTTCTGAATATAATCCTGCAGGAGACGATGAAGAATGAAGAGGAGGGGTAATATAATATAACACATGAGAGATCAGATCAGGTATCAAAACAATCTTTATGATAATGAACAGTAATCGTACAAGGTTATTATCAAAAGTAATATTTAGTAAATCAATGAATTGCAGCTCTACTTCTTCTCCTGCAGAACAGACGCTGTTGTTATTTAATGTTTGGTGGGTTTGAGCCACAATGGCCGCCACTGAACATGCAAACTCCACAAAGGAGTATTTCTCTAACAAACCTGACGGACGTTCATCCTAAAGGAATAAAATCAGAAATTCAATAAGAAATTAAAGATTTTCAATAGAAGAAGGGAGGTTATACATGGAAGGGAGAAGTACAGTAGGAATATGAATTATCTAATGATTTATTCTTAAATTATCATTACTATATCCCACCACATTTATTTATTTATTTATTTATTTTATCTTTAAATTTTTTTTTATTTTTTTATTTATTTATCTACTTATTTTTTATTTGTATTATTTTATATAATAAATTTATTTCTTATTTTGTTATTTATTTTTCTACATATTTTTAATATACTTATTATTTTATATATTATTTTTTTATTATTTTTTTTATTATTTATCTACTTATTTTTACTATATTTATTATTTTATACAATAAATTTATTTATTATTCCTTTATTTATTTATCTACTTTTTTATTTATTTATTTTATTTTGTTTTTTATTTTTCTTTGTTCTATTATTTAATAATAATTATTTTATTATTGTAATTATTATGTCATTTCGCTCACTTTTTCTTCTTTTATTTTCTCTCCACAATTATTACAATTTAAACAAAGGAAAAACGAGGGACAATCACACCACAAACACACACACTCCTCAACACATAAAAACACACTCGCTTATTTAAACACAGCCTTACAACACCTTCAAACTTAAATCATCTAAATGTTGTGTGTCCCTGCTTTACTGTCACTGTGTATACGTTGTCAACCACTCATCATGATCTGTCTAATAAAAAAAAAAGACAAATACGTTCATCCCAATTACAAATAATATATATCAGATAAATAATTACCCTGAGCCAAAAACTCTGAAGGTTGTATGAAATGAGTTGAACTCTTTTATCGCTTTTTGTCTCTAAACACTTTCGTTTAGTGACTTTTTGGTATGCGCCTCGGCACCATCCCCTCAGGAAACAAACACTGAACTGAGAGCTTCGCAGTGAATCACAATGTCATGTAAACAAACGATCCTTTCTCACACTTTCTTAGTCGGAGGAAAACCGAGGTGTTGTAGCAACACTTTCACGATATTTTGACGAAGCTTACACGGGAAATCCGACACTCTCCGGTTAATATGAAGTTTAAATAAAAGGTTTTTGTTAGTGCTGGACGATTTATCGAATTTTAATCATGATTTTGTCATTTCATGATCATAAAAACATTCTAAGCAAAGCGGAACCATCAATGCGCCACACAGGGATCATAAAATCAAGACTTTAAACTTCGTTGTCTCAGTGGCGTCTCTCTGAGGACTCTTCCTTTCTGCTTCCAGGTGAGTCGCCTCGACCCTCGCTCGCTGGACGTCCTGCAGAGCTGGGACACGGGGTTTCCTAAGCGCAGTGCGGGGGAGGCGTTCATGATCTGCGGCACCCTATACGTCACCAACTCCCACCTAGCCGGGGCCAAGGTCCACTTCGCCTACAACACCAACACCTCCACATACGAGTACACCGACATCCCCTTCCACAACCAGTACTCCCACATCAGCATGATGGACTACAACCCCCGAGAGCGAGCGCTGTACGCCTGGAACAACGGACACCAGGTGCTCTACAACGTCACACTGTTTCACGTCATTCGGAGCGACGGATAGATCCGCACGTAGGATAAGGTAAAATAAGTAAATAAGAGAGCTGTAAAGAGATTTTAACGGGACTTCAACTCACACAAAAATGTTTATTCACGCCAACAGGAAAACAAAAACTGTCCGTGTCTGAATCTGAATGACGTCTGGACGCTCATAGCTAGACACAAACCACATTTGCTGAAGCTGAATTAACCATTTTCTGTTCTCTTTTACTCCACTCGTGTCTCAAGAAGTGATTTGGAAAGGTGAGGTTTAGTTATTTAAAGAAAAATAAAATAAAAAAAGGAGCTCGGATTAAACTGGACCTGATGGAGGGATTCTGGGTTTGTGATGTGATCGTGGACGTGTGAAGTCAGCATGGTTGTTCATCCAATAAAAACATTTCTGTCAAACTTTGTCAGGACTGTCGTGTCCTCTGTTTGAGGAGCGGGGAGTGTGTGTGTGTGTGTGTGTGTGTGTGTGTGTGTGTGTGTGTGTGTGTGTGTGTGTGTGTGTGTGTGTGTGTGTGTGTGTGTGTGTGTGTGTGTGAGTGTACAAGTATTAGAGCGTACATTTGTCCCCTTTGTTTCTGGGTCATGATATTTAAACGATACCGACTCAGAAACAAAGTACCAATTAAAAATACAAACTAGCCGACATTAAATATTGATCTGAAGATGATCTTACTTGTTCAAAAATGATTTATTTATGCAGCTTAAAAACACAAAGAGACATCTTTGAGATCGCTTCTGAAAACTCACTTTTATTTGAATTCAACTTTTAACTAGGGCTGGGCGATATGTCCTCAAATCAATATCACGATATATTGATCAGTTCACCTCGATAACGATAAATGGACGATAACTACTCCACAAGCTGCTCACCCCCTCCCACATTAACTTCGTCTACTTCAGCCGCTCCAACTTTCTCTCCGTCCTCCATCTCCTCACCTGTCTTTACCTCTTTGTTACAGACTGGATGGGGTGGAGTCCCGTCTCTGACGTAGGACAGCGTCTTAAAGGGACATGAGACCATAGCCTACCTACACACATCCAAGACCAACTTTTATTTATTCATTTATTTTTTTGAAACCCAATATACTGATATGAGCAAAATGACGTCGGTTATTGTCGTAAATTTCGTTATCAGTAAATTTTTGGTTTATCGCCCAGCCCTACTTTTAACTACTTTTAACTTTGTTTATCCCCGACTGGACTGTCTGTGATCACATCTACTTCATTTCTTTACATTTTTATTCATTTTTCTGGACCTCACTGCCCCTCATCGTTTTTATTCTGATGAGACATCGTCGACCTTTATCCTTTTTTATCCTCTTTTGGGAATCTTTGTTTCCGACTCATCATGATTGTTATTTACTTCTAAAAACGCCCTCCAGAGTGGGAAAAGTCCCGCTCCTCTCTGTCAGTGTGGAAACTGAAACTGCCGTGCGGGAATCGGACAGCAACAGGAACAATGGCGGACACATCATTAATTAATTCATCATCACGAGGAAATTATCTTTCTTTTGTCGAGATCGTGAGATAACAGTGCATGAAAAATAGAAAAATCTATCCCCATCTCCCATGAACTAGGACTACGTTCACACTGCAGGTTCTGTTGCACAATTTCAGATTTTTTGTTAAATCTGATCTTTTTGTGCGGTCGTTCAAATCACAACAATGAATGCAGCATCTAATGTGAGCGTCCGTGAAGTGACCTACATGCGCACAAAGCACAAGTTGCTTTCCGCGCCTGTTTGTGTTGTCGAACAATGGTGACGTTTGTCTCATATTGACGACGTAAAGGTCGGATGAACGCAACCTGAGCGTCCACACTGCAGTCACATCGGATACATATCTGATTTATATCCACATACAGAAGAGGCCTGGGTCGGATTAGAACCAATCAGAATTGACCTGTTCACACTGAGATTAAAACATCAGATATGAGTCACAGATGGTTAAAAAATCTGAATTGACCTGCAGTCTGAACGTAGACAAAGCCTAAAACTACATTTGGTTTTCTTAAAGATGAATAAAGTAACAGTAACATTGCTAATGCTTAAACCGAGTCTTGATTTGCGATTTTCTAATCTGATGAATGTCTGTTTTCTTCACTTCCGTGGATGTCTCGTTTATTCAGCTCATTTAACCTTGATTAAAAAATAAAGGTAACATCAAAACAGTCCTTTAAAACTGAAAGAAGAAAAGAAACCGGTCCACAAAAGACCTGCCCCAAATGTAATCATGAAACTGTGAGGTCTTAAATACTCCTGAGACTCGGGTGGTCCCTCTGCTCTGCTCTGGCATCTACGGTTCATCTGAGTGCGTGCTGTGTGGACAGGTGGCAGGTGTACGCCACACTTCCATCTCTGGTCAGAGGGGTTCAGGAGACGGAGACCTAAAAATAACCACAGATACTGATCACTGAACATCACGCAGAGCCAGGCTGCAGCTTTCCAACCAGATCGGTGACATCTGCAGATTACAAGAGGCGCTCGTGGCCTGGACTTACCCTCTGCAGGTCAGAGAAATCGACACAGAATAAAATCATGTCTTTGGTGTGAGACAAACATCAGGGACAACCGGACAGAGCGTCTCCAAAAATGCTGCTCAGGTGACGTGTTCTCGGTCATGTCCCGCATGTGACACTGCAGACTAGTCGGGGTACCCGTGCTGACCCCGGTCCACTGCTGAAACTACAGAGCTGGACCACAGAGCAAGGAGAGAAGGATGTCTACCCGGCCTCCAACTGTCCCAGATCTGGTCTGTGCCGGACAACCAAGCCTCACCTTGTACTTCCAGGACTTCAAAGATCTGCTGCTATCATCTTGTTGACAGACACGCAGCATGACTTCAGTGGTCACAGTCTCACTAATTTAAGTTTTGCTGACGTGGTGTTTTTGATGGTTGGATAGCGGAGCGGCTGCAGGCGTTTGAATGTGCGTGATAAGGCCTGTCAGTAAGGAGTTGCTGTAGTCGACGTGCCCGCACCAGGAGCTGAAGATCGTTAATCATCGATCATGGTACCCAGATTCCAGAGAGTCTCACGGCAAATTTCCACTGCATGCGGAACAACACTGATTTTCGTCATCTGCTGATTCCTACCAGATGCGTTTGTGAGGCGAATTTCGTGGCGAATTTTGGACAGCGGGAATCGTGAGGACTCACAAAAATCTGCGAATTCACATGCAGTCGCAGGATAACGAGTCGTCTCTATGAAGACAAACACATAGACATATCAGCAGTAGATTGTGTCCTTCCAGAGGAGGAAATCTACTCTGTCCAGACCAGGAGATCAGACATTTTTGTGGAGATCGGGATTTAACCATGGGTAAGAGCAATATTTATCTTTATCTACGAAACAAACCATGTTTGCATGGTGAGAAATACGATTCCGACTTCCTTTCCAGGACGGGCTAATCTGTCCTGAATTTCTGCGACATGCTGTAGCATCCAGGAAAAACACGCTAACTTGAATGGAAACGATCAGCAGCAAAAAGGCGGTTGGCGCTGATCGCCGCCGTATGCGGTGGAATTTTGGGGTTAGTGGACATAAGTGAGTTTGATCCCAGCCGGATATTGATCTGTGATGATCTTTGGGGTCAACAAAGCGTCCATCCATCCGAAGTGAGGCTCAGTTTTGGACAGGTTGAGTTGGAGGTGACGGTCCTACAACATCTATTTAGAAACATGATCCAGGTCTCATCAGGACTGACTCTGAGGTTAAAACCGGTCAGACGGCGCGAGCTCGGTCTGTTTATGTTTGTTTCTTATCAGGACGTTTTTAAAGGTTGTTTTCTAATCCTTCAAAAGTCTTTTCAGAAGAATCTGCCGTTCTCTCCCTGAAGTGTTTGAGTTCGTGTTTGAGTTAGTTACCCGCCTTCAGAGGCTGAATTTCCTCCGTCTAATGATGTTTTCCGTCGCTCGTGTTGAATCTCAGCAGTGAGAGGAAAACGTCATTTCGAGTTCAGGTCAAGAGGATCTGCAAAGGTTAACCTGCTCATTAGTGCTGAAGTGGCTTTTATGAGCAGGAAATGAAAGGTAACATCCTCGCAGATCACTCCGAGCTGGTGGTTCACACCTACGTACCCACACACACGCAGACACACACAGACACACACTCAGTGGTGTAAATATAGGGAAAGAAGAGGCAGCTGTATCTGACAGCAGAGGTCCTTGAACTGACAGCGTTGGATCAATTCTGAGTGACAGCGTCATAACAAAGCTGGACCGTGTGAAGGTCTAACATAACAATTGGCTGCTCTGTTGCCATGGTGATGATCGAGCGTCCAACTTCCTTGAGTACAAGTCTCAGGTTCATAAATCAGACATAACCGATCGTTTTACCCGCCTGACTTTTCTCCGTTTGGATCTGGTCATCATCATCGCAATGGTCTCGGTTTGTGTTGAACTCCTTTAAAGGCTTTGGAGAGTGTGATTTTAATGAGCTACCAAGATCGAACCACGGCGAGAGAGAGAGAGAGAGAGAGAGAGAGAGGACAGATCAGGGGTGTCCAGGGTGCTGACACGAGCTCCCTGAAATTTAATTAGTCACCTCCAAATCCTAATCTAAAACCTCTTTCACTTTCAGACCCCTGGAAACCTCTAAAACAGGACCTCCCTCCCTGGAAGTTGTCAGTTCACACACGTCCCTCACAGTGTGAAGTCTTCCTCGTTAAATGAGGGGGACTAATGAGTCTCGGGAGGCAGGACATTTCAAAAGACCGCGCTAAAATGTTAAAAACGGTGGCGGATGAGGCAACAGAAACCCGGGACGTCGTCACACCGTCTCCAAAATGATCGACTTTCCTCAAACTCTGATGTTACGGCTCATCCTGTTCGAGCATCATGATTTCAGAGGGGATGTGGCGAGTGGGTTGGCGGGTAAAGGAAACAGCCCATCATGACGTTATTTGGAGGTTTTGTGCCAGTAGAAATGTGCAGACTGCCTCTGTAAGGAGGGAACCTGCATGTTTGCCAATCTGAGTTTGAGTTACAGAAACTTTTCACCGTACGTCTTTGAGTCAGTAGAAAATGAAGCAGGGACTAAAACGTTTTGTTTAGTTTCCCTGTCGCTCGTTTCCCGGTGTGTATATAGTCCCCGTCTTCCCTCTGTCCTGGTTGGTTCGTTGTGTGTCGATGAGTGCGTGTGCTTGTGTCCCCAGTCGTCTCCTCATGATTTTTTTTCCCTCGTGTTTTTTGTCTTTTGTTGGATTTTTTCTTGGACATTTTTGAAGTAAATTTTTGTTGCTCTTTACTTCGTTCTTTTTAATAAATCCTTGTTTTGTTCTGCATTTGGGTCCTTTTTTTCCCTTTGGTGAAGCCTTGGCTCCTGACACCACCTCTTCTGGTCTAGACCAGATTTTTTTATTCACTCATTCAGTGACATTTTCATTTATGCAGTTTTTACCCAGCGCCACCATCGACCGCAAAAGAAATTTCTGTATCTTTCAGGACCCACAGAATATCTTGTGTTTGGATGAGAATTAAGTTCAATATCTCAAAAGAAAGGAGTGATTCTCTTCTTTCACCAGAAAAATAAAGTCAGTCTCTAACCCACTCCTGTGTTTAGTTATTGTCTGCTCAGTGCAGCGTGGTCATATCATCTTTGCTGATCTGGAAAAAACACTTTTTTTACGAAGGAGAAACTTTAGAGCAGAACTCTGATCGTCTGTTTCATTTCACTTCAAACTGCTACACCGGTGGCATCAAGCTCCTCCCTCCTCGGACACCACTCCTCATCACTCTCCAGATCTGATTGTGATTGGTCACTTTGTGGCGGCTGGGAGTCATATTGGCTCTTGAGAACCTGACTCCGTGGCGTAAACCACACAAACTGCTTGCATCCAGCTCGCCGGGACTGTTGCTGAATTCCGGCTCAGTCTCAAACCAGCACTGGCAGCACAATGGCACGCCGGAGTATTGTTTCTCTGATTGTCCGCTGAAGATGTGAAGGTCCGGTACAGGATCTCCACTGGATCCAGAGATGGTAGCACCACGCCCACAGGAGCCGATGTGCCGAGACCGTTAGCTCTTGACTAATGACTTCGGCATTTTTCTTTCTAACTGGCACACTTGATGGCACACTTCTCTCTGGTGAGTACTTTTTTTTGTTATTGTGACATGGTTATGAGGTATTTGTCGGCTTCTCTGTGCATGTTGAGAAGGAGCGCCCTCTGGCCGAAAACAGAAAAACTGAAAATTCCGTCCAAATCCATCGTTGGCACTGAAAGAGTGAAGCATTTTGGAATTAAACTTGTTGTGATCGGCGCTTTATAAATATAGATTGATCAATACTCCCTCTCTGTATGCAAGCTCACAAACCGCATTATGCCAACCCTGCAAATGTCAGCGCCACGGTCAGGCCGCCATGGTCCTAAAAGTGTGGACACACCCCTGGATCAGGTGTGAACGTGCTTCATCTGTTAAATTTCCCAGCCTCCTCTTGGACGAACTGAATGACGGGTTTAAAAAAACACACCTGTATAATTACTGCTGTAATATCTGAGCTCTTAACAAGGTTTCTACATCAAGGTTGTTCTTCAGGGACTCACAGAACTTAATGATCAAATTTACGCCTCAGACCGCCAAAGGTCGAGCTCGCCTCCCGCCTGCTGAAGCAGCTTCTTGATCAGGACTCCTAAAATGTGATGGGCACATAAAACCTCTTATAGAGTCACAATCGCAGCGACGCTAAATGGTGCTTGAAGGGAACGCCGTGTGTGATGTGAGACGGGATGACGAAGCGCCGCCACAATCATAACGTCTGAATATTGAAACAGACTTCCTGCCGACAGCTCTCATCAGGACGGAGATGTTTCACCGCGGCGGCGGCGGCAGCAGAGAGGTGATCAATCAGGACGAGTTTGTATTGATTGGTGGCGACCCTTCACTGTTAGGACCCCAGGTCGTCGTTCCTCGTGTGTTTGTCTCATGATGTCCTAATAGATTAAAATGAATTCACTTTTCTCTTTACAGAAACACACTTTGACAACAACAGGTCAGAATAAAAACCTCTAATGAAGTCTGAAACCTTCTGCAGTCTTGGATTGATGCGATGGAGTCGTGTCCCCGTTACCTGTATGACAGTCCAGATCCGGTCCTCATTAATGATCGTATTTCCACTCCAGACTATCGACTGTATGAACCCAGACTGACTGTGTCGATCCTTTGAATGTGTAGAAAAAAGGGATTTCTTTCATTAACATTCGACTCTAATTGATCCTGTCGGCGTATCCGAAGATTTAAATTATCAATGAAGTCGCAGCGCCGCGTGTCGTCTGTGTCACTGCGCCGCACTCCTCTCAACAAAGGGATGTTCTCACCCGCTCTGCTGCAGAGGGACGGCGGCCGTTTGTAGTCGGCTTGTTTTTAAAGGACGCTGATGTGAGTATCTGTGAGTTTTGACGTCTTTGGCCTGAGAGAACAGCGTCTTGTCTTTTCTGTGTGAGAACACGAAGACAGACTTGTTTCACCTGCAGCCAGAGTCCCGACTCTCCTAACAGGAAATGTCATAAAGCCTTTTCTCAGTCAAACAAACATGACAGACTACAGGAGCGAACTGTTGCCGGCTGCTGAGCTTCCCAATGCATCATTTTGGTGTTTTTTACTGAACATGTGTAAACGGATCGATGTAACAACAAGAAGGTTCGTCTGTCTGAGTGCTCCGCTGTTTAACATCCTTGACCTGTTTGGATTCGTCATATTAGGGCTGCACAATTCATTGATTTTACATCATAAACGGATTATTTGATTATGACGATGTTAAAAGTATCAAATCGATCTTCCTCTCGATCATGTTTCGTGCCTCCAGGCCACCGTAGACTCCCCCTTCCTGCGGGAGCGTTCTCTAGTTCCCAAGTCAGTCGTGTTGAATTGGTACGACTTCACAGTTTCAGATGAAGAGTAAACCACTCCCCGCTGCAAAGTCTGTCTGAAGGCGGTATCAACCCGTCACCACGGAAACAAATTCAGGAGGAAACGCTAAAGTTTTTTGTCGTATCGGCGTTTCAGGTGACTGTAAACGGTACTTTTTGAAAACGGGTCAGAGAGTGAATAAATCTGTAAACGACGACCATTTCATCTCCGTGTGGATGTCTATCTGCATCTCTGGAAACGATCATGTGACACACAGAGGAACTCTTTTATGGCGCCAAAACAACCTTTATACACATGATCTGAACTCTTCTTCAGCGTTACAGCGCCACTTACTGGCTTGGCATATGAACTACGTCGTTTTCAGTGGTTTCGTTTTGAGAGACGATAGAAAATCTTTTTATTAAAGTAAAGTTTGGTGAAGTTATCACTGAATAAGAAATCGAAAATCGGGATTTAATTCTCGGCCAAAACCGTGCAGCCCGAGGTCGTACCTTCTTCTTAAGTCAGCTCACGATTAGCTGTCCGCTCGATCCACAAAATAATGGAGAGTGATCTTAGGAAACGATATCCTCTCCAGAAAACTGAACATGTTGATATTTAGGATTTCAAGTGGAGGACACTCGGATAATGGAAGAGAAATCACTCCTAACTCTCTTCACACGACAAACTTTAGACCCGTCTGATCATCCAGGCTTCAACGACGACGATGACGAGGGAATGGGGCCCGAAAATCTATAATCACCTTGTAGTGTGTGCAGTAAATGTCATCGAACACGAGTTCCAGTCGTCACTTTTCGACTTGAAGGTTGAACAACATAAACGTGTTGATGGGAAGCGGGTAGTAAATAAAACCTGGATAGAAGAAAAATGCCGAAGTTCTCAAACCGTACTTTACAGAAGCTTGTGATAGAAGTGGTGGAGGATCCAGTCGTCATGAGCTGAAGACGGGCGTGTCAACATGTACCGTAGCAGTCATTGATAGTTCCGGTCTTTCCCGGTGGTTGTACGCGGACAGTAGTTCCGTGTATTTATGGAGATACAGATCAGGAAATCTGCTCTCCTGTAACAGTGAAGAGCTCTCTGGTCTTTGTTGTTTATCGGATCATTTTTAAAGTTTGTTCGCTCTGTTTCTAAACCTGCTGTCCGTCCTCAGCCGACCCGTCTGCGCTCCGACTAAAACACTCTTTGAAATACCTCCAGAGTGCTCTGCCTCCGCACCGTCTCCATCTTCCCCATCATTACTTCATGACCACGAATCTGTTTCCAGGAATCCACACGGCTAATTATTCCAGCATTATCGACCCCGCCGTAACAAAGACAGGTTACCTCAAAGTGAAAAAGTTTCCCAAACACAAGATTCATATTTCATATCTGTAGATTTTAGAGCACATGCATCTTTCAGCGTTGTCTCATTGCAGTCTGTTGCACAAAGTTAAACCGCTCGTCCGCGTCTCGCGTTGCAGTTTGTGATGTTATTCTTGCAGACACGTTACATAACAAGTTGGCACACATTTTAACTCTGCTTTGAGACACAAGTGAGCATATTGTTGGGATCGCTTCGCATCGGCAGACTCTATAGACGCGCTGAGATTGATTTCCCTCCATCTCTTTGTGTTGCTCTCTCTCTCTCTCTCTCTCTCTCTCTTCTTTATTTACCTTCCTCCCCGCTGTCTTTGGCGTGGCCCCCAGTCAGTTTGGCACGGTCCCTGCTGCAAGGTTCCCGTCTCTCCATCTATCACCATCATTGGCTCGGATTTTCTGCATCGTGGAAGAGCTTCTCCGGAAGGGATACTCAGTCATGCACACGCGTACACACACACAGACACACACACACAGACACACTGAACAAAACGCTTCCTGCAGAGAACTAGACGCCGGATATATCATTTTTAGCTTTTTATTTATTCATCTCTATCTGTCCATCTATCCATTGGCGTCTGTCCCCTGGGCGGGTATCAGCGGTATGAATAATTTAGCTCTGTTAAAAGAGACCACCTAAGGGGAGAAGACAAGGAACAGAGGAGGGAAGAGAGTAAGGAAAGGAAGGGAAAAGATGTTAAGTTGAGACGGATATTTGAGAGAGGGATGTGTGGCCTGTGATCATGTTTAATTAATGATGGAGGGATCAGCCGATTAAACAAGGACACAGGCTGAAAGACTAGCCTAGGAGACGGAGGGAGGAGGAGGAGGAGGAGGTCGTGGAGGTGGCAGATGGTTTCCTCTTTCTGTTTCCAACGTAGAAATATAAAGAAAGTCGACCTGGAGGATTCGGAGGTCTGCAACGTCGAAAAAGAGCGGCATCAGGTTCCACCTCGGCTCGTCTGCTGCTGTTCTATTAATAGAAAAAGAGGCACATCAGGGAGGAGGAACCAGCCAATTAGAGTGAAGCTGCTCCTGGACTAGTAAACCCCTCACTCAGTCAGTCACACTCGCATGCCCTCACGGAAATGTCACACTCCGGTTTGTCACTTATCATCACCTGGATCATCTCTGCAGAGAGCGTAGCTGGAGTCTGGGGGTGTGAGCTGACCTGCAGACCGCTATTGACACCCAATCACTGATGTCATGTTTGAATATGAGAGAGAGAGAGAGAGAGAGAGAGAGAGAGAGAGATAGAGAGTCTCAGCGGGAGGAGGGATGTGTCGATGGGACGGATTTCAGCGCCGCTGCAGCGTTTGAACGCCGAGCGTGTTCAGATTCTCGTGAAATGCAGAAAAGAGAGAAAAGACGTTTTTGTTTATCGTCAAAGATTTGGTTTTAAAGTTACAGAATCTCTTACCTGGTATCAGCAGATTCTGTCTGGAACGAATCGACTCACTCTGTTTTTCCTAAACTTGGATCCAAGCTGTTATTAAGAAATGAGGCAGATTCAGCAGAGAAAATATCTCAACTTGAGCGGGTATTCATGTCGTGATAACCAATCAGCATCAAGATTTGCAGGTGATGTAAGCAAACAGACCAGAAGATGTTGACTGGTGTGAAAATAGAAACACAAATCCTTTAACTCACAGTAGACAGATGGACAGTCGCTCTGCAGCTGGGATAGAGTGCCTGAAATTAGCATAAACGGCTATCCAAGGCTAAGCACTATTTTGACGCATGAATTGCGCAAAAGGATTAAATGATTGTCGCAAATAGAGCAACTTATGCACGCGAATGAAGCAAGTAGATGATTTTACTCGCGTTTGGTGTGAACGCCTTATAAGAGGTCAATAGTTTACTTTGTTAAGTAGCTCCGCACATGTGCAGTTAGACCGCCACTGGAGCATGCTCAGTAAGAGTCAGAGTGAAGTATGACGTTTGAGAAGAAACGACAAAGAGCAACCTGAGCTGAAGAGATCACTCACCTCCTAAAAACATCCAAGTGGAGCTTTGAAACAATCCGTCCGTATGAAAATGCCTCATGGAGCATCTGAACAAACCTACAGCCAATCAGATTCATGGACCATATGACGTCATATTGAGCAGCAGGAAAGAAGAAGAATGAACGCCATCGATGCAGCTTCAACGACAGATTCAATAAACCTTCCACAGACGGGAGCCGCCATATTGAAGCAGTTTTACCTAAAATGAAGGACTGTGATTGGTTGAATCTGTCACTGAAAATGACACGAGGTAAAACGAATAACTTTGACAGGAAGAAGTAAATCAAACTTGAATCAAAGAAAGAGAGTGTCTCCGTTCATCCACACGCCGCATAATCACCGTTCTGAGGAGGCAGCAGAAACACGTCTGACTGTGAGCAGAGCTGCTCAGATCTGAGGTCATCATCCAGAATCAAGCGTGTAATTCAAAGTGACGGCGGCTCTGCAGCCATGGCAGCGGCTGTTTGTCGACACTCGTAGTCCTTTTCTCCGGCTCAGAATCAGGACAAAGTGGTCGACATAAATTGTTCCTGCCATTTTCAGCTCGTACTTCCTGTCTGAACATTACAACGTAAACAAAGCAAAAGCACACGACTCTCATCCGTTCACCTCAGCGAGCTCCTGGAGGAGGGGAGCGTTTGTTATCGTTCACTCCTCATTTATTCACGTTTTTCACGCCAGTCACAGTGAGCGAGTTTGAGCCGTCATCCACCGCCAACAGCTGATGGACATCAACCACTGAGACCTCCACCATCAAAACACCGTGGTGAAAAGGACATCCGAATATTTTGATACGGCTGTTTTGTGGTTAAAAAATTCAAGAGAGGGTGGAGCTTTGTCAGGACTGTACAGCAGAATCTTAACGTAAATACGCTGCAAACCAACAGGGGTGTGTCTTACCCTCAAATTCCACAGCATGGCACATAAATTCAGCGCAGATTTACCCGTGCTGGAACAGAAGTTGGACACAGACACAAAATAAAACATCAAACAACAAGTGAAAGGTTTTCAGACGTCATTTTACCCCTTTGACCCCATGGATGAGGAGATGATGATTCTGGTCTGGGTAGGGTGAACACACGTCCTCTTTTACCCGGACATGTCCTCTTTTCTGGGGGCTGTCCGGTTTATCAAATGTCCGGGGTTTTGTATGAAAGTTTTGAGTTTGTGTAGCGTGAACTAATTGAGTCAGAAGCACTCGACCCGACCTGAAAAACCCTCAAAATGTTACGTGTGACTCCACCCCACATAGTGTCCTCTTTTGGGGGATTCAGAAAATGGTCACCTAAAGTCTGGACAGAGTGGATGTCCTCCGCTGGAAGGACATAATCTCCTTCTTATACGGTTATGCGTCTGTCTTTATAGAGACAACTTGTTATTGCACGGTTACATGTGAGTTCGCAGGTTCTTGAAAGTCGTCACGATTCTCACTGTCCGAACTTTGCCATGAAATTCGCCTCACAAACGCATCTGGTCGTATTCGGCGGATGGCGAAAATCATGCAGTGGTTTTTGGGGGTGCGATGCCTGGGGGGGCATCGTCCCTGAAATCTGATCAGAGGCAGGACTTTTTCAGCTGTCACATGATGGAGAAAGGAGAAGGACCCAAAACCCGGTCTTTTATTGGGAAGACGGATCACAGACAACTTGAGCAGGAGTATACAGCCTTCATGGATTAAAAGTAATCTCTACTGTGTTGGATCATAAAGGCCTCATAAAGGCAGCAGAGGTGACGGTAGGGTGACCATACGGAGTTTATAAAATCCTTCAGATGTCTGCGGGTTTGTACGGAAGTTTTGAGTTTGTGTCGCGTGAACTGAGTTAGAAGCACCCCTTAAAAAAACTCTCGACCCGACCTGAAAAACCCTCTAAATTTATTATGCACATCTCTGGAACTCCGCCCCTCATAGTAGCGTCCTCTTTTTGGGGGTCCAGAATATGGTCATCCTATTGAAGGGTATCATCATGACTTTAATGTTATTAAACTGACTAAATAGAACTTTACAGAGTCAACATTAACAATAAACCGTGTGTGTATATGGACCGTCTATAACAGACTCTTATTATTACACAGTGAACCGATAACACTGAACAGAGAGGACAGTGAAAGTCTGAAGAACCGGTCTGTGCTGACACCACATCACTTCTCTGTGTCATTAAACACTCAGCAGAGCTGTAACCTCACACTTTACTATCAACCTCCAGACTGAGGACACCACCAACACAACCTGTGATAAAAACACACACACACACACACACACACACACACACACACACAGATATCTCCTTTCTGAATAATTAAGAAGATATGCTGTCACTTGTCACACTTAAGGAGGTTAA